CGGTATTTTCAAACGTCATCGCAATTTTAAAATGTTGGGATATCAGCACCGCAAAACATCCTACTTTAAACGGCAATATAACGAGTTCAAAGAGCGTGTTTCAACGTTTGATTCCACTAACTCTCCTTGACCCAAAGCGACGTATTTCAACTCTGGATCAAGGATTATCAGGTATTATTATTTTGATATATAAAGATATGTTAATACTATGAGTATTTAGTTAGGGAATACGGTAGTTTTATTTATATACTAGATGCTCTACTAACGTTTTACTTTCAAACGCTATCAATCTCTGCAGTCCTTAAGCTGATATTACGATCAGTCTTATTTATACCTGCAAGTTTCCATACATTCCCTTTTCATGTCCCATTCGAGAAAAATTTGCCCAATTTTCTAAAGTTTCTTCAAGTTTGTCCAACTTTCTAAAGTTCTCAACTTTCAAAACTTGTTGGAGGCAGGTTTCCCCCCCCGTATCTTGCCCTGGCGCGCCCACACTCCCCCCTCCCTCTCCTTAAATGGAAGGTCTATCGCCTGTTTAAACCTTAATTCTTAAAGTTCGTTTTCTACTTGGGGCATTTCTTTGACTGAAGTTTTCGACGGTTCCCAAGAAAACAATGATAGGCTACTGGTTGTACGTTTGAGCCAGGTTTGTGCTGCACATGGCATTTTGAAATTGCGTCAAGTACAATTAAGAAATCAGTTAATAAGATAATAAATCTCATTTACGTTCATTGTCATTCCAATATATATATTCATTATTTCATACAAAGTCCTAAGTTACAGAAATCCGAGTTATGCGACCTCTCAACTAGGAGTTCTCCTACGCAGCAATACGATACTGTTGAAGTGGTAGCTGTGAAGAGCTGGCTTTACGCCCAATTCACACATGAAATATTCAGTTTGAACAGACAGAGTCTTTCACCCGTGATTGACCACAGACAATATATTTTTCTTGCACCCACTACGGTGACATCAAGGCCCCTTTTCTAACCCGAAATTAACAGGAAAAAACATGGATCTGTCAGATTCCGGGCAACAATAGGAATCATATGAAACCTTGTAAAAGTAAATCTTATGAAAAATGCCAACCCAAATGTCTCCTCCGATACTGCTAATTACTTGGTGTTCCACTCTTATGCACAATCATTATCATGTGTTCATTCTTTATCCTTTTAAAACTGCAAGCTTTGCACTCAGAATGCTTATAGTAACCTATTATGCCCTTCTAGGGAAGTCCTTCTAGGACAAGTAGGTTTTCAGTTATGGGTGACTTTTTTGGCCCGACGGAAATTCATTTTTCAAAGCATCCAAAGTTTTACGCGGACAATTTTTTTAAAACATAAATCAATCAGTTTTCTGTATCAATCAGTTATCATATTAGAGACATTGAACCTTCGTGTGATAACGAATTGTGCTGACTCAGATCCACGTTAATGATATCTAAATTCTAAAATATACGTGGTAAAGGTCACCTACTATCACTGCTGACACATTCCCATTAGGTCCGATCCAGCTTAGTCATTTCTCTAAATCATACCACGCATTTTACCCATACAAAAGTTACGTAATATCGTGGATTTTTATCACGCCACGTGCAATTGCACGGGGTTTGGTGAAGCGCGGTGGTACTGCTGAATAAACGTGTGGATAAAAACACGTTCAATAGATTATTGCTATTCATGTAATCCCATTTTATTGTTACATAACGTGATAGCTACTAGCTTTGTGGGCGCGCGCGCGCAATCTCAAATCTCAACCCAAGAGCGCGCAGGGAAATATAATTCATGCGAACAACTTAAAATGCACAAGTTTGGATCAGGATTCAAAAGAAAGGTTAATAATATCACAATGCAGACGAGAATGACCTTTTCTTGACCTATTCAAAATGTCGAAACTAGAGTAACAATGGTTTTTGATATGAGAATAGCGCCGTGTTTTAGTAAACCATTATCATGTTAAGACTTGAACCAGCGTGCGTTACCTCGTTCGTACCTGCGTCGTAACGAAAATCATGACAGTTTTTGTAGAACAATTGAAGCAACCATGCAAGCGTGCCCTCCCCCCTCGTCCGCCACCCTTCTCCTCCCCTCCTGCCTCGCGCATCCTTGAAAGACTTAACACTTGTTAGTCATTCGTATGTCCTTCAAAGATACGTTTGACCGGCCACAAAGTTAGAGGGGGTACTCTAGCGATGCACCCTTTGCGCGGAAGTTTGAATATTTCGTAATGACGTCTCCAACTGCTAAAGCGATTAAAATTAATCAATGTTACGTGGAGAACGTGATACGATGTGCTCAAAATAGCCCATGGTACATAAGGAGCTAAATCGCAGGTGGTTTCGCCATAGTTCGTAGATCACCCACCCGACCACATCAGCCCTTAGCCTATAGGAGATGAGTTTTAACTACAGTGTCAATACACGTCCCAAACACGGACAGTTTCAGGGTCTAGTAAAGGTTTTACTCTGCTATAAGTAGTGTTAAAGTACCTGAATAAGATATTTCAAAGGTCCAGTGTAGGAGTTTGCTCTCACTATGAGATGAGAGCGAATTCACAACTAGAGAAACTCGAAATTTAATACACATTATCACGCATTAAAAAACCGAAGCACTCCCACCAATCAGCCAAACGAAAGCCCCACTAATTCAGTGGCTTTGACTTTCGAATAGCCGTATTTTCCTCAGTTCAAAGCCTTAGTCTTCATAATGCGATAAGACTCACAAAAATCTAATGAACATGATACGTCATGTAAAGATCATATTTGACAGCTAATCGTCAGTTTGTTCACTCAAATATTTAAGATGATTATGAGCCATCATTGCCCCATGAACAATTGCAATTTCATTAGTTTATATGCTTTCATCTAAAGCCGAAGATCCCCGTTTTATAGAAAATATTTGCACTTCTTATATATTCTACGTGTAGGAGTCACGCGTATTGTATTCAAAACAGAATGTCAGTTCCTACGCCATGAAATAATATGTCAGGTGTCGTGACTAGTTACGTCATGCTTCGCCATCTAATATTAATTCCCAATGGCACGTATACTTGTAACTTATATGCCGATAAATAAGCTAAACTATAAGTGCTTCTGATACGTTTTTTGGTTAACAATGTGACTATTCATATAGCTTGCTTCTCATATCTTGCTTCTCGCTCCCTTCCCTCTTTTGCAATCGTGGTCCTTTAAGAGGGGGTGCAACCCTTCAATTTTTCGTGGTCTCTCATTGGCCAAAAGTCGCTCATGACTTTTACTCCATGACTTTACAATTCATTTGTGCGGATCGGGTTAAACTAAATGACCAGGATGGACAAAAGCCAACAAAAAGCGGAATGTAAGATTTATGCCAATCTCCGGACAAAACCCTCCCTCATTAATTGTTATTACCACGGCTTGTTTACGTAGGTTTTTTGGCTAGAAGATCGATGATTAATGGGATGATCATTAGCGCCACGTACGAATTTTTGGAATCAAGCAACTGCATGACAAGTTCATCAAGCTAGACTTTGTGTTGTTTCAATATAACCAGAAAACAGTGCGAGAGAGTTTTCAAAAACTTCACATCTGAAATGGTACTCCTCGTTCGTAGAACACCCTCAGGTCGAAACATCACGACGATTTTTGTCTTTTTAGGCAGTAGTTATACCACATTTGATGCGTAGACTTTGTATTTGTTTTGAAATGATTTGTTTTGACAAAGTTTTGACTACGCGGTAATAGTTTCACATGTAGTTTGCGCAACTTCATGAATATTTCTCTGAACGTTTCTTTGGAAAGAGAAAGAGTCACGTTCATTGAACTAACTTTATTTATACTGGATAACTCTATCAGATTTAAACTGTTCTTCCTAGAGGTCCAGTAAGCATCATCTCTTATTGATCCAGTGTTACTACACGAGGAAACCTAAACTAAACTAACTTTATTTATACTGGATAGCTCTATCAGTTCTAAAACTGTTCTTCCTAGAGGTCCAGTAAGCATAATCTCTTATTGATCCAGTGTTACTACAGGAGGACACCTAAACTAAACTAACTTGATAGCCAGTAACTTATCTCTCCTGTAGTAATACATTGTTACTACGGTGACGGATTCGTAAACAAAAGAAATTACCAACAAATTTATTTACAAACAATTTTGACTTATATTTCCGAATGTTTTGCTCCTGACAAAATCCGGCGTAAACAACCGCAGAGGTCAGATCTTTGGATGCATTTAATATAAACTTCCGCGTTTTTGTAAGTGATTATTTAGGATTAGGCATTATGATCATATTCGGGTGAGGAATATTCGCCTCGCGAACTGCACTTTTTCCTGTTACCCAGTCCTGTCAGTTCTAAGCGTACTCAATGTTGTCACGGCGACGCGGCTAATACCACAAGCTGCCAGAATTAATGATGTAGATGAATAAACTCTGGCGTTCAACAACATGATATACTACGATATTGCAAATAACGGCGTATACGACAACACCACTTCTTCTTTAGTTCTTTAAGATGGAATGTGTTCGCCGGAGATTATAGCTCATGGCGGGAAACTTCAGTATTTATTATTTGTCTGCTATTGCGTCTGTTTAACATCATAACACTCCGCAAATAATTTAGTATTGAGTAAAAACTGCCACAAGAAATCAATGATATTTTTATTTACGTTTTCGTAACGTAAAATACAAGCAGGCGATTTGATAAATTTAAAAAAAAAAGCACGACATGCTGTTTCCTTAAATTTTTAAGGTTGTAAGCAAGTTTGCGGTGATAGTTCGACTCCTATTTCAAAATGATTGTCAAACTCGAATTGGCCAGTCTGGGATGTAATTTAACATAAAAAATATAGCAAATACTTGAATGAACGTCCAAATCACAAATGACTACATGCACAGGCAGCGCTTGGCCCCCCATTGGTTGAGCAGTGTCATGTTATGCAAAGCTGATTGGTGGACGGCACGTTTCTCACCAGTCACAAGGCTCGAGTGAAATTAGAGAGCTTTAAACGTGGAGAGGGTGAGACATTATTGAACCCTTGCGAGGAACGCCAGCCGCACGTCGATATTCATAGGCGTTTGGGCAGAATTTCTGATCAAATCTGGGTTTGCTTACACAAAACTCTTTAAAAACAGATAGGAACTGAAAGGCGAGGATTGTTTAGTTTGTCAGTAAACTTACGATCCTTATCAAATCAAGGTAAGAAAGGTCATTGTAAAATATGTAATTTAAGAGCTGGTTGCTTGTAAAGGTAGCATAATGCTCTTTGTATAAACGATCCTAGCGTGTAGTATGGTGCGTTTTTATTAGCAGGAAGCTATAGGGTTAGCTAGAATTCCGTAGTTTGACAATATACCACCACGTTATGATTGAATAAGCACCATAGGGTAAGCTTTATTTACTGAAGCATGAGGCCCGATAGCAGTTCACCTAGTATCCTGCTTCATTCATGTAATGCGCTGAGACGCTGTTCTTAGCGTCCCGCGCAAGTGTAGTCGTCTGTCGTGCTAAAATGCCCTTCAGAATTCGCATATCGAGATTTATTTTCCGTTGGTAAACATTCCTCTCACCTATTAGGTAAACATCTGCAGAGAGCTCTCACGAATATGCAAATAGACGCAAGGTTCTAGTCATTTTTCAAGACACGCGGTGTGAGACAGCGCTGGTGCGTCATAGAACTTGATTGCGCGCTTTTTAGTTTTCAAGCACCGCCGTATCATGATTTTAACTCAATATACTGAACTAACTGAACAACTGAACTAACTTGTCTTTTACATGCTCTTCTCATATCAAACTTGAGTTATCATAGTGTGTGTCTGGGAACGCTGGTCTTGCAACATTTTGCGCAATTTCTAGTTCAAACGAGGCCTAAATCTTGTTTTTAAATCGCGTTTAGACTTGCGAGACGACATTGTGAAGAAATTGTACTGAACAGTTATGCAGTATGTTTGATGTGATTGGTATATCTTAACGATCAGCACAGAATGACTTATTTACACTGCGTACATTGCAATAGAGGCCTGTCGATCTAGAGTACTTAATACTTTTGTCGGCCAAGAACAAACTTGCTCCGGACATGAAACAGTACTTTTTTCGAACATGTTCGTTCAAGACCTTTCGTTTAATAACACCCATACTCCCGCGTTTACACAATTCCTTAACTTTTTGTGTCCATATGCAAATTTGTAAAATACCTATGTTAATTAAAGAAACTCTCAGTGTTGTTAAATTGAAAATTAGCTTAAAAGCACTTTTTAAGGATTTTTTCAAAATGTCTTTGCTGAAAAAGGCGACGTTGTTTGAATACTTTCTAAAAGAACAAGCTTTGTGGGAACGGTTTTGAAATCACTTTTTTCCCTGTCTGGCAACAATGACCATCACAAATTAAAGCACGTTAATTGATTAATTTCTATCACGTTTGCCGCTTGAATTTCATGGATTACATAGCTTCTCATCTAGACGCAATGTCGATAGCACGCAGCGATAAAACTACTACGTTTTGGCGGGTTTTCAAATCATTGGCATCTACGGTTATTATCGCAGATTCCGGGACATGTCACAGTTGGTAAAATCAATGTATTTATTCGACAAGAAATCAAGTACATATCTTACTCAATGACAGGAAGCTCAATTAATGTAGTACGCACAGATTGAAAGATGATATTCTTGCTTTCTGATGGAAAAAAATGTGATTAAATGTGAAGACTAACGTTCCTACGAAAGCTTCGATGTAGCAGCCGTATGTTGCTCCATTCTTAATAGACTTTCTTTAAAGTAGTTAAGTCTTAAACTAGGTGAAACATCTTTCATTACTCTGACAGAAAAGGCTAGTTTAGACACATGATCATCTTAACCTCTGAAGGCAGCTTTGCGCGGGTCAAGCTCGCTTGATAATTGCGCAACGCAGATATTGTGCAATAAGACTTCGCGCCGTTTTATATTGTATCGGCCAATTAGCATTCATTAATTAGACGCCTGCGCTGACGATTTGCGAGAACGCTCTTTACGGGGTCTTCGCGATGTAAAAAGAAGAAAGTCGTAACACCATATTGCGCCAACCGTGTCGAATAGCCTCGCGTTGTAACGACTTAAATAATAGGAAATCTCTGTAATCATATATGACACAATCTCTCGCAGGTCAACCGACATCAGCTTAAAATTTGTTATCATATTTGTATGATGGGATGGGATTACGAAATACATCCACAAAAATCTATGTTTCAACACGCATTTTTGCCTAGACATGCAACGCGCTTTTTTATAACGTACTCGATAAAAAAACCGTTGTTCACATTTCGCCCCGCATATCTTGCCTACTAAAGATGATAAAAAAATAAATTAGGATATATCATTTACAATTTCCCTTCGATTACGCTTGCGGTAGATAGTGTAAGATTACATTTGAAACGAATTCTAGACTTTGACCTTATTATTCGCAGAGATCTTTAGACAGAGTACAAAGTATTCTCATCCGAACGTGTAAAAGTATTCTCATTTCACACACATTAAATGAACCGTTTCTCCCAGCTCTAACTTAAGAGTTAATATTTTATTGTATTTTTTTAGACCTCCAAGGAGCTGAATTGGAAACCTGCATCACTGTCCGTTGTTGAACGAAGGTGACGCATTAACAAGAGTGCTCCGTCATGGAGTCGCTTGCTTCAATCCTTGTTCTGCTTCTTTGCACAGGTTAGACAAGCACGTTTTTTATTAATTTCTTATGATCTCCTTATCCAGGAAGGATTAATTATGCTTGAGTCTTATATGTCAAACTGCTTGTGCAATTCATTACCTTGGCCAAAGGCCATGACTTTGAAAACTTCCTTCAGCAACAATGGAATGGCTTCCATAAACGGAATTCACTTAATCCTTCGGTAAACACGAGAATTTTAATATAAATCTCTACCAGCGCTATGTTTCTTAAACACTGGGAGCGATAACGGCTTTAAGGAAAAAAAATTGCATTTCTCGAATTTAGGATGATGAAAACGAAGCCTCGATCTGTTCATTTTAATCTTTTTTTTCGTTAGTTCATAACTGTTCATTTCTCATTCAGATGATTTCGTGATTTAATACAATATTGCATATAATTTCAAACATAAAAATGAAATACTTGTATGAACCCTCACCTGCAACTAATTTCCCAAAAACCTGTAAATTTCTCGATGAAAGAAGAGTCAATCTTTCGCAAGCTTTGCAGTGAGTCTAGTACCCAGGGATTTTGTGTTGCGAAATTCAATCCAGTTTTGCATGTCGCCTGTCAGTTAAATTATTTATTCTATTACTATAAACGAAGACGTGTCAATCAGGCGTATAGTTTTCAAAGAATTTGTACAGGAAATTGTTTAACAAAAAATACCAGTTGGGTTTGAGCTGACATCGGAACAGCTTGCACCAAACTAGGCCTTAACTCTTTCATTTAACTGAATTTTTAATTGTAAAAACATTATTAATTAAAGATCGAATTTCCCTCGAGGCAAAGTTCCGTTCAATACAAACTATACCGGATTCACAGGTCACGACGCACGAGCCCTCCGTCTGCGGGACAAATCAAGTGCCACTGAACTCCACTGACTGGTTTGTTTTTGAATGCATTTGTAACTTTTTAAACGATAATCTTCAGCCGAAAAACTAGTGTGTTGCATTAGTAGAAAAACTAAGCTTTCAATAAAAGCGTGTCGCCACATGCATAGCATCTTAATACCAGTTATTATCTTAATTTGAAAACTATAGTGTACTTATGGATTTTATCAGACAATACGCGTCAATATTTAGAGATTTCTTTTCATTTGAGCTGATATTATTTGGAGAGTTTGTTAGCGCCGTCTTTGGACAAACGTTCAATGATTATTCCGCGTGTATTAAATGTTCACACGCTCATCGTGAAAGCTCTATGTGATGAATTAGCATTTATCAGAAACCTCAAGTTGACTCATAATTGATTATCTTGAACGTGACCGACTTGTCATATTCAGGAAGAGTAAATGACATGTATAGAAACCAGGCATAGATAGTAATAGATCTATTTGAAGATTGTCTAACGTACATATATTGTCCATGTATATCCTATTTGTGAGCGGTAAAATTACAACTGTTGGAGTTGACCGCCATTTCTGTCTCAAACCACCATATTTGACTGTCCGTCAAGCAAGCGAAACTGCAGCGTTTTTCAAATATTCACAATCCAAACAATCAAACGGTTCGTTAATTGCTGAAATATTTACGAAAACGTCTCGACGACTTGAGATCTAGACACGAAGGGTTTAAATTCATTTCAAAAGACTGCGATCACAAAAAGCGACTTTGTCCATTTTCCCTGGGTTGTTTCAGGGGGTCCGTTTGACCTGAGCCCTGTCGGGACTAGAGGTGAAACCGGCCACTTGCTGGCAAAATTCATTTGAATTTAAGAACCAGTTTAAAACTCGACCAACTGGTTTTACGTATGATGCTGTGCAAGTTTTAGTGAAACAAGATATATCTGAGATCGATAGAAAATAGGAATGCGAATAATTGAGACGATGGAAAAAAATTTAATCTAACGTAAAGGAAAAAAAAGGTCAATATACATAATTCCTTAACCATACATAGAAATTTGGTGATTAAAATTTTATTGCAGTCTTAACTTAACATAGATTCCCGGTTTCCAAATATAGAATGCCGGTAAAATACGACATCTGATGAACTATGGAGCCTTAACAGGATAATTTATACCAAACAGATAAACCTCAATCGCGAGGCAGGTCATCATCGCATGTGTTGATGTTGGGGTTTCGCCAAGTTGTTAGCGATTTTGCAAACGTTTTTCCTTAAAAGGTCAAATTTGTAGCTAAAAAAAAGACAAAAGATGCGCCTGGTATGTTAAATGTCTGTGGTTGGTCTTCTTTGTTTCTTGGAATTCATTGGTTTTTGTTACATTATACGGAGAGTAATTACTTTCACACCAAAGCTGCATGTTTACACCGCCAATAAGTTAAAAGCCATCCACGTTGTTGAGTTTTAAAACAAACAGCATTTAGCTCTGATTCGATATTTAATCAACATAATTGTATCAATTATGTAAGTAAAACTTTCAAACGTTTTCCGTCGATTGTATGAACTAAGAATGTTGGAATAGAACGTTACCTCCATTTACTTTGAATATTTCTAAGAACAATCATATTTAAGGCGCGCTGTTAAAGTATAGTTTAAAAACTCGGCAAGCATTCATGAAGCGTGCATTTGTTTATAGTTTATTTTCTTTTCATAGAATAACACAAATTTAAAAGTTTGTTATCAAGGTCATCAGCGAATGTTATGATATATAAACTTCCTTATAGCCAGATATTTTGGTATTTACATAACTCTGTTGCCATGACCCTGTGATGAGATATCTTCAGTGTTACTACAGGAAGGAAGCTAAACAAAACATTTTTAAAACCGTTCTTCCAAGAGGTCCAGTGGGGATGTTCTTCCATTAATCCAGTGTTACTACAGAAGGAAACCTAAACTAAAATGTGTTTACACTGGATAGCTCTATCAGTTTTTAAATCATTCTCCTTAAAGGTCAAGTAAGGATCATCTCTTATTCATCCAGTGTTACTACAGGAGGATCGACACCCAAACTAAACTGACTCTATTTACACTAGATAGCTCTGTCAGTTCCAAGAGGTTCTTTTTGGAGGTCTACTAAAGGAAATCACTTCTTCATCCACTGTTACCAAAGGATGAAACTCAAAATAAACCTAGGAGTCCGATTGATTCTAATTGCTATACGCGGAGATAAAATAAGCGAGCTTGAACTCTTCATTCCACGTGCCATTCTAGTGAATAGTTATCACCAGACATCAGACATCTCAATATTCTTGAAATGTACACGTCACAGGGCTGAATAGCAAAACATCTGGCAGTTTGAATGGCCAAGGCCACTCACTAGGACATAATTAAACAGAAACACATCACCGAACATTAAATCAAAACATTGTTTAAGTTACCTCGGAAATGCTTTAGGTTCTCACTTTTCAAAGTCGTCCTAAAATATGACAATGTCAGCCACACAAGGTCACATACGTCACAGAGTAGAAAGCAGATACAGAGGTGGAACTAACTCGTAGACCATCGCTTGATCTTTCTCAGCCCAGGCAACCGGGAAAAAATTGATAGGAAAGTTCGGTAGGGAGGTTCGTGCTCACAATCTTTCGAAATGATTAGTGCGTCAAATGTGGACTTTCCACGATTAAGGATACCACACCTTACGAGTGACATTGTTTGTAAATAGACGAGAATCTATCATTAATAGTATTATTTTTATTATTGTAGTCCTTTTTAATACCTTTCTATAAACATACCAGTGGTCACGCTCAAAATTTCGCTAATCTACTATTATTAAGTTGCGCAATGCTCTAAGCCTATTTCCGGACAATGAGTTACTGTAAAATCCAAAGGGATTTGATTCATTTACAATCTGCAATGTACAAAAGACTTTTGAGTTATCTGAAAATGAGGATAAACACTGGTAACTAATCATGCAGCCGCTGCGCTCATTTATTGCACAAAAATTGACCGTGGTTTTTTGTAAGAACAAACACCGGTATTCTCAAAGTACACGCGTCTTCATTATCACTTGTTGCGTCCATCCCCGTGGTTCTAATGCGTTTTAAACGTTTTTACAGCAGTTCAAAGGTTCAAAATTTCGCTCTCCGGTGGGTAAGCGCTATGCAGTTTCCCCGCAATGAGCCACTGATAGTGTGTCACGAAGCTGTGAAAATATTTGGCAGTTATCACCGTGACAACATTGCCCAATCCATAATCACAGGTCAATATGACCCACCAGGGTCATTTACCACCGTGACATTGCATTTTTTTGTAACTTGAACTCTTAGCCCAGCCTGCCCGGGAACTATGTAATACACCTTGAGTGTCCTCAAAAATTGTCTGTTAAGAACTTTGCCCTTCGCTGACCGTTTTCAGTCAAATTGCTCTATCATAAGACCTCTAGCTTATCCATTTAGTTTATCTCATTTCCCTCTTAAAGATCGTATATAGGATTTACTTTTTTTATCTTATTCAGTGTGAAAATTGTGTTATAAAAGGTCGCCAACTGTCGTCTGGGGGGGGATTTAAAGCTATTTAGAGATCTTCTTTGAAGTTATATAACACGACTGCTCTTGATATTTTTAATTCATTCATTGCCAAAGGGCTAGAAAACTTCAGTTATATCCGTTTTACTGGCTATGATTGTGGTTGGTAGTCAGATTATATCTTTGTTTCTATATGTCTTCATAGTTTAATGGGATCGTCAATTTTACGCCAAGCCTTCGTCAAATATAGCGCGGTTTATTTCCCCCCACATCCACAGTTATTCTGCAACTCTGCAGCGAGAAAACGTTTTGAAAACAATACTCAGCTATACTTTAATCTGTTATAGTTTGGAGGAGAATGTTTGTTGAGAATTAGAACTACACGCACGAAACATTTCTTCAGCTTTTGCCATGATTACGTACACGCGATGCTAAACGTTTGTTTACTCCTTTTCAGGTGCTTTTGCACAAAATGTTGGCAATTGTAATTTTGAAAATCCATCTGGATTATGCGGCTACACACAAGATACGACGGATGATCTTGATTGGTCGAGGTACAACGGAGGAACTGGCTCTACTGGGACAGGACCTAGCAGTGACCATACCACAATAACTGGTTTCACGGTTCCAGGTATTAGACTGAGATCATCGCTAGGCAAAATATTAACATACAACGCGCTCTTGCTGTTGACAATTACAATTACAATTACAATTTTATACAATGCTCGTTCCTGAGCTTCACAGCAATAATATCGATAGAAAGCATAAAATCTCATTCGAAAAATCTCATTCCATTGTAACATTTCATTGATCAATTCTGATCACTAGAATTTCAGCACAATAATAATATTCCTATATTCGTGTTGGCTGACCGTAAAAACAATAAATTTGAAAAGAAACTAATGATGCTGTACGTGAATATATGAATATTTCACCCCCCCCCCCCCCCAACTTAAGGAGCTTAGGAGCTTAGGAGCTTAGTGTTTTTCAACTCTAAAAATGGAGGCCAGATGAGACATACTTTTAATTCGTTTCAGTTTACACGAAACTTTCAAAGCAGCCGGGGGGAGCGACGGCACTTGGACAAAAATGCGTTTTTCCATTCACTTACCGCTCCAAAACATACACCAAATGTACGACTGCCCGTCACACGGCGCTATGGTGTTCAACGACGAGCGTCTACAGCGGCAAGTGGGGAAACTGCCAAGCAAAGGGTAATGTAATGTGATTTGTTGAAACGGGCACGAAGTCTCTCGCCACGGACCGCAATATATGACACTGGACACGAATACTTTTAGGCTATCTAAAGGCGTGTTTACAATGTTCCGATTGCATTTGCGATTTTCGTCTTTTGATAGATGTGAACGAGTAAATTAGTTACGGATACTCAAATAGGAGCTCGTATGCATCAAAGCATTCGTAACTTATTACTCATTCACATCTATGAAAAGAAGAAATTCGCAGCAAAAGATGCAAGTGCAAACGGGCCTTAATTGTAAAATATAACTAAAACCTGATCCCACATTAACAAACATTACCCCGCACTTTCAACACTCTGAGCTTGTTTGTTGCACAGAAATGGAGTGACATTTGAACTTTACCAAATTCGTAGGTTGGTACGTTTACCTCGAAGCGACTGGGAAACAACCAAATCAAGTTGCTCGACTTCTTGGTCCGTCGCTGCCCGCCACGACAGGTTCCTGCATTAAATTCTGGACGCACATGTGGGGACCTCATATCGGGGCTTTGAATGTCACAATGAATAGCAGCTCATCGAATTTGCTGGTATGGAGTAAATCTGGGACGCAGGGTAACCAATGGACCCAAAGAAAAATCGATGTGAACTCGACCACACCCTATAATGTAAGTTACAATACAGCTATTGAGCCAATATGAGAAAGAAATGTGGAAATTATCTATTGAAACTATATGATATATTTCTAGATAATTTTCTCTGCCAGTCGCGGTATTGGATACAGAGGCGATATTGCTATTGATGACATTGAAGTTACCAAAGGATCTTGTTCGTATGACCGTAAGTTAACCGTATTTTGACCGTAGTAAATATGAACCCATATTTTGGTTCATGAAATATGCAGAAGGTGATATGTCTGTTTATTTTGCCATTTCGTCTCTTTGCACAGCCAACTTATGTACGTTCGAAAATGATTGGTGTGGGTACAAATATATTGGCAGATGGATTCGTAGACGAGGCAGAACACCAAGTTCTTCAACAGGACCTTCTGTCGATCACACAACAGGAAGTTCATCTGGTGAGTTTCGGGCTCTCTCCATTAACGGCCAGTTTCGCACTGGTTTTTTCTATGATTCCTTAAAACTATCTAGATCTCAAAGTGATGAAAACTTTGTGACTGTTTTTAGGTTATTACATCTTCTATGAAACGTCTGGTGGAAGGATAAATGACACGGCAATCGTTCAGAAAAACTTCACAGCAAATGGTCTTCAGTCCTGCCTTCAATTTTGGTATCATATGTATGGCACAAATATAAACACGTTGAATGTTTACACAATTAAAAATGGCAACCGTTTAAGGATCTGGACTCGGTCATTCAACCAAGGCAACAAGTGGTACAAAGCCGAAGCAACCGTCAATATAACGAGCGGAACATATACTGTAAGTCTCAAAGTTCGCTGAAACAGCTTAATACATATTTAGGGCATTGAATTCTGTTACCAAAGTGTCGGTGACTTTCTATGAAGAGAACTCAAGTATTAGTTTGAAATTGTCTAGTCGCATGCCTATGTAATTTATCCCTAAATTTCCTTATCGACCCTTCCTATATCTCCTCTGGAATCTCAACAACCCTATCAATCCTGCAACCTTTTCCGTTTCAGCTGATGTTCGAAGGTATTCGAGGTAGTTCATTTCGTGGAGACATCGCGTTAGACGACATAAGACTGTCACCCGGTGAATGTGTTCTTCCTGGTATGTCTGCCGTTCATAACTTTCCTCACTCGTAGTTCAGAGAAAATATCTAAAAAAGAATTGGATTAGGCATCCTCCTGTAGTAACACTGGATCAATAACAGTAGAACAGTTTAGGTTAGAACAGCGGTTCAGTAAAGTGTGTTGTTACCATTGATCAATGATGATGATGATATGATAATCTGGTGTATCTATACTAGGGGACTGTGATTTCCAAACTAGTCTAACAACGTCTGATTGTTTGTGGAACAATGTTAAACAAGGCGATGATTTTGATTGGATTGCTAAATCTGGTGGAACAACCAGTTCCTTCACTGGTCCAAGTGCTGATAGAAAAGGAACCTCGTTCGGTATGAAAGACGTGGTTATTTTGCGTATACACAGCGCTTGTTGTGGCAAATCATGAACTGAAGATTCGGTTATTCTCGTTATATCAGGGGCCTAACCAGCATGTGGTTTACATGGGTTGTGACGAGACGTGGGGCTCGCATCTCCCTCTCCTAAAGTAGGGGACGGAAGAATCGACCCTACGTTATCATACATCATGTTTGGGAAGTTAAAGCGTATTGGTTCATATGCAAATATTTCCATTTTGTCTTTTTCGCAGGCCAATATTTGTTCATTGAAACGTCTAGTCCGCGGAAGACTGGAGACAAGGCTTGGTTAGTCAGCGATTACTTTAACAAATCTGTCACGTGCTTTACGTTCTGGTACCACATGTACGGCAGTTCGATAGGATCTTTAAAAATATACCAGCAGCCTTTGGGAGGACAGAAGGTTTTGTTATGGATGTTAAGCGGAAACAAAGGGAACAAGTGGTATAGTGGGCAAGTGGTGGCCGACTTTAGTCTTAAGCAACACCGGGTGAGTAATATTGCGTAGTATTGATGATGTTGATGAATTTGGTGATGGTAATGATGGATGACGACGATGGTGATGATGCTATATGTTGATGATGATGAAGGTTATGTGATGTTAATGATGATTATGATCACGATACTTTCGATAGTATTGATGATGATGATGATCACGATACTTTCGAAAGTATTGATAATGATAATGATGTTGATGATCACGATACTTTCGATAGTACTAATGATGATAGTCGAGATGATCATGGTGATAATGAAAATGATAATAGCGATGACGGGAATTATAGTTCTATTGTGGTGGGATAAAATGTCACGCTCAATCTGTGTTATACCTAGATCATCGTCGAAGGTATTCGTGGAACAAGTTACACCGGTGACATTGCTGTGGATGATTTTAAATTCATAGATGGAAGATGTGGCATCCTTCCAGCTTCAGCCGCACCTACCGCACCAACAAAACCACCACCTACGAAAGCACCAACAACCAAACCACCTCGTAAGTAATCAGACAGTTATGCATAACCATGACTTTGTCGTCTTTTGATTATCCACTATGATTGCACCGCATTTTTCTGCGCGTTGAAAGCCCTTCGGACGCATCAAATATTACAACTCGTATGACTTCTATTTGTAGCAAACGTCGGTTACAGTTGTAATTTTGAAAACGGAATCTGCTCCTGGACTCAAGCGGTCGTGGGAGATAAGTTTAACTGGACCAGAAATCAAGGATCGACTCTTTCCGGTGGGACTGGACCGAGCACTGACCACACCCTTGGTAACGGTAAGCAGGAATACCAAAATAGTTCTCATAGTATGTATTCACGAGTTCACTAGAATCCTGTCTGCTCTATTCGACTTTTATATTACCATGTTTCTTAGGAAATGGATGGTACATGTACATCGAAACCTCGTCGCCCCGAGTGAAAGGCGACAATGCGCGGCTCGTCTCCGACTTAATTCCGGCAACTACCGGAACGTCTGGTCGATGTTTAACATTCTATTACCATATGTACGGATATCACACGGGAACGTTGAATGTTTTCATAAAAACGGGTAGCCACCTCACGAGCGTGTGGCAACGTAATTCAACTCAAGGAAACAATTGGTTGCAAGGAAAGGCCACATTGGTGTCACAGGGACATTTCCAGGTTGGTCAACTGTATTAACCCTCATTTTCCCTTGTCAACCCCATTAGTACCCATTCTCGAAAACCGTTATACACATCCTACCAAGTGTTAGTGGCACCTCTGGTTATAGGGATATCAGCGATGTTTAGGATGGGCTTCTTTACCCAAACTAAAGTAATATAATGGTATTTTAAAAAATAAGCTCGGGTCAGGTGAGCGATAAGCTCAAAGAATATCCTCAGGAAAGCTCTTGATATTTCTCGCCCCCTCTTGACTCCGAGGGCCACTCTCTTGAGCAATAAAGACTATTATAACTATCATATAAACTTCTATTCAATGTAGTAAACTTATTTTTAACGGCATGTAAACATGAATATATGAATGCAAATCTCCCCGAATATCGTGTCAAAGCTCGTACCTGATACAGTGCCGTGTGATTAGCTAAATATTCACTTTGCATAGCTGTAAATCTACTTTTGACATTTTCAGATCATCTTTGAAGGAATCAGAGGTAGTGGTTTTCTAAGCGACATTGCAATTGACGATATAACCGTCACGACTGGAGCTTGCACTTATCCTTCATCGAAATGTACGTTCGAGGATTCAAAGGTTTGCGGCTTCACTCAAGATTCGACAGACGACACAAACTGGATTCGAAAAAGTGGCGGGACAAGTAGTGGCCAGACCGGACCAAGTGCCGACCATACGCTGAAAACATCATCTGGTTTCTATATGTACACTGAGGCATCGTCTCCACGAAAGAAGGGCGACCTAGCGCGTCTTGAAAGCCCTCAACAACAGCCGGCACCGGGTGGGAAATGCCTGGAATTCTGGTATCATATGTATGGTTCTTCTATGGGTAGTTTGATCGTGTATGTCAAAGATAATGTACAAAAAAATCAGGTTTGGATGAAGAGCGGGAATCAAGGAAATTCGTGGCAGAAAGCAAGAGTCACTTTAAAATCAGCAAGCAATTTCAAGGTGAGGAATCTATTTAATACTCCAAAATGACAATTTCTTTCTTTTATGAGGGAAGAAAGGTTGAACAACATGTTTGACCAACATGAAACAACATGTTTTATTCGCCTAAAATATAGAGAGAAACATCTGAAAGTTTTGGCCTAAAGTTTAGTTTCAATTTTAGTTTATTTTGTTTTGTTTTAGTACATTTTTGAATCGGTTCGTGGCACAAGCTTTTACAGCGACATTGCAATTGATGACGTTGAATTGTTAGCCGGGCCTTGCCCCAGTCCTGGTAAGTATATCAAGAGTTTATTCATCGAACATTACCCCATTACACCACCCAATTGGTGGTACAAAAAGAGTTGAAATATCGGGCCCTTACCCCGGTCCTGGTGGGTGCATGAAGAGCTTCAGTATCGGTTCTTACTCCAATCCTGGTGGGTGCATGAAGAGCTTCAGTATCGGTCCTTACCCCGGTCCTGGTGGGTAAATGGGGAGTTTCAGTATCCGTCTTTACCCCGGTCCTGGTGGGTAAATGGGGAGTTTCAGTATCGGTCTTTACCCCGGTCCTGGTGGGTAAATGGGGAGTTTCAGTATCGGTCTTTACCCCAGTGTAAAAATGGGACTTGAGGATATTAGTAAATCCTCTAGTACGTACATACTCCCCTAGAAAGCATAAGATGTTACTAGCTCTGTAGTAATGATGATCTTTCTCTACCCCAGGGTCATGTTCATTCGAGGGTGGTCTCTGTCAGTGGAGTCAGGATAAGTCAGAAGATGATTTTGACTGGCAGTTAACATCTCGAGGTACATCATCTTACCTGACCGGTCCATCAAATGACCACACCTTTGGCAATAGTTCAGGTAAGTCAAGTTATCAGTGAGTCAACTTTTTTGCAAAATTATTCGCCCCTAGATTCATCACCCAGATCCATCACCCATATCGACCTGGTAGCCTAAATCATCAGTATACAATTTAAAAGAACTTGTAGATATTTAGTATTTATTACATTTGGGTTTGTAAAACTTAACGTCTTCTTATGTAGTCGCTCAAAAAGTGTTTTTGACAAACCACAACTGCGCATATTGTCCATAATTAAAAGTAGAAAAACTGAACAAATAATAATAATATTTCTCATCGTAGGATATTATGTGTTTATCGAGGCTTCATCACCACGTAAAATTGGAGAAAAAGCGCGCCTGGTTGGACCAAGGTTGTCTCCATCCTCGACTACCAGGTGTTTACAATTCTGGTATCACATGTACGGCTCTGATATAGGATCTTTGCGCATCCTTTCCAAGTGGGGAGCAGGAAGCAAGCTCGAGGAAGTCAAATGGATTTTGAATGGTAGTCAGGGTAACCAATGGAAGTTTGCACGTGTTGCAATCTCAAGACCAGGTTCTGGTTCATATCAGGTAAGCTTTCAGTCAGATTTCCATTTTAAGTAGACTGTTAAAGATGAGATATTTGGCGTATCTAGTTCTTGATTTTGTTTATGTAAAGGGAAAATCTCATTAACCGGACCGGGTGAGGAACATAGAGTCAGCTTTAGGTGGGGTTTGGGTCGGTGAGTCTTTGTAGACCTTGGCTAAAATCAGTTCAATGTTAGTTAAGATTAGGTTAGGATCAGATCGGATTTAGATTCAGTTTAGATCTGGATCAGTTCTGGATTAGATTTGGATCAGTTCTGGATTAGATCTGGATCAGTTCCGGATCTGGTAAGAAAGATTCCGGGATCTGGGACTCTCTCAATATATCTAATTCATCATCCGTCTCTTTCAGTTCGTGTTTGAAGGTATCGTTGGTGCAAGTTATAAGGGCGATATTGCTTTGGATGACATACAAATTATTCCTCAGTCTTGCTCAATCTTGCCTACGAACGCAAACCCCAGCAAGACACCAGTTACTTCGCCTACGCCTGCTATCTCAACGCCTAAGCCAATACGTAAGTCATGTCTGTGAAATAAGATAAAGTTAACACATTGAGCTTAGGGATGCATGCAACAACTTTGCTAGCCTGCCCGTGTAGCTCCTTGTGACAAAGGAAGATAGAAAAATACGAAATAAATTTTTTACGGAAAGTCCACTCCAACTTATTTTGTCGGTGATACTAAAAAACAAACGTATATTTTTTGTTTAGCAATTGGCAAATTCTCTTGCAACTTCGAGGTTGTCGGAAAATGTCAATGGCAGCAGGTTCACAACAGCGATCATTTCAACTGGACCCGAAATCAAGGACATACGGCATCATCTGGAACTGGTCCAACTACAGATCACACTAAGGGTGTTGGTAAGTAAAATCATCGTAATATTTTCATATAATGTGGACGAATTGAGTGCTACAGCTGCACTGCCATTTTACAAAACGACTCTTTGTTAATGTGCTAAAACATGTTTCGTTTTTCTAGGCCTCCTTGCCGATAAGAATCTTGGACCGGGTTCTATACAGCATCGTGGAGGAAAATGTATTCACATTTATCTAGGTGGTTACGTGAAGCCTCCTGACGGTCAACCACTCGTTATTTATCAAGGCTGTGGTGAAACGCGACTGGAGTTCAAGATAGATTCCAACGGATTGTTGAAACACACGACGCATAATATGTGCGTAAAACCAATCGGTGCGGTCACTGATGGTGTGAAGGTTAGTTGATCAGAAATTTTTTTTAAGCAGAATCTGTTCACTGGAACAGAAGAATTGCAAAAGTTCGCAAACTTCCCTGATCCCTTCAGCCAAAGTTTAAAAATACGCTTATGCATCCAATATGTACTTCCATTGAAAACTAAACTATTTACATCGAAATAATTCAGCTCGGTTGTTCAATAAATGGACCATTTTGTTTTCCATTTTGAACTTATCCACCGTTTAAGCTAAACACCTTTCAAACAACCTGCCCTAGAAGATTAAAAAACGAAAGTGCTACTGCTCTTGACAGTTGAATATGGCTGGGGTTTTTCCTTAAGGTTGGTCTGTACACAAATTGTGATGCAAATGACAAATGGAGCTGGGCTTCTAAAGGATCGCTGAAGTACAAAAATAACATGTGTCTTCGACCACAGAGCGGGTGGGCGAATCCTAAAGATGGCGTGTATTTGGTGCTTGGTACCAGATGTGATCAGTCACAGAATTTTTTTAAGTTTGTTCCAAGTAAGTAATATCACTTATCATTGGATAGCTATTATACCCCTGTGCTGTATTACGGTATGTACCTGTTGGATGAAATACAATGAGAACCGTAGGGAGTTTGAGAGATTCATCGGCTGAGGGTTTGTTTTAAGTTACTTTAAGTAATGACTGATTCCAGTTTCATCAAATGCGCACGCTCGGAACGAAATAAATCATTATTGTCTTGTCGCAACATGCCGATGGAACGTCGAGTGCTTTTTATCATTTTGCTTAATGTTTTTTTAATGAAAGAGTGGAAGTAAGCTCCTCTGTTTGCTGTTGTTTTGAGCTGTGTTTTTTGTAAGTTTTTTTTCGAATCGCTGTGTTTGCATTTCAGCACGTGGTTGGTACATGTTTATTGAAACGTCCTTACCAAGGAGTCCCAATGACACAGCGCAGCTGATATCACCATCGACGTCAAAACCGAAATCCTGTCTTCACTTTTACTATCATATGTACGGTCCCCATGTCGGAAAATTGCAGGTATTTTCCAAATTTTCTCGAGAAATTTGTGTTTTCAGCTAGTTCGAAATGATAAAGGGGTTAATTGGGTACTTGAGATTAGTCGGCTAATATGTTAATAACTAGAAATCAGATACTGTGATAGTTAAAGATAATGTGTAATTTTTTTTGGTTATATTATGAATTGATTCCTGCATTTTCCGGGCCAAGGATCGAATTGATTGAATAGGTACTGGATTAACAATTTTTGGATTGCTCTTTAGTCTGAGCGAGTGTCCCTTGTATCATTGTAGGTGTACGTGATGTCTGGGGGTAAGATGGGATTACCTGTGTGGAGTCATTATGGAACCCATGGCAACACCTGGTATCAAGGACAGGTCGCTGTAAACAATCAAAATTCCCCATATCAGGTAATTGTTCGTAGGCGAGTAGTCTAGTTTAGTCTGATACTGAACGATATTTATATATATGTATATAACTGGTGTGTTGAGTCGAGTCAACTGATTAGATTAAATGTGATAATCGCCTGTAATCTTTTCTTTACACAACCAGTGGCGTAGCCAGCCTGACGATTTTGTCCCGCTAAGTAAATTTCCAGTTATCATAATTGTTCATGTCTTTAGAAACTTATTGCTTTCACAGTCAATGAACACTAAAAAATTGGCATAGCATGAGAAATCGTTTGGCATAGCTACGCTACTGTAGACAATTATGAGTAAAGTTGTAGACTTTACAAATGTAATGTTAGTCTAGGCTTTCCACTTGTCACGTCGTTATCGTCGCCATTATGTCAATTCTTTTTATTGCAGTATGTGATTGAAGGTGTTCGTGGTAATGGTTACCAGGGGGACATCGCCGTAGATGATATTTATCTAATGGATTCATGCACCGCAAGAGGTCAGGAATTTCATAACCTAAGACCAATTAAATATGCTAAGTTGTATTAAATGTGCTCAATCTTCTCATGGGGTTAACGGAGCTCAAAGAAAAAGGCTTCATGATTGGCCAACCAATGTTGCTAAATGTCCAGGATTTTCTAATGAAAAAGGTTTTCTGTTAGGAAATAATTAGCCCTAGCAAGTCATCTAGGTCGAGATGAGCGTATTCTTAGACAGAAAACCGACTTCAGTTGTGGTAGTCAACACTCAACAGATCGACCAGTTGCCACAATGCCTGCAATTGGTTTACAACTTTTCTTTTTCTCTCTCTATTGTAGATTACTGTTCATTTGAAGAACAGTATCCACCTTACTGTGGCTATAAACGCAGTACTGGAAGATTCAAATGGTTGCTCGGGAGTGGAAGCACGTTGTCCTCCAATACAGGACCATCCAATGATCACACGCTTGGAGACTCACGAGGTAAGCTCGTTTTTACAGGAAAAGGCAAGAAAGTCTACCTGACGAGATATGTCACTCACCTCGCTGTCTTCTGCTCATCGTTATCATTAACTATCCATCTACCTCCTCGTCTGTCCAACCATCATTATTATTAACTGTCAATCTTCCTCCTCGTCTGTCTATCCATGATTATCATTAACTATCCATCTACCTCCTCGTCTGTCCAACCATCATTATCATTAACTACCTATCTTCCTCCTCGTCTGTCTAACCATCATTATCATTAACTATCAATCTTCCTCCTCGTCTGTCTATCCATCATTATCACCAACTGCCTATCTATCTCCCCGTATCGGTCTGTCTATCCATCAACTATCTACCTGCCTCCTGTGTTTCCTCGTCCTAGTCGTCTACCTATCCATCATTACCATCAACTATCCATCGAAATAAACACAATTTCCTTTTATTTAGGGCGATATTTGTATATTGAAACAAGCGCTTTCATACCTGGAGCGAAAGCCACGTTTACAAGCCCGTCATTTTCTGGAAGTCCAACGGGAAGTTGCATCTTGTTTTGGTACCACATGCATGGTTCTGATATAGGTAATTAACGAGCCAATTAGCACACTAATGAATGAACTCTGCAATTAATTGCAACTGTGTCTAAAATGTTTCTTATCCCTCCTCAATCTATTCGTTTAGGTACATTGAACATTCGCGTTAACGAAGTTGGTGGACCTCTCAAAGCGACGTGGACTAAATCTGGTAACCAAGGCAACAAATGGTTCCTTGGACAGTTATCAGCAAATGTCAATAACCAGTTCACGGTGAGTAAATAATTACGCTGATCTTTGCGGCCAATAATACTGCGACCGTTATGTTTTATGAGGGTTTTATAGCAGCACTGGGCTGAATTTGCTGCCTTGTGAGCCAGGTTTAAACTCTGCGCGGGCTGAAAAGGCTCCATGTAACGGCGCCTTATCACAAAAGCTACGATATGTGACTCAGATGAATGTTGGACGTCGATTTTTAGGTGACATTTGAGGGAGTGCGCGGACGAAGTTTCCGAGGGGATATTGCTATTGATGATATCAAGATTCTGAAGCAAGGATGTCCACAGAAAGGCGAGTATTTGGCATGTGTTATTTATTTGAAATCAAGAGCCTTCAGCTCCTCGGTATTTTGTCGTCTCATGATTGCCACTTTATGCTCAGGTTACTGCGATTTTGAATATCCCAAGTATTGTTTCTGGAGGAATGACGTCACCGAGGACAACATGGATTGGTTGATCGGCAAGGGCTCAACTCCATCCAGATATACTGGACCATCCAGAGATCATACTACTGGAGGAACCTTTGGTAAGATTCACACCAGCCATGTTCAACCAGGGAAACTTTAATGTGTGTTTACATGAAGAGAACCTAGTGACACACCTTAGAACAGGCAAAGATGTCTTTTAACTTAGGTCATGACCTCCCTGTTTTACCTTTTTCATTCAAATCTTCATTTTGGGATGTTTGAAATGAAATTTGGACGTGTGATTTGCGTTGTAACGGACATTTTATGACTACAGTGTTTATAGTGCTTTTGTTTTGCATATGGTTTATATATTTGAACGAATGAATTAAAATCATCTAGATTATTCGAAGAATTTGAATTTATATTCTCTAACTTTAGGACAGTACATGTTTGTGGAAGCAAGTTGGAGAACCGTCAAACACAAGGCTCGTCTTGTCACAGGCCGTTTTCCAGCGACAACCGGCAAGGGTTACTGTATCAAATTCTGGTATAACATGTACGGTGTTAACATCGGCACTTTGAACGTAATTGTTAAAAACAGAGCCGGAAATCTATCAGAAAGCATTGTATGGAGTCTGTCTGGAAATCAGAAATGGGGTTGGAAACAAGGTCAAGCTCCAGTCGTTAGTAGCAGAGACAGTTATCAGGTGGGTGATTGTGTGAATAGTTAGAAAATTCAATGTCACTTGCCTTTGATGAAACACCTCAAGCACTGTCGCTAACCCATGTTAACCATGAGCAATTTTGTTATCTCAGGTTGTATTCGAGGCAAAATTAGCTGGAGGTACTCGGGGAGATATTGCCATAGACGACATCAGCTATATTTCTGGAACATGCGCTGTCGCGCCAATAGCAGCTATACCAGTGAACCCCATCTCTCCAACCCTCTCCACCAACCCTACCTCGCCAGGTGAGTATGGATATCTCCACCTTTCGAAACGGATAACATAAATGTACCCTTCCTATACCTCGATTATCCATGACACAGGAGCTGTTCATATATGGTGTACCGGGGGGGGGGTAATTTGCCGGGGGGTAATTTGCCGGGGGGAGGGGGTAATTTAACCAACTAGTCAGACAACAGTATGCATGAAACAAATGAAATGGTGAGAGTAGGTCGCGAGAGAAACTAGTCAGCCAATATTTAATAACAGTTCCTAACTCTGCATGGTGTGTCGAAACGGTTGTTCCTGAATGTGTTGGGTTAATTTGTTACATTCATTTACTTAAACCTACTAAAGTCAATGCAAGACTGGAGTTTTAAAACGCTAGATCATTTGGAGTTGTATACTAATTTATTTTAGGCCATCCATTGTAACTAAACAATGCGTCGATATTATAAATTTTTGCAATGTTTCTTTTTAGGACTTGGAAAATTCGATTGTACCTTTGAGAATGGAAATCTCTGCTCTTGGAAAAATATGGTTGGAGCAGTTTTCAACTGGACTCTCCAAAAGGGAAAGACAGCTTCTCCCAATACTGGCCCAGCTGAGGATCACACGCTGAAAACCAGTATGCTATCTATGTTTATATACTTCATGGTCATTAATTATCATGGCTGTAGAATTTGTATACAGTTTTACACTCCGCGCGTTTTTGCACTTTCCCCTGGCTAGATTAACAGGGTAACCAGGGTCAAAGGCCAGCCTGGCTAATGAAGTATATTTCATATATTTCTTCAGACAACGGAACCTATGTTTATGCAGAAGCCTCAAGTCCTCGTAAGCCCGGGGACAAAGCAATCCTTGTGAGCGCGCAGATACCAGCTAACAGCCGCCCCGGAAACTGTATTAGCTTCTGGTACCATATGTTTGGTGCCAATGTCGGTACTCTTAATCTCTACATCCAAAAGGGAAGTGGTGCACTACCAAAAGCAACCTGGACAAGGACCGGTACTCAAGGTTACGAGTGGAGAAAGGCCATGGTATTTTTCTCGTCTGCGGTGCGATATAAGGTGAATAACTTAGCTATGTATATATGCTAACTAGCTATGCTTAGTAGATATACTCTAATATAAGTGGGGAAGAGCAGAGTTGGAAGATGAAATTAGTTTTGTTTTGTTTTTAGTTTCCCCAGTAGTAACACTGGACTCTTGGCAGATAAACCCAAATAAATATTTAGAGTTTAGACTTTAGAGAATATTGTTTTTCACTTTCGAAATGAAATATATTTTGTTAGATTTTGTTTGAAGCTGTTCGCGGCAATGCCTTCGCTGGGGATATTGCCTTGGACGATCTGCAAGTGAAGAGCGGTTTTTGTCCACCACCTGACGCCTGTTCCTTTGAACAAAATAACCTGTGTGGTTGGACGAATGAACCAACGAAGGACGATTTTGATTGGAGACGAGCAACTGGTGGAACTGCGTCAGTGAATACTGGACCATCTAATGATCATACGTTTGGTACTTCAGTAGGTCAGTATGAAATTGTGTAGTGTTTTTGGTGATGGTAGTGATGATGGTGTTGGTAGGGCTGATATCAATCATGATGGTGGTGTGGTTGGATGAAGGTTATGATGGTGAAGGATCGATTGTAATGATGGTGGATGGGATGGATTGTGATGATGGTGGATGGGATGGATTGTAATGATGGTGGATGGGATGGATTGTAATGATGGTGGATGGGATGGATTGTAATGATGGTGGATGGGATGGATTGTAATGATGGTGGATGGGATGGATTGTGATGATGGTGGATGGGATGGATTGTAATGATGGTGGATGGGATGGATTGTAATGATGGTGGATGGGATGGATTGTAATGATGGTGGATGGGATGGATTGTAATGATGGTGGATGGGATGGATTGTAATGATGGTGGATGGGATGGATTGTAATGATGATGGTAGTGTGGTTTATGGTAATGTGATGGTTGTTAGTTAATGTGGTAATAATTATCGTGTGGTTTATGGTATTGTGACGGTAGTGATGATGGTAGGATTGGTGGTAATGATGATAGAATGGCTGATGGCGATGAAGATGTCAATGGTAATAGTAATAATGGTGAGGATGGTGTGATAGTAATAATTGTCGTTAAGGAATGGGGAAATGCAGTAGGCTTTCCACTCTCACAGGTTGATGATTTCTTACAATATCTCTCCGTTGTAGGATATTACATGTATATTGAGGCGACGGGGCGAAGTAAAGGAGACAAGGCACAACTTTTGAGTCCGCGTTATCCGAAAACAACTGGCAGATGTTTACAATTTTGGTACCACATGTATGGATCGGATATGGGAACATTAACTGTTTACAAGAAGGTATATGGTGCACGACGATTTGTTAATCTCCAGCTTGCGGTAAATGAGTTGAAAATTCTGGGAAGATGTAGTCAAAAGTGTCCCGTCTTTTGCAACTATTTAACGTTACATCATGCTTTCAACTTTGCCACACAATTCTTGCGAAAGCTTTATCAGGTGTATCACATGTTTTTAAAGCAAATTGCCCTTTCCAGGTTCTCAAAGCAGGGGCGCCATATAACATTCGTGTCTGGTGGCGAAGTGGAGATAAGAGCAACCTCTGGCGTATTGGTCGTGTTTCAATGTGGTCGTCATCGTACGACTATCAAGCTGTGTTTGAAGGCGTCGTTGGAAAGAGTTTCCGAGGTGATATTGCTATAGACGACGTCAAGTTTTTGGATGGAAAATGTCCACCTCCGGGTAAGATTTTTTTAGATTTCTGGACCATTAAGAAGAACTGTAAAGTTTGTTTCAGTATAAAACTGATGGAGCTATCCTGTAAAAATAAATTTAGTTTCGGTTTTTTCTTGTAGTAACACCGGATCAATAAGAGATGATCCTTACTGAACCTCTAGGAAGAACAGTTTAGAACTGATAGAGCTTTCCAGTATAAATAAAGTTAGTTTAGTTTAGGTTTCCTCCTGTAGTAAGTAGTAACACTGGATCAATAAGAGATAATCCTTACTGGACCTCTAGGAAGAACGGTTTAGAACTGATCGCGCTATCCAGTATAAATGAAGTTAGTTCAGGTTAGGTTTTTTTCACGTAGTAACACTGGATAATCAAAAGATTCTCGCTAGATCTCAAGCTGAGCTTCCCTCTGTGGTAACACTTGAATGTAAGAATTCCCGTTTTAGGCGATTGTACTTTTGAAAGAGGAACGTGTACTTGGACAAACGCTCTCTCAGGCGATACGTTTGATTGGCGTCGCAACAAAGGTGGCACATCAAGTGGAAATACCGGACCACGAGTTGATCACACAAGACAAGACAAGTCAGGTACAATCGATATAATCGATGCTATCTGTTTATTTGATAGATATATGTCATTCGTGAAGCAACCAATAAATACTATCAATGTAATAATTTCAAACACCATCAATATCTTCAAAAGAAATTATTTTATCATTACGAATGAGACAATTTAGTTCATGATATAAAATATATCAACTCGCTGCTCAGTGTTTCACAAACAATAACATCTTGACCGGGTTTAGGAAAGTGCCCTTCAAAAAGAACTATAAAGTCATTTTTAACAACAGACGACTCAATACAGCATAGCATGTCAATATTTTGCTACTATTTCTGTATTTTAGGATACTACATGTATGTCGAAGCTTCACTACCGCGAAAAAAAGGTGATTATGCAAGACTCGAATCGGAAGAATTTTTCCGTACCTCATCATCCGGGCGATGTATCAAGTTTTGGTATAACATGTACGGTTCAAATATTGGGTCACTGAAAGTATACTATGTAGCGAATGGAACAAGGCGTGTGATATGGGGCTTATCTGGGCAACAGTCAAAATCTCAGGATACCTGGAATTTCGGACAAGCACCTATACGAAGCAGTAAAGTTTATCAGGTATATTTAAAGTTATACAGTACCCGAGTATATTGAAATATAATGATCGAATGTGCTGTTTTAATCTATTTTAGATCGTGTTCGAAGGTACCATCGGCACAAACCACTTAGGAGACATTGCTATCGACGATATTCAATTCTCAAACGGTGCATGCTCAATATTACCTACGACTGTGACCGTCACACCTCCAGCACCGCTGTCCACTACTCCTACGATTGCTGGCTCAACTCCAGGTAGGAATTGCATGAAAATGAGTTAACGACGCATGCGTCAAGGTATTTACAGTTTTCCCACTTTTTTTTTGCGTCCAACCAGAGACAATTTGACTCTTTAACCTCGGTATACACTGTAATATGATTGATAGATGTAATTACTTCATCGAGAGAGAGAGAGAAAGAGATCTATGACTTCATTGTGGTAAAAGGTGTATTATATAAAGGGGACTATAGTTTGTGTGGAAATACTGACAATTTATATATTATTGATAATGATTATGGTCATTTTCAGCCCCCTCAAAGTACGACTGTAATTTCGACAGCAGTATATGTCTTTGGAAGTTTGATAAATTCGCTGACTTCCAATGGAAACGGCAGAACCATGGGACACCTAGTAGTTTCACCGGACCGGCTCATGATCACACTACAAGTGATGGTAAGTGTGGATTCAAGGGGATGTTAACGTGATACATAATCAATCCCCTACGTAACTCAGAGATGTGAATTATTTTGATCGACGAGACTCGTTCACGTGATCCAATTTTGCTGGATCCAATTTACTCCTTCTGACGTACGTTCATGAAAGATATCTCGTCTCTGAAATAGTGATTTTATGTTGACATCGTCATCAGTAGGATGATACAAAAGACTTGCAGGCGGTTCTTTAATGCATAGATAGCGCACACCTGATACTTCATTTTGGTCCACAGGAAGCGGATCCTACTTGTTCCTTGAAGCAACAGGCAAGAGACCCAACCAAACAGCAAGGATGATTGGTCCACAGATCCCGGCGACCAAACAGAAATGTTTTCAATTCTGGTACCACATGTACGGCTTGGACGTCGGCGCTTTGAACGTTTACGTGAACTCATCAACGACGTCGAGCCTTGGTAGACCCCTGTGGACGCGATCTGGGGACAAATCCGACATCTGGCGTCATGGCGTCTTATCCATAACAAGTCAGAATCCGTTCCAGGTTAGTTTGAGTCTAGTGTTGTGTATGGGCAGCAAGAATAAGGGCATGAATCTCGTCTATATTCTAAATATTTTTTGCCAACTTGGTTCAAGTATAGCGAGGGACGTTGGCTTGTATTTCTGCATGGATTTCTGCTGGGGTTTGAAGTGATTTTTTACTTTTCCAACTATCAACTCGTACTCATCCATCAAAACAATTTAGCGTGTCTAAAATCACGGCAAAATTACAGATGTAATCTGCTTTTATAAGCTAGCAGTCCGTCGCTTTAGACATGAACATATCCACCTATTGTTGCTACTTGCTGTGCCAGGGAGGATATGTCTATTCCTTATTTCTGTCAAAGTTTAACCTACGTGGGGAATTAGGTAAACTTTGATTCGACTGAAGGTGTTGATATCATCTTTCTCTACTTTAGGTTGTAATCGAAGGTATACGGGGCAAGAGTTATAAGGGAGATATCGCAATAGATGACGTCAGCTTCCAAGATGGAAAATGTCCTGCTATGTCTGTTTGTACATTCGATGACCCCAGTTTGTGTGGATGGTCCAACGTCAGATCTGGAGATAACTTTGATTGGACGAGATCAAATGGTGGTACTGGTAGCTCGGGGACTGGGCCTAGCAATGATCATACTTACGGCACCAATCAAGGTAGGTGTAATCCTCCCTCGGAATAAAGTTCTCATCTATCTGTACAGAGTCGGTGTGAAAATTAGCAAAGAAGTAAAAAATCCTACTTAAAATATCGTTGTATAGGTTATTACATGTATATCGAAGCTTCATCGCCTCGCACCAAAGGTCACAAGGCGTGGTTGGAAAGTCCCCTAATGAAGCCGACCAGTGGAAAGTGTCTGCGGTTCTGGTACCATATGCTTGGTAGCAATATTGGTAAACTGAATGTGCTGGTCAAAGTTGGTAGCAATCGTGGTAATCCTGTGTGGACCATGACGGGGAATTTGGGCAATGAGTGGAGGGTCGGCGAGGTCACTGTGAAAAGTACATCCCAGTTTAAGGTATGGCGATTTTAGCTGGTCATTGAAATTAGCCATCAACACTAGACATTGACTCATTTCACTGTCTTTCTCACTATCACAAACAACGTCAATAATGACACCACGATCTCAAAACCCCAACAAACTATGCTCATCTTCCAACTAACCATACATATCCCCTGTATCAACCGTACATGTCCCCTTGTATCAACCATACATGTCCCCTTGTATCAACCATACATATCCCCAGTATTATCGCTTTCATTAATACCACCCATTATAGAATGGTAAATGCCATTCTTCGTTAAAAACCATTACCTTATTTCCCTCTTTAACATACTTATTTGTGCTCTTGAAAACCTTTTAGATAATGTTTGAAGGTAGCGTTGGTTCGAGCTTTACTGGTGACATCGCCATTGACGATGTACAGATATCTAACGGCGCATGCGCGGATCCAGGTGATTGCGACTTTGAAAAGGGGCAATGCACGTGGGTGAACGCTAAAAGCGACCTCTACAATGACAACTTTGATTGGGCAATAGCAACTTCAACAGCTTCCATCGGAACTGGCCCATCATCAGATCATTCAACCGGTTCAAGTAAGGGACACTTCATGTACATCGAGAGCTCGTGGCCGCGACAGTGGGGCGAGAAGGCACGACTTGAATCCGAAGTTCTACCGCCGACCACCGGACAGTGTATGCAGTTTTGGTACAATATGAATGGTGCTCATATCAATAAACTTTCAGTCTTGTTGAATGTCGTTGAACAATCTGAAACAAGAGTCTGGTCGTTTGGTGAGAACAAGGGTGATAAGTGGTTGCAAGGTCAAATACCAATCAAGAGCGCTAAACCATTCATAGTAAGTTCAAATAAATTCACACAGTGCCCTCGTTTTAATTCGCAAGAACATGCAGGTGCGAGAGACCGTTTCCCAGTCGCCTGCGAGATGTGACCGCGCGCAGAGAGAGAGAGATCACATCCGACATATCTTAAAATTAAACTTCAATTCTATCTTGAATAACTTGTGCAAAACAAGTTTTTTCACGCGCACGCAAACTGCCAACTGAATGGTGCTATCGAAACTAAACCAAAACTGTTTCTCTGTTTTTTTAGATCGTGTTTGAAGGTACAAGTGGCTACAGTTACAAAGGAGATATTGCTATTGATGATATTACATTCGCTTCATCTCGTGTACCCTGTGGAATAAAACCCCCAGAAGCTCAGCCGTTTGGCTGCAACTTTGAATTTGGCAATTGTGGATGGACATTTGGATTTTCATTCAGTTCGTACAAATGGAAAAGACAATCTGGTAATCAGGCTACAACGACGTCGATTGGCGTCAAAGTGGATCATACAATCGGCAAAGGTAATTATTGGATAATTCATCGGGTTTTAACTGTTCTGATTTGTTCTGCCCTATTCTATCATTTCTTGATCTGTTCTGTTCCATTCTATCCTGCTCATTTCCATTCTGTTCCATTCCATCATCTCTTGATCTGTTCTGTCCTATTCTATCCTGCTCAATTCCGTTATGTTCCATTTCATCTTTTCATGATCTGTATCGTTGCATTCTATTGGGCTAATTCTCTATAGAACACTGTTCTGCCTGATTGAAGTCAGAGTGGTGAATTTTTATTTTGTTTTGCGGTAAAACAATAACTGCTGTAGTTACTTCAAAACTGAGATTCTTTGCTTACCTTTTCCAGCCAACGGCTCCTATGTATTCGTCAACACTCGTGGCTTCCCATCCAGTAGAGCCATATTACGGAGCCCTTTTATACCGTCGAATGGCACCAAAGTATTGAAATGTCTGGAGTTTGCATATCACATGCATGGTGCTTCTGTCAACTATCTTGACGTGTATATGACTAGTGTGGGGAAAAGAAGGAGTGTTTGGAGTCGCAAAGGGACACAAGGAGATCGTTGGAGACTTGCAGAGGTTCAGCTAGAGCTTACCCAAAGGACTAGGGTAAGTACATTTTACTGTTCGTCTTCGTTTACAAGTTATGTGTCAGTGTATTAATCGTTTTAAACCCTAGCATAATGTTACGATTCCTCCCGCATCCCAAATATATTGTTTCGTTTAACGCTTATGCTCTGTTGATCAGCTGATTGTCATTGTCGTGGCTTTAGCAAGTTTTGTGTGTTTGAGCATGCGTGACAAATTCTTATGCGAAGTCTTACCTAGTTGTAATTTTAGCAACAACTTGTGTTACAATAGATTATCATCGAGGCAAGGAATGGCTCGCAATATGATGGAGATATTGCAATCGATGACATAGATTTGAAAGATGGCAGCTGTCCTACTGCTGGTAGGTTGCTATATGAAACATTATGACAATCGTTATCGAACATTAAAATCATCGTTATCGTGATCATGGTCGTTTTTGTGATCATTGTTATCACGATGATAATCGTAACGAACAATATCATCACTGTTATCGATCATTAGTATTATCGTTATCGAACATTGTCATCATGTTGTGATCATCATCTTCGTCACCATTATTATCTATTCATCATCCATTTATCGTGAGTGTGTTGTAGATATCATTTTTGACTCATGAACATAGCCACCATTTAATAACATTTGTCCTGCTGTCGCGTTGTGTAGCATCCTGTGGTTTTGAAGCACCAGGGTTGTGTGGATATACCGTCACTCCCTCGGACGATGGCTTGAAATGGATGCGAACAAGAGATGGAACGCCAAGTGTGTTTACTGGACCAAAATATGATCACACTTATGGAACGTCACTTGGTATGTTATGCAGTTCTATGAGGAACAGTTTCCTGACAAAGATATCCAGTATATATATAAAGCTAGTTTAGTTTAGGTTTCCTCCGGAAGTAACACTTGATCAATAAGAGATGATCCTTACTGGACCTCCAAGAAGAACAGTTTAGAACTGATAGAGCTATCCAGTATAAAAAAAGTTAGTTTAGTTTAGGTTTCCTCCTGTAGTAACACTGGATCAATAAGAGATGATCCTTACTGGACCTCTATGAAGAACAGTTTAGAACTGATAAAGCTATCCAGTATAAATAAAGTTAGTTTAATTCAGGCTTCTTGCTGTAGCAACACTGGATTAATAACACGAGATGATCTTTACTAGAGCCCTATAAACAAAGTTTGTTTAGTTTAGAAATGATACAACTATTCGTGATGAGTGAAGATGAAGTTGGCCCAGTTACCTTGTGTTCTTGTGAATGAATTATATCCTTATCGTATCCTATGTGTATCTTAGGTCATTTCATGTATATGGAAGCAACTGGGGCTGCAGCAGGGAAGAAAACAAAGCTCGAGTCAAAATACTACTGGCGGCAATCATTCTCTCAATGTTTAACATTTTGGTACCACATGTATGGTCCTCATATTGGAACTCTCAATGTTTACACCACCAGCTTCTTCTTTCCAAAGCAAGTTTGGACCAAGACAGGATCCCAGGGCAACCTCTGGCGTAAGGCACAAGTACGTATAACAAACAAGCCAGGCAGCCATGTTAAACGAATGCTGATACCTGATAAAAACTATCGAGTGTCGATTCTAGGCGGATATTTCTTTCTTAAAAGCAGCAAAAAAGCTTTAAGATGATATTAGTGAACTGGGACAAGCAATGTTGGTTTAGTTTAACGTAATGAGTACCGCATTTTTAAAACATCTGTTTCCTTAATATTATTTTATGCTTCTCTTCGGGAACCGAATCTCAATAGGTAGGCATGATACGTAAAATGTAAATTCCTGTCTATTTGAACAACAAAAACGTGAAATCGTTTTTTTCTCTACCAGGTTCCCTTGCAACTTAGTTTCTTCAGGGGGACAAGTGTGACTTTTGAAGGTGTTCGAGGTAACGGTGCGTTTGGCGATATAGCACTGGACGATGTGAGCTTGGAGGATGGTCCTTGCCCCCGGCCGGGTGATTGTACCTTCGAAAAAGGCCGCTGTACATGGTTGGAGGTTCGGGATGGAACAGACACCTTTGATTGGCAGCTTGGAAGTGGTTCAACCCAAAGCTTTAGTACTGGCCCAAGTAATGACCACACCCTCGGTAATGCACAAGGTAAGTGATTTACTGTTGGGCTAGTTTTTTCAAAGCCGAATTGGTCGTATGAAGCTCGTAAAAGCATATAGAGAGAGTTTATGGTAAAGTTTTTGGGTTATTTTAAAGGTCAGTATTTGTTCATTGAATCCTCGTCCCCTCGTCGTCCTGGTGACACTGCTCGAATTCAGAGCGAACAGTTCACCAAGACACCAGCTAATGGTCGTTGTATGAAGTTTTGGTACCACATGATGGGACCAGATATCGGAAATCTTACCGTTTATATGAATGCGACCGGGTCGACGAAGTTGCAGCCTTTATGGAGGCTCTCTGGAAATCAGGGAAATCAATGGTTGAATGGAAAATTGCCATTAAGATCTACGCAGACATTTACGGTATGAAATATGAGCGATTTTACTATACACTGGATAGGAGGAAACCTAAACTAAGCTCACTTTATTTCTACTGAATAGCTCTATCAGATCTAAACTGTTCTTCCTAGAGGTCCAGTAAGGATCATCTCTTATTGATCTAGTGTTACTACAGGAGGAAACCTAAACTAAACTAACTTTATTTATACTGGATAGCTCTATCAGTTCTAAACTGTTCTTCCTAGAGCTCAAGTAAGGACCATCTCTTATTGATCCAGTCTTACTACAGGGGAGAACCTAAACAAACATTTTTATTTGTGGTAAAATCAGCTATAATATTTCTACTTTTTAGATGGTATTCGAAGCAGTTCGTGGCAGTAGTTTCAGAGGAGATATTTCTTTAGATGACATTTCATTCACAGACGATGCTTCATCGTGTCCTGTCTTCCCGCAAGGTGCTGGAAATGTTAACCCAATAACTCTTCCACCGACAAAAGCGACAACCCACGGTCCTACGTCAGGTAACAGTGGAAACAACTGTAACTTTGAGGATAAAACGAAGAAGCTGTGCAAGTTCACGCAAGACCGAAGCGATCACTTCAACTGGACTGTACACCAAGGACATACATTATCCGTTCGTACAGGGCCGAAGTTTGATCATACTTTAGGAACTCGTAAGTACATTCGGTGCATTAGAAAAATGTTGTTTTCGCAAAGTATCATGATTCACAGTGCACTGCTAACCACACGGGGCCACTCTCATCTTGGCATATTTCATTGTTGTGTAGAACTGGGCCATTATGCATACATCGAAACATCAAGTCCACGGAAGCCCAATGACACAGCAAATCTGATCAGTCCAACACTTGACCAGACGCAAGGCATTGGTTGTCTCATATTTTGGTACCACATGTATGGACCTGATATCAACTCGCTTACAATTCTTCAACGGGTTAGTGACGTTTGTAGAAATGTGCACTTCATTTTAGCCTTACACCATTGATATAATTTTTCCAACATTCCGCCTACGATTATAGCGTCTTAACCAAATAGATGCATCACAGGAAAATAGTTAGATTAGTCAAACTTTATTTATACTGGATACTTCTATCAGTTCTAAACTGTTCTTCCTAGAGGTGCAGTAAGGATCATCTCTTATTGATCCAGTGTTACTACAGGACGAAACCTAAACTAAACTAACTTTATTTATACTGGATAGCTCTATCAGTTCTAAACTGTTCTTCCTAGAGGTCCAGTAAGGATCATCTCTTATTGATCCAGTGTTACTACAGGAGGAAACCTAAACTAAACTAAGTTTATTTATACTGGATAGCTCTATCAGTTCTAAACTGTTCTTCCTAGAGGTGCAGTAAGGATCATCTCTTATTGATCCAGTGCTACTACAGGAGGAAACCTAAACTAAACTAAGTTTATTTATACTGGATAGCTCTATCAGTTCTAAACTGTTCTTCCTAGAGGTGCAGTAAGGATCATCTCTTATTGATCCAGTGTTACTACAGGAGGAAACCTAAACTAAACTAACTAATGCGATTAGTTGCAAACTGTCTTTGTTATTTGTCTTCTTCTTTTTTCCTTTAGTCTGGATCAAAATCAACTGCTCTTTGGCAAAGAGTTGGTAGTCAAGGCAACGTCTGGCGTCAAGCGATCGTTTCTCTACCGCAAGATTCCAATAAGTATAAGGTGAGTTCTGGTTTTCTTTTAGATCTGAAATATTTTATGCGCATGCGGGTGAAAGCTAACGTGTCTTCCCCCCTGAATTTTAGATCGTATTCTCTGGAAAGCGCGGAAAGTCATACAGTGGCGATATATCGATAGATGATGTGCAATTCCAGAAAACGAGTTGTCCACCACAAAGTACGATTTGGGATACATTTGGTTTAGTTCCACAAATATAACATACATCGTAGAGTTCATGGTTGGGTTTAGTACGCGTGCGTTCCAGAACGCAATGTATAAAACCAGAAACGAGGTGCCAGAGCTACCTGGGCTTACCTGGGCTTAACTGGGCTTACCTGGGCTTACCTGGGCTTACCTGGGCTTACCTGGGCTTACCTGGGCTTACCTGGGCTTACCTGGGCTTACCTGGGGTTACCTGGGCTTAACTGGGCTTAACTGGGCTTAACTGGGCTTCTATGATACAGGATGACCTTTGCTAGTTCTCCATCTCGCCATTACAGTCATTCATGATCTTTTTATTTTAGCTGAATGTACGTTTGAAGATTTCAATGTTGGCGGAGGAAATCCAACGTGTGGATGGAGGAACCAGATAGATACATATCAATGGAACCGTAAGAACAAGGGAACGCCCAGTCTTACTACAGGTCCTTCGTTCGATCATACGTATGGAACAGACCAAGGTAAGGATTCCTCAGTCATGGTTTTGAACCTAAACCAATCTGACATCTTCCCTGAAATCTGATGACAGAAATTGGTTATCTTCCCTAGTTTATTTTTAACACACTGGTTCCCTTCTGTAGGTTATTATATGTTCATCGAAGCCACCGGTTCCACACTGAACGAAAAGGCCGAGTTAAAGAGTCCCAACTACCCCGCGGCTACCACAGGTCATTGCTTTACCCTGTGGTACCACATGTACGGCGTTGATGTTGGGTCACTCAACGTGTTCCAGGACATCGGTGGTAAGAGGTACTTCCTGTGGGGAATGCAAGGCAATAGAGGAAACGTTTGGAAGAAAACGCAAATCACCATAAAAAATAACAACGGATACGCGGTTCGTATTTCAAATTTATACATTCTGTACGTTTAAAAACAGATTTAGATAGTTGTTTACTTGTGGTTTGTGGGCAAACTACTTGAATAAGATATCTCAAACGTGGTGGTCCAATGTAGGTAATGTTTTACGATAAGCTATCATGGTTTGTGTCTGAATTACCTGAGAAAGATATCTCAAACGTGGTGGTCCAGTGTAGGTAGTATTCTACAATAAGCTGTTGTGGTTTGCATCTGAACTACCTGAAAAAAATATCTCAAATGTGGTGGTCCAGTGTAGGTAGCATTCTACAGTAAGCCGTCCTAAGGCTGTTGTGTGACAAACTATTAAGAAAGGGCTAAGTGAAGTTGTGATATATAGATTACCGTTGCCCTTTAGATCGTAATTCAAGGAAAACGAGGCAAGGGATTCCGAGGCGACATCGCTATTGATGATGTCTTACTCCGAAAAGATGGACCTTGCGATGTTCCAGGTAAAAATAGTGGTTCTTGTAGAAATTTGGCGGATAGAGTGGCCATCTTTTAATCAAGGCCAAACCTTACTGTATCCATAATTGAATGGGGTATTTTTCTCACTCAAATATCACAGTTGTTCTGTACGTATAGAAATATCGCGAGTAATGTTATAAACCATTTAAACACGATAAAGCCTTAAAATACTGGGGGAGCACTATGCATTTAATTGAACAATTATAACATTCTCCATTTTGTTTGAAAGGCGCGTGTAACTTTGAGAAAGGCACCTGCAGTTATTACAACACTAGACAAGAGGATGACTTTGATTGGATCAGAAACCAAGGTGGAACGTCCAGTTACCAAACAGGGCCGTCTATAGATCATACTTTGGGAACTAAATATGGTAAGGACAATACATGATTGCATGACTCTATTCACGTTGAACATATTTTGTAAACACAAGGCGAACTTCAAGTATAAATTATGCAATGCACAATGGTTTCAAGTATGGAATGCTTCCTCCAGAAACTGTGACCTTTTTGAAATTATTCTAAACATTAGAACGTGTAAAAAACTGATCCTTGTAGAGAAATTTAGCGTCCTGGAGCAATTTTGAAGGGCCCCTGCCCGTTGAATTCCTTGCATCTTATACCTTTCATTCCCGTCACCTCATAAGTCTAGCCGGAGTTTTACTCGAAAACACTTTTTACAAACTGCTTTCTTTGTCGACCAGGGCATATTACAAGCAAATCTCGTGACTGTATTTCTAGGTAGTTATATGTACATCGAAACATCTTGGCCGAACGCAAAAGGCCACAAAGCTCGGTTAGTGAGTCAAGATCTACAAATTAGCAACACGCCTAAATGCCTTAAGTTTTGGGTTCACCTCTACGGCGCACACATTGGAAGGCTAAACGTCTTTGTAAAGACAGGACCTGGTAACAAGTCTGAGGAGTTGGTCTGGACATTAGGCGGGAACTTTGGTAATCAATGGTTTAGCGCCCAGACCCCAATCAAGAGCCCGAAAATATACCAGGTAATTTGGCCGATTACACAAGGTAGTTCACCTTACACACGCAGTTAAAAACGAAAGGGACTCGCCATAGCTGTACTGCGCAGTACGGACAAAATATATAATAATGTTCGTACAACTATTAACGAGTTTTGACAACAATGTTGACAATCATGTCGGGAACAAGTCAGATCTCAGTAAACAATATTTCACGGCGTGACCCTAGGATTTGTAAGAGGATTTCGTCCCACGAGTATGAAAAGTAAAATCATCGACGAGGCTTCGAATAATAAACTTGATTCTTGTGGTAAAGGAAATTCTCCTTCCAAAATTGGGTTTATTTTTACCAACCTAAAGTCCGAATGACGGAATGTTACGTAATTCGCCTTCCTTTCCTTTTTTCACACGCGACGTGATTATTTTCCATTCAGATCGTGTTTGAAGGAGTGACTGGATCTAGTTACCAAGGCGACATTGCAATTGATGACGTCACCATCTCCGACACCCTTTGTAATACGATCCCAAGCGCAGCCATCCCCCCCACGGTACCACCCACCCCTCCTATGCCTGTGAACTGCACCTTTGAGAAGAACTTCTGTAACTGGTTCAACAAGAAGACAGGCGATGATTTTGATTGGACGCGGCACCGTGGTGGCACATTATCTTCGAACACTGGCCCAAGTACTGACCACACAACTAATTCTGCCAATGGTAGGGAACTATCATTACGCTTACAGAAAAGTTCGACCCAAAAACATAGATATATTTCATGATTTGCATAAACAAATTTATACTTCAAAGCAGGCAATTCAATTTTTTAGGGTACTACATATACATCGAAACATCGTCACCTCGTCAGCCTGGTCATGTTGCCAGGATCGAAAGTGGCTCAATCACTCCGACCACAGGGACGTCTGGGAAATGTTTAGCGTTTTGGTTCCATATGTATGGACCCGATGTTGACACTTTGAGTCTCTACACTAATACCCAAGGAACACTGAAGAAGTAAGATTTTCTTTTTCTTCTTCCCCGTCTTGTGGGAAAGCAAGGAATTGGTACCAACACTTTATGGGGTGGATTTCTAAAGCTTGTCAAATATGTTTTCGAATACCTGGAAATCATTCTTGAACTAATCCTGTATCCTAATCCCATAATCTTATTTTTTGGGATCATCCAATGCCTTATTAATCTTATTCCTTGCGATTATCCATAAACTAACCATTTCATCTCATTCTAAAGGATTTGGAGTCGAACTGGTACTCATGGTAACTCATGGCGTCAGGCACGCATAACTCTCACTAGTACCCAAACCTTCTCCCTCGTATTTGAAGGCAAACGTGGTAGTTCCTACCAAGGAGATATAGCTTTGGATGACATTACGTTAGCGGATGGGAAATGTTCACCTGCCAAATTTTGTGACTTCGGTGATGATTTTTGCCACTTTACCAACAGCAAGGGCGATCAATTCGACTGGACTCGGACTAAGGGTAGCACGGGATCTCTTAATACTGGACCGTCAGTCGACCATACCACCGGCACAAAGAATGGTAAGTGTTCATGATTCAAGATATCTCAAACGTGGTGGTCCAGTGTAGGTAGTATTCTACAATAAGCTGTCGTGGTTTGTGTCTGAACTACCTGAGAAAGATATCTCAAACGTGGTGGTCTAGTGTAGGTAGTATTCTACAATAAGCTATCATGGTTTGTGTCTGAACTACCTGAGAAAGATATTTCAAACGTGGTGGTCCAGTGTAGGTAGTATTCTACAATAAGCTGTCGTGGTTTGTGTCTGAACTACCTGAGAAAGATATTTCAAACGTGGTGGTCTAGTGTAGGTAGTATTCTACAGTAAGTTGTCGTGGTTTGTGTCTGAACTACCTGAGAAAGATATTTCAAACGTGGTGGTCCAGTGTAGGTAGTATTCTACAATAAGCTGTCGTGGTTTGTGTCTGAACTACCTGAGAAAGATATCTCAAACGTGGTGGTCCAGTGTAGGTAGTATTCTACAATAAGCTGTCGTAGTTTTTGTCTGAACTACCTGAGAAAGATATCTCAAACGTGGTGGTCTAGTGTAGATAGTACTCTACGATAAGCTGTCGTAGTTTGTGTCTCAACCACCTGAACTTTTTATATATGTCAAAATTATTGCTTTTACTGCGTAGGTTATTATGTTTATATCGAGACAAGCTGGCCACGAAAAAAAGGTGAAAAGGCATGGCTAGTGAGTCGGACCTATCCTGCTGCGCCTGCAGGCAAATGCCTGAACTTCTATTATCACATGTATGGATCAGACATCAATCTACTTCATGTGATAGTCAAGCCAGATTCGGCTCCATTTGGCATCAGCGTCTGGAACAAGACTGGCAATCAAGGCGATGTTTGGAGACATGGTCAAGCGACAGTAAAATCCTCAAATCAATTCAAGGTTCGTAAATGGCTTTGGCTTTTCCAAGCATGACACTGTCTTGGAATCTTCACCAATTGCTTATTATCTTGTGTTTTCTTTTGAAGATCTACTTCGAAGGTGTTGTTGGAAAGAGTTACCGAGGTGACATCTCTTTAGATGATATTTGGCTCGACGAGAAGCCGTGTCCACCTGCTGGTAGTTGTACATTTGAGCTTGGTTTGTGTACCTGGCAGAATCAACAGAATGGTAACAACCAAACGATACAAGATGAATTTGACTGGACGCTCGGAAGTGGTAGTACTTGGAGCTATTCCACCGGTCCATCAAGTGATCACACAACAGGTTCTGCATTGGGTAGGTACTAGCGTTAAAACGAGTGTTTAGATGATTGTAAATTGATGGTTTAATAGGGCACACATTACGTTGGAAATGAAGAAATGACAGTCTAGGATCAGTATGACTGTATGAGGCTATAAGAGCAAAACACCGTAAAATTTGAGTGAAATACAGCAGCTCAGATGGGAACAACAATTTTAAACTGCACTGACCTTCTGGTAACTGTCTTATACGAGCTTAAGTCATAATGCAGGATACGAATTAGGAAAAAGATGGCCGTAGAGTCTCTGAGTCCAAGGTTGTTTCTTTCTGTTTAGGGAAATATATTTTCATTGAAACCTCGTCACCACGGAGGAATGGTGACAGAGCCATACTTGAAAGTGATATGATCGGGAGAACGGCTGCAAAGTGTTTCAGTTTCTGGTACCATATGTTTGGATCGAGCATTGGAGCACTTAATATTTATATCAGAGATACTTCGGGAAATAAGAGGTGTGTATTCGGCTACGGGTCAACAGAGAGGTATTAAGAATTGTGCTTCACAACTTGTTATCTTTTTGCAACATTTTTTGAGCGAAATCTTTAAAAATTGTCAATGAAATTTTCATTTGTGTTAAATTACATAGCATGATGTTAGATGCCTCGTAATTTGCAGTTGAATATTTACGTTCACTAGCCCTGAAAATTTAATTTCTTTATCCAGACTCGTGTGGACCCTCAAAGGTTCGCAGGGCAACGTTTGGAAACAAGGCGAGGTGACCTTGAGCAGCAAAAAACCATTCCGGGTGTTGATCGAGGGAGTTCGTGGCACTAGTTACACTGGTGACATCTCCCTGGATGATATGTTCTTCCAAGATGGCAACTGCGTCGGTGTATGTTCGTCTGTGGTGCCTACAGCTAGGGTTAACTGTGGCTACTTTGGAATAACAGCCGCAGAATGTATCACGAAGAGGGGTTGTTGCTATGACACAAGTATACCCTATGTTCCATATTGCTTCTTCCATCCAGCTACTTGTCAGTCAGTGAATGTGGCTACTCGTGTGGCTTGCGATCCGAAAACAACAATAACATCTCAATATCTTTGTAAACAGAAAGGTGAGTGATTTGCAATATCTACAATCCTGAAACATGCATACATAGCCATTGTGGCGTAGAGCGGTAGATGCGTAACACACTTGCATTGCTTGTAATTCAAAAGAAAGTTAAATTTTTAAAAAAGTAGCATCCAACGAGTCATCCAACAGGTCATCCAACGAGTCATCCAAGTCAGATTCAGCTTTTCAGAAAGTACTCTTCAGAAAGCCAACACGCTTAAAAAGTTTTCAGTTGGTTTTATTTACGCCTTTTCTATTCGCCAGGTTGTTGTTATGATAATAGCCAAAAAAATTCTATCGTTTGTTTCAAACATCCTCGGCAACCCACACCATTCCCTACTTCTCCCCCTACAAAACGATATACCACCCGCGGCGTTTTACCTTTTGAATGCGACTTCGAGAAAGATTGGTGTGGATGGCTTAATGACAATGATAATCATATAGACTTCCAAAGACAAAGTGGCAATACACCTTCGGTCCAAACTGGACCAAAGGTTGATCATACATTTGGCACTAAACAAGGTAGGATGTTATCATCGTCATCATCATCATCTCCATCGTGTCGTCATCATCATCATCATCATCATCATCATCATCATCATCATCATCATCATCATCATCATCATCATCATCATCATCATCAGCGTCGTCGTCGTCGTCGTCGTCGTCGTCGTCGTCGTCGTCGTCGTCGTCATCATCGTCATCATCATCATCATCATCATCACATCATCATCATCATCATCATCATCATCATCATCTATCATCATTATTACCACCACCGTCATCATTACCCCGTAGTCATTACAACGTCGTTTTCCTCTCAAGGATATTATGTGTATATCGAAACATCATTCACCTCGGCAAACGATACCGCGATGCTTATGATGAATGGTCCAACAAGCAGCAATGGTAAACTAAGGTGCTTACAGTTTTGGTACCATATGTATGGTGCCCATGTCAACACCTTATCTGTCCATATAAAACCTGAGAATAAGAAAATTCAGTCTCCAATCTGGAAAAAGACAGGCACTCAGGGAGACCAGTGGCGATACGCCCAGGTGCAAATAAACACCACGGCAGCGTTTAGCTACAGGGTTAGTACGGGTATTTGTGTGTACGCAAGGATGTCGTTATTTTTACAATATTTTTGTGAAGCCGGGGAGTAAACCCAAATTTTCATTATCTATTACTAGATCGTGTTCCAGGCGACGGCAGGCTCCAGTTTTCAAGGAGACATTGCCTTGGATGATATCAAATTTCCCTTCCATGAGTGTCCACCTATGCGTAAGTTTTAAAAAATCATGATGTTTAGCTTTCCACATAAAGTTAGTTTAGTTTAGGTTTCCTTCTGCAGTATCACTGGATCAATAAAAGATGATCCTTACTGGACCTCTAGGAAGAACAGTTTAGAACTGATAGAGCTATCCAGTATAAATAAAGTTAGTTTAGTTTAAGTTTCCTCCTGTAGTAACACTGGATCAATAAGAGATGATCCTTGCTGGACCTCTAAGAAGAACAGTTTAGAACTGATAGAGCTATCCAGTGGAAATAAAGTTAGCTTAGTTTAGGTTTCCTCCTGTAGTCACACTGGATCAATAAGAGATGATCCTCACTGGACCTCCAGGAAGAACAGTTTAGAACTGACAGAGCTATCCATCAACATAGCCTGTAAATTTCTACCATTTTATCACAGCTGAATGTCAATTCGAATCGGACAAGATCTGTCGCTACACACAAGATGCTGGTGATGATTTCGACTGGACGCGAGGAACTGGGGGAACAGCAAGTTACGATACAGGGCCAAAATCTGATCATACTTACGGAACTGATCAAGGTGAGGTTAAATTGATCAAGCTGAGGTTAAATAATAACCATCATGATGCCGAGCAGATTGGGTCTTTCTTCACGTCCGATTTATTCTTTTCGTTACAAAAATTTCTAGCTCTGAGTTTCTCTGTTTTTTTAAGGTGGCTACATGTACATTGAGACAAGTTGGCCCAGAAGGACTGGTGATAAAGCTCGACTTGAAACACCGCTGTACAAACCAACGTTTGGATCGTGTGCTCGTTTCTGGTATCACATGAGAGGCGACAATATTGGTGTGTTGAACGTTTACATCAAGAAGGGTGGTGTGCTTGGTAGCCGCGTTTGGAGCGACAGGGGAAACTATGGTGATTTATGGATGAGAAAGACATTAAGCGTTACCAGTTCCCAACCATGGAAGGTACAGTGGTTGATAAGTGTTGATAAGTTGAGATGGTAATTTTGGTGATGACGACAATGATATTTTTGTGCCAATGATGATCTGGTTAAGTGTGATGATTATATTGATTATATTGATGGTTAAGTGCAAGCATGATGACCTTAAGAAAATTGTACATCCAATATTTTTTCTATAGTTGGTATTCGAAGGAGTTCGAGGAAGTTCGTACACAGGCGATATCGCTCTGGACGATGTTAAGATCAGTACGGATGGAGAATGCCCTGTACTTGGATCCTGTGACTTTGAAGATAATTTCTGCACGTACAACAACGATCAAAACGATGATTTCGATTGGGAGAGACATATTGGTGAAACTTTCAGCATTGGAACTGGGCCAAGCAAAGATCATACATACAAAACCACAGGCAAAGGTATGGATTTCCCTTTGAATAACCTTTCATGATCAGCGGTTCTTTCTGGAGATCTCGTAAGGATCGTGTCTTATTGATCATCTTAAATAGGTCACTATGTATACATCGAGACCTCTCATCCGCGTCTGCCGAATGACAAAGCATGGTTGGTAAGCGATATCTTCAAGGTTGACCCAACATTCAAATGGTGCCTGAAATTCTGGATGCATTTGTATGGTGATACCGTGGGGAATCTTAACGTGTATATTGTGACCAACATACTCAAGCCAACCCAGGATAAATACTATCGAAGAATATTTACCATAACCGGGAACCATGGCGATAATTGGGTGTACGAACAAGTGGATATAAGCAGCGGAAAAGATTTCCAAGTATGTTTGTCTGACACGCACATTCAAAGTGCTATATTCATTCAAAGTTTTTTAATCATTCAAAGTGTAGTTTCAATTTACTGTGCCTTTCAAAGCTAGTTATAAAAGAGTATTTTCACACTCCTTCCTGCGACTGTTTTTCACTTCACACTGAAATGGTACATTTGTTTCCAGATCAAATTTGAAGGTGTTGTCGGCAAGCAACCGTCTTACAAAGGTGATATAGCTTTGGATGACATCGTCGTTACCCCGGGACAGTGTCCGGCAGCTAAACCCACCTCCACACCCAACCCCTGTGCCATCAAGTGTAAGAGCAACACGTGTGTCTCTGCTAATAAGATTTGTGACTTTGTCAACGACTGCGGTAGCTCTGATAATACGGACGAGAAGAATTGCGGAACATGCGACTTTGAGAACGGTAAGATTACTGCGAGACCTTCACACACGCGATATTTCACACGCATTTGCGCTGCAAATTCACTGCAATCTCACTGGTTATAACGTATATAAATACGTCATTACGTCAATTATAACACGATTTTGTTTAAAGGTGTTTGCGGTTGGAATAACACCAGTAATGGTGTTTTCACCTGGAAACGCGGTCAAGCTGGAACCCCTTCGAAGAATACTGGACCAGCGGTTGATAATACCAAAAGTAAGTGTACTGTGATGTACTGTACCATGGTGTGGTGAGGTGGTCTTTAGTGTGGTGCTGTGTGGTGCTGCATGAAGTTTTGTGCTGCAGTGTGAAATGCTGTAAGGTAGAGTGCGGTGGTCTTTAGTGTAGTGTGATGCTGTGGTATAGTGTTAAGTACTACATTGCACTGTGAAATGTTGTGATATTGTGATATGATGGTGTGGTATAAGTTTTGTTGTACAGTTAATCTGTAGGTATTATCTCTATTGTGTTATTTGTATTCCAATATTAGCAAAAACCATTACGCAGACATGTCTCTGCCTTCATTGTATACTAAATAGTCTTTCCGTTCTTCTGCAGAAACGGCTCAGGGTTATTACATGTACGTAGAAGCCTCCCGAGGTAAAGCCTACCATCTTGCCACACTGGAAAGCCCAGTCCTTCAACAAGCGTCTTCAACCTGCGCTTTCAACTTCTATTACCATATGTTCGGCGCTGGCATCGGCGAACTCCGTGTGTACATCGTTGTTGCTCGGAGATACACGTTATTATGGTCCTTATATGGAGATCAAGGTTAGTGGAGTTTTCGTAACTTTCATGATCAGGGAAACTTGGAGCAGACTAGTTCCACTGCAGATGAATCGGTAAATAGAAATGCAATTTGGAATTTGGTCGCAGGTTCACACCAATCTTTTTCCTACTCAAGGTAACAAATGGAATCCAGTCAGTTTACGTCTCGGCCGACGAAAAACTCCGTTCAAGATTGTCGTGGAAGCGGAACGTTCGTATTCCTCCTTTGGTGATATAGCGGTGGACGATCTGTCGTTTGCATTTTGCAGTTTCCCGCAACCACAATCCTCCTGTTCCAGCTGGCAACATACTTGTTTGAACCGCGCATGCGTTGGTTCGAACAGAGTGTGCGATATGACGGATGATTGCGGTGACAACAGTGACGAAATTAGCTGTGGAGGACAGACACGGTTAGCTTTTTCTTGCTAATGCTAACCCATGTCCAATCTATCCCCTCCCCTCCCCCACTTTAAATATCTTTCAGATTTCAAAATATGTCGAGTTTAAGTTATATCAAATCAAGAATCATTTAAATTTAGATCGATTTAAAAAACTGCGATAGCACTTGATAGCGCTCAAAAGCTCCTGGTCTTGGAACGCATTTGAAGGTTTCATGCAAATTGTAAAATTAAATGATGTTGTTCTTCAGGTGTAACTTTGAGTGGGCCAGGTGTATTTTCAATGATCTGAAAGACGATGATTTTGATTGGACACGACAGCGAGGCTCGACACCTTCTGCCGCAACTGGCCCATTGTTTGATCATACATACGGGACTACAGCAGGTATTGAATGCCACGTCATTTGAATAAACGTACAACCGTCGCAAACCCAATTTGTAGTCTTCTTCCTGCATGAGTTTGAAGTGTGCTTTCTTCAATAGACCTTTCTTATAATGACGTCAAACGCCGAAAGTCTGATGTTACACGAAATGTGATTGGCTCCACAAACTATCGAGCCAATCAAACTTCGTGTAACATCAGACTTTCCGCGTTTGACATCATTATGAAAAAGGTCTATTCTGTGCTAACAAAATCGGATCGTGTGTACAGACCTGAACGCTGTTCCATTTGATTAGGCTATTACCTCTTCACCGAGACATCCTGGCCGCGAAAGCCTGGAGACCGAGCGAGATTAGGGACGTATTACAATTTTGCCGCCATAACTGACAACACTTGTCGCATGCGGTTCTACTATCACATGTGGGGAGATCATATTGGTAACCTGAGCGTGAAAGTTCGTGATACAATTGGGGGACCTGAGACTACACTTTGGATCAAGAATGGTAAAGTTGGGAACTACTGGGCTCGAGCTGACGTCGTGCTCAAGAGCGCCAAGGATTTCCAGGTATTTCAAGGGATAAATAATCAAGGTTTCATCTTGTAGTAACACTGGATCAATAAGAGATGATCCTTACTGGACCTCTAGGAAGAACAGTTTAGAACTGATAGAGCTATCCAGTATAAATAAAGTTAGTTTAGTTTAGGTTTCCTCCTGTAGTAACACTGGATCAATAAGAGATGAGCCTTACTGGAACTCTTGGAAGAACAGTTTAGAAGTGATAGAGCTATCCAGTATAAATAAAGTTAGTTTAGTTTAGGTTTCCTCCTGTAGTAACACTGGATCAATAAGAGATGATCCTTACTGCACCTCTAGGAAGAACAGTTTAGAACTGATAGAGCTATCCAGTATAAATAAAGTTAGTTTAGTTTAGGTTTTCTCCTGTAGTAACACTGGATCAATAAGAGATAATTTTAACTGGACTTCTAGGAAGAACAGTTTAGAACTGATTGATCGGTCGATAAGAAATTATTCACGCTCAGCTTAGCTGATTATGTCCCGATTATGGCCAAAATTAGTATTGTTTACTGGATAACAATATTTTTTTAGGTAATATTCGAATCTGTCAGGGGAACTAACTACCAAGGCGACATCTCTATTGACGATGTATCATTTACACTCTTCTGTAAACGTGGACGTGCCTTACCTACAGCCCCACCTACATCCCCCCAACCCACTACACCTGGACCTTGTGGATCGGGGCGTTTCCAATGTAAGAGATCCAAGGAATGCATATCAAATTCGAAAATCTGTGATTACTGGAAGGATTGCTCGGATGGTACTGATGAAATGAAATGTGGTACGTTGTGGAATGTGAATTGTGTCTTTCAAATTCTCCAACATGATTTGGTTTCACTTTGAGTAGAAAGCGATCAAGCGCCTAAACGCAAGAGACTATTAGTACAAGCCTTCAAAACAAGATTTTAGATCTGATGATTATTCATCTTTCACTTTGTGCAGGACCGTGCGACTTTGAAAATCCAGACCTCTGTGGTTGGAAAGATATAAGCTCTGGTGAATATCAGTGGTGGAGAAATAGAGGGACAACACCATCACACAAGACTGGGCCGAAAGTCGACCATACCTGTGGAAATAATTCATGTAAGTTAATGTGTTAAAAATATTCCCTAAACCTAAACTAGACCGCAAGGAATCAATGGGCTGCTTTGCTGGTTGTGTATTTTCTGTGGGATTTTTTTAACCTTCCTATTGCAAGCGGTTTATCTTATCACTTGAAAGCGATTGATTAACCCTATTTAACCTTTCTTTCTTGGGAGACAAAATGTTATACTACAGTGGTACTTTCTTTCAAGCGTTTTCCCCATTGGATTGGTCGTGCATATTAAATCTCGGATTCTTTTATGCATTATCTAAATCCGAATCAATACATTTAGGTCATTACATCTACATTGAGGACGGCACTGGATCAACCTTCCAAGTAGCAAACATAGAGAGTCCGGTTATTGGAAGAACGTACCAGACGTGTACTGTTCGTTTCTATTACCATCTTTATGGCACATTCAGTAAAAACAGTTACCTCTGGGTTGGCCTACGTTTTGGAAGTTCAAAGTCGTACGTATGGTCCACGAATGGTGACCAAGGTGATAAATGGAACAAAGGAGAATTTGGACTTGGATCTGTACCTGCAGGTCAGGAGTGAGGGATTGTTTATTTTACTTATAAACTCTTTCAACCAAGTCGCGAAACATTTTTGATCTTAAAGTGCGGACACTTTAGTTTCTTTTAGAGCAACTTACGATTTTCTTTGCAGAGTAATTAGACCCCTAGAAAGATGTAATAAACGAGCATTTCTTTACAGGAACCAGGATATCATTTGAGGCTCGCAAACCTTGGACATTCTTTGGAGCGGCGGACATGGCCGTTGATGATGTGACCTTCATAAATTGTGGTATACCAAAGCCAAGGACTTGCTTACCCGGGGAGTTCAAATGCATAAGACAATTTTGTGTTTCACCTGATAGGGTAAATGCCATAAGTTTTTTACTGCATTTCTAGAAGGACAGTTTAAATTTTAGTAAAAGCTTGTATCCTTAGCTACAGGACATGAAACTTTACTAAGGTAGAACTATACGATGAGTAAGCAAAGTTGGGTTTCCTCCTGTGGTAATACTGCATCAATAAGAGATGATCCTTACTGGATCTCTAGGAGGAGCAGTTTAGAACTGATAGAGCTATCCAGTATAAATAAAGTTAGCTTAGTTTAGGTTTCCTCCTGTAGTAACACTGGCTCAATAAGAGATGATCCTTACTGGACCTCTAGGAAGAACAGTTTAGAACTAAAAAATATATAAATCAATAAAGTTATTTTAGTTTAGATAAGAGATGTTTTTGATGCTTAATTCGGTAGCCAGAGTTGAAACATAAGGTTATCATAGTTTAAGACTGTTTCTCATCCTAGATGTGTGATTTTGCGAACGATTGTGGTGATAATAGCGATGAGACGTCTTCCGTCTGCCAGAGCTATCCAGGTCGTTGTAACTTTGAGAAGGATACATGCGCATGGACCCAAGATGTTGGTGATGATTTTGACTGGCGCCGAATGAAAGGCAGTACCTGGTCATACCAAACTGGCCCAGGACGGGACCACACGTTCTGTAAGCTCAATCTTTAACACAATTCAGCTTTAAAATGATGCTTCTAAGGCATTTCCTATCGAAGTTGTCCAAGGAGCGTTGATGATGAGAAGTCATTAATAAAGCCCCTGGAATTTTCTTTCATTACCTTATAACGCTATTTTCTGCATTTTTGTGCCAAATATGATTGTGTCACAAAATCGTGACTAAAGGCTAGTTTCCACTCAGGAAAAATCTCCTTTGGATCAGGACGGACAGAAAAATTTCCTTTGGCCGCGAGTTCTCAGGCGGCGTTTATACAAAGGAAACTTTCCTGCCCTGTCCGATCCAAAGGAGAATTTTCCTGAGTGGAAACTAGCCTTCAAGTCGCACAATTTCTGTTAGCAAAGCTTTCACATCTCATCTGAATAGGTCAGGATATACGGAATAATCTATGATGCTAAAAGAGTGTTGACTAATGTATTTCTGTGTGTTTACATTTCTTATCGTAGCAACTCCACAAGGCAATTACCTTTACATCGAGACCTCCTATCCACGAAAAGCTGGCGAGAAAGCCCGCATAAGCAGCCCGGTTATCAAGGTGAAATCGGCAACAGATAACTGCAGATTGAGGATGTTCTATCATATGTTTGGCAAGGATGTCAATTCGTTAAATATTTACCACAGAGACGCCGTAGGAGGAAAACTATCTATTATAAAGACGATTATAGGTGAGAGATTTAAGCAACTGGTTTATGTTAACTCCTGTTTTCTCCAAATAAAACAAAAGATTAGGAATGCACAGTTGCGTAGAGCAGTTGACAATAAAAGAAACAATGTAATTTGTCTGAAAGTAGATTGAAAGTCATGTTTTTACGTACTCCAACAGGCGACCAAGGAGATGTCTGGCGACGTTATGAATCAATTAGTCTGTTTAAACCAACTCCATTCCAAATTGTGATCGAAGGAGTCGTAGGACCAAGTTATCAAGGCGATATTGCCATTGATGATATTTCATTTACAAAAGGATGCATCATTGAATCCACCACGACACTAAACCCCACTGGTTTTACTGTTCCAACTTCTGCCAGCTGTCAACTGGGACAAATGAGGCAAGTTGGGGAGGAGAATTGTCTCACTGTCATCATCATTATCATCATCATCACCATCACCACCACCATTGTCATCATAATCATCACCACCACCATTGTCATCATAATCATCATCATCATCATTGTCATCATCATCATCATCATCACCATCATTGTCATCATCATCATCATCATCATCATCATCATCATCATCATCATCATCATCATCATCATCATCATCATCATCATCATCATCATCATCATCATCATCATCATCATCATCATCATCATCATCATCATCATCATCATCATCATAGTTTAGTTGTAACAGAAAATCTTTCTTCTACAGCTGTGACAATGGCCAGTGTATTTCGGCAAACAAATATTGTAATTTCAAAGAAGATTGCAACGACAAGTCAGATGAGAAGTCATGCCCAGTAAAATGTGACTTTGAAAAGGGTGAATGCGGATGGAAGGACACTAAACTGGGTGATTACATTGATTGGACTCGGGATTCCGGTGGCACTCCAACACCTCACACTGGCCCCAGTATTGATCATTCAAAAGGAACATCGGCAGGTAAGGTGAACGTGATGTGAACGTGATATGTGCACGTCGGGAGAGCAGTATATCTCCCATATATGTTCCCGCGGTTTAATACTTTTGATGTAAAATTTTTTATTGTAATTTCCTGTCGATAGCTACGGGTTCAGAACATACTGTGGTTACTTTACCATCGTGGAAAACCTGTGAAAAAACTTCAACCATCATCAGTCAACCAATCAACCAAACGAGTTTCTCAACATCTCTAGGGTTATCCAATTGAGTACCCGGGTGTTTTTAACCGGGTATTTGCGTACCCGGGTGTTTTTAACCGGGTATTTGCGTACCCGGGTGTTTTTAACCGGGTATTTGCGTACCCGGGTGTTTTTAACCGGGTATTTGCGTACCCGAGTGTTTTTAACCGGGTATTTGCGTACAGTGTCTTCAACTTGCAATCTTTCGTCAATTTAGGTCACTATGTCTACGCAGCTGTAAAGAATAGAACTGGTTATTACGCCACACCACGCTATGTGAGTCCGCGCTATTACAAGGCCAGTAAAAGTTGTAAATTCCGCTTTTACTATCATATGAACGGAACTGCGTCCGGTTCTTTGAGTTTTAACCTCTGGAGGAACAACAAAAATACATATTTATGGGCTGACTATTTCAAATTATCGGACGAATGGAGAAATGCAACCATCGACTTACCACCTTGCATCACAGACTTCCAGGTAGGCAGTTGTTGTGATGATGATGATGATTGTGATAATGATAGTCATGCTAATGGTAATTTACTCAATTTTTCTGCTAATATTTTGATATCCCTGTTTTAAAACCTTTAAAACATTGTTCATTAATCCGTTTCGCCAGGTTGTTTTCGAATCATTCAACTTTCTGGGCGATGACGGTGATATTGCGATTGACGACGTGGAATTCATCGACTGTGCTGAACCAGCACCAGAACCTGCCAAATGCTCTGGCGCAAATAAATTTAAGTGTGCCAGCGGCCATTGCACTAATGTTACGAATACCTGTGACTTCACTCCTGATTGCTGTGACTATAGTGACGAAACTGATAAATTGTGCTCAAATTACTACAGGTAATAGTTTAATATTTATTCCGTGTCGGTAGCTACCCTCCAGGGACCGGTTGTACGAAGGATTGGTAGCGCTATCCACCGGATAGTTATTTTTCAACCGTTCTAAAAATGCTTGAAAAGCAATAAAATTTCAGCTTTGGAACGACGAATTATTAAAGAGAATCCTCAATTTAGGAATACTAAGATTTAATTAAAGTTATACTCAACAACAAGGCGATTTTAAAGCAATTGAATATAGCGCTATGCAGACGAACAACCGGCCCCAGGGCTTTTGTGCCCTTTTTTGTAGCCCGGGACTAAATCGTCGCGCTGTTAAATCCTCCTTTGAATCTTGGTGAAAACCTAATATTCTACTGATATTTTAGGGTAAATTTCGAACACGGCGCTAACAACTTCACTCAATCATTCGACGATGATTTCAACTGGGTCAGACAGAATGGATATACATGGTCGTATAACACTGGCCCTAAGTTCGACCACACAACCCATACTCAGGAAGGTAATTATCCGATATAGCGAGGGTTTCTTTGGCTAGTTTTCTTTGGGGAGATGTCTTTAAAAGCGATAAAACGCATTGAACCATCATCATCTCAGAAAATCGAAATACAGTTTTATTTTGATGTCTTGCTTTATTAGATAATTTATTCTCTTATAGGCTACTATATGTACATCGAATCATCGAAGCCTCGTAAAGTAAACGAGACGGCGTTGTTGGTCTCGCCGTTGATGAAATCTACCCAAATATGTTACATGCGCTTCTTCTATCACATGCGTGGAGATCATATTGGTACCTTGAACGTTTACAAAAAGGTTGGTAACGTTAAGAAACTGATGTCAACTGAAAGTGGTCATGTTGGAAGCAAGTGGATGAAGAAAACGATCAAAATACCCCCGTCATCAGCCGGGTTCTATGTAAGTTTTTTTTTCATTGTATCGTTCAAGTAGAGTAATTTATCATTATAAAGGTTCATCTCCTATTAACCTAGTGTTTCTAACAAAAGAATCGTAGACTAACTGAATTACTTAGTTAGTTTTTATTGCTCAGTATTACTACAGGAGGAAACCTAAACTAAACTAACTTTATTTATACTGGATAGCTCTATCAGTTCTAAACTGTTCTTCCTAGAGGTCCAGTAAGGATCATCTCTTATTGATCCAGTGTTACTACAGGAGGAAACCTAAACTAAACTAACTTTATTTACACTGGATAGCTCTATCAGTTCTAAACTGTTCTTTCTAGAGGTCCAGTAAAGATAATCTCTTATTGATCCAGTGTTACTACAGGAGGAAACCTAAACCGTTCTAAAAGTTCTAAACCGTTCCTCCTGGAGGTCCTGACCCAGTGTTTCTAGAACTTTGTTCCTGTAACTTTACTTAATTTTTTCTGCTCTTTTAGATTATTTTTGAAGGCATAATTGGTGTATCCTATCGAGGAGACATAGCTATCGATGATATTTCATTCACACCAGAATGTCAACCTGTTATCAGTAAGTGTTAAATTATATCCTTGTAAATTAAATTCGCTCACGACAATATGATATAAAATAAACCAGCGAAAGATTGAGGCATAGGCACTCTTTTGCATTCGTCAGAATGATAATTGCATTCAACTTATCGTGTAGTCCAAATAGGCCTTAAGAATAATTAAAGCATACAAGTTGTTCGAAAATGTGTAATATGTCTTTCAGTAACCACAACACCAACGCCTAATCCTTGTTCCAACGGAGGATTCCAATGTAAAGGCGATAAGTCTTGTGTATCGGCCAGCTACAAATGCGACCAGAAATCAGATTGCAAAGACGGCTCCGATGAAAGTGCCGATGTTTGTGGCTCTCCTTGTACGTTTGAGACGGGAACGTGTGGATGGAAGGAAGCGAAGCCAAATCATTTTGATTGGACACGATTCCATGGTTGTACCGCCCAGAGTAGAACTTGTAAAGATGCAACTGGAAATTCTGCAGGTAAGCGACTGTCTGACGAAGTTGATGGGTGCATGCTAGTGTGATGATTGATGGTGATAATAATATGATGGTGATGGTAGTGATATGATGGTGATAGTGGTATGATAGTGGTATGATGGTGATATGATGATGGTGATATGATGATGGTGACATGATGATGGTGATATGATGATGGTGACATGATGATGGTGATATGATTATGGTGATACGATGATGGTGATATGATGATGGTGACATGATAATGGTGATATGATGATGGTGATATGATGATGGTGGTATGATGGTGGTGATATGATGATGGTGACATGATGATGGTGATATGATGATGGGGATATGATGATGGTGGTATGATGATGATGGTTGTATGATGATGATGGTGGTATGATGGTGATGGTGATATGATGATGGTAGTATGATGGTGATATGATGATGGTAGTATGATGGTGATATGATGATGGTGGTATGATGGTGATGGTGATATGATGTGGTATGATGGTAGTATGATGGTGATTAATGGTGCTAGTGGTATGATAGGTGTATGATGGTGATATGATGGTGCTAGTGGTATGATGGTGATATGATTATATGATGGTGATATGTGTATGATGGTGATATTAGATTAGCAGTAATAATAGTGGTATCAAAAGGCTTAATAGTATTTCTCACACTTGAATGAATTTCAGGATTTTTCATGTACCTCACAAGTCTTACTGGCATCTCAGGCAAAGAAGCAGTCTTACAGAGTCCGTTGATTCAAAAGTCCTCACCCAGCTGTGAGTTCGAATTCTACTACAAAATGACGAACACCTTGGGAGAAACACTTACTCTGTATTTGAACACGCCCTCGACTAACAGGAAGCAAGCCCTCTGGTCAAGATCAGGTAAATTCATCGCGTGAATGTTTAAAAGTTTACATTTAGAATTCCACGAGAAAACGTTATTTCAAACACAACTTTAGCAACATTGTATCAATGTTTAAATTGTTCAATCGGTTCTCAAAGAACAATTTGTAATCATTTAATACTGTATTTAATTTCTTGCAACAGGTCGACACGGATACCAATGGCACAAGAGTATGGTGAAGATTGGAGGCCACAGCGTACCATTTACTCTGACGTTTGAAAACAAACACAGTGGTTCATTTTCGGGCGACATAGCGATTGATTCAGTTACAATGAAGAATTGTGATCAAACTTCAGGTTGTAGTGGTAAACAGGTCCATAGGTAAGTTGTTCCCCCTTTCAATGTTGGGTAGTTGGTAGCAATATGTTGCTTAGTTGGTACCGTTTAGTATGTTTGTCGGTTGATTAGCAGGTGATTGGTTTTGTTGTGTTTTGGTGGTTGCTAGATTGACCGGCTGGTTGGTAGATTGGCCTACTGGTTAGTAGATTGGTTGGTAGATTGGCCTACTGGTTAGTAGATTGGTTGGTAGATTGGCCTACTGGTTAGTAGATTGGTTGGTAGATTGGCCTACTGGTTAGTAGATTGGTTGGTAGATTGGCCTACTGGTTAGTAGATTGGTTGGTAGATTGGCCTACTGGTTAGTAGATTGGTTGGTAGATTGGCCTACTGGTTAGTAGATTGGTTGGTAGATTGGCCTACTGGTTAGTAGATCGGCCTACTGGTTGGTAGATTGACCTGCTCCTTAGTTGATTGGCCTACTGGTTGGTAGATTGGTTGGTAGATTGGCCTACTGGTTGTTAAATTGGTGCACGTGTGTTCTTGGTTGATTTGCTTGGTTATTGTGTTGGTTATTTCGCTGTATGCAGCCTGATTGGTGTGTTGTTCGGTGAATGTTTCAGTCACTCGTGTGTCCTTTTCGCAGTTGCTTTGATTGTTAGTTTTAAACATAAATTTTTTAAACTATAGCTGCAGAAACAACAAAAAATTCTGCTATTCTGACGATCAAGTTTGCGATTTAACGGATGATTGTGGAGATGGTACTGATGAGAGATCATGTAAAAATGTAAAATGTAACTTCGACGCTAATTTATGTGGATGGAAAAATACTCAAAACGGCGATGATTTCGACTGGACTCGAAACAAAGGTTCAACTGCATCCTTGGGAACTGGACCTACCACTGATCACACTACAGGCAAAGGTATTTTGATGATTAATTAACCTATCAACTAGCCCGTTATTGACATGGTTAACAAACTCAATTTATCTTCCCCTAGGTTACTACATGTATACAGAGGCCACAGGTCGACGTCAAGGTGAAAAGGCGTGGTTGCTAAGTCCGCCAATGTCGGCTGGTACAAACGGAGCATGTACCCTACGAGTTTGGTATCACATGAGAGGATCAAGTGTACAAGATCTTAATATATGGTATAGGACATACATTGGCGGACCTCTGTATTCCGTGGCAACGGCATCTGGTAATTTGGGTGACGTCTGGCAAAAATTAACAGCGACTATTAACTTGGGAAAGAGAACAGGACGGCAATTTGAAGTAATTATAGAAGGTAAGGAAAGACTAACTATCCACAAGTTTTATGGTAGTTTGGTTGGCCATTACAATGACTAATAGTTCCACTGATATCTCAGGCGTGATTTGGGAAAATTTGGGCTGCCTATGATGATATTAAGAAAATACATTTAATATCATCATTTAATATGAAACACATTGGATCGGGGAGTGAATAAGAGAAAGCTAAATCGTTCTCAAGAACTCGATGGAAACGTCAAATATTACGGCAAAACAGTAGTTCAATGTCGTTTCACACTTCTGGAAACATTACCGAGCCATTACCTTGAACCCGAGCACCGTGATAGTTCATAGTTGAACTTCACTTGCTCGCTTAGTAACCCTGTCTCTGTAGAGCCCTGATTTCTAATTTATTTATGTGAAAACTGACAAGAGAACTGACGTTTAACAATAATTGTTAGGCGTACGAGGACGTGGTTTCCAAGGGGACATAGCTATTGATGACATCAGTTTTGGAGGCAACTGCAAGCAATCCACTGGCATTATTCCAACATCAGAAGCACCTCTCACAACGATAGCTCCAACTCCTAAACCGAACACCTGCAAAGCTCATGAATTTGGATGCTGGAGAGACGCAGTTTGTATTGACAAGACTAAAGTTTGTGATTTCAATCTTGATTGCAAAGATAATTCGGATGAACGTTTCTGCCGTGAGTATTTTGAAATATGAAATAGTTTGAATTCAAATGTATACTTTATAAACTATACTGGACAGCTCTATCAGCTCTGAATTGTCCATAGTTTTGATGGCGATAATAGTCAAGGCCGACACCTGTAGCATTTCTATCTTTATTATATGTGGGGCTGACACTGGATTAAGGATAAACTTTTGGATGAAATTCATCTCAACAGCATCATATCGTAATCTGTCTTCATTTAGCGGCCTTGTGCACCTTTGAATACAGCAGATGTGGCTGGACAGAGTCTACGCAGGATTCTCCACAATTTGACTGGAAGAGACGCAAAGGTAGTACGCCATCGATCGGCACTGGTCCTACCAAAGATCACACGACAAACTCAACCAATGGATACTACCTGTATATTGAGGCCTCGTCTGGTGCAGCGTTCCAATATGCTCAACTTATCAGTCCATTGTATAGAAAGGTTAGCATCATCATCATCATCATCATCATCATCATCATCATCATCATCATCATCATCATCATCATCATCATCATCATCATCATCATCATCATCATCATCATCATCATCATCATCATCATCATCATCATCATCATCATCATCTATAATTTCATTACTATCCTCCTCACTGCAACTATCGGCTGATCTATGATTTTTCTCTTCACAGTCTTACACAAAATGTGCGCTGGAGCTCTGGTATCATATGTATGGACCAACAGTCGGATCGCTTTTTGTCTCTCTGAACATTTCAGGTCAGACCACGATACATTGGAGCAAATATGGCGACCAAGGTGATAAATGGCGGAAGACTACTGTCGGCATTGGCAAACAGATTAAACCTTTCCAAGTCATCATCGAAGGTATGTTTTACATCAGCGCTGGTGGTGAGCTCCAATAGCTAGCAAAACTTGAGCTCGTCGAAAATCTCTTTCTAGAAATTTTATTACCTGTTTGTTTGTGCCTGCTTTTTTATTTTTAATCCAGAAAGTCTGAGAGAAGTTAAACTAACTAACACAATTATTGCTTCACATTCAGCCACCCGCGGACAAGCATTCAGTGGTGATATTGCGATAGACGATCTTAACTTCGTGAACTGTGGATTACCATCAAAACAAACGTGCGGCTCAGCGAAAAATACATTCCCATGCAAACGGGGCGGTTGTATCGACCCTGAATATAAATGTGACTTTAGCGACGATTGCGGGGATTACACTGACGAAGTAACAAACATTTGTCGTAAGTTCATTGTCTCCAACTAATTTCATTGTTATAATGTTGGATAATTTGTAAACTTACCACAAACACCCGCGCCTGGGATGCAACCTCGTATATAAAATACTCGTCTGTGCGATTTCTCTTCATGCGTTGAAAGTTATTTCTTGATTTCAGGTAATTATCCGGCCAGATGCACCTTCCAGATTGACGGTCAGTGCAAATGGAGGAACTCAGATGAGGATGACTTCGATTGGCAACGAATCAAAGGTATGTTGATGTTAAATACGAATCACCCCTTGTCTGCATTACTACCACCTGCCAACCAGCCTAAAACAGCTTCTACACACTCTTGGGACATGATGTTGTTATTCTTACAATCACGAGCGTAGGAAGCACGTTTAAGTTGGTGGGAAATTAACCTCTGGGGAACTTGCCTTGTGTAAAGGGCATTTAACGTTGTATACTGTTAAAAAAACTTACATAATAATGACACAGTGAAACCAGTAAAAATAGTTCTATATCATTGATTTTTCCAAAAAACCTCAATCTTATCTCAAGGCAAAAGGACTTTTTTTATAACTTTTAGGGGGGGGGTTGACCCACCTTACCTCTTCCTGCTGGGTCCTACGCCCCAGCCTATAATATACCCCACCTCTATTTTTTCAGGTGCCACAGCTTCAATCAATACTGGACCAGAGTTCGACCATACGAACAGTGACGGAACTGGTTACTACATCTACCTTGAAACGTCATACCCACGTCGCTATGGTGACAAAGCTTGGTATATCAGTCCTATATTCCAAGCTAGAAATAAAGACGACAATTGCAAGCTGCGATTCTTTTATCATATGTATGGAGATACGATTGGTCAGCTTAATGTCTACATCAGAAATTATGTGAATGGTACACTAGGAAAACCAGTGTGGTATATGAGGTAAGTTGTCGCAAAATATCACTTAAGTAACAGAGTGTATTAGAATCTACAATATTTTGCAGATTGCAATTCCCCTCATTAGGCCTTGAAAGACTGTTCCAGGAAGAACAGTTTAGAACTGATGGAGTTTAGGTTTCCTCCTGTAGTAACACTGGATCAATAAGAGATGATCCTTACTGGACCTCTAAGAAGAACAGTTTAGAACTGATAGAGCTATCCAGTTCTATCCAGTATAGATAAAGTTAGTTCAGTTTAGGTTTCATCCCATAATAACACTGGATCAATAAGAGATGATCCGTCTAGGAAGGACAGTTTAGAACTGATAGAGCTATCCAGTGTAAATAAAGTTAGTTTAGTTAAGGTATCCTCCTGTAGTAACACTGGATCGATAAGAGATTATCCTTACTGGACCTCTAGGAAGAACAGTTTAGAATTGATAGAGCTATCCAGTATAAATAAAGTTAGTTTAGTTTAGGTTTCCTCCTGTAGTAACACTGGATCAATAAGAGATTATCCTTACTGGACCTCTAGGAAGAACAGTTTAGAACTGATAGAGCTATCCAGTATAAATAAAGTTAGTTTAGTTTAGGTTTCCTCCTGTAGTAACACTGGATCAATAAGAGATGATCCTTACTGGACCTCTAGGAAGAACAGTGTAGAACTGATAAAGCTATTCAGTATAAATAAAGTTAGTCTAGTTTAGGTTTCCTCCTGTAGTAACACTGCATCAATAAGAGATGATCCTTACTGGACCTCTAGGAAGAACAGTTTAGAACTGATAGAGCTATCCAGTATAAATAAAGTTAGTTTAGTTTAGGTTTCCTCCTGTAGTAACACTGGATCAATAAGAGATTATCCTTACTGGACCTCTAGGAAGAACAGTTTAGAACTGATAGAGCTATCCAGTATAAATAAAGTTAGTTTAGTTTAGGTTTCCTCCTGTAGTAACACTGGATCAATAAGAGATGATCCTTACTGGACCTCTAGGAAGAATAGTTTAGAATTGATAGAGCTATCCAGTGTAAATAAAGTTAGTTTAGTTTAGGTTGGTCTTGTAGTATGTCCGGAACAATGAGAAGCAAACTTAATAGAAATCAAACAATTATCCCTTGCTGAAAACTGTATGGATTTTGCAGATCTAATCAAGGGTCAATTTGGAAACGTGCCTCTGTTCTTCTGAAATCCGACAAAGCCTTTGAAGTTGTCATTGAAGGATTCGTAGGGGATGATTATAATGGCGATATTGCACTGGATGATCTATCTTTCACTGAAGAATGTTTATTTTCACCATTCCAACTACCAATACAGCCAGACATTAGCGGTACTATAGCGCCAACTAACCCCCATTCGTGTAGCCCACTCCAGTTAAACTGCTACAGATCAGGTATGTCATTTGTATTTCAATACAGTCAGGTATTTCAGTCGGTGAACTACATCAACTGAACTGTAATACAACTGGAACGATAACGGTTGTCAATCCCGTTAATCTCTTAGGATCCACAATGTGCGTCTCGAAACAAAAGAAGTGTGACTTCGCCAGGGATTGCCCAGGGGGGGAGGATGAAGATACTTGTGTTAAACCGACCACAGATTTCACCAGCGGAAATATTGGTAACTGGCTGATCGAAGCGGCAGAAAAGTCTGGTGGAAGCACCCGAAAGTTGCTGGCTGCGACGTATACTTGGCAACCTTATCAGGCTGATGACAAAGACGATCCTAAAATTGACCACACACCCAATGGTAGGTAATTGGTCAGGGGTGTATTGGAAGGCAGAGTTAGGGAGTGTCCTTCTCATGTTAAGAATCTATGCCCAGTTGGGGAATCCTTTCGAAGTTCGACTTTTAGCGACTCAATTTAAATCATAAGAGCCTCGCCATACGAAAGCCACATTTGTACAAACATATCCTCCTGCATTTGTATTGTCAACGTAAATAAAGTTAACAGTCAAGTATATCAAGTTTTACATACATTATTGAATGACTTTTAGTCGGCTCTCCTACGAAGTCATCCAATAGCCGTGCTCGCTCTAGCTAAGTTTACCTCAGCAGCAAGTCCCCTGCAATGTCGGCAATAGAAATAATTTTAAACGTCAATCACAACTCTTCTTTCCAGGCGCTGGCTGGTATCTTAGGGCTGACGCTTCAGCAGCAGATTCCAGTGGTAGCGTGACAACCCTGACCACTCCCACCATAACATCAACTGGACCTCAATGTACCATCGAGTTCTGGTATTACATGTCTGGGTACAGCGTGGGCACTCTATCTGTGTTGACCAATGATATCACTTCTAATGTTCTGTGGTCGCGTACGTCTAACCAAGGACAACAGTGGTCAAAGGGGATGGTAAAAATTGGGTCAAGACGAAATTTCCAGGTAAAATGTGATGTGATTTGAAAACTCGACAAGTTTTTCCATCTATATACGTAGCCATTAATATTTTCTCAATTACAAACAATATTAAATAATCTTGTGGTAGCCGCATGGCTCGCATTTCCTACATTGAGTTTTTTTTACTGCTAAAACGACTAGGAATACTTCTAGCTAAGTTTATCGACTTCTGTTAAAAAGTGGAAGGAATGCGTCAATGTGACACGTATTTTTCTCAGAACGCTTTACCTCAAGACGGCTTGAATTGTTGTATAGAACCGTCTTATTACAGTATTATTTTCCAGAACGCCTTACCTCAAAATGGCTTGTTGTATAAAACCGTCACATTTCGGATAATGTCATGTTATATCTCATAAGGTAATATTCCAAGCAAAGGGCAGTCGAGCTCAGAATAATGACATAAATCTGGACGATATCAAGTTTATCAACTGTGAAACGATGTCGATCGAAAGGCCCTGCAAAGCAAACACTGAGTTCAAGTAAGTTTTCATTCGAAAGTGAGAGTCTTTGGTTACATAATGAGTGCTTTTGCGAGCTTGTCTTGATTATTATAACGTATAAATTCTGCCTGTGTAGTAATAGATTTAGAAGAAAAGAATAACACTGGATCAATAAGAGATGATCCTTACTGGACATCTAGGAAGAACAGTTTAGAACTGATAGAGTTATCCAGTATAAATAAAGTTAGTTTAGTTTAGGTTTCCTCCTGCAGTAACACTGGATCAATAAGAGATGATCCTTACTGCATGGACCTCGATCAATTTGATGAGCAATGTTGATTACTATCTTCCAGGTGTGAACTTGGTGGTTGTACCAACGTGACAAGACTTTGTGACTTCAGTCTCGATTGTATGAACGGGGATAATTCTGACGAAAGAAGCTGTGATAAGTATCCTGGTCGATGCGATTTTGAACACGGTCTTTGTGCATGGGAACAAGACTCGACAGATGATTTTGATTGGACAAGGAACACAGGTTATACTCCGTCATCATCAACTGGACCGTTGATTGACCATACTCTTGGTAAATCATCAGGTGAGATTTCTTCTTTCTTTATACGAGTGTTTCATATCATGTCATGTTCCAATACGTTTTAGTAGTAGGACTATTTTTATGGTATTTTTTTCATAAAAAGATTGTAGGTTGCTTTTCATAAAAATGATCCGATAATTATACGATTGATTTTTCAAGGTCACTATTTGTATACGGAAACATCATGGCCGCGCAAGCAAGGTGATCGGGCACGACTAATAACGCCAACCATAAAATCAGAATCAAAAGACTGCAGGTTGCGTTTCTACTACCATATGAAGGGAGTCGATATCGGTTCATTACTGGTTTATGTCAGAAAGAGTTATAATGATTTGGCAAGCAATAAGATAGTGCTGAATATTACCGGTGAACAGGTAAATAGCTTACTTTATACTTGTAGTTCATTTGAGGGAAACCTATCATAAACCTACCATCTATTTATCTCCATTTTGCCATTGTTTCTAAGGATTCAGTGATGACTATCGCTATATTGATTCAGTGTTGATACAGGAGATGTCTAAACTATTTTCCCAGAGCCCGGTATTTTTGTTGCAGATATTTCGCGAGAAATGTATATAAGTCGGGAGAAAGAAACGTCGGAAAAAAAACCCTAGCAGTATTTAAAACTTCCCTTTTTTCATCCAGGACGATTTCTGGCGCCGTATTGATGTGCCAATCTCTTCTCTGAGTGAGTTTGAAATCGTCATCGAAGGCGTTCGTGGATCATCGTATGCTGGGGATATATCCATTGATGATGTTTCTCTTACTCCTGGTTGCATAGTCTGTCCTAAAAAATGTAACCCAATTGATGGTATGTACTGTGGTATACACATATCATCGCCATTATCATCATCATCATCATCATCATCATCATCATCATCATCATCATCATCATCATCATCATCATCATCATCATCATTATAATCATCATCATCATCATCATCATCATCATCATCATCATCATCATCTAATATTCTAATATTCTAATATTTTATCGACGTCATCAACCACCATTATCGTCAAAATACTTCTCATAATCACTCGTTATTCTTCTGTTCTAGGAAAACCAACACCAACACCATTCGGTCCTCACACCCGTCCTTCAAACTCCCCTTGCACCCCCACCCAGTTCGCATGTCAAAACCTTAAATGTGTCGAGCGGGAACAGGTTTGTGACTTCAGAGACGACTGTGGCGACAATTCTGATGAAATTCCTTGTGGAACAAGCTGTACCTTCGAAGATGATTATTGTTATAAGGGTTGGAGAAATCCCACGGGATCAGATAATACGGACTGGGCTCGAACACAAGCAATGCCTCAACAAATCAGCACCAGCCCCAAAATTGACCACACCACAGGAAGTGGAAAGGTCAGTTGAATATTAATCCGCTCTACTAAAAATAGGCTACAATGTCTAAACTGTTGTAAAATAAATGAGAATACTAGGGTGCTCTGGACAGTAAAGTAAATAATATAAAATGTCGTCCCTGACATATAATGGCAGCCAACGACGTTTGTTATGATACTTGCTTGAAGTAAATATGCTTACAACTTGTTCGGAGAAAACCATGAAAAGTGCGAATACAGTTTTCGTCTCCTGGGGCCGGTTGTTCAAAGGCGTTCAGCTTAAACGATGGATAAGCCAAAGTTTAAAAATACTCTGATACATCTTGTGAATGACTGAAACTACATCTTGTGCATTAAATATATACTTCCATTGAAAATTAAACTATTTACATTGAAATATTTCAGCTCAGTTGCTCAATAAATGGATGCAGTTATACTTAGTTTAACATTGTCATTACGTCATATCCTTATGTCACAGCATTGTCATTATGCCATATCTCGATAGGGTCATTACATGATCTTCAAATCATATCGTGGTAAAGAGGGAACAAAAGCACAGTTGATTTCCTATCGTTACTATGCTTCCCATCCACATTGTATGATGTCATTCTGGTATTACCTGGACGGTGAAACAGTCGGGTCTCTCAGCGTCAAACTGAAGTTGGAGAATAGACAATACAAAGAATTGTACAAGCTTACCAAAAGCCAAGGAAAGTCATGGAAGAGTGCCAATGTCTCCATTGGACAGCAAAAAGATTTCGAAATCATTTTCGAAGGTTCTTCGGGTACATCGTATTTGGGACTGATCGGATTGGATGACATCAAGTTTTACGACTGTTTCGCTGGTTAGTTGTAATCTTTGTTTTTATTTGATAGAGGCGTAGCTTGGAGCGTGGATCAATAAGAGATGATCCTTAGTCCTTACTGGACCTTTAGGAAAAACATTTTAGAACTTTTAGACCCAAAAAATATTTTGCTTCACTTAGATGCGTCGAGACCATGCAATGAAAACGAAGTGAAATGTCAAGGAACCAACAGTCACTGCATCAGCAGATTCACCAGAGTTTGTGATTTCGTGAATGACTGTGATCAAAAGGATGATGAGAAAAATTGTGGTAAGTAATTTGGTTTATCGATGAGAAGACATTGTCTTCTTCTGGTGTATGTGAAAGTCCCAATGAGCTTCGCTTGGTATAATGTGTATGATTCCTGGTCAAAAGAGAGTTATTTAGAGGTGAATTGTTTATTTCAACAGCAAAAGAACCATACAACTGCAATTTCGACAAAGACTTCTGTTCTTTCGAGAGCCCTGGTCCTAATAAGTGGTCTAGGGCCAAGTCATCTTCAACTGCAGGCACTGGGTCCGCATCTGATCACACCACTGGTAAAGGTAAGCCAGATTGTGTATTACACACTCAGAATTATTACAATCCTTACTGGACCTCTCGGAAGAACAGTTTAGAACTGATAGAGCTATCCAGTGTAAATAAAGTTAGTTTAGTTTAGGTTTCTTCCTGTAGTAACACTGCATCAATAAGAGATGATCCTTACTGGGCCTCTAGGAAGAACAGTTTAGAACTGATAAAGCTATCCAGTATAAATAAAGTTAGTTTAGTTTAGGTGTCCTTCTGTAGTAACATTGAATCAATAAGAGATGATCTTTACTCGAGCTTTACGAAGAACCATAACATTACAATTTTTAGGTTCGTTCGCTTTCATGAATTCGTCTAAAATCAAGCCATTTGATAAAGTAACTCTTCGACTAAAAGACAATAATGTTGAAATCTTCCCGCCTGGTGATGGAGTGTGTATCATGAGGTTCTACTACAAGATGTGGGGAAGTTTACACATGGGCCAACTCCAATTGTTTATGGTCACGAAAGGAAAGTTATATGATATTAAGAGTGAAATATGGAAGACGAGAGGTATGAATGCGATGTTTTTACGTGAACTGTACAAAGATATGTTATTGATACACCACATTCCACGGGACGGTAAAACTCCTGTGAAGCTCTTATGTTTAATTCGGGTGATTTTGTTGCGACTTTCGTTGCGATTCTCTTTCAACAGATGTGAACGATTGATCAGGTTTTGGATGTTTAAATATGAGCACTTGTGCACAAAGACTTTATAATTATCCAGTCGTTCGCATCCTTTTAAAACAGAGAATCATATTAAAAAACACAGTGTGAACCGTTATTTCCAAGCACCGGCAATTCATAGTGTCCTTTCCCGACGAATATATCGTGTGACAAATGTCTTGGACATAATGAATTGCTGATTAATGCCGGGACAAGTGTGAACCTGGCCTCAAATGACCGACATTCACTGAAACGTGAAAGTTACAACCAAGTATATAGCCTCATTAATCATCGTTTTTTTCAGGCGATGCAAACAATGACAACTGGATAAGAATCGAGCTTCCTCTCGACTCAACTCGAAGTTTCTCCATCGAGTTCGTCGGGACCATGGGGTCTGGGGAGAAGGGTGATATAGTCCTCGATGACGTCAGCTTCTCACACGGATGTACAGTCGGAGGTAGGGTTGTTGATCTCTACGATAACTGGATAGCCTGTGGAATTTATTATTTCATTCTTACTCAATGCCATGCTGACTGTTGCTACTAATACTAGCCTGACTAGTCTAGTACTTGCTGCTTTGCAATGTTTTATTCAGTGTTTCACTTTCAACCCTGGTATGTGTCCAACCCTCAAAAATGTTTCACTTTCATCCCTCATCAATATCAGTTAAAATATCCTGCAAAGGGTGATGAGCGTATACTCTTGCCTGCCGTATATCTATTTGCCCCGATTGTGGTTGTTAGAAATTCGTATCAATACCATCCACACATACGTATTACCTTTGCGTAAATCTTGATAAAATCTATTTAACCTTATTTCTCTGTAGGTACCCCAGCCCCCCCGGTTACTCGTGGCCCGGACGCTTGTCCTAAGGACATGTTCAAGTGTAAACGAAGTGGTTTGTGTTTATCTAAGCGCTGGGTATGTGACAGAACGAAGGATTGCGATGATGGTTCGGATGAGACAAATTGCCGTAAGTTTCGGGAACTTTCGTAAAGAGCCGTTTTCTCGTCCATTTTGTCCTGCTGTTTTACATGCGATTTTCGTCTTTTGATGGATGCGAAGGAGTATATGAGTAACAGATGTTCAAATAGAAGCACTCGTATATATTCTCGTATATCAGAACAATCATGACTACTCGCTCGATTGCATCAATCAAAAGATAGAACCGCAACAAATATTATTGACGTGATCAGTAAGAAATGAATTCTTTATATTTCCTTTTCTATAGAATACACGACATCAGTGACACCAAGTAAGTGCCCAGATAGACCACATAACGTGTACTGTCGTTTTAAATATTAACTGATTATTGACCGCGCGTGTGGGGGGTCTGTACTGTGAAATATTTGATATACATGAATGCTTGGAAATATGGAACTTATTTCTCGTCTTGCTTTATTCTCTATATAATAAAAGCTATTACTTAACAAGTGACATCCCGGGGGAACGGATGTATGAATGAATGTATGAACTTTTTTGTTTTCATTACAGCCGAGTTTACATGTCCCGAAAGTTATTATAAGTGTAAGAAAACCCGAATTTGCATCCCCCGTCTTTTGCTGTGCGATTATCTCGTCGACTGTCCGAACTCCGACGATGAGCAGCAATCGTTCTGTAAAAACAGTAAGTTGCCGATTACTTTCACTGAATTCACCGTCACACGTTTTTTGAGTTTACGTCTTTCATTTGTAGGAACTGAGGATAATCGAGACAAATACTTCTGTGAGGGACTCGGCCAATTTTTGGACCCCAGCCTTATCTGCAATGGCCGTGAAGATTGCATTGATAAAGCCGATGAACTCAAATGTGATGGTATGCAGCTGGACTTTGCCTTGTGACTTATTAAGTCTATCAAACATGTAACGGAAAGGGGGGGGGTTGGGGTGGTATTTGCGAAGATATAAACCCCGTGTCTTCTTTTTAGGATGTCCTGCTGTTACACGTTATTGTCAAAACGGTACCACATGTGCCACAAATCCTGGAAAACCAGGAGCACCAACTTGCAAGTATGCCATAGCTCGTTAATTGTGTGATTATAATCATCATCGTCATCATCAATCACATTACCATCGCCATCATCATTATCACCATCATTATTATCATCGCCATCATTACCATCGCCATCCAATCATCATCCATCATTCGTCATCTCATCGTCATCATCATCGTCATCAATCATCATCATCATCATCATCATCGTCATCGTCATCGTCATCATCATCGTCATCGTCATCGTCATCATCATCATCATCATTATCATCATCATCATTATCACCATATCATTATCACCGTCGTAATCATCATTATCCTCATTATCATCATGATTATCACCACCATCATCATCACCATCGTTATTATCATTATCATTATCAACATCCACAACCGCCTTCATTTTTTTTCTACCAAGGTGCCCGAAAGACCGACGTGGAAATCGTTGCCAATTTGATATAGATTGGAAACCGTGCGTTAACAACACATTTTCATGCCGGGATGGCACCACCAATTGTTTATCAAATACGAAGATTTGCGACGGCAAGAATGACTGTAACAATAAATTTGATGAAAGTAATTGCAAGACAACGCTTCCAAGTAAGTTAACCACATTCATTCACCTCAATCGAATAGGCTCGACTTAAGGCCAGGGTGGGTTCATACTGCACTTAACCGATTACAAAAACAAAATAGATATGTGGGGAAGTCTTGTGTTGAAAAGGTATTGCATTGAACGAGTAGGTGTTTGTCACTTTTCACTCTGATCATGATGGTTCAACGTTCGTGCGATGTCTTAGTTGCATTAGCCAGACACCCAGATATTACTTTTTAGCAAAAAATGTCAACTGCGAAACTTTAACTATCGATAACCCCACGTTTTGTCAACACTTAAATTTTCTTTTTAATATTTGTCTCATTCCAGCCGCTCGTCCAGCAGCCAGAAAACAAGCTGAGAAAAGTAAGAATTTTACTATCCTTAATAAATCCACACTCAAATAATTCGTTGTTCGATACAATTAAGATCAAACCCTGCTTTGTTGAAACCAATCCAATTGATTGAAATCATCAAGTAAAAAAACCTATATCGCGAGATATGAAACCACTGATGATGATGGTTTATTATTATCATCTCCAGGAAATAAAACCGATTGGAATGAAATCGTAATCGATTTACCCAATCCAAATGAAGCCTTGGCTCTAATTTTTTGTTTGTTTCTTCAGAATCATGGGTCGTCCCAGTCGGAGTTGTTTGTGCGATTGTTTTAGTGGCAATTGTTCTCATCGCTGCTTACGTCGCTGTAAAACGAAAAAGGTACGTACAGAATCCTTAACTCTGTTAATCTCGCCTTCCGTTTTGCATTCATCATTCTTTTTCTACTTTTTTACTTCCACGAACTGTGAATCTTGATTGAACCATTTAATGCAATAGAGAGGATATCCTTGGTACGGTTTACGGGTACACTCTACTGGCCATATATATATTATTGCTCAATGTAAATCTATTGTTTAGATACTATTTTTTATGGCAAATTGCATGTTGTTTTTTTACGTCAAATCATGCTTGTCTAATGAGGCTAAAGTCTACTCGAAGAGAACTATCGAGAAAAAGTGTGAAGAAATTGACAAACATCGATGGAAATTCATTGAACAACAAAGGCTAGCGTACCCGTAGACTGGTGATCTCAATCTCCCTCTACTCTAGTGAGATCTCCATGACCATGGAATTCGCTCTATTCGTTTAACTCTAATGTATCTTTGTTTTTCTTTGAAGAAAAAAATTGACATTATTCTCCGTGTTTTATGACCCCAATAGGAACCAAGAAGGCGATTCATCAAAGTAAGTGTTCTTTCGTTCAGGCTCGATAGTCGATATTGCCTAATTGTGAAAGGCATTTAGCATTGAAAACGTTGCGGTGTGCAACTTATGTATATGTGACAATCCAGTAATGTGTACGTGTATGTATAGCTATATACTCGTGTGTACATGTATTGATTTTTCGCCCCTCACTCCTAGGGTCCCCCCAAGCGGTGGAGCCGTGAGTGTCTCGGAAGGAATTGGAAATCCAGTTTATGACGAAGACAGACCGCTGGAAGGGGTAAGTTGATGTAACACCTTGTATCCAGGGATGTCTATCTGTGTCCCAACGTGAATCCCAACTCTGTAGCTTCTCATATTCCCATTAAACAATTTGTATCCCCCTTTAATGTCTATCTGTGTCCCAACGTGAATCCCAACTCTGTAGCCTCTCATATTCCCATCGTCTGCTGGTTTCTCTGTACGAGTTCCCCAGCGGTCGATTCTGTAGACAAACACAGCATTCCTAAAAAATTACACTCTTCACAATTTTATAAAAACTCTTTTTTTCAGTTTTCCATGAGTGACGTTGACACAAATATGTTTGTATCTGATGATTCGTTTACTGTTCCGGTAGGTTTTCCTTTCTAGTCAGCAAAATTCTTATCGCCAAAGATATCAGTTTATACATCTCTCGTGCAAAGAACGAGACCATTTGCCTTGGACCAGAGGCGCTAGTCTCGTAGTTTTGCCCTTAAGTTCGTCCGGTCCCTTCTTGTTTTTTACTCCAAAGTTTTTCTCGGGTGTTTTTGACCTCATTATTGGTGCTAAAAAGCCTATTTAGTCCATTAGTTTACAGTCTTTCAACAAATTAGAGAAATACAGTGGTTTCAAACGGTAGAAAAATGTTCACGAAGATTTGTGTAAACGAAATGTAGGAGGAACCCTCAGCCTTGACTTTTGCGCAAAGGCCGAAAATGGTTAAAATCGTAATAACTTTTAAAAGATAAAAACTTGTGTAAGATATATCCGAACTATATTTTGTATATAGCTCGTTTACTCTTAAACCAATAATTTTAGAACGAAAAGGAGGGTGACGGTGGTACATCTATGGCTAATCCTCTATATCAAGATCCTTACTATGGTGAAGATTAGGGGATAAAAGTGAAATCTGCAGCCATTAAACACAAATTTGTATTTTTTAGCATTGAATAAACTAATTTTAAAATATGCAATCATCTGAAATTGCACAATAATTATAGAATGATTTAAGAATTTTACAAGTAAGAATTATTTCAAATACATATAAAATATTTTTATGAATACGTAATGTTAATAATTGAACCAGCGAATTAGCCTATACATGCCATCATAAGATTGTAATAATAAGGTCTTAGTGCAAAATATTTTATGATTGTAAGTTAGTTACGCACATGACGAATTCCTTGTGGACTGAATGCTTACCTTTATATGCTTTTTTTACTGTAAAAAAAATTGAAAATAAAATCTAAATTTCTGAGTTGTTATAATACATTGTTGTCCTTTTGTTACAATTCAAATTTTCAACAGAATTGCTGATCGGAACACCTGTACGTACTGAGTTAACCTCATATATCTCATTTGTACCACAGGATTAGTGTAAAAGGTATGACCCTCCTTCATTAGATATCGCTTTGGCAACTGCCAGAATGCTTGTGTGTACTAAGTTGCCTACCAGATAACTCAGGATTTCGCCTTTAAATAATTTCGCCGTTTGTGAGGATGTAGTAACGACATTGCATTGCCTCAGCGCTTCTTATCCACCTTTACACTAACAAGTAACACCGCTTACATTTTGTGAATTTTTTCTTTCTGATTCTTCGTTAATTGTAAGTAGTAAGTACGACGCACGTCGATTCTTTCTCGACATTCTTACCTGATAAAACCACGGATTCGCTAATCTGTCACTATCTAAGAGAGAGATAGCGTACAGCCAGTTGAAGTGGGACACTTTGTTTAAATGTAGTTTGGTACTCACCAGACAGCAATAGAAAGTGACGAGTTAAGTTCTACGATTGCTTACTCACAATTACAATAGCAACATTTTTTTTATAAGCTTTGCCTGACCGAAAACAATTTTACCAGCTAGCTTAGGCTCGCTCTGATAGGTATCTGATAAAATCTGATAGAAAGGCCTGGCACCCCTGCACGTCAACATCCATAGCAGTGCGAATTGCCAGTGTTCAAAAAGAACATTTACTCTATAGCCTATACATTTAACTTAGAATGCTCAAGCAAAGAAACTGATGCATGTGAATCTGAATTTTCATGGAAATACGTGATGACATACTTCATTATTACTTCACCATATGCATTTACTGGATAGTTGTGTCCAGGAAATTTACGGAAATCTGAGGAAATTTTGAGAATAATTAAAGCCAATCTATGAGCCAATTTAAGGAATTCTCATATTTGGTTGTGAGGCTCCTGGACCATTCCTGGTTGGAAATTATAAGATTGTTCCGTTTGTTCGATCTGAAAAATGGCTTATTTTCGTTATTTTCTGCGTGGAACTTTTTATTTCTTTGCTTTACCTGCATTTAGTTTAACCGCTTTGCAACTCACAAGAGCTGAAAGTCCCGACGGTAATGTAAAAAAAGCTGGGAAGATACCTCGAGTCGCAATCATTGGAAGTGGAATTGGCGGCTCTTCCGCAGCTCATTTCGTGAGGGAAATTCTTGGAGAAGATGCACAGATTTCTGTCTTCGAGAAGTCAGGACGTGTCGGAGGCCGGCTAGCCACCGTAGATATTTCTGGTGAAACCTTTGAATCAGGCGGGTCCATCATTCATCCCAGAAACTTGTACATGAAGAAGTTTGTGGAGTATTTAGGTGAGATGATGACTAAAGCCCTGGTCAAACGAGAATGATAGTTAATGAGAGTTTATGAGAGTTGCAACTCTCGCTTGCGTTTGACCGCGAACTCTCATACACTCTCGTGCACTCTCATCAACTCTCATCGACTTTGAACCGGTTCAAATTTTGATGAGAGTTGATGAGAGTAATCAACTCTCGTTCTCAACTCTTGTTCTCAACTCTCATCAACTATCATTCCCGTTTGACCAGGGCTTAAGACTCGTTCAGGGGTAGGTGGGAAGCAAAGGGAAAGGGGTGGAGGAGAGAGGGGGAATAGCTTCGCTTACTTTCACCCAGCAAGACCAGCATACTGCCCTTAACAGCTACATTTGTGACATTACATTTAGGTTTAGAGAGGAACACAGATACCGATGGCATATTTTCACTTTATGATGGTAAAGATATTGTTTTCTCAACCAGTTCATGGTCCTGGTTGACCTCTCTGAAACTTCTCTGGCGCTATGGTTTCAGTTTGGTAAAGATGGATCAGGTTACAAAAAGTCTTCTCAACAAGTTTGCAAATATCTACACACTGCAAGACAAGGGTGAATCATTTCATTCTGTGCCAGACCTGTTGCAAGCCATGAGTGGTAACGAAGAGTTTTACAGATTGACAAAAATAACTGCAAGGAAATATTTATTGGAACAGGGTCTCTCTGAGTTACTCATTGATGAACTTGTCACAGCCATAATGAGAATCAATTATGGGCAAAGTACCGAAGTGAATGCATTCACAGGTGTGTTGGTAATGTGTATATATTTTTATGTCATCACAATCCTTATATTCGCTTTCAGTCAAGATAAGACAAATTTTTTATCAATGCATCAGATATACAACATGGCTGGCAGTGTTTTGACTCGGGTATAATGTGAGTAAATGTAATATTCACTAAATTATCTAATTTTATTTGCCAGGTATGGTGTCATTGGCAGGCGCTGAATCAAATCTCTGGTCTGTAAAAGGAGGAAACTGGAAGGTTTGTGAAGGACTTTTAAACAAATCCTCCGTAATTCTCAACAAGAACACACAAATAATTGAAATAATCAAAAAATCAGACACAAAAGAGGACGGAAAGCCGTTGTACTACCTGCGAAGTGTGGAGTCCTTAATAAACACTCCATTTGATGTTGTCATTGTTGCTCTGCCACTTGATATAGCCCAGAATTTCATTGGTTGCAGCGAGTGTAGCAATTGGCCCATGCAAACTGAGCTGGGACAATTCCAACAAACTGTAGCGACTTTTGTTGATGGCAATTTAAATGATAATACTTTCAAGAAGGACTCAAGTGTGATTGGTACTATGGAGAAACCTGAAATATTTTTTAGGTATGATCATGTATATTTTATTCTTGTATGATTTATTTCAGTTTTACCAAACCAGAGGTTCAAACTGTCCAGGAAAGAAATCCTTTATTGATCCAATGTTACTAATACAAGAGGAAACCTTAACTAAACTAGACTTTTCTCTTTATACTGAATATCTGCTCATGACTTCTAGAGGTCTATAAGAATCATCTTAGTACTGTCAAATACCATGGTCATTTCAGTACAGCATGTTTCAATAACTTTTTTCTTTTTGCAGTTCCATTGGCAAACAGCCATCTGTGTACAAAGGCAATGATTCTGGAGCAGAAGGCAATGTATGGAAAGTCTTCAGCAGGAAGCCACTCACAGATGACCAAAAACACAAGCTATTTTCAGAATCTAAAGAGTCAAAGGAGGTTATTTGGTTGGCATACCCACACTATACACCACCAGAGAAATTTTTGTCTTTTGTTTTGGATGATGGAGTGTTCTATGTAAACACTATTGAATGAACAGCCAGTGCTATGGAGATGTCGTCATTGTCTGGGAGAAATGCAGCTTTACTAACAGGCAAGTATTTAAACAGGTTGAAACCAGTGCCTCCTGCCAGTGAAGCTCATCATGAATTATAACCTTTGCTTGGCTAAAATTGCAACTCAAAATGCACCGATCTCTGTAAAGCAGCATCCTAATCTAGTCTCCTCAAAACTCTACCAAAAGCACAAACTCCACAAAATAATAATGGAAGTTATTTTGAAATATATAATTATGAAAGTTAAACACACAAGGTTTATAACACAATTTATAAAATTTATAACCCTCAACTTTGGAGGAACCCATTCAAAAAATACAAAAATATATTTTGTAAATAACTTTGTATCACACAAGACGTTCAACAATCTATTATAATAAAGGTCTCTGGTGCTATATATTGGTGGTGACTGGTGTGTTATGCAGACCAAGTCACAAACTGTACTGATGTCAAAGTCATGTTTTCAACACCAGTTCACCTATTTTATTATGTAAACATGCATGAATTGCCACGACCTCTCACGACAAATTTCGGTCATCTCTGATCACTACTCTGCTGGTCCATCATCCTCCTTTGTGTCTGCAAACATAACCAACCATTTGCTGATCATCGGAATCTTCTCGTTTTCTTCCGCAACTTTATTTTGATACAACTTTTTCTTCTCAGCCGCTTTGTTTTTCTCTTTTCTCACCTCTTCTGCCTGTTTCTTCAACTTCATGATATTTTCGCAAAGTTTCCTTGCATTTTCTTGCTCTCTTTCTATTTTTTCTCGAAGGTTTTCAAATTCCAAAAATTTGTGCCTTTCACATCGTGCAGCGGCTAAACACATCAAAATACACACTGTAATGTAGTTGTTAAACACAAACCATATAAACTTTAGGTAGGGGGCTATACTTATTGCTTATCTATATTGCTTATCTATATTGCTTATCTAAACTGTTCACTCTATTCATGCCACCAGAAAGGGAACAAACTAAACTATTTTTTAAAGGTTCTTCACTATTCTTCCAGTGTTCCTACAGGAGGAAACCTAAGCTAACTAACTTTATTTACACTGTATAGCTCTATCAGTTCTAAACTGTTCTTCCTAGAGGTCCAGTAAGGATCATCTTTTATTGATCCAGTGTTACTACAGGAGGAAACCTAAACTAAACTAACTTACAGTATACTGGATAACTCTATCGGGTCCTAACTGTTCTTCCTAAAGGATCTTTCATCAATTCTAATTTGCTCCGGTTAGAGCCCCAGTATAATCCAGATTAATACTGCACCTTCATATTCATTTGTCCACTGATCAATGCTCTCTTTGCGATCAATTTTCGCCTTCTCTAGCAATTGACAGATGTCCGCCTTGGGTACGAGAGAAGCGAGCTTGTCCAGCATCTTTTTAGCGCCTGAAATACGTGCAAAATATTCTTAGAAATCCGACAGCAATATTTACTACCGCCAAAACATTGTAAAAAAGAATACAAGAAAAAAATTTTAAAATAGTGTTTTCCGTATGTCTCCAAACGTACCATGCAAATTTTTCAACCAAAGCTGGTCAAATTTAGACTGCCCTTTCAATACATTACCTGCCATATCGTTGAACATATCCCTAGCGTTGTCCACATCAGAGAAACCGTTCAACCCCAGTCCTTCGTCTTCAGACTCATCCGGATTGTTGTGGTTGTCGTTACTACTCTCGGGCTGTATCGGCGGTTCTGATTGGTTGTCCACACTGGAGAATCGCTGTAACGGCTGTTGTGATTGGACGTACACTACATTGGGGCTTGTTGATGCCTGAGGTGAAGTTTGGCTCGACTGTGTTGACAGTGTTGTCGTCTTGCAAGTTTCCGATGCGACCGAAGGTTCTGTGGGAACTGCGCTGACTGGCGCAGCTGAACTCATGGCTTTTCTGTCAGTTGGGTCTATAGTGATCTTGTTCGCCATAGCTGTCTCCAAGTCCGGACCAATGACACGCGTCGTAACTGCGCGTCCGTTAATCGTCTGTGCGTTGCCTTGGCTCAGGCTTGAGCTACCAACCGCAGACGACGTTGATCCATGAAGTTGTTGTTCTCTTGCCTTTGGCAGTAGCAACCTCTGCAATTGCTGTCCAATTGCGTTGGGCTCCATTTGCTCCCGTGTTTTGCTCTGTATGAAATTCCTCAGTTGATCGAGAGTTGGTTGCTGGACTGTCGTCGATTTGTTGGCGGGACGGAACACCAGAAACGATTGAACGGACGAGCTTGGGTTTTGGCTATTAGGAACGATGAATGTAAGCGGCTGGTTATCATTCTGGGCATGCGTCGGCAGAGTTTGCGGTCTGGGCATGTGAGTTGTTGCGTTAGCCGTGGTCGAAATTGCTGCAACTGGTCTTGTCAGACTCTGGGTTGCAATGCCAACGCCAGTGTTCTGTCGACTATCCTGCGTCCTAGGTTGAAAAGCGGAAGGTCTCTGGCTTCCTGTTGGGGTTTGCCGTGACAAGTTCCTGGGTACTTGTATACAAACCGGCTTTGTTACAGGTACTGGTCGAAAATGTTGAAGTCTGGTTGCGTTTTGGGTTATATGTTGTGGTGCGTTTGTTGCTGCTGGTCTTAGTATAGGAAGCTGTGCTAGTAAACGGCTTTGCTCAGAATCTAGTGTTTGTCTTTGCTGTTGTTGTATCTGTTGTAGATGTTGTTGTCGTTGCAAATGTTGTTGCAACTGTTGTTGTTGCTTCTGCTGCTGCAGTTGTTGTTGTTGCAACTGTTGTTGTTGTTGTTGCAACTGTTGTTGTTGTTGCTGTTTCTGCTGCTGTTGTTGCAATTGTTGTTGCAACTGTTGTTGTTGTTGTACCCGTTGTTGTTGTCGCAACAGTTGTTGCAACTGTTGTTGCAACAGTTGTTGCAACTGTTGTTGTTGTGTTGGGCTGTAAACGATGCCTTGTGTTTGGGATGGTAAGGCTTTCGTCAGACACATTCTATCCTCAGTAGAGGATACTGCATGTCCTTGTGTTGTAGTTTGTGACTCAATGACTGCTCGTGCGTTTACTGTAGTTTGCGTAACAAATGTTTCTTGGTCATGAGTACGTGTGGCGCATTCTCTCTGCTTCTGAGTGTCGGAGTCCAACTCTCTTGCTTCCTGTTTGATTTTAATATTCATGTCACTTTCAGCTTGATTATGTCGTTCCACATCGCTTAACTGAGTTTGGCTCAGTTGTGCCGTTTGGTCTGGTGCTGGATGAGCTGTAGGTGCCAATGCATGTCCTCGGGTCTGTTCGACCACTTCCCTGTGTGTTGTGGTGACATTACTTTGCAGAGAAGTCTCTCCTTGTTTATCTTTGTTCCTCTGTGGTCCAGATGATATACCATACACCTCTTCGCAGATTTCATCAATCACACTGTGTAGAGGATCGTAGTCTGCTTCATTTGCAACAGTTTCTCCACTGGCAGGTGCACTAACTCTCTCAGTGAGATGTTCCACCACAGCCGTTAATGATTTTACTGGCTGGTATTCATTGTTGCTAACAGTCGTCTCAGGCTCGTCCATGGATGTGCGAGAATCATTAGCTGAACTAGAATTGGACTTCCCTATCGAGGTGAAAACTTTGCCTGGAATCAGCGAATCTTTTTGAGGAATTCTTGGTCGTTTGTCCGACCCCTCTGTTGTAACGCTGACACCATCATCATCTTCACCACTACACGCACCTCTTTGGTTTTCATTCTGTGGCAGTACCTCGCCACTTCCAGCTTTCTGTATTTGACTAGTTGTTGAACTACGATTCAAGCCTTCTCCGCCATGCTCGCCTTCAAAGATTTCTTTCTTCACGACAATATTACTGTCCGTGATATTCTGTGATACATTTGTTTTAGACTTGACACTTTCGGATGCTTTCTGCTGCGGATTTGATGTGGATTCAACAGTTAGGCGCTGTTCTGAAGGACTTGCAGAAACCTGGTCGCCATGTGAATATATAAATGCTTCCTGCGCTGCAATGCTGTCTGATTGCTTAGCATTTTCAACGTCCAAAAATGAGCTGCTTTCTGCACTTGACGAGCTGTCAGAAGACTGTCTACGACTTGACGAGTTGCTTGTCCCGGCTCGCTTTCGTTTTCGGAGACTGGTAACGACATCTTCTATACTTTTCCTGGACTTCTGCTGTTCTGCTGCATAAGGACTGGGAGTTGAACGATTGGACTTCTGGGTCTCATTTGATGCGGAACATGCTGATGATCTGTGCTGCTCTGTGGCATCCGGTTCACCAACATCAGGATTAGGGGTGGATCTATCAACTGGTCCTTCCGCCGTTGTCTCAACGGGTTCTAGAATGTTGAAAAACGGTCTTAATTTGACATTTCCGCTGCTAAGTTTCTTCTGCAGTCTTTTACAAGCCGACGCTATCTCAGCTGAAGAGCTGAAGGAACTCTGAGAATTCTCTTCCTCCATGGAACCAAGACTCTTGGAATGAGAATAATCGTCATCTGGAGGTAGAGGTGATACATTTGGGGTTGGAAGGGGCTGTTCGGTGGTTTTAGTTGTCATCGAGCGTTTCTGAGAAACTTTAGCCTCTTCACGTGATTTCCCACCGACTGTGAGTCCCGTCCCAGCAATGTTATTTTGATTACTGTCCATGCTCGATGCTTCGGACAATAGTTTCCTTTTAACTCCAGCTGAAACAAACTGAGTAGTGAAATTTGGAGGCGGGCTCCTGCTTTCGTCTGCTTTCTCTCCGCGTGCAGTCGCTTCTTTTATCTTTCTTTTTAATGAATTAAATTTAGGCATGTCCAATTGAATCTCGAGTTTTGGCGATACGGCTTTTGATTTCTTCATCTCAGGCTCCTTTCCAGATGCCCCTTGACCCGATGATTTTCTTTTCAATTCGCATGAAGGTTCATCCTCTGTACGAAGCGACCGCGCGTCTTTCTTCGAGAATGAAGACCTAGTTTTGCTCTCAGAGATTTCATTTGACGAAGAACCTATATTTAGTGATTTTGATTTACTTAGTGGAGAAGTAGATGATCTCTCAATGGAAACATCATAGCTATCTTCCTCAGTAGTATATAAAGTATCCTGTGATGAGGCACTCAAACTTGGATCAAAACTCCAGTCTGGGTCATTTTTGTCTTTGTCTGTGTTTTCCATGCTACCATCATTCATACCATCAACCATACCATCGTCCATACCATCATCAGGTTCCCGTTTTACTCGTTCAAGCAAATTCTGTATATATGCATCATCTTTCTCATCATTAACCTTATCAGAGTCTTCATCACTCTCAATATATATTAAATCAATATCTCCAATTTCCTCTGGGCCAAAATCATTCTTTTCATTCTGACTCTTCTCCAAGAACAGGCTAATAATGTCGGTCGCATCCTTTTCTCTTGCAACATCAATTGGTTTCAAACCATCCGAATTTGGTAGGTCACAGTCGGCACCACTTTCCATTAACAGCTTGAAAATTTCAGCACCTTTGTCATGCTGTGCCACCAAATGCAATGCCGTGTTCCCATCCCTATTTCGACAATTTAGCAACTCTGCATCCAGTTCACAAGTCACTTGAATCAATATTTTCAGCATTTGCGTGTAGGTGCTCTCAAAGCGGGAATCATTTAACAGCGGTCGCTCAACAAGGATCTTCGCCGCCACATGCAATGGGAGGTCTTTGTTGTCGTCCTTTGCCGACAGAAGTACCTTTAGTAGCTTGACAACTTTTTTAAATGTCTTGAGTAAGTTATTACAGTTTTCTCGTAGTGCTGAGTAACCACACACCATGAGTCGATGTAGAGCAGTCTCACTCCTTTGTCCCCACCTCTTGTTAAGGTCCAATCCTTTTTCAATGCACCATTCTAACACAAGAATATTCCCAAGCACAGTTGCCCAGTGAAGCAGAGGATATCTGAATTCCGGGTCTGGGTCATCAATGATCTCATTAAGATTCCAACCTTTCCTCAAAAACTTTGTAATTGTCTTGGTAAATTTGTTGTAACCTTGGTTATCAACACAGTTGATAACTGCAACCAAGATTTTGTGATGGCGGCCTGAAAATTGACACACAGGCTCGCAAAATGGCGTACACTGTTTTTTGATGACAAAGTCTTCAGGAGAGGACATTCTAAAAAACAAAAATTACATGAGTTCTAAATAATACCTATTAAGCATATGTGAAGGAATTCATTCAGACAATCATACTAAACTACATATATGAAGTCTTTAGGAATCTTGCTTTAGAACTAGGTGAAGTTCAATTAAATATTCCCTATGCTGCATTGAATTTGTCATCAAAGCACCAATCAATATTGCTTATTGAATTAACCAGGGATAAATATAATCAGGGATAAATCTGTTTTGAAGGTCACATTGAAATTCCATCTTGCATGAGTTTATGCCCACAACAAATGACAAATCCCACCTACTCTAGCCTCTAACTTGTGGCATAGCTGGGAGTTGTACAAGATCTATGTGGTAATATATTGTCTACCTCATCAGTTGATGATATTATGATCACAGATGAAACCTGTGAGAGGAACCTGTTCATTTAATATTTAATGGTTAATTTACGGATAAATTGATCAAAATTGTCTTAAAGAAGCTGGTCATTTGCATAAGTTACCCGCCGAAGTTTGAAGGAATGACAATTGACAAATGATATAAACAGGACAAGGCTGACAAGCTCGAAGGGAAATGCGTGAACTTTCACGAAAAAATAGACTATCACGTAGCTCGTTCTTCTAGTTATTGGAGATTTTGATTGCTGGTGGCAAGTCAGTAGAATTCCGAAAGGTATAATGCTTTCTCACTCTGTCACTCATATCGATGTTTAATATCGATTAAAATGAGGAAGTGGCTTTTCGTACTGGTGTGATTTGCTATTCGTACTGCATTCAAAATATCTCTTTCAATTGTCGGGATAATATTTGTTTTTATCGACTCTAAGCGATTGGTACAACGGCGTTCAACGGCGTACTGTTGCAGCACGAATAGCCAATTCGTATATCTTAATACCATTGTGAATACAGCCGACAAAACATGCCTCAATTAATCGCGATTATCTTATGTGTGAAGATCCCCTTTACTGTGAAATCTAGCTTATAACAATGAACAATGATATTCTCCATTCTCCTACCTTGATTATTCGTCCTGTCACGATGGATTGATCGATGTCCGTCAATATTCTGCAACTGTGATTGTTTGTGTACGAATTAATAAAAAAAACTACGAATTCTTGACCTTAAATCGTATGCTTTCTTGCACTAACTTCAGCACCTAAAACGCTCCCGTCTTTGCGTAAATCTCCAAGGATCAAAACGAAGTATCTAGCTTGTGTAAAAGACCATTGTCGAGGCAACAGTATTCTGAATTATACGGCAAATTAAACGCATGCTTTGCGCCATTTCATCGGCCTGCCAGTCGTCATGCAACATTATATTTCTTCCCCCCCGAGGAAACATTGTATACATTTGTATTGTGACGTCATTGATTAATCCTGTGTGACGTCACAGATGAAGCTTCCCGAAGTGATTTGCATAAGAGGCGCGCGCCTTTTGCGCAAAGATGCGTCGCGTTGCTGGAATATGGATTTTTCTCGTAGTTATTATATGCTATCATTGCTATGGTAATTCTATTTTGTTAAGAAAAGGTGTTCGACCGGTTGGTGTAATGTAAGTTTGCTACGCTTTTTATGCGATTATAATTAAAAGGTTTTGGTACTGTTTTTAAATATGGACTAAGAGAGGAAATATGAGTGCTACTGGATTGTTAGCTGAACAAACTTTCTGCTTTCTATTGAGATATTTCAATGGAAGATTTAGCTTTTTTCTTCCGACAATTTTCTCTCAGACATGAACGTAGTTGGTGCGGTGCAGAACTAAAACGCAAAAAGCATTTTTTCCGCATCGATTTGGGGAGTTTAAGAACCATTACTGGTATCGCGACCAGGAAAGATGACACGGCGGTGGAGTTTCGATTGAGTTACAAGAAAGACAAAGACAGATATTGGCATTTGTATAAAGAGGGAGGACTTGTAAAGGTTTGTCAGACTGTAAAAGCTTTAGTGAAACTTGCTATAGCTATATATCGGTTTGCAGCAGCCATTATTCAGGTAGCCGACGATTTGCTTTTAAAATGTTCAATAAGGAAGAATTCACAATGATTATAATGAAATATAATTTCATTCGGTATCTTGAGAGAACGCGACGCTAACGAATCAGTATTGCCAGCTTTTTTCACTGAGCACCCGGCCAAAAACAATTGGATTGAAACTGACAGTTACGTGTTACACTGAATATAAAGAACTTAGATTTAGTTTGGATACTGTTAAATATTTAAATGGATATCGATATGCATGTATGCAAGTTGTTTGAAAGTGAAGAGACATTCACTTCTATCATTATCATTGAGCCAAAGGAATTTGTGAACTTAACTGAAGAAGGCGGGTGTCGGAAACATCGTGGTTAACCAAAGTTACCAAACGAGGAAATGTTTGGTTAAAATATTGCGTCATATCTTATCTTTTCACGTAGAAATACAAGAAATGAACTCAGTACATTACTCGATTGACTCCAAAATAACCAAGAAACAGCCGGCTTGGCATGATCTTCGTAAAACTAAAATAGACAAGAAGCTTCTCGAATTAAGTTTCGAACTAAAAACGGCCGCATGCACGTTTATTCTTGGCTATATGTTTAGGCAATTGTTATATCACATTTGATGAAAAGTTACTTGATTTTCCACTCATTTAAAAAAGTAAAGTAAAAAGCAAATTCCGAATAAACAAGACATCTTGAGAATCAAAATATAATTCAAACAAGACACAGATTGAGACTGTAAATTTTCGATTTTATTACAAAGTCATCTTCGTCTGACTTTGACGAAAGATGACTTTGTAATAAAGTCGAAAATTTACAGTCTCAATCTGTGTTTTGTTTGAATTATATTTTGATTCCATCATTTGGTTCGGGTGTCTTAAACCACAATAAGAACGCACTCTGTCCGATTGCTTGCAAAGTCTTTGACTTTTATGTGATTTAGTCCCGTTTTTTCATAAACTCGCCGGACTTCTTCGTCGCGATAGTTTCATAGATTTTCCCTGTCTGTCAATGTTTTCTTTGTTTGCTGTGTGATTCAACAATTCTTCAAGTGAATAGCTTCTGACCATCGCTTCGCGGCGAAGTCTCCCATCAGTCATCAGTTGTCAGTGAAAAGCTTCAAATGATCTGCAGCTTATACTTGAAGCTTCAAATGATCAACAGTTTTGCCAAAGAAATCTCGCGGAAACAAAGAAACACTTGGCTATATCAGTCAACTCGAATATCAACTGGAACGCTAACTCCTATAGTTTAGCCTAATACTTCGTTGACGCCAAAAATTGTGTCTTGACTCGGTTATTCGTTCAATTCTTATAAAATTTAGCAAATGATTGTATTTTATATAGTTTTAGACCTTCCTAGATAATCACTCTCAAACGTTAAAAAACTCAAAAACTACCTTCAAAGATGACTTCAAAGATGGCCGCCAAGTTTCTGGACTATACGGATGACTGGATGCGGAATAAAATGAATTATTTGCGCTTTAGATTTTTGAAGTAAACGAGAAATCTCAGGGGCTTTATAGCCGTCAATGGTTCCGAAAGAAGATCAGTGCAAGGTATCTGCATTTTCGCGTCACGGGCTGGAAGAAGTGGCCTGCATGTCTTCATCTTGAGGTATATGGTCTTTTGGATAATTTTGAGATAAGCGTCAAAAATCTGAAGAAGGATGGATTGAAAGCGCTTTCCAGGGAAGATGAAGATGAAAGCAATGATTTGGAAGGAAATTTTGAAGATGATCAAAAGGTTGAAAGAAGTAGGTTTTTCTGTTTTTTCAAACCGATAAATATTGAAGATTTTTTAATATTTCTCTTCATATTTCGGTATGCATTCATCTCTTGATATTTTCTTGGCAGACAAACCAGCGATGGGTCATATTGGCAAGCCAACAATTTCTCTTACACAAAAGAAGGACGCAGATAAGAGGATTTTAACAATCGGGCTGTGTTTTCTTGCCACAGGAATAATCGCATTACTAGCTATGATTATTGTTTGTAAATGGGAGAGGAACGAACGTAAGATCAGCCCGGATGTAATGAGAGCAGAACTCAGACAAAAAGCGAGATCAAATTTAAGAAAATAAGATTGAACCTGTATGTACATACGGCTATAAATAGTTGCCAAACTTTATTTTAAAATAAGATTACTTCATTCAACAATTTGCGATTGCTGTGATGTAAGGTTCCAGCCAATCAGTTGCTAGAAAACCGGAAACTCTAGTGAGACATTGCTGTTTTATTATTAAAGTGTTATGTAATACATGCTGATAGCTAAATTAACCTTTCCTTGTAGAGGTCCAGTATGGATCATCTTGCAGAGTGTTTACAAGAGGAAATCTAAACTATACTAGCTTTATTTATACTGTATAGCTCTATCAGTTCTAAACTGTTCTTCCTAGAGGTCCAGTAAGGATCATCTCTTATTGATCCAGTGTTACTACAGGAGGAAACCTAAACTAAACTAACTTTATTTATACTGGATATAAACACTAAACAGTGAACTGTTTAGGCATAGTACAACATATGGACTGGACTGGACTGGATTGGATTGGATTGGATTGGACTGGACTGAGCTGAACTGGACTGGACTAGACTGAGATCCAGTCCAGTCCAGTACTGTACATATTTTGTACTATGCCAACTGTTTGTCCTAGACTAGAGGCCAGGGGCCTGGAATCATCGCTTATTGATCCAGATGAGTGATCCAGATTCATTGGGATTGTTCTAAAAGTGAAAACGTAAACTAAACTAAAGTAAACTAAACTAAACTTTATTTATACATGAATTGATAGGTCTTTTCTAGACGTTTCCTAGGCTACACACAGTTCTAGACTATGACGAGTATGCATTTCCAATAATGATTTTAATCTAGGGGATTTAAAAGAGACGTGACTTCTCTTAGTCCTATCAAAACCTTTCAGTCAACCTAACCGCAAATTTGAAACAAACCTCGCGCTGTTAATCCCTTGAGCTTTACCTCACAGGATTGCTCCACCACACCGCAATTAATAAAATAACGCGTCCCAGATAAGATCACCCCAGCTGCACGTTGAGAGGTCTTGCAATTGTTATATTTGTATCTTCTTTTGAAACGAGCGCTGCTGCTGTAGAAATAGATATTCATCTGAATTGTTAGCTATTTACGCTTTTGAATTTAAGAATGTCCACGCTAAACCGCACGATTACATTCCTGCATATATATGAATCAAGAGATTTATTGATTTTGGCCCAAAAGAATTCTTCAAGTATCATTTGCACGCACATGTATTACGCCATACGGTCTTAACACTTCACAGGAAATCATTGTTGACATTGGAAGCACGCCAGGTCAGGGCGCGTTCTATACGCGTCCTTCAATCGATTCGGGAATTCCTGCTATGCATAACATTAACGAAGATTTGACCTGATGAAATTTCAATGAATTTTCATCATTATTTGGCGGTCAACGACGGTCTGGATTTTCTTAAAAAGTAATAGAGCAATTATAAAACGTTTAATTTAGTTTTAAAAACTGGTAGGAAACCGATCTCAAAATAACGCTTGTCTCAGTCGCCTGGAGTGGTCTCGATCTCCCTGTAAACCGTTTACCGTTGATAATAGTTTTTTGGTAGTGTTATTGCCTCTGAGTTCACGTTATCCGGAAGCAAGAATTTACTAAATTTACCGCTGAAATTACTGACGAAAAAGTGCGAAATAATTATAGTTTTGGTACTTTTTTAAGTTATTATTAGATAATCCAAATCACAAAGACGAAATTCCTGTGCCAAAAATAAACCAATGCGTTCTACACAACAATATATGCTAACATTAAACCACTTGAGTGTATGGTTTTCTTTTGAAAGTTAAGTACGTTACGTCTTTGGTCCAAGTCGGTCTCATAAAGGGCTTTATTTGGGAGTTTCTCTTCTTATTCTATTTTGACGCACAGCAGTGGCTCGTGCCCAATACTTCGACGTCGTTCAAATACTATAAAAGAGTTTTGACTCTTCAAGGAAGTAACAGGCAGCTTATCTGGCGGTGTAAATCAGTTACTGAGACGTTGTGGCACTTCATCTGATGTACGATAGTTTCTAAAGCCTTTTAAAGGTCTTAACTTCGAGTGGAAATCATTCGTATACATCTCAAAGTCGAGCCGGTGAGAGAAATGCATCAAACATCGGTCCTGGCTTGAATATGAGTTGGATATGAATCATTCAGTCCGCTCGAAATTAAGATCCTAAACGCTTTAGCGCTCCAACGCGACGTTCGAGAATCGAAATGTCTTTCTCTTCGGGTTGTTCGGACACAAACCACGACAGCTTATTGAATATTGTGGAGTACTCCTACGCTGGACGACCACGTTTGCGGAGATGACACAAACGCCTTACAAACGTACGACAACAGCTTATTGAAGAATATCTTACCAATACAGGCAATCTGTGCTGAACTACTCAGCTTAGAAAAAAACGGTGACGATAGACCACCACGCTGCAAGAATACATCTTTCAATATAGTTCAGTCATGAGCTACGAAGGCTGCTTCTAGAATTTCACCTCCGCATTTGATATTACATCACTATCGTATCAGGCGATCTGACCTTTTCCTCGCGTGACGACCGCATGTCTGATGCGTGACATGCATTGCCGGAGGTTTTCTCCTGTAGTGGCACTGGATCAATAAATTAAAAGATTATTTCTACACTCCTACTAGACTTTTCTAGACTGTCTAATATAGATAAAAAGTTAGTTTAGTTTAGGTTTCCTCCTGTAATAACACCGGATCAATAAGAGATGATCCTTACTGGACCTCTAGGAAGAACAGTTTAGAACTGATAGAGCTATCCAGTATAAATAAAGTTAGTTTAGTTTCGGTTTCATCTTGTAGTAACACTGGATCAATAAGAGATGATCCTTACTGGACCTCTAGGAAGAACAGTTTAGAACTGATAGAACTATCCAGTATAAATAAAATTAGTTTAATTTAGGTTTCCTCCCTAGGTAGTAACACTGAATCAATAAGGGATGAAAGAATAATTGTATTTAGCAATTTCAAAATTTTCAAGATTCACATCACACGAACTAAGGTATATCGCATTACAAATATTTGCCTCTCAAAATAATTTTAAACATGCTCTGGGACTCACAATGACTGAATCACAGCCTGAACTTGTAACAGCAACAAAAATCTCGTCACGGATCTCAAGTGTTTACAAATCATTTCAAGTAGTCCGTCTCAGTTTAGCATAAATCTGATCTAATACGATGTGCGTTTTTGGGAGGGAAAACTAGATTATACTAGGCAACATAATGTGAGTTTACTGTAAACAGTAAACGATCCACGTCGAATCACGTCTTCAAGGCCTAGAATTATCCTCAGACATGTTTCCATGATAGGCTCGTAAGTTCATGAATGTCCTTATTAAAAATATATAGTCCGCTTTCTTTCGTCAGGGGATCAGAATAAGTTCCTTGTAGTGAGTTCCGTATAGGATCATTTTGGCACAGCCATTCACTAATGATCATTAGCTATAAACGTGTTTCATTGTTTTCACAAATTTGTTTACCTCAAACCTCAGCCAGAAAGTAATAGGAATCGAGAAAAGCGACAGCCAAAGGACACGTACTGATTCAAAACAATTGATGTAAGTAAATTTATCCTCAATCAGAACACAGCTGAAGCCTGAATACGTTCAGGTTTTGGGCAAAATAAAAGATATTTTAAACGGCAAAAAAAGCCAAACTCCTAAGTTCAGTTAAATTCTGTGTGAAATAGAAAGGCTTCTTCACTTAACAAACAAAAAATATTTTCTTTTTGGGATATAGTAGCGTGCTGAATTACGCTTCCAAAATCTATTGACAATATGCGGGGCATACCTCCCGGAATGTGGGGTGTGCTTGCCTAGAAAACGACGATATAAACACAAACCTCATCTTATTCTAGCATGCTACATACACTGGACAAGACCACCGCGGTTAAGATATATTTTTCAGGTAGTTCAGACACAAACCACAACCGCTTATTGTATAGAATACTACCTACACTAGACCACCACGTTTGAGATATCTTTTTCAGGTAGTTCAGACACAAACCGCGGCACCTTTTTGTAGAATACTACCTACACTGGACCACGATGTTTGAGATATCTTTCTCAGGTAGTTCAGACACAAACCACGACAGCTTATTGTAGAATACTACCTACACTGGACCACCACGTTTGAGATATCTTTTTCAGGTAGTTCAGGCACAAACCGCGACAGCTTATTGTAGAATACCAGCTACACTGAACCACCACGTTTGAGATATCTTTCTCAGGTAGTTCAGACACAAACCACGACAGCTTATTGTAGAATACTACCTACACTGGACCACTACGTTTGAGATATCTTTCTCAGGTAGTTCAGACACAAATCAGTCCACGACAGCTTATTGTAGAATACTACCTACACTGGACCACCACGTTTGAGATATCTTTCTCAGGTAGTTCAGACACAAACCACGACAGCTTATTGAAGAATACTACCTACACTGGACCACAACGTTTGCATGAGATATCTTTCTCAGGCAGTTCAGACACAAACAGATATATTTTTGTGATTCTGACACAAACCACAACACTTACCGCATTAAGGTTTTAATCACGTTTGAAAAGATGTTCCATGTACACCTAAACATGTATAATGTATTACAAAACGTTTATGATACCATAAAGTTGCATTTGTTTGTGAAGTCCAAACTAACAGCAAATGGGCAAGCAGCATAACTATAGTATAAAATCTTAAAACTTTTTATTCGTGGAATATATAACATATTTCTCCGCATGATTCAGAATAATTCTCAGTCTATTTAGAAATTTCCATAAGCACTGTGGTTCGATGATTGAGCTCATCACTCTGCAGATATAAACCAGTTGGACTTGTGACTTTAAACGCTGACGTGATCAGGCGACATTGGTCGAGAAATTGAGACAATGTTAATGTCACAAACGGCTTAATCTGCTGATACTCGTACGAATATACACACTATATTGGCGTGCGGTTGTAGAATTATTTTCAGGCAGATGAGAAATGAGTTTGGAGCATTTAGAAATAAGCTATAAGCAGTGAAGCGATTAAATTTTTCATCTAAAAATACACAAAGCTTTGACCGCAAGTGGATTATTACAGTTTCCGTGACAGAGATCTGTTTAACGCACTGCCATAGCATAAATATTAACCTCTTCGTCACAGGAGATGTAAAAGAGCCAATTTGAATTGCATATTACGGCAAAGCGTGACTAGACAAACGGCATTATGTATGCGGTTACGTCGAAGCCAAATCATGGCCGCGTATGGTCAACGCGCAGCCCGACCGCGAGAACGTCACGCGTATGACGTCGGCACGCTACTCGAAAGTATCCCCACGCGAGGGATGACGATTTTCGCGGGGCAGACAAAGCCACCGGACGTACGTTGAGTTACGCAAGAGGTGAGACACGCTGCGAGTGTTTAAAAGAATCGCGCCACTGAGCTCGACATCAGTCTAACACGAACCGATCTCCTGGGAGTGCTGTAAAGTGTAAACACAGAGATTCTCTAAGACGCATAAAAGATTCGACGTTTGCAAGCTTAAAATTGACAGAGAAACAGCGTATTTGTGCTACAATTCAGTCACAAGCAAGCCGACCATACAATCGAATGTTAACATATACAAGAAGTCTTGAAAATTATTGAAATACCGGCAGATATAGTACATTGTACAGGTCCAGAGGTTAAATAAGCGAGGTACGTTTTGCATTAGTTTTCTTCCACGAATGTAATTTCAACAGTTATACGTGGATTGGTTTCATAGTAATATAGAATTAGTTACAATACGGTTATATAACAAGCTTTAAACAAGAAGCCTTCTGTTTCATATATGCGTTATATCTATATGGTCTATGCTCTTTAATACTCTTCGCGACACATTAGCACAATATGTAACTGAGCATTTCTACAAACTCTGATTATCTAATGCTTGAAGTTGCTTCGTTGAATGCTATCCATAGGAGTATTCATCAAATGTTGAGGGTTTCATTTAGCGAGCTTCTACTTTGCAGCACGAATGACGGCTTGCTTGAAGCCATGTCATTACATGGGTACCGACCGACCTTAGCTTGAACTTACCTTGAATGCCCGGTGCTATTTTACATCTCAAAATTCATTTCATATAACTTGAATACCATGGTAAACATCTTTTTACATTTTCCGTGTTGAATTTTCACACATTTACGCCGTGGTCACGCGACACAACAGCTTTTAAGGAATAAAGTCCATTGATATATACTATGTCTATATACGTGCAGTATTCCTTTGCAGTTGGCATTTTTATTTTAAAGCAATTTCTAACGAAGTTAAAGCTAGGTCTAAGGATATTTTGTGATATTAAATGAAGCCAGCATTTGAAAACTAAGCCGAAGCACTTACCGCAACTATCGTGTTCAGCGATTCACTGATATAGAATGATGTATAGCACTGAAGGAGCCACAAGTTCAGCATAAAACCTCGGCGTGCTCGACCGGTATATTAGTCCGGCTAATATGTATCAATGCAATGGCTAAAACGCGGTGAAACTGAGTGCGATAGACTTGTATAAACCTTCCCGTTTCATATATTACAGGTTTTAAGCCGTTATTTGGCATTCAATTTGATAGTTTTACAATTTTAGTGCAGTATTAGGTAACTACAGCAGCGGTGTATTATTATTTTCACGATTTATCTCTTAAAATTTGCGAGGACCACGAAAACCTATCCGATGTTTGAGCATGAGAAATGGCTGCAATTCAATTGATGTATAAATCGTAGTAAGGTTGGTCATGTTAATCAATTTATACCTTACACACTTATGCTTATATTTCTGAAGGCGGCTTTAATACAGGCTGCCAGCACGGTCGACTGCGACTTGTCATGTAGTCAACCCCAGTTGCAGTATGAATAGACAGGCTGAACTCAACCATTAGATTTCCTTTCTATTGCTGTGTTAAGCTGGTTTACCAATGATGGAAGTATATTGTTCATACAGTCTCATGCATATATAGGTAGAGATTTAAACGTTCCAACATTCGAGCAAGTTTCATGAGTAAGTTTCTGGTCATCTGCGCTATATTTTTGCAAGCCGATATACGCACGTTTTGGCACAAAATTGATGGCGTTTGAATAGCATTTTAAGCACCAAGGAAAAAACTGACTTTGTGTAAAACAAACTACTGATTTGGTTCAGCTTCATATGTATATTCATCAGAGTAAACCTGCATGACACGTATTTCACGCCTTTTTTCTTCTGTATATATGTATTAAAGATTATATATTTAAGATTTACTACAGCTTTTTCAAACATGCTTATCGTAAAAGTTTATAAGACGCGTGAATCAATCTTAGGGCATGTTTAAATACAGAGAGTCAGATGCATGCGTTCACAAAAAATATGTACTTTGATGTGACTAAGTACAGCCGAACAAGGCTCTCTTTCCTCGCGATGCAAGTTCGTTCTTTTATATACTAAAAGAAGTTTGTTGAAACACTTTAAAAGCCGTACAACAGCCTTTTTGTGGCCGCTCATGCACAATGTCTCATTTTTTGGAAAGCTAAACTATTTGAACTTCACCTTGCCCTACTTAAGTACATAATTAAACATTGCTTTCTCAAGCTTGTAAAGGGGAAATATCTGACATATACAGGTTAAATATATACTGTATTGCTAGGTATATATCACTTAATTGTAACAGTCCGTATAGGATGGATAGAAAGCATACATAAATATTTACAGTTCTTAAGTTACCTGCATGCTGCATTTATTTATGTTTTTGGCGGGATACACTGTTTCAAGTCGTAGACGTTAAGATAACATCCTTTAATTCTGATAATCTGCTAATTTAAAGCGACTGAGAGCATACTACTTATACACAACTGTAAACTTCAGCAACAGTAAGAGGATTCGCCCATTTTTTGCCCTAAATAACAGTTATTGGCATACGTGCTTGCTGTTTTATTATATTTTTCTCCAACGCCAACAGGATGTACCGTGGTTCCTGGCCTATTGCCACATGATTATAAAATTCCTTTGGTATCAAGTTGAAAACCACAACAGCATTTATACGCTCTGAAATAATAATTTATGACAAATGTATACATGCAAAGGTTAGATTTTCAGACAAATACATGGTGCTTGTTAACGGATGGGGAAAATATGGTGATATGCGTCGTTTCTTAGATAGGAAAAATTTGTTTTAATGACATCATTGCATCATTGCTTATCATAATATATCTAAACTGTATTAAACTATCGCAGTTATTCATCATTTTATATATAAAGAGACTTTAAAGAAAATGAAGTTATTGAGTTGATCAACATATGCTTGTGGAAATTATGATCTCCAGAAATTTGATTCGTAGGATTTTTGTATTGGATGAATGCAAATTCGTGCATTCCAATTAATACTTAATTGTGATATTGTTTCACTAGTTGTTGCACATATATAGGATATGTTTAAAACGAAATGTGTAGTAGATCAGTATATGATATACATGCATGGGTATACGTTTCTTCGATGTTTCTATGGTGGTAAAATCTATAGATATTGTAGCTCTTTGTGTTAAACTACTTGTTAATGCAAAAGTATATTTTGAAAACAGTTTTTTAAAAGATATTTTAGACTGTGAATGTTGAGTCCCCATTTCACGATTAAAATAAAAATATACAAATTTATCTACGATATTCCAAACTGAGATATACTCGCAAACTATGAAATATCCCTATATTTACAGTAAAATGATAACATCTTGTCATTTTCTTACAGGGTATGTTTTGAGACACTCTTGAGCTGGAACTTTGCTAGTCTGACTTAGTCAATAATCAGTCAAGTGGACCTTCCACAGGCCTGTCTCAATGGTGGTAAGTAATTCTATACAAACACAGATACAAAACCTCAATTCAATCAACACACATCGTATATCGACACTACAATATTGTAATAAAAAAGGACAACAGGAAGTGTACCTCAAACCACTAATAACCATTGGCATTCGGTTACCAAAGGTTGCAGTTGGAACATATGGGACAGAAATTAGTTAGAATTATTTTATTACTGCTTTGAGAGATCTAAAATAGCATATATATGTATCAATATATGTACAAGAATTGCATCAGGCTCTTGTTAATGCAAAAATATTAGCAAACTCCAAGGTAAAACTTTGCAATTGAAGAATTACTTTTTAAATCTCATATTTATATTAAATTTAGAGTATAATATCGTTTTTATATCGTGTACATTATATCGTGTTTATTTTATATCATATTTAGATTTAATTTAGATCATTCACCCAGATTATTATGTTTCCAGATTGTAAGTTATGTCAGCAGATATATCCCTGCTCTGGACACAATATTGACATTTCCTGTCGTTTACCATTATACCACGTCTGCATCATTGACCTCGGAGTGTATAGACGTTTACAACATGACTAATAATTCAACCACATCGAATGGTGGGGTGATAATACAGCGACGACCCAGTGTTATTAAAGAAGTCCCAAAACAAGAGGAAAGTGCAAAGGAAAGTGAAGAAGATGAAACAATAGATGTTGTGAGTTGTGATGAGATTAATGGGGCAATGGACGGAGGAGTGAAGATGGAAAGTGATGGGTTGAGATTAGAAGGTATGAGAACAAGAAGAAGAGGGAGAACAGCTGTTGAAGATGGAAGCACGAAGATGGTGAGAAGAAAGGGGGATCTGTTAAAGAGAAATGGAGCTGTTGATGATGATTGGAAGCCTTTGGGTAGGTAAAGGTGCAATGATGCATGTACGTGGGGTTTGGGGAAGGGGAAGGAGCAGGTAGTGGTGGAGTTATTGTTGTGTTGATACAGATAGGGATGGGTGTGGTTGGGGTACAAGCATGTATGTATGATGTTGATGGTAATGATGATGGTGATGATGATATTGATGATGATGGTGATTGTGATGATGATGGTAATGATGATGATGGTAATGATGATGATGATGAGGATGGTGATGATGATGGTAATGAAGATGGTGATGATGATAGTAAAGGTGATGGTGATTATGATGGTGATAAAGATAGTGAGGGTAATAATGATAATAATAATGGTGAAGATTGTTGTAGTGATAGTGATGATGTTGATTATAATGATGATTATGACGATGGTAGTAATGGTGATCATGATGGTTTTCGTGATTGTCCCATCGGGACATAGAAAATAGAATATTGGAACATAAGGTGTATGTGCTGGTGTAATTTAATCAAATTTAATTTCTTTTTCTCCTCTAGACAACAAGCGCCACAGATGTAATGAATGCGACATGAGATTCAAGAAGCCAAGTGCCCTTGTCATACATTTGAGAACCCACTCAGGGGAACGCCCTTACTCTTGTAACCTCTGCGACAAACGCTTTTCAATATCAGGCAATCTACGTCGTCACATGTTCACTCACACGGGCGAGAAGCCTTACAAATGTCGGGCGTGCGGGCGAGCATTTAACAACCCAAGCCACCTTGCACGGCATTCAAAGAAAATACATATTTGAAACGTGCGTGGATACTTGGAGATGAAGCGGCATGTGGAAGAGACGTACAGGCACGGCTCAGTCCGAAAGGACTCCGAAGATTAACCGGACATGGGACAAAACACAGCGAAGCTAAAACGGTCGTGTACGAGACGAAAGAACTATCCGGACGTGTTGTAAATGGGAGGAGAATGTGTGAGACATGCATAATGTAATCATAGATTATCAAAGTGAAGTTCCAAACAACGAATCCCCCACAGGACTGCACTTTGGTGTGCTGATTATCAGCCATAGCTTCAACAGTGAAGCAACAGTTGAATTAACGTTTATTTATGCACTCGCAACTATAACGGATAAGTCGTATGTCGAAAAGCGACCAAGTACCATCACTATATTGATTGACGGAAATCTGCGAACAATATAAATGAATGTAAATAATGACTCTCTCTATTGACATGTTAATTTGGATGAACCCAAGAATCGGTGATGGTACAAAAACAAGATAGGTATAAACACCTGTAGCATTGTAGCTGTAGCTGAACTTATTAAATGATTGTGTGATATTTTAGCTGGAGAAAAACTAGATGTAAAAGATAACTTGGATGATTCAATAAACAATAGTTCAGTATGCATAAAATTTCAAATGGTTTGCCTGAAGGAGATATCTCTGAAAACACTAAAAACGTGGTGGTCTAGACTAGTGTAAGTTGTATTCTACAATAAGCTGTCGTGGTTTGTGTCTGAACACCTTATGAATTACTCATCTTATTCCCTGGAAACCGGAAGGCTATACTTGACCGGGATGATTAGAAAATTAGTAAAGGTTTGAAGATCTTGAGCTCTCAGACCTCCGACGCCCCCCCAGTTAAAGGGGACAGACGTTGCTCTTCCCACACCCCTAAAATTCTCCGGTTGAAGGTAGCGTTCCAGTTGTATACAGTTCAATGTGCAACGCAGTATTTTGTAACAGCTTTCAATTGGCTGAAACTTGTGAACGCTGATTGGCTAAAATTGCGAGCAGATTTCACAAAAGCAATAAACGCAGTCCAGATTTTATTTCGTAACCAACGCCGCCTAATCGCAGGTAATGCAATGCCTGATTTGTAAGGGAACAGTCCGCCTTCAAGATTTCGCCATTTTCGAAATTCGAATTCATGAGTCTTCAGGAGTAAAAATGGTACGTTTTTTATTATTTTTTCTGTGAATTTCTTCGTTTCCCCAGCGGTATAAATTGCTAACGCTTGTGTATTTGCTATTCCCTTAGAGCCTTTTTGGATTTGGGCAGTCGACGGACATATTTATCGATCTCGAAGACTCTGACAGTCGCAAGCAGATAGAGGTTCGCAACGAGGAAGGAAGAAAAGAGAAATTGCTTTTATACTATGATGGGGAAACGGTCAAAGGAAAGGTTCGTGGGTCTTTCAGGGGGAGCTTTAAAGAGCTGTTTATTACTGCAAATGTTGCTTGAATATGCTGTTCATTACCGCCCTGTATTGATAGCTCGATTTGAGAGAGAAAAGCACTCTAGGAATATAAGTAGCGCTTTGAAAATCGGAAATAGTGAAACGTTTGCATCGCACCACGATGTTGTGAGTTGACGATCAGTGCCTAAACTTGTCGTGAAGGTAGAACTCGTGTGTTTTGCGTAGAGAAATTCTGGTCTGTTTAACACAAGGTTCAAATATAAATTGCTGCAGATTTTTGAAGTCACATGACGAACTTCATTTATACTGATCGTTGCTTTTCAACTCGATAATAAACGCTTTTGCAATGTGAAAGCTTTGAATGGAAAACATATGAACTTCAGATGACATCTTCGTGGCAATGAATTTCAGAAAACGTTCAGCCAGTGCCAGTGGCCTTCGTATATTTAAAAGGATTTCGGAATATTTCTAGAGATTGTGCAGGACAGGAAGTTGTTGTATTGCATGTAATTTGTGTTCAATGTTTCCTGTTTGAGCCCATTTCCCCGCACTTTGCAATGAAATATTCCAGTATGATTGCACATATTCACACAGAGAGGGCAATACAATGACATACAATAAATATTTGGTTTCGTTTTCTCTTGTATATGTCTCATATATTAAGTGAAAAGTCATAGTGAACAAAAGCACGAAAACTGTCAATTTAGGATAAGCTATGACATATCAAAGCCTATCTTTTAATCCTTTGGTTATTTTAGGTTGCAGTTTATTTTTAAGTGTTCTATACTAGCAACTAATTTGGGAAAAGAGCAGCTAGTTTGGGAAAGAAAGCTTTGTTGGTTAACAAATAAGCTGGAAATGAACTTAGGTGTACAGAGTTTAGTATTTCACTCTCTGTTATGCCAGGCTATACTTGTTGCTGCTTGCTAAAAGGTTGCTAAGGTTGGATACATGAATTCGAGCCTGGTTCTTGTTTTAGGTGAAAGTGAACCTAAAAAATCCTGGTAAAAAGCTTGAACATCATGGAATAAAAATTGAGCTGGTTGGGCAAATAGGTGAGAATGTTTATTTCAATTGTTTTAAAATTTTATATAGTAATTGCAGCTAAATGAATATCCTGGTAAAATGCCCCGGTTCTTAGTAAGATTGGTTTGCAAAGCATGATAATGTGTTAAATGTGTGTTTATTTCATGTTCTTGATGTAGAGCTATTTTATGATCGCGGCAACCATCATGAGTTTACATCATTGGTCAAAGAGCTTCATCAACCTGGTGTTATGACAGAAAACTCCTCATTTGACTTTGAATTTGTAAATGTTGAGAAACCGTATGAAACCTACACTGGAACAAATGTCAGACTAAGGTGAAAACAAATGTCATTTTTTTCAGGACTGTAATATCCTGGATAAATAGCATTTAATTAAACTCTAACCCTGGCGTTTGCAGGTATTTTTTGAAGGTGACGATAAGTAGACGACTCTCAGACATGACGAAAGAGATGGAGATTGCTGTTCATACATTGTCATCGTACCCAGAAATAAACACCAGGTATTTTCCAGTGCTACATATAATTGCTGTTCAGGATTTTAAAATGCATGTGATAATGTTAGAAATATTTGGTTTTTTATCATTCTAGCATAAAGATGGAAGTCGGAATTGAAGATTGTCTACACATTGAGTTTGAATATAATAAATCCAAGTATGTCAAAATATTTTGATGTTTTAGGCAATGAATAAGGAATGAAGAGTTTTTATGTTATAGGCCATTTTAGGCCACTGTCTACGGTTGTACTAGCCTGCCTAATTTGGGGGGGGGGGGAGGTGCATGTTCATATACTTGCCTTATGCCTGACTGATTTATTTTCAAAGTGATTGTTCCTATGGTAGTAAATTGAATGTTGCAGATATATACTCGAATCAAGTGGTCTAGTTAGGGTGCTGCCTCTGTTTGTTTGGAATTTAAACCATGCTTATATTTGCATGCTTTAACAAACACATATTTCTCTTCAGATATCATCTTAAGGATGTCATTGTTGGTAAAATATATTTCCTTCTTGTTCGAATTAAAATCAAACACATGGAAATTGCCATTATCAAGAGGGAAACCACGGGAACAGGTACTTGTCAAGAATTTTTGTTTAAACACAAAATATTCTCAATGAACTTCTCTTCTGAAGTAATCTTTGAAATTTTCAAGGTCCTAATTCGTACAATGAGAGTGAGACTATTGCAAAATACGAGATCATGGATGGTGCCCCTGTTCGTGGGGAATCAATTCCAATCAGGCTGTTTCTGGCTGGCTATGATCTTACACCGACCTTTAAGGATGTTAATAAAAAATTTTCAGTAAGATATTATCTTAACCTGGTCCTTATTGATGAGGAGGAACGAAGATATTTCAAACAACAGGTAAATAATAAAAATAACAGATATCTTTTTCAATAAAATGTCGTGGTTTGTGTCTGAACTACCTGAGAAAGATATCTCGAACGTGGTGGTCCAGTGTAGGTAGTATTCTACAATAAGCTGTCGTGGTTTGTGTCTGAACTACCTGAAAAAGATATCTCAAACGTGGTGGTCCAGTGTAGGTAGTATTCTACAATAAGCTGTCGCGGTTTGTGTCTGAACTACCTAAAAAACGTTATAAAATCGTCTCTTGCAGGAGATAACTCTGTGGCGCAAAGGTGAGTTTAAAAGACGGCAGCATCCCGTGCTAGTGACGGACTCAGAGAAAAAGGAAAAAGATGATTCAAAATGACCAGAATATAATTTTTATACAAAGAAATTGTTGAAATCCCATTGTACATTGCTATGATTGTGAGCGTTCACATTTACAGCCTCACTTTGCAAAAGAAATCGATTCCTCGGCCTAAGGCAAGTTAGACGAACGTGATGACTGATGAGTGATGAATAGTAATTCAGACGCTGTTCATACGAACTGCAGGCTACGCAGATTCCTATCTTTGCCCTGATACTTCATGTTGCCCAAATATTCCCGTCAAATAAAGCCAAATAAATACTATAACTTTGCTGCAAGAGGTAAGGATAGCTATATAACGTATAAAGGTAGATTTTTTTTTAAAAAAAAGATTTCAGGAACCTGCGTCGCCTGGTCGTATGAACAGCGGCTAGCACAGTTACCTAACTAATTAAATTTTAAACATACACTTACCATTGTCACCCGGCCTAAACGCTATTTGTTTAGTCACGTGACGGTTACCCCATAGCCAATTGTTTAAAATTGATTCACTGATAGAAATGTATGACAAGTCGTGGTTTAGAATGTAGAAATTTAGAAAATGAAATCAAAAGTTGATCCGTATTATTCACTCTGATGTTTTATCTTCCACCAGTCATGCGTTGTATTTACACAATAACGCTTATGTTACTTCAACTGACTTTCATTTTAATATATATGATTTAGAACTGATAGAGCTATCTGGTATAAATAAAGTAAGTTCAGGTTTCCTCCTGTAGTAACACTGGATCAATAAGAGATGATGCTTACTGGACCTCTAGGAAGAACAGTTTAGAACTGATAGAGCTATCCAGTATAAATAAAGTTAGTTTAGTTAGGTTTCTCCCTGTAGTAACACTGGATCAATAAGAGATGATCCTTACTGGACCTCTAGGAAGAACAGTTTAGAACTGATAGAACTATTCAGTATAAATAAAGTTAGTTTAGTTTAGGTTTCCTCCTGTAAACCTTTAGGAGCAACCAACGAAAAGACCTATCAACATAATTCAAAAACAAAATATCTAAACTAAAAATTTTTTTATTTTAAAATTTCCCTAAAATATTAAATAATTCAGCATAATTTAATCGTATTAGGCTTTAGAACTGTCAGGGGATCCATTGTATAATTATTATTACAAACGATTTGCCTTATCTTATTACGGGTACATATTTTTATCGTGATCTGATTAAGAAATTAACAGATATCCACGAAGCATCATTGGGCACCAGATGCAGTCAATGATAAAAAAGATGGATGATTGTTCTACGGTATTTTTTGCTCCTAACACAGTAAGTTAGTTAAGTTTAATAATTGAACCACAATTTGTTTTCCTGAAATGAACCCTAAACCTAATTACGTATAAATTAAAATACCATTTGAATTATTCCTTAGGAACGCATTCAAATAGTTGTTTTGAATGTCCTTGTTGTGAATTTGGATTATAAAGACAGAAAGGCGATCCTTCTGGGATACGTGTTCGCCCTTTTATATGCATGCAAACTGTTTTGTTTTATGGGGAAATTATTTCGTTTATAATCGTCTTAATTGTCTTCGGCTTTGAGCTTTTTAGTGTTTGGTTCTCTGACAGGTGAACCCTTATCATTGTTGCCATTTGCGATTTGTTTTTCTTCTTCGCCCGACTGCAGGTGAAGGGTTTTAGAAGCGTAGAATACTTTGTCTTTAACTTGCTTGGAGATGCCCTAGAGGATTGGCAAATTGAGATACCATTTTGAATACCGTTTATCAAGCATGGAAACGGAGACCTCGTTCGAACCTCGACAGGTATACAGAAGAAGTGGTGTTTGGAAGAAGGCCATTGCCATTGGCATATCGCCTTAATTTGATTCTTAAACAAGGTACAGTGGAAGTCAACAGGAGAAAGAGTATACATACACAATATTCTCAACTGGATTATGCGAGGCAAGTCATCATTGTAATTCATTTATCAGAAACATTTACCGTAACCTAAACTAAAGTATTTCCACTTACCTCGCCAGCGTACGATAGAAGCGGAGAGATCTCACATCGCACTGTTGGCATGCTAACATGAAAAAGTAAAAAAAAATCATTCAAAATCCAGTCGAGCGTTGCGAATTACCTTTACCTTAGGACCATTCTTTAACATTTAATTTTTTTATTAAATCACTTGGTTAAAATTATTCGTTAAAATCATTGACATTCTCGCATGTCATCGACTGGCAATTAGTTTGGATTAGTTTTATTTTCAAGAATTAAATCAATTTAATTTTGTTATTGTTGTTATGATTTCATGATGGTTTAACTTTTTTCGACTCACCCCACGGAACCGTTTTTAGTCTTGTCAATCCCTGTTTGGCTACAGAAAATATTTATACTCTGAGTTCATATGTGTTCACTTTCAATTTCAACGCCGTCAAATTTAACAGTTTAAAGTTTTGCGGATATTTTGTGCATTAGGTCGTGTACATAAGAAGCAAGAAGGTCTTTACCGTGGTATGTCAGGCAGAGTTTCCTCATTGTCATCTTTGAATTTCCCACCGGATGTGATGATATATTGATAATGTAAGTTACACAAAGCATCCCTGGCCATTTCAGGAGTGTCTTTTGAAGCGCCTGGGGCATTTTTTAGGGGTGAGAATTCCTCGTCTCGAATCACTTCCAGCACAGCAAATTGCCTAAAATGTGATAGAATTTTGTCAACCTGTAAATCCATTGAAGAAAACCTAAACTAAACTAACTTGTACTTCATAGTTCCTATCAGTTTTCTTTTTAGAGAGATCCAGTAAAGATAATCTCTTATTGATCCAATGTTACAACAGGAGGAAACCTATTCTACAGCTGTACTGTGACTTCCAAACCATTCTTTCCTGATTTTCACATGCAAATGATAGATTTTGGGAAGCATGACCTGACTTACTTAGAAAATTCAAACACATCAAAGACAAACTTTTCTAGTTTTATGCCATTCTCCTTGTCTGGTTTGACACTATATCATGGAAATTGAAGAAAAATGAACAATTTGGATGGAAATTGTACCAGATGAAGCTGGAGAGAGAGATAGCTGAAGAAGAGAAGGTGTTTGAGTGAAAGGTATTATTACCACTTTCCATTACTATCTACATAGGGAATTTTCTTCTTTGCTATATGAGGTGTGAGTTCATTTTCATGGTTGCTATAAGAAAAAAGAAAGATTAGAATTCAGGATTAGATCATCAAACCCAATATATTGGATCATCATTGCATCACATCATATATACCTAACAACATCTTTAAGGAAATTCAAAGTGAAATAGTGGTTGCAGATATTTCCAGCATTATAGACAAGATCTCCGGTTTTGTCTCTTTTCTGAGCAAGTTCCAATGATATTTCACTGTATTCTACAACCTGACAAAATATAACTTAGTGTATATAGGATGGACAACAGAAAACTTTACACCAGGACACTGGATAATAAAACACAGTTATAGATACATTAGAAAGTCATTATATAATGACTTACTTTGAATTTACCATCCATTCGACAGATTACTCCAACTTTCTCAGTGGGAAGAACTTTCTTCACAACCTGTGATCATGAAAATGAAACTGTGGTGACTGTGTGTGTATATATATACACAGGTCTAAACTCTTACTAGTAACAGTCTGGGAATAAAGAGATTTTCATTGCAAACACAGACCTTTGCACCACACCGTGCTTGCTTCAACTGACAGAAGCCAATAAAGACGGGATCAGCGACTTTGACCAAAATATTGTCAACACCATACACGTGAATGCTTTCAATTCCACGCTTCTCCATATCCTTCAAAATACCCCGCTCCCCAAGGGCTTTATACAGTCCCCCATTTCCATCTGGAGCTTTGGCAATCTTCCCACACGAAGCTAAAATAATCTTTCCTTCTGGAGTCAGACAAGGAAACTGGTTTTGTTCAAAGAGAATTATGTTATCCTTATTCATGCCAAAATGATTGTGTGATGAGAAGAATTCTTCAGTCGATGTTTGGGTGTGCTCGCTGGTCATAATATACCTGAAAAATTGTCACTAATTAAATCAAGGCCGAAATTAGCATGATAATCTGGGGATAATTAGTATTCTGTTCTGCCTGACGGATTTCGTTTAAAAATGCATGTGAAAGAAATTCTACAAGCAGAATTAATATATGATTTTCATCCCCATTATCGCATCTATTTACAACCCTGCATAAGGTTGTGCTATATCCTGGTGCATCTGTTGACTAACAGGCCTAGACAGGCCTAGCCCCCTACTAAGAGGGTAACTATTATCGAATATGTGTTTTCCAAGAAATCAAAGTCATATGACCTTCCTATGGTTGCATTCTCTTTAAAGACAATTACACAATCCACAAATAATGAATCGAAATTGCCGAGTTACCTGTTACTATAGATACTACAATTGTTCAATAACTAGAATGCGAATTAAAATGAATGTGTTTAAATTTATGCCCCAAACATTGCATAACAATTACGACAATAAATATTCCTTAGGAAGGCCAAACATGCCACGTCAAAAAGTGCATAAATTGTCAATATTAAAATTCTTAAAAAAATATAAATACGCCACATTTTACGGAGATAATACGAAGAAAATAGTATATATGAACAGATTTTATGTGTAGATAAACTTCCGCCGTTTATTTGACAGTGATATTGACAATTTTTTTAAACAAATATACGCACGGCATACATACCATGGAACAGTACAAGACTTCCCGGTGTGTTCTTCAGCTAAACTTTGTACTTTTAAGATCCTTTCTGCTTGTATTTGGTACAAAGTTTTATCCGAAGGCAAACCAACGCTGTACATGCCTTTCGGATACGGAACATTAAGCCTTGTACCTTGACCACCGGCTAGCAACAAGACTGCAACCTTGTTGTCACTAACAGCTTGTAAACCAGCATTCCTCCATGTATTTCGCTGTTCTTCACTTGCCGAGGCGACGCTATCTCTAGCAGAATCAGGAATCGGTTCTAATGTTTTATCCTTTTCCCCTGAACCGCCAAGGCCGCGAGTGCTCAGCTCATAAACGCGTTTTATACGAGGTAAATCGAGCGACCACAACTCATCCACAAACGCTTTCTTCTCCGCATCGGGCACGCGATCGTAGTGTTCTAATAGATGCCCTTGACCGTATTCTTCAAGATGTGCTCGCAGTTTTTCTATCTCCATCTTTGAATTTGAAAGAAAAGCGTTGAAAACGGACGATATGACGCTCTGAACCCCTTTCCACGTACACAAGGAAGGTAAAAATTCACCGGAGATTGAAGTTTCACTTCCGGTTGGCGGGCGGCATAATCAAAGACAATTTTTTCCATCGTCGTTTGCACTGGCCTTGAACATATCTTAACATGATATTATCCAGTGTTACCTTCTAATTCGTGGTCTTTTAAACCAATCATTGACATTATGATTAAGTAAAAAGACGAATAGAGCGCACAATAAAAGATTCCGCAGGTGAAACCCTTGAAAAACACTGTAATTATTAGAAAACACAACGCGTCCGCATGTTACCGGATAGCTGGACAGTGACTGCACTGCATAGAGCTCAGTGGCAGGCATTGATTTAGAATGTACCGGGGGGAGTGTATGTAGAAGCTCAGAGGGGGAAACTCTGATACCGGAACAAAATGGCTTCTATTTTAGAACAGTACGAAAATGAGCTGCAAACTGGTGGAAATTTGCCTTCAAGCAGACAAATTTTGTCAGATGAACCGGTAAGTTGATTTCATTTTTCTGCATCTTTACTCCGTTTTTTTCCACTAAACTATTTGCATGATTGGAACATTCCTATGATAGCAGTCATAAAACTGGACACTGCATCGGACCACTTTAACAACTTGATTGGATTTCTGAATTCTGAATTTTCTTTCACGGGCTTTGAGGAGAAATCTAACCAGCTTTCTGCAACACAAAGTTTTTAAGGTTAAAAAAATAGATTTAAAAATAACCATCAAATGGAGACATGTTGGTACTGACTTAGCTATCATTATCAACCTCCATTCCATTATAGCTTATTTCCACCTAGGGTATTCTCTATTGGTGAAGATAAAGGTTTTTATTCAGGCATATCTAACGACGTTCTCCCTCATCCCTCTCCCCCATACTGATGAAACTTTCATCACCTCACCACGTACCTCACCTCACCTCACCTTCATCACCTCACCACGTACCTCACCTCACCTTCTGTCTTGTATATACATGGCATCTTTAACCATTTTTGTCACCTCTAGATTGCAACTGGTTATGTTGACTTTCGTACAGAGGATGTCCCCATGTTCCGGAGAGAAAAAGTTAACTTCAGGTGTGAAAATGTAACTTGGAACACATTAATGATTTTAAAACTAATAGCTCCCATTATTAGACCAGGTAAAACTGGTGGACGCAGATGACTTATTCATCTGGAGATTGTTAGTCGTTATCTGGACATGCATAAATGGTCTTAATGTATACGTTAAGGAAATTTTAATGAATTTGTTTGTTTTTCACTTTCAGACCACCATCCAGTATCATGGATTTATCAGTCAGCAATAGTACAGTGATAATTGCTCTGAACAACACAGTGATGAGATTGAATCTCATGAACCCAGAAGAACTCGATAGTGAGCTCATTAATAAATGATTTGAAGTAGAAGGGAATTATACCGTACGGGAGGAAAATTTCATCCATTTCCTTGCATGTGCTTCCCCACAAGACACGGCCCCTTCTACCTGCTTGTGAAATAATATTTTTCCTCCTTTTGATGTTTTTCCATTTAGAAATTGAAATATCAAAGAGACATGATGATACTGTTTATAAAGTATTTCAAGATCCAACTGCAAGACATGCAATCATCTGTTTGAGGTCATATGAATCTCTTTATCTGGCCAGAAACAGCAAAAAAACAAAACCTATTCCAAAACTAAAGGTTGTTATTTTCTTAGAATTTTCTAGTTGTTGCTACTGAAGTAGTTACACCAAATCTGGGTGCACATTTTGCAAGCAAATGTAATAGGTAGAGCCAATGCATTTGCAGTACAGTTTGGGATATTACTTTATGGTATTTGGTTTGCATCTAGGGTCATCTTGTAGAGGCTGTGGCTTGGAACAAGACCAGATTAACTGAGACGACCACACAGGCAATTTTGATTGGGACCAACAAGGGTAAGAAGAGATTTGCTTTGAACTCGATCCTAAATTAAATAACAAGGCAGAATCGCATCAATCGTAGATTATCAGTCATTATACCATTTAAACTTTGTTGAATATATATTTCTGGTATATTTTAGGGCTTGTATTGGAAACAGAACTTGACAATGAAGAGAAGTTCTTTCAGGCAGGACTTGAAAAATATTTCCGACAGGTTTGTTCTTCACTTGCAATGTTACAGCAAAATAAAGTGCACTGTCTGTATCGTGAAACATGAAGAAAGAGAATATATCACTAATTAATTTATTATATTTTTCAGCTGCATAACGTAAACAGTGGTGATAAAAATGAACCTATCACGGGATTAATGTTTGATAAGTTTCCAAGATCTGACCGTCTTTATGTTGTTATGGTTACTACAAAAAGGTAAATTAATTTGGACTGACCAGGAGGGAGAATATACCAACTTCTGGTGTTAACTTACACCCATATTAGTTTTTAGCAAAAAATTTCACCCATGTACCATGTCAATCATGTTTTGACAATGTGTGAAATAATGCCTGTTACTTTCTTTCTTTTTTTAGCCGTTTATTTCAGTTTATTGGTGAAATTTCAATGACAGAACCTCCATTATTTCTGTCTTTGTTCAGTCAATTTGAAATTAATCCAGGTTTTTATATTCTTTGTTTGCATATGACATCATAATCTGTCATTCAAGACACCATCTTTCTTGACTACCAAGTTTAATGACTTGTCATGTCATCATCATAAGTTCTGCAACAATCTTTCTCAACAGCCAGTTTCCTTGAGTTGGCATCAGATCAACTTGAATGGAGTCAGTTGGTATTTTATTACACCAAGGCCAGAGGCAATCCAAGTTCCTTTGCTTGGCTAACAGGTATTTGTCTTCATAAGTTGTTAGAAGATGTTGCCACAATAGTTCTTCCTTATAAATAAAGTTAGTTTAGTTTAGGTTTCCTCCTGTAGTAACACTAGATCAATAAAAGATGATCCTTACTGGACTTCTAGGAAGAACAGTTTAGAACTGATAGAGCTATCCAGTATAAATAAAGTTAGTTTAGTTTAGGTTTCCTCCTGTAGTAACACTGGATCAATAAGATATGATCCTAATTACTTCCTATCAGTTTTAAACACTGTATAATTCTGCTAATTCTTTCATTCTTATCTTAAAGAACCAGGCGTTTACTGCGGCAGTCTAAATTTCGACACCCCGCAAGAAACCAGCGGTAGTATCACATCAGAAGCTCGTCTTCTCCCATACGTCACCGCAGACGGCCAGAGCTCCACACCACCAATTGCTTTGGCCCTAACCGAGTTTCATGTTTTACTCCTGTATAAGAACAGGTAAGCTTTGAATCTGCTGATGGAGTGCCAGTTTAAAAGGCGGGGAAAAAACATGTATATAAATCTCACGTTTTTGTCTTGGTACAGTACATGAATCTACTAATTTACCGCTAAACCAGCAAATAAACGTACAAATAAACACAACTCTTGCATTTCCACAGGTTTGAAGCTGTGTGCTTACTGAACGATCAAGTTGTCTTTCAAGATTTACTGCCAGAAAGGGTAAGTTCAACTTTTATTTCATGAGGCGCATTTGCACTTGCATTTTCCTGCGACTTTTGTCTTTTGACGGATGTGAACGAGTAGATAAGTCACGGGTGCTCAGATGAGAGCACATATCAGTGACAGTGGCACATATACATCAGAAAATTATAATTATTTGCTCGTTTGCATCCATCGAAAGATGAAAAATTCCCCCAAACCGGCTTTTAGTCATTATGATGATTGTTAACTTATTACTGCTAGTTTTTAACAAATCTTAACCCGATTTTTTTCACTAACAGCACGGTCATATGCTGGGAATGGTGACTGATCCAGTGAAAAAAACCATTTGGGTTTTCTCAACCGCGGCAATATTTCAATATAATGTCAACAAAGAAACTCGGTAAGACTTAAATGTGACAAAGCTTTTATCAACACGAGTGGGCTCCCTGGCTGTCTTACAGTTTGCAAATTACCTTTTTTTACCAGGCATGTGTGGAAATTATACTTGGACAAAGGAAAGTTTGATGAAGCGGAAGAATATGCTCGTGTTAGTTTTCGACGTGAAATATTTACAGTTTGACTTGCTGTGTTAGTCTGTCTTGCTCTACAAATCAACCTTGCTTGTCAATAGTTGCAATGCATAGAACATGGTGACTCCTGACGTAAACTTTTCTCAATCGTACAAACAAATTAAACCATGTTTATTTTGTTGTTTATATAGGATAATCCCGTGCACACAGATGAAGTCTTGAGAAAGAAAGCTGAAAGCTTTTTCGACAAAAAAGAGTAAGCGATAATAGATCTTAGATAGTGTTAAAAGTGATCTTAAAAGTGTAGCGTTTCTGTTTATTTTCTGGGAGTTTAGTCTATGTATCAAATTGTGACCCCACATATCGGTCCAAAATACGTGACTTTTTTAGCCTTTAGGTGATCTTTTTCACCAGAATTTTTCTGCTTCTGTTTCAATCATAGATATAGGGCGGCTGCCGCTACATTTGCCTTAACTCAGGCATCGTTTGAAGAGGTCGCGTTGAAGTTTATTCAAGTTTCAGAACAAGAATCTTTGAAAGTTTTTTTGGTGAAAAAATTGAACAACATGGACCACAAGGTTAGCGAAATACTTTAACACTGCTTTTTCCTCTTGTTATTTTTTGTATCTTAGCCATTTCTTGTTCGCGGTATAGATCAAATTCATCTTATTTTCAATGTTCAACTAGGATAAAAGTCAAATTACGATGATAGCGATGTGGCTCATTGAACTATATTTAAACGACCTTGGTGAATTGAAAGATAATAGTGACGGAAACGAACAAGAGCTGGAGAGAATGCAGGATGATTTCAGGAAATTATTAGCAACGAGTAAAGTTAAGGTACGTTACACGAATATTAGTGAGATGTTTCACGTTCCCATAACAACAGTTGAGCGATGGGTTTGTGTTTTAAGTGGCATCTATTGAGCAAGATTTTCCATTTTGTTCGTATGCTTGACGTTTCATCACAAGCGTCTTAATGTTGTTTTTTTCCATTTTTGTTGAAGACGTCGCTCGAGGAGAGCAGAAAGACTGCGTACGACCTGATAGCCAGTCATGGCGATGTGGAAAATTTGATCTTTTTGGCAATGTTAATGAAAGGTAATCGCTGGCATTTGCCATTTGACGAACTGTCCCACATGTTCAACTAACCGGAATGCTCCTGCTGTTTTTATATTCAGATTTTGAGCGAGTCATTCATCACCATATTCAGCACGATGATTACCGGGCAGCCTTGGATGTTTTGAAAAAACAGGTTAGCTTATCAACGAATTATAGGATATATTTTAAACACTTGCATCAAAATGTTTTCTGTCTCGTCGACTGTGCAGGCAGTTGTTTAGCCTTAAAAGAGTTCTGAGCTGTTTTGTTAAAGCATAGACAATCCAAAAGGTTAAAGTGATAGTTTATTAATCTTGTTTTTTTGGTTCAGAATGAGCCTGAACTGTATTACAAGTTTTCTCAAGTCCTGATGCAGCATATCCCAGAGGATACGGTCAACGCTTGGATTGAACAAAAGAAAAGACTGGATCCTAAAAAGCTTATTCCAGCTTTGGTTTACTATGATAATAAACAGGATAAAGCTTTAGTATGTTCAGGTTTTATATTATCCCTCACTCTGATGAATATAGTCTTGATGTAGATTTACGATGCTCCCAATAATCCTGTCACTACCCTCGGTGTGAAGCGGTCTGTAGATGTTTCATCCGAAGATAAACCAATTTTGAAGTTTAAACATCTCTAGATCGAGCAAGCTGTACGGTATTTGGACTTCTGTGTGGAAATTCTTGGAGTGCAGGACAAAGCCATACATAACTACTTGCTTTCATTATACGTGAAGCAACAAGACGATGTTTCACTCATCAAATATTTGCAACTCCAGGGACAGGTAGTAGTGTTTGATTTTAAACTACTTCCTCAAAGGATCCAGGTCCTAAACATACATATTTCACCTGTTTTCTTTGCTCTCCTGACAGGATAGAGAGGAGGTCCACTATGACCTGGAGTATGCGCTAAGGTTGTGCTCTGAACATGATCTAAAGAATGCTTGCGTTCATATCTACAGCACAATGGGTCTGTACGAGGAAGCGGTTGACCTGGCATTACTTGTAAGTATTTAGTTTTCTATCTTGCTCATATAGATGATGGATGTATAAACATGGGTTGTCATTTTTGTTTTGAGTAGTTTGATGTTGAGTTGGCGAAGATTCAAGCGAGCAAACCCGAGGACGACGAAGCACTGCAAAAGAAACTTTGGTTGAGAATTGCGAGACATGTTGTTGAGAAGGAGGAGGATGTGAAGAAGTAGGTGGTAGAGGTGATGGTTGGGTATAGTGATGTTAATCATGATGGTAATGGTGGTAATGATGACGGTGATGATGATGATGGTAATGGTGGTGATGATGATGGTGATGATGATGATGGTAATGGTGGTGATGATGATGGTGATGATGATGATGGTAATGGTGGTGATGATGATGGTGATGATGATGATGGTAATGGTAGTGATGATGATGGTGATGATGATGATGGTAATGGTGGTGATGATGATGGTGATGATGATGATGGTAATGGTGGTGATGATGATGGTGATGATGATGGTGATGATGATGATGGTAATGGTAGTGATGATGATGGTGATGATGATGATGATGGTAATGGTGGTGATGATGATGGTGATGATGATAATGGTAATGGTGGTGATGATGATGGTGATGATGATGATGGTAATGGTGGTGATGGTGATGATGATGATGGTAATGGTGGTGATGATGATGGTGATGATGATAATGGTAATGGTGGTGATGATGATGGTGATGATGATGATGGTAATGGTGGTGATGGTGATGATGATGATGGTAATGGTGGTGATGATGATGGTGATGATGATGATGGTAATGGTGGTGGTGATGATGATGATGATGATGATGATTATCATTATCATAGTGGTAATGAGTACCATTTTTCTCATCAAATAATATAGAGCAATGCAATTTCTCAACGATTTTCAACAAATCAAAATCGAAGACATTCTACCATTCTTCCCTGATTTTGTCACTATCGATCACTTCAAGGTATGGGCTGTGTTTAATAATCACTCTGCTGTGGAAAAACGAGCAACTGATTTTAATTGTCTTATTTTTAACAGGACGCAATCTGTTCGTCTCTCGAAGAGTACAACCAGCACATCAATGAACTGAAAAATGAAATGCGGGTTCGTATTTCTCTCCAGTGGATTGTGATATCGCAGGACCCTTTTCACGGCTTCTCACTTGTAAGGAATGCGATTTCCTTTTAGGAAGCGACAGAAAGTGCTGAAAATATCCGACAAGATATACATGAGATGAAAAACAGGTTTTGAAATAAACGTTTTTTTCTCCAAGTCATATTTTTGATACGGGGGGGGGGAGTATTGCCACGGGGGGAGGGGTAATTGCCAGGGGGGAATTGCCAGGAATCTGGTCAGACAACGTTTGAGGTCGAACTTTATCGTTGAACGTATAAAAATTTAAAGTATCATTAATCACCACCTTTCATAATGCTTCCAATTACATTTAACACCATTCTCTTTTCTGACTCTTTTCCTTCCAGATACCGCGTAGTGGAAGCTGAGAAGAAATGTGTTTCGTGTTCATTTCCTTTGCTAACAAGAGCTTTCTATATTTTTCCATGTCATCACGCTTTCCACGCGGATTGTCTTGTCGACGAGGTATTAATAATTATGACCCTTCATTTCTTGAAGATGTGACTGTGTATTAAAATAGTTAATTTTCATAATTTCTTCCAAGGTTCTTCCGCACCTCAGAGGAAAACAGAGGTAAACAAATGAAATTTTGGTTCTTCCTAGAAATCCAGTAAGGATCATCTCTTATTGATCCAGTGTTACTACAGGAGGAAACCTAAACTAAACTAACTTTATTTATACTGCATAGCTCTATCAGTTCTAAACTGTTCTTCCTAGAAATCCAGTAAGGATCATCTCTTATTGATCCAGTGTTACTACAGGAGGAAACCTAAACTAAACTAACTTTATTTATACTGCATAGCTCTATCAGTTCTAAACTGTTCTTCCTAGAAATCCAGTAAGGATCATCTCTTATTGATCCAGTGTTACTACAGGAGGAAACCTAAACTAAACTAACTTTATTTATACTGGATAGTTCTATCAGTTCTAAACTGTTCTTCCTAGAGGTCCAGTAAGGATCATCTCTTATTGATCCAGTGTTACTACAGGAGGAAACCTAAACTAAACTAACTTTATTTATACTGGATAGCTCTATCAGTTCTAAACTGTTCTTCATAGAGGTCCAGTAAGGATCATCTCTTATTGATCCAATGTTACTACAGCAGGAAACCTAAACTAAACTAACTTTATTTATACTGAATAGCTCTATCAGTTCTAAACTGTTCTTCATAGAGGTCCAGTAAGGATCATCTCTTATTGATCCAGTGTTACTACAGGAGAAAACCTAAACTAAACTAACTTTATTTATACTGGATAACTCTATCAGTTCTAAACTGTTCTTCCTAGAGGTCCAGTAAGGATCATCTCTTATTATTGATCCAGTGTTACTACAGGAGGAAACCTAAACTAAACTAACTTTATTTATGCTGGATAGCTCTATCAGTTCTAAACTGTTCTTCCTAGAGGTCCAGTAAGGATCATCTTATTATTGATCCAGTGTTACTACAGGAGGAAACCTAAACTAAACTAACTTTATTTATACTGGATAGCTCTATCAGTTCTAAACTGTTCTTCCTAGAGGCCCAGTAAGGATCATCTCTTATTGATCCAGTGTTACTACAGGAGGAAACCTAAACTAAACTAACTTTATTTATACTGGATAGCTCTATCAGTTCTAAACTGTTCTTCCTAGAGGCCCAGTAAGGATCATCTCTTATTGATCCAGTGTTACTACAGGAGGAAACCTAAACTAAACTAACTTTATTTATACTGGATAGCTCTATCAGTTCTAAACTGTTTCTTCCTAGAGGTCCAGTAAGGATCATCTCTTATTGATCCAGTGTTACTTACAGGAGGAAACCTAAACTAAACTAACTTTATTTATACTGGATAGCTCTATCAGTTCTAAACTGTTCTTCCTAGAGGTCCAGTAAGGATCATCTCTTATCGATCCAGTGTTACTACAGGAGGATACCTTAACTAAACTAACTTTATTTACACTGGATAGCTCTATCAGTTCTAAACTGTTCTTCCTAGAGGTCCAGTAAGGATCATCTCTTATTGATCCAGTGTTATTATGGGATGAAACCTAAACTGAACTAACTTTATTTATACTGGATAGAACTGGATAGCTCTATCAGTTCTAAACTGTTCTTCTTAGAGGTCCAGTAAGGATCATCTCTTATTGATCCAGTGTTACTACAGGAGGAAACCTAAACTAAACTAACTTTATTTACACTGGATAGCTCTATCAGTTCTAAACTGTTCTTCCTAGAGGTCCAGTAAGGATCATCTCTTATTGATCCAGTGTTACTACAGGAGGAAACCTAAACTAAACTAACATAATTATACTGAATAGCTCTATCAGTTCTAAACTGTTCTTCCTAGAGGTCCAGTAAGGATCATCTCTTATTGATCCAGTGTTATTATGGGATGAAACCTAAACTGAACTAACTTTATTTATACTGGATAGAACTGGATAGCTCTATCAGTTCTAAACTGTTCTTCTTAGAGGTCCAGTAAGGATCATCTCTTATTGATCCAGTGTTACTACAGGAGGAAACCTAAACTAAACTAACTTTATTTACACTGGATAGCTCTATCAGTTCTAAACTGTTCTTCCTAGAGGTCCAGTAAGGATCATCTCTTATTGATCCAGTGTTACTACAGGAGGAAACCTAAACTAAACTAACATAATTATACTGAATAGCTCTATCAGTTCTAAACTGTTCTTCCTAGAGGTCCAGTAAGGATCATCTCTTATTGATCCAGTGTTACTACAGGAGGAAACCTAAACTAAACTAACATAATTATACTGAATAGCTCTATCAGTTCTAAACTGTTCTTCCTAGAAATCCAGTAAGGATCATCTCTTATTGATCCAGTGTTACTACAGGAGGAAACCTAAACTAAACTAACATAATTATACTGAATAGCTCTATCAGTTCTAAACTGTTCTTCCTAGAAATCCAGTAAGGATCATCTCTTATTGATCCAGTGTTACTACAGGAGGAAACCTAAACTAAACTAACATAATTATACTGAATAGCTCTATCAGTTCTAAACTGTTCTTCCTAGAGGTCCAGTAAGGATCATCTCTTATTGATCCAGTGTTACTACAGGAGGAAACCTAAACTAAACTAACATAATTATACTGAATAGCTCTATCAGTTCTAAACTGTTCTTCCTAGAGGTCCAGTAAGGATCATCTCTTATTGATCCAGTGTTACTACAGGAGGAAACCTAAACTAAACTAACTTTATTTATACTGAATAGTTCTATCAGTTCTAAACTGTTCTTCCTAGAGGTCCAGTAAGGATCATCTCTTATTGATCCAGTGTTACTACAGGAGGAAACCTAAACTAAACTAACATAATTATACTGAATAGCTCTATCAGTTCTAAACTGTTCTTCCTAGAGGTCCAGTAAGGATCATCTCTTATTGATCCAGTGTTACTACAGGAGGAAACCTAAACTAAACTAACATAATTATACTGAATAGCTCTATCAGTTCTAAACTGTTCTTCCTAGAAATCCAGTAAGGATCATCTCTTATTGATCCAGTGTTACTACAGGAGGAAACCTAAACTAAACTAACATAATTATACTGAATAGCTCTATCAGTTCTAAACTGTTCTTCCTAGAAATCCAGTAAGGATCATCTCTTATTGATCCAGTGTTACTACAGGAGGAAACCTAAACTAAACTAACATAATTATACTGAATAGCTCTATCAGTTCTAAACTGTTCTTCCTAGAGGTCCAGTAAGGATCATCTCTTATTGATCCAGTGTTACTACAGGAGGAAACCTAAACTAAACTAACATAATTATACTGAATAGCTCTATCAGTTCTAAACTGTTCTTCCTAGAGGTCCAGTAAGGATCATCTCTTATTGATCCAGTGTTACTACAGGAGGAAACCTAAACTAAACTAACTCTATTTATACTGCATAGCTCTATCTGTTCTAAACTGTTCTTCCTAGAGATGAATACCTGTATCGTTTTTATTAGGGCGAAACTTGAGCTCATTAGGAAAAGGTTATATCAGACCGGCGGCGACCCAAGTCCAAGACCTGGCAGTCGAAATCGAGAAAATGATCCAAGAATAGCGCCTGAAGATTCTATTGAAAAATTAAGGGTGATTAACGTCATCGATATGTTGTTTTGACCTTTTCAAAACTTTGCTGGAAACATATTTTCTTTCTTTGCCAAACATGAAACAATGTTTCCTGATATGCCCACATTTAGGAATGTTTCGTGTTATGCCCACATTCAGGAAACGTGCGTGGGAAAATTAGTTTCCTGGTTCGTTGAAGACGGGGAACATTGAAAGAGAACACTTGGTTAAGAAATGCTTTTCATTGTTTCAGGCTGACCAAGATGAACTTGTTGCTTCTGAATGTGTTATGTGCGGGGAGTTCATGATCAGATCCATCGACCAGCCATTCATAAATCCAGATGAAGACGCTTTGGAGAGTTGGAAATAAACCTTGCAGTAGTCTATTTGTTCCAGGTTGTTCTTATGTTTTAACCCGACTACAATTTTTGCTACAGCTCTATCGAAAGTGCACGTGTGATTTTGGAAACTGAAAACCAACTTTAAAGTGAAAGAAATGCTTTATTTATAGACACAAATGCTATATTTAGCATAAGAATAATAATTACAATCTTGCCCAAATTGGATTACAACAACTATAATATAATATGTAGATAGATATTCAAAATGTGATATATTATGATTAATTGTATACCGACGGTGTAAAGTATGTGATTTTAACAAGGTGGATTTCATTCTTTCATGGCATTTCAAAGAGATCCACTTCATCAATTTCTCGTTTGACCTACTAAAGATTGGTTTCAGCTCAGCTAATTGTTATAATTTGTTGACAACTTTGTCACGACTCAAGTCATGAGTTAGTTAAAAAAAAATACCAGATTTGATGATGGTTGTGCGAATTTTCCTATAGGACAAAAATTTTGATAAAAACATGAAAGAAATTTAGCAAAATTTGGGGGGATTCTGTAAATAACGAATAAAACTATCAAAGATAAATCAGATAATGTGTGCTATGGTATTGTATTTGAACTGTTTTATAACATCAATACAGTCCTATTCAGATCAGAGTATCTTTCCCGATCTCAGCCGAATATGCGCCGAACTACGCCGAATTGCGTCGAGCGGAAACGATCATCGCGTAAAGGATGTGATTATATATTTTCGATTAGGAAAAAGAACACATAATAGTCAGGGAATCACCAAAAGTTGAGGCTTTCGCCACAATGGCGAGTAGTGGCCGCAAACGAAGGCTTGTTTCAAGCCTGGATGGTGAAATCTTAGAGAGATTATCAATGAAATTGAATCCTAGGATGCTGATGAAGGATTATCAATCTTTGGCTGGACGTTTTAAATATACGTACGAATACATACGAAATTTTGCTCGTGAACGCGATCCAACTTTGGCACTTCTGCAGCATTGGTGGTCATCAAAGAGAGGCAGAGAAAAAACAGTGACTGTTCTTATAGAACATCTGTCTGATATGGAGAGGGATGATTGTGTAGATTTACTAAGGCCGTACGAATTTCACAGTAAGTACAAATAAATATTGTATTTTTGCGTTCGTTTATACTTGAGAATCTAAGCTATTTAATAGAAAGCATTCAATGCGCTTTGCGAATTCTTCGTGCCGATTTCAGCGAATGTTTTTTGACTGGCATACGATGTATTCGCCATCTGCCTACATCGCGAACATGACTGTGTTCGGTGTTAACATGCAGTGGAAGCTAAAATCGGCACGGCAAATAACGTAAAACGTAGCATGTTTGCCCGCTCAGGACGTGCCATGACATGTCGTGGCTGTAACAATTAGTAGACATACATGTTTGTTTACCGAAAGCTCAAGTCAACGCACTTACTACGTTTTGTAGTAAGCGCTGTTTAAAAACCTTTCCCTCATCAGTTAAAATAAGAAATCCTTTGTAACCTGGGTAAAATCTTATTTCTTGAACTCCCAGCAAGGCAACATTCGCAGCGCTTCTTATCAGATTGCGAACTGCGATAATCTTGTCAGAATCGAATTGATAAATAACTTTAATGGTACCATGTATGAATTTGCCAAATTCTTAGACATTGTTTTTGCAGCCTTGGGTAAACATATTGTAAAGCGAGCTCCATAATTTAGATTGTTTCATGGTTGGCTGTTCATTTCAGAGTATTCTAGCATCACCATACAGTATTCTGTTAATGTAATCATGGTCTGTTATATTCATGTTATGAATATGAATAAGTTATTAAATTGGTGTTACCGATAGCTCATTATTGTCACACGGGGTAGAATTACATGGTTTTTATACACGTTCGGTGAAATGATCTATGTTGGATCTTTGTTAGAATGCTTCAGAGGATTGTACGAATTCTCCCGAGTGCACAAGCTAGTTTACTACGAGCAAGTGCGAAATATGAAATCCGCGTTTCGCACATATGGGAAATGTCAATCAGTGTATTATTTATAAAACATTGAAATATTGCCTGAAGCGTGCGTGGCGTTCCAGACAGGCTGAGGTAGATTAACGTTGATCAAATGCGGTTTTCCTATCGTTTTTCTTTGCAAACTTCCGCATAATGTCAGGGAAACATAATACTGTACATACGTAAGATTTTTTACACTTTTTATGCTGCAATAAATACCCACTTGGCTGACTTTCAAACGTGGCAAAATGCGGCAAACTTGCGTGCTAATTGGATTCTCGGAGTTATTTTAAAATTTTCAAAAAATTCCAAGCGCTGTTCTCCGAGATTTTTGTATTGTAATTAGCCTTGTTGTTTTAGTGTCCTGCGGTGCAGAACGCTGTGGATTGGTACGCTTCGTTTCGACAATAGTGGTGATCTCAACTAATCTGTTAACGCCTTCAAAATCGCGCGTAAGGCGCAGTTGTATCATCAATACTCAATAGAGTGTTCTTTAGTATGAGAATATTGGCTTGTAAAGTTTCAGGTTCTTAAACATCGAGTTTGATTCTTGTCAACAGCATGCTTGAACATGCTGTATTAGCATTCATATTGTGCTGCTGACTGCACCTTTCTTTGCTGAAGCGCACAGAGTTTTAGGAAAAGTCATCCAGGTCTCTGGGTTTATATTTTGGCGCCGATTTGCTTTGCTCGCAGCAAAGGTTGCTAACTTCATAACATATGACACCTCAAGTGGGAAAGGACCCTCTTTAAGTGTTGTGTTTTCTGTCTGAGCCACTTAAATGGACTTGATGATAGGATCTGGTCAGACAAACCATGGCAACAGTTTTGCCAAATACTACCAACCCTGAAGCTCCCTAACTCACAAAAATTAGACACAAGCTGGCATAGCTTTTTTCTTAAAGTATTACTTGCATTGAACAAGCACATTTGAGATATGATCAAGAATATAATTCAATCTACTCAGTTTTATTGACCTTGAACCCCCATTTGTGGGACAGTTCCCCTTAGCAATCACACATTCAGTCATGCTATCAAAGAACAAACTCTCAATCTCTTAGAATGATACTATAATTGGTATTTCCCCTTGACCCACCTTCCCTCTCTGTATCTAGAAATGCTAAACTTTTGCTCAGCAGTAATGCTTCAAAACCTTTTAAAACATTTTTAGACTCACATGAAGCTTCAGAATTGGATGAGCGACCAGTCATTCCTGGGGCAATAGGTAATTACATTTATATCATTCATCACCACCAATAATGCACTTGAATCTTGATTATTTCTTAGTTTGGATTGTAGCTGCATGATGGATAGATTATGTTCATTTTAATTTTGATTAATTGAAGCTTTATGAAATGGCTTTTTTTATTCCTTTTAGACCTGAACCTTAATCCTTATAATCCGTATTTCCCCCTGAAAGATGATCTTCAAGGACATGCAAGTCAACATGGAACGAAAAAGCCAGGTTTGTAGTGTAGGGCTTTTCTGTAAGCTGCGATATTTAATACCATGTGTTGGTAGAAAGACTACCAAATGTACCTGTGAAGAAAACAAATAAGAAAAAGACAAAATTATTACCAGATGAATTGCCGTAACCGAGCAAATACCTGATGGAGCTTCCATATGGGTGTTCCGTCAAGATGGTTTTACTTTCTGCTGGTACTTGAGTGCCTGTAAGTGCTTGATTATAAACTGACATCAAACCTTTCCAGATTGCCGAGAGGATGAACGTCATCAGACAAATTCCAATTCTTTTGGTGCGAATGCTGTAGAGTTTGATCATCAACAACAGACATGTGCCAGTCCTCAGGGGGGGAATCACAGATGCCAATGGCCTGGATTGGACCCTGCTGGTTATAATCAACTGAATGAAAAAATGTTCAACATGAAAGTGCATGAGAATTACAATTATAATTATCCTGGTATGTGGGTAATTTATACCTTTACGAATATACCTGTGAACTGAAGTAAATTAGGAGGCAATCATTATCAATTATTAACGCCTTATGCCCCCCGTTATCTGTCAAATGTAAAGTTCCACTTCTAGTCCTCCACTTTTTGAGCAGTCCCTTAGATATTATTGTGGATTCATTAGTGAAATTTTTGAGGTCCATATGTTCAAATTATTTTATTTTCATTTGAATTAATAAATCCATTTTGTCTTGATTTAAGCTAAAAGATAAATGTGGGCAAAGAAATGAGTTGTTCATTCTCTTGTAGTAATAATGATCATTATTGATCATTATTGATTTATTTTAACAGAAAACCCTTCAGCAATGATACCAAACACATCATCTATGATGCCAAGTACATCATCTATGATGCCAAACACATCATCTATGATGCCAAGCACATCATCTATGATGCCAAGCACTTCATCCTCCTTTTCAAATGGAATGAATCCTGCAAGTAAGCTGTGTTCTATAGCAGTTAAAGCCTAAATGCCTGCCTTTTTAATCTGCGATTTATTTTGAAATAAAAATGATCATATTCCTCTTCCAGGTGTGTCAAGCTCCATGGATAGTTTGCAATTTGAAAAGCATTTTACAGAGAATGAATATGGTGTGTATTTCTGATCCTATGTGCAGTATTGACAGTGTGACAGTACTTGCAAATGTTACGTTTATGTTAGAGGTAAAGTGTTAATAAAATACCCTAAACTTCTTTTTTTTTATAGTTGTACTAAAGCCTGTGAGTAGACCACAATACCAAGGCCCTGACCCCCCACAATTAAACAGAACGAATGGCAACATGTTCACCTCTCCGTCAGCTGATGAATTTCATGGTGCAAGAAGAGATCTCAGGTTACAAGGGGGACATCACTTTCAGGCACAACCGCTGGATGGGTCATCCACAAACTCGAGTATACCAGGGATGCAGAATGACTTTATGGGATCACCGGAATGGTTCATGGAGGGTAACAGGGATTATTATGACAACCAGTTCAAGAAAACAGGTGGTAATATGAGGTTTTCACAGATGGACTATATGGGATATGAGAGCACTGCAACAGCTGGTTCCCATTCTTTTACAGGTAGATATTTTGAGACGGTTTATGCAGGAGGAATTAAATCCTAGCTTGAAAAAGATCAGAAAGCAACTTAGATATAGTTGATTCCCTATAAATAACAAGAGTTCAGATTGTTCCACAACAAGTTTCATTACATGGCAATTTTTGTCTGTTCAGCGGCTGCAGACAAAGTTGCATTAGTGATTGGGAATCAAGATTACGACCACCACAAGCTACGTGGTTTGCTGTATCCAGAGCAGGATGCTGCTGATGTTGCCAGTGCTTTGACATCACTTAATTTTAAAGTAAGATAATGCAGGATTGATTGTGCTAGAATAACTCAGATCTGAACTGTTCTTCCTAGAGGTCCAGTAAGGATCATCTCTTATTGATCCAGTGTTGCTACACAAGGAAACCTAAACTAAACTTACTTTATTTATACTGAATAGCTTTATCAGTTCTACACTGTTCTTCCTAGAGGTCCAGTAAGGATCATCTCTTATTGATCCAGTGTTACTACAGGAGGAAACCTAAACTAAACTTACTTTATTTATACTGAATAGCTTTATCAGTTCTACACTGTTCTTCCTAAAGGTCCAGTAAGGATCATCTCTTATTGATCCAGTGTTACTACAAGAGGAAACCTAAACTAAACTAACTTTATTTATACTGAATAGCTTTATCAGTTCTACACTGTTCTTCCTAGAGGTCCAGTAAGGATCATCTCTTATTGATCCAGTGTTACTACAAGAGGAAACCTAAACTAAACTAACTTTATTTATACTGGATAGCTCTATCAGTTCTAAACTGTTCTTCCTAGAGGTCCAGTAAGGATCATCTCTTATTGATCCAGTGTTACTACAAGAGGAAACCTAAACTAATCTAACTTTATTTATACTGGATAACTCTATCAGTTCTTAACTGTTCTTCCTAGAGGTCCAGTAAGGATCATCTCTTATTGATCCAGTGTTACTACAAGAGGAAACCTAAACTAAACTAACTTTATTTATACTGGATAGCTCTATCAGTTCTAAACTGTTCTTCCTAGAGGTCCAGTAAGGATCATCTCTTATTGATCCAGTGTTACTACAGGAGGAATGTATATTTCACTTTTTAGGTAATTTCGTTGGTGAACCTAACTTTAAGTGAGATGCGAACGGCGATGTTGGCGTTTTGCTGTTTACTGGGTAAGTTTGACAAGTGGTTTCCCTTCAGTTGCCCTTTCGCTATCCTAAGATTTCGTACCAAATGTAATCATGTCAATGATTGTGGTTCCATTCGCAATGTCAGTCCTATAATGTGGCGATGATCCGTGTAGGTCGTGGGGTCTATGGTGTTGTTTACTACGCTGGTCATGGTTATGAAGATAACGGTGAGAATTACCTCTTGCCGGTCGACTCTGATCTCAAATATAACAGGGAACACAGTCTAAGGACTCAAGAGATACTGGAAGCGATGCAACAATGCGAAACGTCATTAAATCTTCTCATTATTGATGCTTGTCGAGTCAGGTAACTGAAGACACGCTTACATTTGCAATTTTTAAACCAGGTCATTTTTGAGGTATTCATTGTTCATTAGAGCGGTGATTTTCATTCAGGTTGAATTTTTTGATCAAACGAAATTTTTGAATTGGAGAATTCGACGGTAGCGAATTCCATAAAGTGGGCACAATTGCAGGGAAAATCATGCCAGAAATTTCGTTTCATCCAAAATTCAGCCTAGTGGTAAACCATCTTTATGCTGTGGTAGTCTGCATGTCGAGAATTAGCCTCCAAATGTGATCCTCAACAAGTCACATAGTTTTCATGGTATATTTGTATTTTGACCAAGTTAAGAAATCCAAATGACTCACACCGTCAGATAGCACACGGGCTATAAATTACTCTCTCTCGCTCACAGTTCCTCACTCACTGAATGTCTCAGTCCAACGAACTCTCTCGGTCTCGTGACCACACCACATACACCTTCATCCTATCAATCACTGTTACATAACTAGAATATAATTAAGCAAAGGAAACATTTGTCTTTATAATCATCTTATCTGTCAGTTCCCGACACGCATATAGAATCCTGAAATTTTGTCGAAACGATTCGACTTTCGTGTATAATGACGCGATCTTTTTTTCATAGTTTACCAAACAAATCTGGCCCGAAATTTGTTCCTAGAATTAAGCGGAGCGCAGCTGGAAACAACATCTTTGCCTATTCTTGGTGAGTTACTGGAACCACGCTTCTGGAAGACGCTCGATCCTCGCCTGTCCATTGTACTTGATATTTGTTCAAATGATAACCGAAAAGTGTTTAATTTTGTAACGTACGTTGCCAATATTGCATTGTTTCATAGGAAATAGTGAAATTACATTTGCAATGGACGCTTTTTTCAAAATTAGACTCCCGGCGTGAATTCTCGCTCAAGTCACTGGGTATTGATTCATCGAGTATTCTGTGTTATTTTTCAGTTGTAGCCAGCAGGAATCTTTGGAATCCTTTAACAGCCGAAACGGCATATACTGCACGCATTTGCTGCGCCGATTGAGAGAGAATAGAAGAGTTGAGAATATCCTCATGGACGTTGCCACAGGTATACCAATGTTGTTTTTGATATCGAAATCACGAATTTCTAAATGTCATTCGGTTTTTGTGGCTAGTACTCCGGCGAATGATATCTCATGATCTTTACCACTGAGCGACATTGCTTTTAGTTAGAATAGAAGGGAAAATGTCAACCATTGTAACAAAAAAGTACTCTCAATTTGCCCACAGAAGTGCTTTAGTTCGCACGAGAAGCACTTTCAAAACTTGATGCCAACAAGACAATGATAGCCGTTTGTAAAATATAATCATTCTCGGAGATTTATGAACATTTCAGCTTAGAGTATGTTCTCTTGTGTTGTGTAGATTTTGCTCGAAGCTATACCATACCGCAGCGGCCATGCATAGAGACAGACTCAAAAGCAGATTTCAGATTAACCGACCCCATTCACCCAGAAATCATGGAAAAGGATTTCAGCGAAAGATGTCGCCGCTGGCAGGAGGCGAAATGTAAGAATTCTTCTTGAACTTATCAAAACTGTTTTCTCTCAAGATCTTGTAATGGTAATCTCTTATTGATCCAGTGTTACTACAGGAAGAAACCTAAACTAAACTAACTTTATTTATACCGGATAGCTCTATCAGTTCTAAACTGTCCTTCCTAGAGGTCCAGTAAGGATCATCTCTTATTGATCCTGTGTTACTACAGGAGGAAACCTAAACTAAACTAACTTTATTTATACTGGATAGCTCTATCAGTTCTAAACTGTTCTTCCTAGAGGTCCAGTAAGGATCATCTCTTATTGATCCAGTGTTACTACAGGAGGAAACCTAGACTAAACTAACTTTATTAATACTGGATAGTTCTATCAGTTCTAATCTGTTCTTCCTAGAGGATCACCTTTTCCGAGTATTAATAACAACGTTTACAACTCTACAGGTATGCCACACGACTTCTCCCTACCAGCAGCAAGTTTGCAGATTTTGCTATCCTTCCACTCCCCTCACAGCAATATCCTGAGCGTCTCTGTCATGACAAAGAAGAGAATGGAAAAATGTGTTGAAGAATTTCACCTTGAGCTGGAGACAGTCAGCGTAAATACCAAACTTGTATTAATGATGCTGCATAATTTAGTAGTTCAAACGTAATTCTGAACACAAAATATGTTCATTTCAGCCTCTTGTCTGTGTACAAAACGCGTGCGACGATAAGAAATCTGGTGATGTTATATGCAGACAACAATTTGAAATTAAGAATATCCAAAAACACATTAAATTACAGGTACGAGAACACTAGGAACAGCTTTCTGTGGAAAGCTTTATGATCCCTATTCTACCCTTTGTGATCCCCATTCTACCCTTTATGATCCCTATTCTACTTTTTGTGATCCTCATTCTACCCTTTGCGATTCCCATTCTACCCTTTGTGATCCCCATTCTTCCCTTTGTGATTCCTATTCTACTTTTTGTGATCCCCATTCTACCCTTTGTGATTCCCATTCTACCCTTTGTGATCCCTATTCTACCCTTTGTGATCCCTATTCTACCCTTTGTGATCCCTATTCTACTCTTTGTGATCCCTATTCTACCCTTTGTGATCCCCATTCTACCTTTTGTGATCCCTATTCTACCCTTTGTGATCCCTATTCTACCCTTTGTGATCCCTATTCTACCCTTTGTGATCCCTATTCTACCCTTTGTGATACGTATTCTCCCCTTTGTGATACCTATTCTACCCTTTATGATCCCTATTTTATATTTTTTCTACATTCTAACGCAGGGCTCAGTGATGCTCACAGTCCGAGCGATGTTCAAAGAAGACGGCAATCTTTGTCACTATGAAAAAGAAGTTGATCTTGGGTGGCCTTTGGTCTCGTCGATCACGTGTTTATGGGATAATTGGTTGCTTGGTGACCGCTGTAAGATGACAGCAGTGTGACACCGGGAGTTTTAAACACCGGGCATATTAACCCCAGAATATCGTTCCTGGATGTTTTACACTGGGTGTTGGGACAGCGGTGTGACGTCGGAAGTTTTATTCCTGATGTTTAACACCTGAATTTTACCCTTGGATGATTTACACCGTATGTTAGTTACCGGAAGATTGACATCGGAAATTAACACCCCGGATCATCGACCACCGAGATTTGAATATACCGTCCCTCAATCAAGAAGGATAACCCTCGGATTCAAGGTTACAAATCCAATATATCGTAATAGAATGTTGCAAAATAGTACCCTGGAAATAGGAAAATATATCCCAGACTCCTGACGATGAATTATCCAAAAAAAAACTAGCAACAGTTCTGTTTCTCCTGTGGTTATTCACAGTAAGAACACAGGATAATGAAGTAGAGAAGAAGTCGCCTGGGTTCTAGCCTTGCAATGATCATGACAAGCAATACGCCAAACACTGTTAGTATATCAATGTGTTGTTAAATTTTGAAGAATAGACGCTTCCCGAATTTGCAAGGTTCCCCACAAAACAATAGTCAGAGAACGAGCGGAGCTGTCAATGTTACCTAATATTCGTAAATAGGTTCGTTTTCACTGCCAAATTCAGAAAGTGTCTATTACTTTGAACTTATAAATATCTCGTTTTTCTTGAGATACAAAACAATCTTCGATCCTGGGATCGAGTATAATTTAATTTTAGGGGTACTTCATGCAGACGGTGATATAGGGAGTGTCTGATGAGCCCGCGTGTTCCGTTATGGCGTAGCAATGTTGTATAGTTGTAGAGCCATAATCTTTTGATAAGATTGCTAGTATTTATTTTAGTCCACGACTAACTACATTTGATGGCATCCATCGATATTTGTAAATATAGAAATTTCCTTCTCGGAAGATCGCATTGCACGTTGGGTGATGTCTGCTTCCACTGCGCAATTCTAAATATCCCCCCCGTTAGCATTTCACTGTCACTATTACATTCCCTTCATTGTCTCCTGGAGATTTCCACCCAGAAAATGAGCGCAAAATAAAACCACAGTTTCATTGTTGTTTCATTCCAACATTACCATGATTTCACCTCAATTGCACGTATTTCCAATGTTGGAAATATATTCAAATAACCAATATTTTTGTTTAAGAATTGCACAGCTGGTGGCAAGCACTAAACTGACGTTTTACAGCTTAACTTTTAAGTCGATAAGCAAACTGTAAATTAGTTCAGTTTTATAGATACGTGAAAATATAAGCACCAATGCTGAATTTTTACAAGTTTTTAATGTCTCAAAAATGCTTTGATTTTTTGATGCAAAGTTTTAAGAGGATGCTGCTCCTTGGCTTGGAGCAATTGGAGTATCATCAATCAGCCTGTCGCCAATGGTATATTAGAAACTGTTCCTATGACTCCAAGAGTGTTCATATTTTGATCATTACTGAGTATCATTGCCCTCTGGTATGGAGGTACTTTAGGAGTAATCATGGGAAGTGGGGGATAGACATTTGTTTTGAGGGTAGGGGTATGGGAATCTCTTCCCCCCCCGAGATATTTGCGGTCTGCGTCGCGCATGGCAATCACTCACATCTCACATTACAGTGAACTGCTCACATATAACGATATATATTCAATCACTGGTTAATTATTACCCGGGATTAATTCCCGAGGGGTAAAATCTCGTACGTTTAACAATCGTATGTCGTTCGTTGGTCTCGAGATAAACAAATATGGCAGATACATATTTGCTTTGAATTGTCAGCAAAATTTTTACATTCATTTGTTCAAAAACTCCAAAATATTTATTGCATAAGTTTCGTTAACTTACTTGCCGTGTGTAAATAAACCAAACGTTGTGTTCCGTGCAGAATATTCGCAATCGTTCACGTGTGAAAACTATTTTATAGAACAAAGTTCTGAGTGACTGTCCATAATATATTTTACACTATTATAGTTGTGTGATATTTCGCGTGTTGATTAGCTTCGTTTAAAAGCGATGCTCCGAAAAATGATCTCAAAATGAAAAGGCGGTTTCGTCCAGCAGTTGGTGCGGTTGTATCAGGAAAAAAAGGTGAGATTGTTGTAACTAGTTGAATTAAATAGTACACTACATTTTACAATATACACTTCTTGTATTAAAATATTGAGTTCTATATAATAAATGTGTCGAAATCATTATATTGACACTGATTCTTGTTTTTTTAAAATTTTTTTTTCACAAAAGTGGGAAGTTGATAGACATAACCACATCAACTTTAGGATGGAAAACGGTTTTATACCTATAGTTTGCATTGGATATACTCACCATACTTGACTTTATCTGTATTGTTCTAGGTAGTACTGATGGTGCAGAGACATCAAATGATTCAACTTCAACTCAGCCCACAAGAAGAGCCAGAATTAAACCCAAAATATGCATATCTTCATCAGCTACACATACTTCAACTGGAAAAATAGCAAACACTTGTCAACCATCAATTACTCCAAGGACAGTTAGGTCAATAAATAGCAAGAATAGTGATAATCAACCTTCAGCTAAGAATGGATCTGGTATCACACCGCCAAATGCAGATGGTGGTGATGGTACCAGCATGGTTACTGTGACGGCAATGGTTCATAGTGAGCCTGAACCAGACAATCAACTGACTAATAATTCACAATGCAGCGGTGTTAATAATTCAGCCCTCAACTGATAATACAGCACTAGTATTTCAGGAGAAAATCAGAATGATAAACAGACAGCCTCTGCTGGTGAAAACCAAGTAATTCTAACAGAAACTGTTCACAGTAAGTCTCCAAGTAAAACTAGTGATGGTGCATCACTAGTGAGTGAAAATAATGGTAAGAAATCTTTTAATGGTGGTTCCAAAGATACAGTAAGTGTTGATGGTCAGCTTTCTACTGGTCAATCCACCACAGATTCCAGTAGCCCAGCTAGTACATTACCATCACCTAATGATGGTGGTAGTCAGAGTTCCATTAGTAATGATGAAAATATGGTAGTTAATGTGACCAATCAATCCTCAGCTGTTAATATGACTAGTACTTCACAAGTCAATACAAGTAATGGTGATGGTGGTCAACTGTCAACCGGTTGTGTAGTAACAGCCTCTGGTACACCTGCTGTACCAGTAACTAGTCAGCTGTCAACTAACATCAATGTCACATTGGTAGATAAAAGCTCTGATAGCCAACCTTCAAATGAAAGTTGCCTAAATGGTGGTGACAAAACTACTGTGAACCAATGTACTACAACAGCAGGTCAGGTTAGCCAAACTCCAAGTGTTGCTATGGTGAAAACTGCTTCAACACCTCAACAAGTAAGGCGGGCCCGCATCAGACCAAAGGTCAGAATTGCCACTTCGAAAACACCCGTAGAAAAAGCTCTTCCATCTAAACAAAATTTGCCAACACCGCAATCATTGATCGAGAAAAGGGCAGCAAATGTTTCCAAACAGACTTCAGGTAATAGTCTGGAACAACGCGAAAATACTGCCACCATAGACACTGGGGAAAGGTCTAGTACCCTTCGTGAATCATTACGTAGTGGCGACAAAGAATCTGAAGAGACGAACACTCGTATTTCTGGTGAAACTACAAGTTCAAAAGACTCAGCAGACAGTTTTGATGTTGACGGTTCGGCAAATCCACCATCGACAAGTACAAATGGCTGCGTTCAAAGCACAAGCAAGCAGGCACCTTCCCAACTGACAAGAAGATCCAGGATTAAACCACGAGTCGGAATAGTTGATAGGCCAAGTGTTCAGAGTGCAAAATCTCGGGGTAAACCAAGCGATAAACCATCGCTTGTAGCTACCACGGTTGTCACGGTGAAGGATCCTGGACAACGACTGGCAAATGAACAGACGAAGTCTGTTTCGGAGGAAACACGGAATGCTGAACGAAACGAATCTTCGAGTTCTAGTCGAGATGTTGTAAATAAACTGTCAGGGAGCAGGATAAGAAATGAACAAGGATCTAGCGAACCTAGCGGTGTTGAAGACACTGGAACAATCGATGGAAATGAAAGATTAAACGATAATGAGAAGCGACCTGGGACACGAGACAGCATCTCAAGTAGCAGGGAATGCTGCTGAAGAAAATATTTCATCCACTAGTGAAGAATTAGGTGCTAAAGAACGACCTGGTGTTGTTATGGGTGATGCAAGCTCAAGTGTAGAACAAACCAGCCATATTCTTGATCCTAAAGATTTGAGCGGTTCTTTGCAGGATGATCTCATTTCACCACAATCAGACCATGAATCGGTTTCAAGAATCCATGGTTCTTCAGCTTCACCAAGTTGTTTGCCTGTCATGATGGAAGATAGCACCATTCTTCTTCGACCTAATGTAACAAGCGTTGGGTTACCGTCAGGGTTGGGGGCCACCGATACCCAGGAACTGTTGTATAATGTAGAGACGGCAGATGATCTGTTACAGTCCTTGTTGAATGCAGAAAACGTTAGCTCCGGCCATGTACCTGTGAGAAACAGTGGGACACCTCAGGATACGAGTGGTGTTGGTACGACTGGGAACGCAACAACACAAGATGTCCATGGTGATCCCAATTCGTCCATAGTTACCCCTTCACCTTGCGTTGGACAGGGGAAAGATGCAACAGTTGAAATTTCAACGCAAAACAATCACGCTAAATCTGTCAACCAAACCAGAACCGAGGCACCGACCAGTTCAAATGAAACGGTTACTACCTCGCGACTTGTTACAAAGCGGCAGCGAGTCAGACCAAAATCCAGACGGTCACAGCTACTTCAAACTCAAATTCTGGATATCTCCTCGATACCAATTGCAAGTAATATTGAAATTGAACAGGAGGTTAGCTCGAGTGGCAGTGGTGGCATCGACCACCCGGTTTTGGAACTTCCAGTTGATCTTCAGGAGGATTCAACTCAAAGTCTTTCCAAAGCAAGCAAAACATCAGGTGAATGGGGGGAAAGATTTCAGCAGAGACGGTCAAGGACTTCAAAAGTTGTTTTATCTCGAAAACGTCCGGAAAGTTCTGGTGTGCATAAGGGCATTGGAAGTGGTACTGCTGGGGATAAGACAGGTACGTCGAGGGGTACGAATAGTTCATCCGATTCGGCTACAATCGCTGGACGAAGTCAATCCAGTGGATCACAAGGATTGTCAACTAGTGATCCTCAGGATAGTACAGGCATTATCAACGAAATCACGGCAATAGTCGTTGATCCGAAAAACAGCGCTGCTGTGGAAACTGAAAATAGTTTATCTCATACAAACGTGCAGGATCTTTCCACGAATGACCGCGTTGAAATTGTTTTAGAAGTGACAGGAACTGCTCAAGGTTTTGCTAATGTTGTGTGTGAGAGTGTTCATGCAACGAACGAGTTGAATCTGAACAATGACGAGGAGAAACAAAGTAACGGCGACTGTCGGGGCGGCGAAAGTGTTTCAGAAAGATCAAATGCTTGCAATATTGACAGTTCAACAGACACCAGCTCCTCGCTGGGAAATCTTAAAAGTAAATCTAAAAGAATACGTAGACAAAGAGCGTCTACTCCTCTTCATGATGTCCCACCCTTTGGAATAAGTCTGACAAGTGATGCAACACTTAGTCAATCGCAGTCGGACACTACAGTAGCTTCAACTGGTACAGATCAACTGCCTTCTAATTCTTCCTCGTCCAACATGCAAGACCTGTCGTTGAATATACCGGAAAGCGCCATAGAAGAGGTTATTCTGAACACAAATGAACTTCTGCCTGGTATGGGTGAGTGTCCAGAATGTCCTGACCTCATGTTTTGTCTAACAGCTGGTGAAGATACAGTTGTTAGCGAAGGGACGCAAGATCTATCGCAGACACAACCCGGGACACTCGAGGATAATGTTGCAAATGCAACAAGACGAACTTCAGCGGAGTTTGAAGAAGGGGACTCGTTGAATGATGCTGGTCGGAAGAAAACACAAACTACAAGAAGTGTTAACGAAAGCGCTGGGAATGATCAGACAATTGTGAGTGGGTTAAGAGGAGAGAATGATACAGGTAACGGAAAAGGTTGTAGAGAGAACCGTAACGGAAGGGAGCTATCACAAGGCAAAGAAAAGACAGATAATGAAACAACGGGAGGCAATAGAGCAGCAAGCGATATTGAGTTGACCACAAGTGAGACGGTTTCTGGAAGGCAGTCTGAGGAAAAGCGAGGACGAACTGTCAGGTCTAAGCAAAGACCAAGGCCGAATATTCTGAGGAAGCGAAAGGCACGAGAGAAGATACTTGATAGTGATGAATCACTCGATACAACTGGTGATAACGGTGGATCAGGACCGCAGGATACGGGTGTACAAGATGGGTCCATAGGAGATACTTCATTGGGAGATCTTAGTGCGCCAGATGCGTCGCTAGGTGTCACTGGCGTACAATCTGATACTACTCAGGGTAATGCTGGATCCGAGGCGTTGCTTGAAGGATCGACTCCTGAAGCTCCAAGCGATCCCGTTCAAGATGGTGCTAAAGCTAAACTAGGGTCGAGAAAACGACAAGGCAAGGCGATAAAACCGAAAATCCCAGCCAAAAGAGGCCGAAAGAAGGCTGTCGTGCAGGAGACTACGGAGGCTCAGGATGAGAGTGGACTGGGGATGAATATCGAAGCTTCAGTAAGTACGGCCCTGTGATGGCTTCTGAAACTCCCGAATGTTGTGATGTATATTGTTATTTTTTACAGGAGGCTGACGAGAACTCGATGCTTGGCACTGGTGCGGTGCAAGATACGGAAGAAACGTCTCAGAAAAAGAAGAGAGGGCGTGCAAAAAGTTCCAAGAAAGTTCCTGAAGCCGAAAATGAAACAGAGGCTTCTTCAGTGCCAAAAACACCTAAGAGAAGGGTTAGTAAGCTGGGAACGAAACGCCCGGTCATTTGATCAAAATCAGAGCTATCCAGTATAAATAAAGTTAGTTTAGCTCAGTGTTTAACTGGTGTTTCCACAGTTTATATTCAACTTCTGTATTCTTTATTGCAGAAGAAAAATCAAAGTGGCAATGCCAGTGGACAACAAGACACGGCTGTTAATATCGCCAGTATGAAGATTAGCGACATGATTTCGTACAATCCAATGACGAACCCTATGACGTAAGTGATTGTTCCAATGACGTAATTTCTTGGCCCCAGTCCCACAATACACCGAACATTTCGCACTACTAATTGTTCTGCGATCTATTATAGTTCTGACAATGAAAACGACAACCAGACACAATTTCTGGGCGGATTAGGGTATGTATACTTTCATATTATAGTGACAAAAACATTTTTGTATATATTTTTACTCATCGGTAAAATCGTTTAGTTCGCAAGCCACTGCAGAGACTGTTTTACCTACGAATGAAAACCAGCCCGACGAAAGCGCAGGCGGAGAAGAAAGGACGGACGTATGTGCCCCGCGGGTTACCATTGACGCTGACGGAAATATAGTACTGGATGAAGAAAGGTTAGCATCTTCTGTGTTTTAGTTCAAAACGTCAGTTGAAGTTACGCATGATTATTTATTTGTGTATAATTTATTTCTTTAGTTTGTTTATTGCGTCCACTCCTGTCGCAGATAATTTGAACAAGTAAGACGATGAGAATGTCATTATTTCACTAGTGTAGAGCTATTATTAATCGTTGTGACATCACACGTCGTTTTCACAATTTCAAACTTGCAGGGAAGTCGTGGTTGAAAACGCGAATCAACAATACAACGCTATCCACAAGAGGAAAAACAGCGAAAGATGGGGGAAAGAAGGTACAGTTTTGGGCTGATTTTCTTCTTTTCATAGATGTGATCGAGTGGATAAGTTACGGAAGTTCAAATACACAAAGGGCACTCATACCATACACAGAGCATGTACAAACTATTCACTCGTTTGGATCTGTCAAAAAGAGAATAACACTGAAAATCTCGTGTCAATGTGTTTGTTTTATCTTCGTTTAAAATATAATTCTGACAGTTCTGACGTTTTTAACACAGAAACGCTGTATTTCTATGAAGTTTTGAGTCAAATTGGAACTGACTTTAGTCTAATGGCAAAGCTCTTTCCCAAGAGGAACCGTACGGCATTGAAGGTAAATTTTCCAGGCTGCCATCTTTCAAACCATAGCCAGAATCTACAACAAAGTTCTTGTAAAGTACGTTTCCTCCGGTTGTAACACAGAACCAGTCGTATTCAAACCTTTCTAGGTAAACAATAGGATTAATTGTTGGGCTAAGCTTTTTTATCATTGTCAGAGCATGCACATGAGTATGATGATGAAACTCATGATGAAGATCTTCGCCGTCATCTGAGGATTCATATTTCCTTTTTTCTTGTAGAAAAAGTTCAAACGGGAAGAGAGAACAAATCGAGACTTGATCGATAAAGCTCTAAGTAGGTTGAACCCGATGCGTTTTTATAACATACATTGTTTAGATAGCCTCTTGTAGATCGATTACCCGAATCGTAATTTTCATTTCAGATCAAAGGATTCCTTTGGCAGCATCGTTGTTCGAAGAGTGTTTAGAGGAGACAGAGGAAGAGATGGAACGAGCTCTTATTGTTCAGTCGACAGCTGAGGCCGCGGCTCAGGCCTGAACTAAGTTGTTTCAGAGTTTTACCCACCGTGAGAGAATGTTTGCGTGAGGCTGTAATAGAGCTGGCGATTAACTTCATTTGCGAATGGTCGTATTAAAGGAGTGTTTTGTTGTGTTCATGGATGCAAGTGCAGTAAGTACAGAATGTATTTGATCAACTCACATCAACTTTATGAGAACTTTGCTTCATATTTTTCTTTGCCCTGGGAGGTATGTTCACCAAACGTTCATGCAACTTAGTTGTTTTACCTGGGATAATGATTTGTAATCATTTATCTTTGTGGACATACCGTGTGAATGTCTTAACATGAAACGTGTTTAAATTGTGTGTTTATGACTGCCGTCTTTATTTTTACGGCGTCATTCGAAACACTCTCACCTGACTTTGTTTCATATGCCTACATTATCAGACTAGGCATATGAGTTTTATGAAATATGGGGAACAGGCGTGGGGATCTATTATTTGATAACTTCACAAGTTTTTTTAAAACTGTTCGGACAGTGGGTTTTTTTGGTGTAGAAACGTATATTTAATATAATTCAGTTTTGTGAATAATTTACGTAACAATATATATTACCTATATTTACATCTCGGTTATTTATAAGAAATAAATATATCGCTAAAACTACGTCCACGGGTTTCCACTTTGCTCGATGGAATCTATTGAAATGAAAACGTCATGTTGTGACACTGATGTGGAGCTTCGCCTGGGTCAGGACAGGGAAAGATAAATCAAAACAAGTGGAAACAAATACCTTGCAGTGAACTTGCTTGAACCGACTCGCGATCACGTCTTGAGCTTCTTTCCGACTGTTGTACGACCGGGACACGATCTATCGAAGATTTCCGAGGCACGCTTGAAGCGGCTACGTCGGGCCGCGAAGATGGTTGCGTTTTGCGAACTGAGACCTCTTTCTCGCTAAGAATATTAAAAACCGTTTTCATAAATGATCAAAATCGTTGATGAAAGGAACGACTAACAAAGCTGACGACATCTCACCTTAATTCTCGAAGATCTTTGCGCGACACACGCACGGGGGTCGAGGGTTGACTGCCAACAACTTTGTCTAACACGTTCTACAGAAAAAGATTATTTTTGTACTTCTAACAGATGATAAACTGTCTGTGGGTGAGGCTTGTGTAAGTTCCTGAATTACGAAATTGTACAATTGTAGTTAAACTTGCTCACATTAGAACAAATACGATACAACACTACATTTTCTTAATCCAGGATTAGCAAACCTTGAGGTTTCCATCATTCACTTTGTTCCCTCTTTGTTGATCATGACTTTTCATCGCAACACGCAACCCGAGTTCACCTTCAGGCGGTGGTGCATCACTTTGAACACTGGCAGTCTGCATAGAGTCCAGTACTCCATCCTTCCCAGCCAATTCTCGCAGTTTCTTCTTCAGATCTCGACTCATTTTCTTGTAGTAATACAAATCCTTCTCAAGCTCCAGGATACGGTTTTCTTTATCACTGTTGAAAAACGAAATAGTCCAAGAGTGAAGCTTCTGATTTAGCTTGAGTCGATCAAGGCACTTTCTCACGTGCGACTCGGGGTGAATGGGGCCCCACCAAGTGGGGAATGAGGCCCCACCCCGACCTTAGAACAACACCACCCACCTCGTATGTTTCTCCATATCATTGACTTGCTTCATAAGGAATTGTACGCGCTGTTCGTATTCTTTGGCCTGATCGGTCAGCCTGCGTTCAGCCCGCAAGTCAGCCTGTTTGTAGCCCCGTTCCAGTTCTCTAATCACTCGGTCCTGTTCGTCAACACGCAACGTTAAATCGTCACATTTCATCTGCTGTTTGCGCTCGTTTTCACGATGCGAGACGACTTTCGCGAAATATTTTGACAAGAGAAAGATAGCGTCTTCTCGACCTAGGCTATTGAGTTTAACGACCAAGTCGTTTTGCGTGGCTTCGGCGTCCTCGTCCCGTAATTTCTTCTTTTTTGTGTTGATTGAGTCGGTTTTAAACTCGATAGCCGCTTCTAGAGCGTCAATGCCTTCTTCGAATTCCAGAAGTCTGTTGAAGGAGAAAAATCAAATGTAGTATTCTACAATAAGCTGTCGTGGTTCTTGTCTGAACTACCTGAAGAAGATATCTCAAACGTGGTGGTCTAGTGTAGGTAGTATTCTACAATAAGCTGTTGTGGTTTGTGTCTGAACTACCTGAGAAAGATATCTCAAACGTGGTGGTCCAGTGTAGGTAGTATTCTACAATATGCTGTCGTGGTTTGTGTCTGAACTACCTGAAAAAGATATCTCAAACGTGGTGGCCCAGTGTAGGTAGTATTCTACAATATGCTGTCGTGGTTTGTGTCTGAACTACCTGAGAAAGATATCTCAAACGTGGTGGTCCAGTGTAGGTAGTATTCTACAATAAGCTGTCGTGGTTTGTGTCTGAACTACCTGAGAAAGATATCTCAAACGTGGTGGTCGGTCGTGATTCAATCTTACCTTCGTTCTTCTTCGACATTCAATAAACTTCCCTCCTTCAATTTAGCATCCAGTCCCTCGCGTTGTTTCAGCAGCTCTGTTCTCTTGATTTCCAGAAGTTCAATATCTTGACGAATATTCTCACAGGTTCGCTCATCCTCGCTTTCTAAAATCGAAACATGCATGGAGTCGCTTTCACAGGAAACGCACGAGCTTCATCTTGACTGGCGACTATTCTGCGACGCACAAACGAGCAAAATACAACAAAACAAATCGTTCAAATACCTTTGAGTTCCGTGTCCTTCTCTCGAAGCTCTTCCTCGACAGTGTTCAGTTGTGTTGACATACGTAAAATATCCTGGTGAAAATTCATATAGTAGATTTATCAAGTCACTAAAGAGCTGACAATGTATGCAAATTTTTGGCGGGAAACGATGGTGCAAATTTTAAACGTTTGAAAAAACCATTCTCTTTCATTAATTGTACAGTTTCAAAATCACATCAATTTCGTTTTTTCTTACGCTTGAGAAACAAACAGAGCAATTTATACTAAATAAAATACACGGTAAATTTTTCTCACTTTTGATAGAACTTGGCTGGAGCGAAGTTTCTTCATCTGTAGTTCACTTTTCTCTCTCACCATCTGTTCGCGTTCCTTCAAAATTTCTTCACGTTTTTCGAGTTCCTCTTGAAGTGTTTCCATCGCTTGCTTCTTGCTCAAAACCTCCTCGAGTTCATTATCAAGCCATTGACGACGTTCATCTAACTTACTGGCCTCGTCACTATAAAAAAGAGCGAATTTCCTGAGTTCGCACTCTCTAAATACTCGCTCTGACAATCCTAAATCAACCCACTTTTCCTCTTTGGAAGTTTTTCGTCTCAGCTTCCTCTGGGCTGCGGCAACCTCTTCTGTTTTTCTTTTCAATATTTTTTCATTCTGGAGGTTCTTATCTTCCAGTTCTTTGATCTTTTGTTGATCTTTCTGAACCTCTCGTTCCATTTTCACCTTCTTCTCAGTCTCGTCTCTAAGTCTCTTTTGCAGATTATTCTGTTGTAGCTTCATCTTGTCCAAATGCTGCTCGAGTTCTGATAGTTTCTTCTCGCGTTCGTCATGAAGAACAGAAACTTTCTCGTTGTCCTAAAAAGAAAAAAACACAGAACAATCTTGTAACGATCAGACCTGTCAAAATGTTCAAAACAAGACTTCAAATCACCAACTTTTTGTTTTTTCTTTAATTCATTCAACTGTTCCTCGAGGATTTGAAGTTTCCTCTTGTACTCTTGCCCTAGCTTCTGTTTTTCGTTTTGTTCCTGGTGAGACTTCACTTCGTACTGAGCTAAAGTTTTCTGTGTATTTTCCAAATCTTTTTTCTTCTTTTCAACCTCTTTCTGCATCCGTTCGACCTTCTCTGTGAAGGTTTTCTTCATCACGTTCGCCTCCTTGTCGCTTCGAACTAACTCTTTGATCAATTCTTGTTTCAGTCTAAACATTAAAAGAGACTGTCTTCCCAGGAGTAACAGTTAAGAGTCATCGTGAAGGTACAAAATGGTCGCTTTGGTTAGAAGTTGGTAAATGACTTACTTAATATTGATGGTAAGATCTCTGAGTTGACGCTGGGCTTCGCGAAGTCGTACCTCAGACTTGTTAACCTGAGTCTGAACAACTTGTGTGCTCATTCGGAGATTTTGAATTTCACTTTCTGCTGGCTTTTTGGATTTTTCTTCCTTAGCAATTTCGGATCTTTTCTATGTATAAAACGTGGAGAGAATGAGATGGTGTATCACTCAGGGTGCACTGTGACAATGTAACAGTTATTTTCTTCACAACTCACCCTGATACTCGACTGAGTATTCTTTGTTGCAGGCGAATTCAATGCCCCAGTTTGACGACCTTTTGTAACCTTTTTGTTTCCAGAACTGACCGCTTTGTCTTTAGCTCTCCAGGTTTTCCCCAAAGTTCTAGCAGAAAAATTTTTAACGGTATTCAACAGAACTTTATTCCTACAATTATTCATTGAAATAGTCCTTACTTCGAGGGCGTAGCCACGTGCTTCTCTTTCCCAGTCTTTTCTTCTTGATCGCTGTCAGAGGTGTCTGAAAGCGAATGCTGGACCTCATCTTCCTCCTCGTACTGACCAACAAGAATATCACTGCGGGCGCGGAAATTCTGCATCATTCTATCCAGAACATTCTTGCGAAAAAATTAATCATTTGAATTTAGTCTTGTCGCAAGAGGAAACCTGGACTAAACTATTCAGTTCTAAACTGTTCTTCCTAGAGGTCCAGTAAGGATCATCTCTTATTGATCCAGTGTTATTACAGGAGGAAACTTAAACTAAACAAACTTTATTTATACTGGATAGCTCTATCAGTTCTAAACTGTTCTTCCTAGAGGTCCAGTAAGGATCATCTCTTATTGACCCAATGTTACTACAGGAGGAAACCTAAACTAAACTAACTTTACTCATACTGGATAGCTCTATCAGTTCTAAACTGTTCTTCCTAGAGGTCCAGTAAGGATCATGTCTTATTGATCCAGTATTACTACAGGAGGAAACCTAAACTAAACTAACTTTATTTATACTGGATAGCTCTATCAGTTCTAAACTGTTCTTCCGAGAGGTCCAATTACCTTTCCGGCACTTGACGTGAGAGAGCCACGCTTATATTCTTCTGGTAGATCACTCCAGTTCTTCTTTCCAATATTTTCTTTGGCCTCATCTTCAATTATTCCATTTTCTTTCGAGATCGAGTGTTTGTTTAACTGAACTTGTTGTCTCAACAGTCGATCATCGTGTTTTTTCAGTTTGTCTGAGACATCTTTCAACTGTTCGTTGAGATTCAAATTTTCTTCCTGCAGTTCCTTGATGTGATCTCGTAAACTGTCGCTTTCCTTCGTCCGCTCTGCGAATATTTCAGTGTCCGCTGCCAAGTCATTTTTGTACTGAAAATACACAAATGATCACGTAGTTCACTATTATACCATCTACATGTACCATACCATCTTCCTGCACCATATACCATTACTGTACCACTGTGTGTCATTATATCCCCAAATACCACCATTACCCCCAATTACCCTCATCTATCACCTCATACTCCCACCGATACCAATACATCACCCCATACCCACCTACAACAATATGTATCACCTCATACTCCCACTTTACAAATATATCACCGCATACCCCGGCTATACTAATATATCACCTATTTCCAATCCCCAAAGAACCAACAACCAAGAACTTACTTTTGCGAGTTCCTTTTTAAGTTCATCGACAATCTCACTTGGATTTTTCTGCGTCGGGCTCGTTCGCGGCATTTTTAAGGGTCCTTTCTTAAACCTCTCAACCCGTTTCTTAAAAAGCTCGTACTGATGCGCCAGCGTTCTGTTTATGCCGTTAGCTTTGTATACTTCATTTAAGAGAGTCGTGGCCTCGTCCAACAGGCTGCGCACAACTTCTAAATCATGCTGTGTTCTGAAACAAAAAGGGAAAGAAATATCGTTATAATTGAATTCAACCTGTTCAGTTGTACTGTGCCAATATTTGCTCAAAAACGGCGTAAATTCAAGGTAACTACGCAATAATCTAAACTAACCTCTCCAATTCTTCAGCTGTTTCCCTGATCTTGCTGGCATCACAAACATCGCTGACCGACTCCAACGTTCTTGCGCGAGTTCTCTGAAGTTCTTCGCGAAGAGCCTGCGTCCGGAAAATGCACAAAATTAAAATAAATCGCGAATAAAGAACGTCATGATATGTCTGATGATGTCCTTCGTACAAACCTCAATCTCATCCTGCATTTCCGCGAGCTTTGCAGCTTGTGGATCCCTGTTCACGATGGGCTTGTTTTTAATGTTCCGTGCCTAAATATTATATAATTATATTATAAACGTGTTCAAGTAAAATAATTCAGATTTAAGTAAGAGTTCAAATGTTCAATATTTTCCCAATGTTACACGACGTACCCTTGTAGCATATTTCAGTGAGTTTAGATTCTCAGCGAGATCAGCGGCAGCAGGACTGAGGCACGTCAGCATTACAGTTTTGGCATTACCGCCAAGAGAATCTTTGAGGATTCTCGTGATTTTGCTATCTCTGTAGGGAATGTGACCTACCTAAAAAGGAGAGAGTTGGTAAGCAAGCGAACAATTTAAAGTAAATTCATAAACTTTAATACGAGAAAGCAAGAGTTCCACGAGAGTTCCAGGACATTACCACGCGTGGAACGAGGAACTCTCATCAAAGTTATGTGCGAAAAGTTCATCATTCAATTAGAACAATAGATAATGAGATGTATTGAGGTTAATGAGACTTATCCATCTTATTAACTATTGTTTTAACTGCACTCTAATGGCAGCATGCTAGGTCTAAACTAGGCCCCAGAACAATTGAAATTCGGAATAACAAATTGCGCGTTTGTTCTCTCACGGTCGCTTTCAAAGTTGTGGATGTCTCCGTATCCAGCGCTAACTTTATCTCATAAAACTAAGCTGAAAAGATGTATTTTCGACTTGGAAATAAAGTAATCGCATCACACCTTTTTCTTGCTGTCTGACAAAGCACTTATAACGTTTCCCAAAGCAAGCAAACCACTGTTGATGTGAACTGATTCTTTGAATCTCTCGCCAACGTTGCCAGTGCGATGAGCTCTCTCCGAACCAGCCAGATCAACGAAATGAAACTTCGCCGACATGAACTGAGAATATTCTAAAACACAGATCAAAACCACGTTGCTTTTTGAGGTAAGTCCGATCATTCGTTTATAACTATATATATATATATAGTCTTAATTTGCAGGCGTTCTTCCAACCTGATCGAATCTCAAAATGATTTTAAATGCATCTCAGAGCGGGTAAAACAGCGAACTTTGGTTGTAAATAGTTGTGAAATCATAAATTTTTTTTAGGGAAATTATATTTGTAAATATGGGAGGAAAAGTTTTCAATGAAAGTTGTATTTTTCAGGGCATTTTTCAATGTTGTTTCTGGCTGTGGTTTGGTGGACTTTTTATTCCGTTGGTCACATCAAAACATCGACTATTACCAGCCATAACAAGATTGTCTTTTTGCTCCTTCTCTTCCTCTTGTATCATGTGCTGTTCTGCAAAAAAGATGGAGAACAAGGATTAAATCCTCCACAGGATCTTTGGACCTCAAAACAAAACTCTGATCACAGGTAAAACTATATTAGCTGGTATAATCAACCTGGATTCAATCAATTTTCTCTGTTTGTTCTCTCCTCAAACTCACCAATATAAAGGGTAAATATTGCATGTGATCTGCTGGAATGTTCATTCATATTCGTGCTGCCAACGTGTCGACCTGCGGCTCCTGCGTCCAGACAGCTCAGAGCTTCGTCTGAACTCTCCACAACTTGTTCTGTTGCGCCTGTGATTACTACAACAACATACAGCATGATTGTCAACAGTTCTTAACACAAAATGGCAATGCATGAAGGTGAAATTATAGTCAACCTGTGTTCCCTTGTTCATCTTCACGAATGTGAATATCCTTTGTTGAAGTTTCAAGATCTAAAAGATCTCTCATTTCCTCCATGTAAATCTCAATGTACGATGCGCTCACAACAAAGTGGACTTTCTCTCGCCTTTCCTGATACAAAAGTTCATCACAGATTACTCATAAGCATGATCTATCCCAGATAAACACAGCCTAGTAACTGGTATAGAAGTAGTTTCAAACCTCAATGACTTGAAATATTTGCTCTAAAGCTCTAGGAATGATTCCATATTCATCATCTAAGAGTTCAGCTGTGTGTGAACTACCAACTGTGTATGTTTTACCTGACCCCTGAAATGTTGGTAACACAATCGTCAATTATGCATATTAAAGTGTTGCTATTTATGACCTCATAAAGGGGATTAATGGAATGGCTATATAGGGTACTTTTGTTTCATATCTCATTCCGTACCAACCATTATAACCAACCATTTCAAAGGTTGCATTCAGTCACTGTATATAGAACATTTGCCAAACTTGAGAGATGGGTGCTGATCTCTATATAGTAGCTGAATGCAGCCTTTGTTTTCCAACAGCATAATTATTGCAGTACTCACTGTTTGTCCATATGCAAAGACCGTGGCATTGTAGCCGTCAAAACAACCCTCAACCAAAGGCTCGACACAAGTTTTGTATACTTCGGACTAGAAAAGGGTTTCGGTCATTGCCGTAAATAAATAAATATGTAGCAATTATGACATAATAATTAAATAGTTGAGTAATGCCGCAATAAGAATGATTCGAGTACCTGAGAAACCGAAGGTTGGAATACGTAATCAAATGTGAATGCTTTGTCTTTACCAAGAATCAGTTGGGGCTTATCAGGTACAAATGTGATACACTTTGGTACATTATGAGTCTTTTCTTGCCCTACAAGTGGTCTCACCTGGATAAAAGTTGATAACATGGTGCTAAGCGATGTGCATTAGCTATAAATATAACGCGACGATTAATAATATTGTGCAAAATCCCATAAGAGTACAGCCAGTGTACCGAGATATTCATATAAACAAAGGACTTGTTTATGCATTTTAGTTTAATACCCTTTGCTATAAATTTTCACGCGCGTATTCTAAACATACCCTGACCGCTACTCTTACAGGAACTTCCTCCATCGTGAATTAAATGCCAAAGAACGACATCACGTCTTATTTATACGAAAATTTTTGCAAACTTTAGCAAAGAGCATCAAACAAAAGCACAATCGTGTTTACGCCGTGCCTGCGTCGCCGCCATCTTTGTCGCGTTGTTATGGAAACACTGAGCTATATATCATTTTGGACAAAACTTTTCGATTTTTCTTCCTTCTTCTCAGGACCAGATGAGATAAATGTCCCTCGTCAAGAAACAAAACAATTGTCTATTTCTGCAGGAAAACGGGCATATCATCAATGCATTTCAATTTGATTTCAATCTTTACTGAAAACAACATCAAATTACAACTCGGTTTTCAGATTGATTTTAGATCACAGCAAAATCAACTCGATCCATGCGTGGTGCATTGATTAGATTAGAATTTAACACGAATTCCAACCTAATCTCAAAGATTAAATTCGTTTATTTAGAATCTTGGAATTATTTTTACGTTTCCTTCATCAAACGCAAGTTTTGATTGGTTGAAATGCTTGATAACGTTTCAGCCAATCAGGTCGCTCGTTTTAAAGATATTGTGAAAGTTATGCAGTCAATCTGAAAATAATGGCGATTTCGAGAGCAGTTTAATTACTTATTTTCCTGTTTTTGGCCTATATTTTTGGGGTATTTCGACCTGTTTATGTTCTCTGTGTCTTTATCAAAGATACCACGATGACTTTGATGACATTATTTGGCTGTATTTTGATCGCTTTTGGTCCCGCAGCCGTGATATTTTTAGTGGCTGTGGCAAGAGATCATTTTCATGTGATCATTATGATTTCAAGGTGAGATTGCTTTCATCACACTGTCTCAAGCTTCTGCAAACCTTGTTTGTACTCTTCTTCTTGTTCGCTAGTCACACATTTAATATTTGTGAATATTTTCAGCGCGTTCTTTTGGCTGCTGTCTTTACTTCTTTCATCAATTTGGTGGACAATCGTCTCTCCTTTGAAGAAGGATCTCGCGTTTGGCGTAGCATTTTCAGTGCTATTTCAAGAACTGCTTCGTTACGCTTTCTTTCTATTGATCAAGTAGGTCTTATGTCATTTAAGATTTGTTTTAGATAGACATAACTAGTTTAACATATGTAGATGAGAGGGTAGATGGTCAAGCAGGTCAATCTATCTGTACAGATCCATAGGGTGACACATTGATGAATGTCTATCATTTTATCATTTCAGAAAAGCTGAAGATAGTGAGTTAGTCTCACTAGCAAGCAAGTCATCTGGCTTGTTTAAACACAAGACTGCCTTTGGTATGCTTTGAGTAATCAGATCAATAATAGATTAATTTGTTACTATAATTGTTTCATTCCTTATAATTATTAATTATATCATTGCATTATTAATCTTTCTATGATTAATCTTTTTAGTGTCAGGTCTAGGATATGGTATAATGAGTGGTCTCTTTGCCATGGTGAATGTTTTAGCAGATATAACTGGACCTGGTGCCCCAGGTCTTGATGGAGAGTCACCACAGTTTTTGATTATTTCAGGTAAGCTCAGGTAATTTCTTATTAAGCACATTGATCATTATACTCTTCTGTTTTACCGCAGTTAATGGAAGGAGGATGGTTAGCGTGTCTCACCTCAAATCTCATTCTCAATTTCTAGCTCTTCTGACGTGTGCCTTTGTGCTTTTGAATACGTTTTGGGGTATTATATGGTTTGAAAGTTGCAGCAGGAAGAAATATGCTTACCTTGCTCTTGTTTTTGGATCTCATATGTTTGTTTCATTAATGGTATGTTTGTTTAGTATTTGTTATGACACCTAGTTTGGGTTATTTCCTCCTGTAGTCAATCACACTTGATCAATTATAGATGATCCTTACTGGACCTCTAAGAAAATAAGTTCTGTACAAGTTGTTATTGTTCCTGTTTAACTCGTTCATTTCTGTTCATTTCTGGACTGCTTTCCACTTATGCATTTTCCATACGATAGACATGCACATAAAAGTCTTAGATCTTTTTATATCTTAAAAAAAAAACAGGGAAATAAATGCAAAGAACTTTTCTGCATATTTTTTTAATGCATTTGTTGACCTGGATATTAAATACTAAAAATTTAAATGTATTAAAAGAATTTCTGTGGGTGAATGTGACTTGTCATAACATTGCTCAATTACTTTATCTTTTAGACACTGCTTAACAATAGGAAACACTATCTTGGTTCGATGATGTCAGCTTACATTGTCTTGATTATAATGGCCGTTTTGGCTTTTAAAGTGGCTGGTGGTAGCTTACAAAACCTACGTTCAGCTCTTGCCCGGAAACAACGTCCTCAAATGCACAATGAGGATGTGACAGTGGTAAGCCCAACCACATAGGATCCCTATAGATCTTCATGGATCTCTGTGGATCTTAATGGCAAGGTATCACTGTGGATATTGGTATACCTTTGAACGGTGATATTTGTGGTTACAAAGTATCAGAGATCATTATCAATGAAATCCCAAGAAAGATTGTGCTGATTGTGGTACCAATTGAAAGTAATTTTTCACTTTCAAAATGTCACTTTTTCACTTTTAAAATGTGTTTCCCTCTAGAGACCAATTTATCAATGAACTATAAAGAATAAAGAAATATAATACATAACCGTAGCAAAATTCTGATTCTCTAAATCCAAAACATTAACGCATCATGAGGAAGTTTTAATGTTTTAGCAGTTAAATCACAGATGCTTAACATTGGTATTTGATACTTAACATTGATGCTCTATCTCTGCTTGCTTGCTGATAAAGTTTATAATCTAGCTGTTGTTTAGTTCAGGTTTCCCTGAGTGTAATAATACAAAAAGATAATCCTTACTGGAAAAGGTTTTAGAACTTTTGTTGTCATACTGTATACTCTGTTGCTAATATTACTGCCACAAGGTACCATATAATGTTTAATTTAAGCACACAAAATCCTAACATATTAATAGTTTACCAAATATAATTACAATCTCATAACTTTAATAATCATGCCGAAACTACTGACCCAGGGTCAGGGTATATATCAACCAGGTTCTAACGTTCTGTTTATAACATTCATTTCTGTCCTGGTGTTAGAAACCTGTGTTAAAAAACTATTTGCTGATGTGATCGGCGATGAGTCATCATCATCACTGATCTCGATAGGTTCGGATGTATCTGGATGTAGGTCTTGTGTCGAAACAGTTGATAGTTGATCTGTAGTGGTGGTTTCATTAACGGTTAAATTGCTGTCACTTGGGTTTGTTTGATTCAATGTTGATCTTACTGTTTGAGCCATTTGTTTAGCTTCTACAATTGAGAAGACAGAACTAAGATTAGTATTTTTGATTTTTTGTATCATTTACTCAAATTGAAACTTTTTCGAACTTTCATGGTACCTTCTAATATGGTTTGTTTCTTCTGTAGCAAAGCAGCTTTCTCGTCGGCTAGGTATATTCTGTTGACCATGACTACCTCAGCTGAGGGTACATCTCGCTTAAATAGAAATAACTTATATTAAAATGGCTTTATTTATACAGGATATCTCTATCAGTTCTAAACCGTACTTCTGTGATGACATATATTTGATCGAATAGTACTAAAGAAGGAAACTAGACCAACTTTTTTACAGAGACATACCTGCATATCATTGAGCAGTAACTGTCGATATTTGTCAATCATCTTGTCACTTTTATATGTTAGTTGTAAAGCCAATTTGTCCAGTAATACATTTGCTTTGAAGAAGAAACAGCATTGTAAGTTTCAAAACTAATTTCTTCATACTAGAGGTCCACGTATGATCACTGGATCCAGTGGAGGAAACCTGGCCAACTTAATTTATAAAAACTTATACCTTTATGTTGCATTCTGGCGTTGGGGATGGGTTCTGAGTAGACGTGATATGGTGTAAGGCGTGTGATTGCATCTTGTTGTGATTTGAATGGCTTGTGTATGTCTGTGGAGCAAACATCATTTTGGTCCTTCTGTACAGTAAGCTTCACCCTTCATAAAAAGAAAGTAAATTGAGAATTGGAAATGGCAGAAACAACCCCCAGTGTACTGTCAAAAAGTCTATCCATCTACAAATTAAACATTGTTAGAATCACCATGATTGAGATATATAGGAACTTCCAACTGGACTGTCACTCTTACCGTTTTATCAATTTGGACTCTTCTGTTTCAACAGCCTTTATTGGTCGTTTTGCACTTTTTGTTACATCCTTGAAACACAATAGTCATTTAGCATCACAATGAAGAGCAAATACTGAATAACGCAGACATGCCAGCTATACCTGTTTAATCTGGGATTTAGGAGTCGATGCCTGGACTTTCTGGTTAACCTGAAAGGGTGGTCACGAAAGATTTAATTCAGATTTTTTTATCATATTGACATTCAAATTATTTACTAAGTTGAGGGAAGAAGCTAAGCAATTATTTACTAATGTAAATCTTGAACACTTGCCTTGATAGCACCAGGCTCGCTTTTCACAACAACTTGGGGTTTCACAGCTGCTGTTTTTGTCGTAACAGGTGATGCTGTCACAAGTTTGCCTTGAATACTCAAATTTTTGCTTGCCAACTGTGCTTGGATTTGTTTAAACTGTTCCTGTGATAGTAATATTGGTCTTCCCTCTTTCGTTTGAAGCAAAACCTTTGGCTGACCATCGCTGGCTGCTGCCATGCTGAGGGTGTTAGAGTTCTGAACTATGACCACTTTTTGAGTTGTAGCTAGTTTTTGCTCTGTCTTCTGTATGCTGGTATTTTGACCAGTGGATGGTATGGTGATTACTTTCTTGGGGTTGGCAATGGTAACATGTGTCAAAGAAGAAGTAGATTTGGGCAATTGCGTCACAATGTTTGTAGTGCCGGCTTTTTGTAACTGAGTCATACTTGAAACAATAGGATTTTGAGAGAGAGTTAAATTTGTACTTGGTTTCTGTAGTTGGTTCAAGGTAGTCTTTGGCAAATGAGCAATGCTTTGGGCTGGTTTCTGCAGTTGGTTTACAACAGACTTTTGTAATATTCCAACAGTTTGTAATTGGTTTCCAGTAGTTTTCTGTAAATCTCCAACTGTTAGTGCAGGTTTCTGCAGCTGGACTACTGTTTTAACTGGAGTTGCAACTGTTGTGGATACTGTATTTCCAGGTGTAACATTTTGTGGTCTAGCATTGCTTATAAGACCAGCTTGTCTTAGATTCAGTTGTTTTAGTTGTTGAGCCACAACTGGGTTCTTCTCCAAAAACTGCTGTAGTTGTTTCGTATTGATTGCTTCTTTAAGTTGCGAGGCCAAGTTTGCTGCATTGATAGTTGTCGAAGGCACCTGAGGTTGAGCTTGTTGTGTCACTGTGACTGTGTTGGCGGCATTCATCTGCGGGGATTTCATTTGGAGCAATTGTTGCTGTGGTTGTTGTTGTGAATGAGTATGGGTAAGTTGCTGTGAGAGTTGCTGTTGTTGTGAAAGTTGTTGTGGTTGTGAAAGTTGTTGCTGTTGCTGTGAGATTTGTTGCTGTGTGAGTTGCTGTTGTGAAAGTTGTTGTTGTGAAAGTTGCTGCTGTTGTTGTTGCTGCTGCACTCGAGCTTGCAATGCTTGCTGTACCAGTTGATTCTGTTGCAACAACTTTTTCAACTGATTTTGTTGTGCCAGCTTTTGCTGTTGGGTCAAACTTTCCTGGCCCAAACCGGATGCTTGTTTCAAATCCTTTTGTCCAACGTTTGTCTGAAACTGTGTTTGTGCCAGTAAATTTTGCACCAGCTGCAAATAGGCTTGATCTTGGGTTTGCTTCACCTTTGCACTTTGAGCAGTTGAAACTTGCTCAGGCTTTGGGGCAATCTGTTTTGGTTGTAGCTGAACCAAACTAGCTAAACCTGACTTCCCAATTTGGTTTGACACTGTTTGTTGAAGTTGTGGTACAGTTAAAGTATTCAGAATTTGTTTTGGCAACTGTGTTTGTCCTTTAGCTCCAAGTGTGAATGCATTTTGTAAATTTTGTTTTGGCCTAGTATTTGAGGTCCCAAGGCCGGCCTGGGTGCTCTGCACAGGTCCACTTGGATTTGATTGGGCGATTATGAGTTTCGGTCGAATTGCAACTAGCTGTGGTTGACCTTTAATGGGCACAGTTTTAATACCCTGGGTTAGTAAATTTCCATCAATTGTAATTTGTGAGGTGTTTTGTGTTGCTGGAGTTGAAGCATTTTGAGGTCTAGGTGCAATACCTTTGGGCCGTAATATGGGCAGTGGCAAACCCTTAAGGTTTTGTGGTCGTCGTGGTGGAGTAGATTTTGTGGGTTGCTGGTTGATAATCTGTTTTGGGGAGACAGCAAGAGGTTTGTCAGCAGTTGCTAAGGATACTGAGCTGGTTGATAAAATATTCCTTGTTTTGCCTGTATCACTTAAGGCAAAAGATAGAGGTGAATTTGTTAAGGTAGTTTGCAGAGTAGAGATGCCGACTTGGTTTGCACCAACCGATGACAAACTGCTTGTATTTGGAATAGTTGCTTTTGAGGTTAGCAAGTGTTGGTTGTTCAAAGAAACACTGGTGCTTCTTGAGCTGCTGACCGTGGTTAAGTCGTTTGTCCTGGTGTTGTTTGTTAAGCCGTTAGTTATCGAAGATAAATCGTTTGCCAAAAAGTTTCCCTGGCCATTTCCCGAACTAGATGGAAAGGAGAAGTGGGCCAATGGTGTGCTTTGCTGGTTCATGTGCCCAGTCAATGTTGTACTTGAATTTGAACTTTGAGAGATTGATGACTGAGAACTGCATGTTGAAAAAGCAGTGTTGTCACTTCTTGAAATATTGTTGCTTGCTTCAGGTTTCTATGAGATGGGTAAAGGACAAGAGTTACTCAATGATGCAACTTCATAGTGACGTCTGACCTGGAAGAACCTACACCTCACTAGAGAAAGTCATAATTGCTTACTCACATTATCAGTTTCGTCACTCAAAGGTGGTACTTTACCCTCAACAAATGCAATCTGTAAGTACAATATAGTTTGGTGTTTTAATGTGGTTTAAACAGTGTAAAATGTATTAAGGATATAAAATTTACATTAGTGCAGGGCCTGTGGGCTATCAAGTATTTCTCTTAATTGAAGATCTAAACATTCATCAAAGAATCAGAATATTTTTACAAACACAGCCAGGGAGAGTTATATAAGAGTTATATATAAGAAATTACTCCAGTTAATATTAAGAGCTGACTCAGCTGGGAAATTATCACAAATTATATATCGAACTTATCAACATAAATTATGCCCATGGGTGAAAGAATATCCTACCTGACTGGTACTGCGAAAAAATTCTTTTAAGGCTTGCGGGTCACTACATTTAGAAATAGAATCAAGTTGAACAGATTTAGCTAAGATTCAGAAGTTTATAAGTAAAAAATCGGTCGATTTTGATAAAAATTTCATAAATTCTCCGCAAAACGGAAGATAATTATATTCCAAATTATGCTAATTTATGTACCTGATCACGTCTAATAAGCATTTCCCATCATCCATCACGATGCCGAGCCCACTGCATTTTCTGAAACGCAAAAAGTGTGAGTTTTTTGCCGATCGAAAAACTAGTCAGCTCTCTAATACAGACAAAAATACCAACAAAATACCCTAAAACAAAAAAACGTCAAAAAACGGCCAAACCAAGGCCAAAAAAGCGAAATTTGCCGAGTCATTCTGACCGCCTGTTTGCTGCCGATTTCACATATGACTGTAATTTATCAACATTTTCTACCCCAGGCAACACCACTGAACCCATATCCATTCACAGAAACATTAGAAATACACTTTGCTTTGATTTTCTAACAATTCACGGTCGAAATCGGCTTTTTCAGCCGATATATGGCGTATTATATGCCTATACGGCGATTACCGACCGATGTCGAACACGAAAATTTGACTTTTTTCGACGATTTTCGACGTACCGTGTTACATACTGTTTTCCCTTGATAGCCGGAGCCCTCGTTTGTTCTCTAACTTGTCAAGGATCCCGTTTCCCCACTTTTCTTAGGCAAAAATTCAAAGCCACGCGATCGGCGCCTGTCGTACAAATTCGATTTTAGCCAATGCCAAGAGGGGACGCCGGGCCCTGAAAATATGACGTCATATCACTTCCGCGAAGCCGCGGAGAGAGTGTTTTCTACTGAGCTATAGGAGTAAAATCATGACTGGAATAATCAAAATTAGCAGTGATTCTGATTGGTCGTTGACTCCGTTTTAATTGCAGGTTATACGGTTAGTGAAATTGTATATAAATTCGATGATATAGCTTCATATTGTACATGCAATGAGCCAATGACTGAGGGCTCATACGACCGGGAAAAACTGCGAATTCAAGCACAAATCTAGGTTTTGCGAGATGGGCGTCGGCAACTCGAAATATGAATCTTGAGGGAATTAAGGGAATTATAATTTTAATACAGCGCACATGACCCAGTGTACCCGAGAAAACACCTATTTTCGAACGTTGTCACGTGTCAAATCGCTGGTCAAACCCGTCACGCGTGTGCGTGGATGAGCGCGCGCGGTTCCTTCTCCAAAAATTCGGGGCATCCATCATGGTTTCTCAGGGCCGAAGCGATTTTCAGGGGCTCCCAAGTGCTGATTCAGGGGCAGAAATTGCTAGTTCTTTAACCCAAAAGGAAGGTAAAAGTTTATTTTTAAATATCTTCGGTTATCTCTCGTATCTGAATCCAAACTAGCGCCTGTTTTTTATGATTTTATAAAGCCTTCCTTGGCATAACTTCCTGTGAATTTTTAGTTCAGAATATGAAAGTAAAAATACATATTTTTCCCTCCAAAGTTTGGGAAATTTTTTGGCTTGTGCGAAGAACTCTTTACTCAATGGAATTACCTATGAAAATACGTTTATTTTCGTGTAGAAAGCTGATTCTTTTTGAAATTGTTGCTGTGTATTTTTAATTACAATAGTGTACCCCCTGGGTTATAAATTATTGTATTACGCATATTTGGTAGACAAACGAACAAAGATTCTCAAATCAATTTTAGAATTCATATTCAAGACTTGTATTCAAATGTAGCAAATATTGTAAAATTGCTACAACTGAAGACAATATGGGCAATTTCGCAGCACTTTCTCTTTTCATGCATAACTCATACTTTATTCATAAAGATAAGGGACTAGTTTCACACTTTCACTGTTTCAAATGCTTGTATTTTCCTCAATGAACACAAACACTGGGGAATAGATGAAAAAGTGTTTGTGCTGAATGTGTCTTGCATGCTGCAACCAATACTGCCCATCTTTAAACTTGGAGTAAAATAATACATGTTTTTTAAACAGATGCCACTCAAAGCCATATTTTTGAGGCAAGAAATAAGGATGAACCTTCCAACTCACAGAAAACCCAAACAAACAATGAAACTCTGTCTGCTAATGAAGAAAGCATACATAGAAACATTGAAACATCTGACAATATATCACAGTTGCCCAGCACACAACAAAAATCCAACCCAAGCGCAGCAAAGGGCATTGGTTCACAAGATGTTCCTTCTCCACATCTCGGAACTTCAACAGGCAAGGCTCGGGACTTGAACAGTGAAAATAAGATGTTGCTATCTGGCGTTCAGACAATCCCTGAGCAACTGCCATTGATTTTGACCGAGGGAGATGCGGAGGAACATGAATCACTGACAATCATTGCAGGAAATGAACAATTACAGGTCAGTTTGAAACTGGACCAATTACTTATCGTTATATCATAATGCCAGATCTATGAAGAGGGTGTCTAAGGGTATGGGTGCATAGTGGTGGGCACCTCTGTGGATTTAGATTCGCACTATATGACAGCATGTACCAAATTTGTGGAACTTTGTACAGTTATCTGGCACCTAAAGAACTCTTGCTGCATCCATCACTGTTATACCAACAAAATTTGCTATGATCACAATCTGAACCTTCGTCATGTGTTTAATCCACGCTATCATTGCAACATTTATAATTCATCATAAATATTATATTTACAATCTTCCACAATGCATAGGGTGTCTCGACTCAAGCTGTTCTTGGCAATAATAATAATCCTGGTGCCAGTGGTATGATGGTATTCTCGTCAGCTGCCATAGCACCATCAGGTCAAATCATACCAATTGGTGGTACAAATCTGCTGGTATTACACAGTATAGATGGTCAGGGTCAAGTCTACCAGCAAGGCACTGTCTTTGTACAGGCTGGTCAGACGCCGGCTGAACAGAAAGAGACAACGCAGGTGAAAAAAAAATTAGTCTCTAGATTGAACCACTGTAATGCTCAAAGACTATCCATAGTAAAACTCACTAAGTATCTGTCATCTTACATTAGCCAAGTGAAGAAAAAGATGGAAATAAGGAATATAAATGCTCTGAACCTGGTTGCTCCAAGATTGCTCCAACTTCGTGCAAACTTAAACTTCACATGTTATCACATACTGGGGAACGACCTCATAAGGTAATAATATTTCAGTATACCAATGAGTATACCAATGAACTTAATCATCTAGCTCTCATAGTGTCATAGTATAATCATCTCTCATTAGTCATTTTTTAGGGAGAATTCCAGGGGGGCGCCATCCATACCTTCACCTTAAACATGTTGGTGTTGTTTGTGGCTAGTGTGTAGCCAACACTGGGTAATTTTAAGATGAACTGTTTTCTCATTTAGTGTCCATTACCAGGATGTGATTGGGCTTTTACCACAGCTTACAAACTAAAACGGCATATGCGTGGTCACACTGGTGAAAAACCTTTCATTGTGAGTATCCAGTGTAAATAAATAAGGATAAGTTTAGTTTAGCTATCCAGTATAAATAAAGTTAGTTTAGTTTAGGTTTCCTCCTGTAGTAACACTGGATCAATAAGAGATGATCCTTACTGGACCTCTAGGAAGAATAGTTTAGAACTGATAGAGTTATCCAGTATAAATGAAGTTAGTTTAGTTTAAGTTTCCTCCTGTAGTAACACTGGATCAATAAGAGATGATCCTTACTGGACCTCTAGGGAGAACAGTTTGGAACTGATAGGGCTGTTCAGTATGAAAATTGCATATTAAACACAGGTAATATTCTAAAATGCTCCAACTTTCAGTGTGAAATCAACGACTGTGGAAAGACCTTTACAACAACCTACAACCTAAAGACTCATCAGAAAGCGCATGTTCGTGAACAGACCAACGTTTGCTTGTTCCCTGGTTGCGGGCTAAGCTTTACCACACTTCATCGACTGCGTGTCCACGAAAAGAAACACGTGGTCTCGCACGAGGTGCACACGTGCACCATTGATGGTTGCGGGAAGCAGTTCAAATCATTGGGATATTACAATACGCACGTGAAGACGCATACTGGAGAACGCCCGCACGCATGCACGTACGAAGGATGCGACAAGCGGTTCACCAAAGCCTCCAAGTTGAAACTTCATGTGAGAACACATACTGGAGAGCGACCATTTGTCTGCAATGAAGAGGTAAGGTGTGCTAGTCTCATGCCTTTCTCCTAAGACTAGCAAATTTGATCTTGATAGATCTGAATTCCAGTAAGTATTACGAGATCAAGGTTGGGTTCATCTTATAATAACTGACTGGTTAGATCAATCAGTCCAGTTGGTGATAAAACACAAGGTTTTCTTCAGGGAAATTTTAGTGCCTGATTTAAGCTTTAAGTACATGGACTGGGTTTAGTTCGTTTACTCTCCTAAGTCCCGCCTATCATATTGTACAACAATTCCTTTATCATTAGGGGGCTTCCTCTTTAGCCCGGGATTATTCACCACACTCTCTTTTTGAAAATCTCTGGTTGAATGTGACATTGCTTGTTTTTTAAGGGTTGTACATGGTCCTTCACAAGTGCGTATAAGCTGAAACGTCACATGAGAAAACACAGCGGAGAGCGTCCGTTCACATGTCAATACGCGGGTTGTGGAAAGTCTTTCACCCGAGCCAGCCACATGAGAACACATCAGATGTCCCACACTGGAGAGAAACCTTTTATTTGTTCATATGAAAGTAAGTTGGTCAAGGATGGAACCTGTACGATTTTGGAGTATAATTTCTATACATAATTTGATTCCATGCCTGAATTCACATCCCTTTTAGCCTAGGCTAGGGGGGGCATGCCTTCCTGTATATTCCAGACCAAATGAACGCGCCCCCCGAGTGTGGTAGTCATTCCTTTCTTTCAATCTTCCTTTCACAGACTGTCGCAAGGGTTTTACAGCTGCCAGCACACTCACGATACATTTGAGAAAACATTCTGGAGACAAGCCATTCAGGTGTGCCGTTGAAGGCTGTGACAAGGCGTACACAACTGCGGCCAATCTGAGATTGCATCAAAAACGACACGAAGAAAAGAACTCAAGTCCCGAAGAGACAATGGATCAAGAACAATGTTCAGGTAATTGATCGCAGAACCGTGTATGTACTTCACTGAAGAAGTTAACCTAAGAACTCCCGCCCTATGATTGAACAAATTTTGCATTGAATTAAAACTGTTAGAACTTTGTCTACTTGTTATACAGTCGGCTCCAGGGCCCAGATTGTTAATACAATACTCCGACAATAGTTAGTCAAAATCATGTTTCTTGAGGTAAACTAGGATTCAAGTACCTCAAACTGTGGTTAAGAGTTTTATACACCTGGCTTTAGACGGTTAGATCTCCTGTGATATTACCTTCCTTTTTTTTTACAGATCAACCGGCGTCTATACATTATGTAGATATCGGTGGGGTGAACTCTGTGGTGTCGACTAGTACTAGCCCTGTCCCCAACACCCCCTACCCAGTTATCCATCCATTTAGCGGAGAAGACTTCGCTTCCGAAGATGTCGCCTCGTTGACCGTCGTACATTACTCGACCGAGGAGACATTCCCGCCTCAGACACCAGTCTCCGATTCCTCTCACGGCATTTGTTTCCAGTTCTCTTCCAACGATTCGTACGCCAGCACGTCGCATGGCAACGTGCCTTTTACCGCTGGTACGCCACTGCCGTCGCCGGGGGCTCATTACGTTCAAGCGAGTATGGACGTCGAGGTATCTGAGGACCTGAGCACAAGTCATGGTTCTAGAAGTGCTGACCAAGTAAATTCCGAAGGATTTGACATGCAGGAACAAAGTCCCTCGTGTGAAACATACGTCGTCCGAGAGAGGGGACACATTGTCCGGGAACGAAGTGCCGATGATGAAGGATACATTGTGCAAGAACCAAATTCCGATGATGAGGCGTATATTGTCCAGGATGAAAACGCCGGTAACGAAAGGTACATTGTCCGCGAAGGGCAGATTATCCGGGACGAGCCTTCCGGTAGCGAAGGTTACATTGTTCGTGAACAAAATTCTCCTGATGATGGTTACATTGTCGGGTCAGAGAATTCACCTTCTCAAGAATATATTGAACAATCCTCTGAGACTCAAGACTATATTCCCCAGGGACAGAATTCGGAGAGAAGTAAAACCTCCGAGGATCTAACATTGCCCACCATGGTGGTCTTTATCTCCCCGGATAATGAATCCCCTGGGCAAACAGTGGTTGTGACTGAAGACATGGATGAGACGAATGAACAGACAGACAGACATATCACATTGAGAGAACCAGCTTCAATTGGGCAATCGGCCCCACCTTCCATCATATTCCAGGTTAGTAGAGGATTGGACTTAACCCTAATTCAAATCCTAATCCAACGCTATTACGCTAATCCTCTGACTTAATCTCAGGAAACTAAATGCATATTAATTCATTTTTTAGGGTAAGGAAGTGAAGCATTCAAACGAGCAGGCAAAATTAACCGACAATAACATGAAAGATTCAATAGACCGGACACGCAATGAATTACCTGTGTCAAACCTCAGTCTTAATCTATCCCTATCCGATGACATTGATAAATCCCCTGTGTCCCCATTTACAACGCATGTCCACGACCATCCCCTAGATCACGAGAGCACTATTAATCTTCAGGACTTAAGGTAACAGTGGTGTACCGAGTAGTTATTTGGAAACTCGATAGCAATCGCGGAGACAGCGGAATGAAATCAGGAAAATTGCAAAAGCTGGTACGAAATGGTAATGGTTATGGTCTAGTCAACATCCCAGGATTTTTCTTTCACCGCATACTAAAATTGGGGCAGTAATAGCCCGCACGGCAGGCAGACTAGAACTGTTGTGAACACTCTGCTATCGAGGCACTGTGATTGAAGCCAATTACACCAATTAATAATATATAATTATATAATATACGTTGGTAGTAAATATAGTCATCCAGCGTCAAAATCACTACAAAGAGATCAGTGTTTAAACTAGCACCACTAAATCATCTCTTATTTGAAGTATTGGGTGTCAATAACGAAAATCAATAAAAATCAATACAATCAAAATGGACGATGATAAATGTCCTTTACAATACATTGAATTCAAGACTTTAGATCACGGTAAAATGTGTCCGTCTTATTCATCTGTTCTTAAAAGGCCCCAAGATCAAGGTAAGGTATTGTTATGTTTGCCTATTGAAGTTTCCGCTTTGTAAGATTAAACTGAATTGGATGAATTTTAAAGTCTTGATTTCGAAAATGCCTTATTTTTTTCTAAAGGGATAACGGTGGAAGATTTGCCAATGCTTCAGAGCGATCTAGAAACTTTGTTGGCTGCTGTAAACCGTCGTTCTAGGTTACTGGAGTCTGAGAACAAAGTTTTATCTGATTGGGTCGACAGAAAAGATAAGAAAGGCTCCAGACAGAAAGAGTTAGAGATTTTGAACTCTTTGAAAAGATGTAAACCTGCCTCAGGCGATCAAAGAGGAAGCAAGGTACATATTCTTATGTACATCTGTAATCATGCCCCAGACTGCAGAGTTGGGGATCGCCGTACCCAAGATGAAATTGGTGGTGCGCCTGGCTTTTCATACAAGGCAGTTTACATGAGCCCGGTTACCCGAGATTCAACAAAACGTGAGATGATTTTGAGGTGTTGAAATGAGCAGATAACATGATCCTGGCAGTCGTATAATCACCACATCAATAGCATGTGCTTGTTTGGTGTCATAAAGACTTATCCCAATACCTCAAAGTTCTCTCACGCTTCGTTGAATCTTGGGTAACCAGGCTCATGTAAACAGCCCCTAAGTAGACTGGATGCACATAACATGCACCCATCTGTGCCTGAGGCTTACCTGCCAAAATTTGGTGCATCTGAACATCAGCTTTCCTTAAATCTAGTGGATTTCCTAACCCTGCAGTCTTATCTATGGGATGGTTGCATATTAGTAGAATGATATTTTTCCACCAGATAAACTGGTTACCTCATTTTCACTTTTTAGAAACAAAAATTGGATGACAAGTCAACAGCCCTCGCTCAAAAGGTCAAGGGCAACAAAAAATCATCAAACGCAAAATCCCAGGACTATTTTGATGCTGACGAAGAGACAAATACTGTGAAATCAAAATCAATTGATGCTCCAAACCGCTTCTGGGCCACAGTGGAGCCATACTGCGCAGACATTACCTTGGAAGATTTGAAATTCTTAGAAGAGTCAATAAAATCATCTGAGGATAACTCAGAGTACTATAAAGTGCCGTCTTTAGGAAAGCATTATAGTGAAAAGTGGGCAATGGAGGATTTAGCAGAAGAACAAGAATTTGGAAAGAAGGTGAACGAAAAGAAACAATCCACATTAAAATCTAGTAACGTTGACAGTGTTAATGAGGCTACTTTGGTTGACATTTTGAAAAAAGGTGCTACAGACATTGGAAATTTACCATCAGATGAGGTCTGTCCATTTGGACCACTAACCCAAAGGCTGATTAGTGCATTTGTAGAAGAGAATATCATTGCACCAATCACAGAAGATGGTTTGGATGCAAAAGCTGCTATCGACAAGGTGGCACCTCCAGCGGGAACAAAATTGATGCACGTGCCGCATGCTCGCACGCTGGAAGTGAAAATCAGGCAAGAGCTGATTGCACAAGGGATAATTGAGAAACCAGCAGAAAGCGATGAACTTCAAGATGGCGGCGGCGGTGGTGACGAGATTCTCAACGAACTAAAAAAGCGACAGGCTGAACTTCAAGCATTGGTCACATCCAACCAGAACACGAAACGCGAACTTCTCGAGGCCGCCCAGACGGAAATGCGGAAACAGGAACTGCGGCATCGCGTGCAGTCTGCGGACGCAGACGTCCTGGAGTGGTTTCGTAAGTTTTCTTCATACAAGCAGAATAAGAAAAGTCCGACGAAGCGTGAACGAGAGATGGCGAGTAATGCTCTCAAAGAACGTGAAACGATTCTGCGTGTGCTAAATTCGGAAGTACTTTAGGTGGTGTAGATCGCCACAATAATTTAGTATTTGTATCCAAATAAATTTGTCTCAACTAAAATGAATCAGATCCAGTTTTACCTACTTTTTTGTACGACTTATTTTATACTTATCATAATACAGTGCAGCACGAAATATTTTCTCTTTAAACCCAGTCCTAACCGGCACCCTTTCCTAAGTGCAAATCACGAAATCCGTTAATATTACCTTGGCACACCTTGACACCTTGTGCCATGTGATTAGGAAATTTGATACAGACATACTATTGTTTGCATTCATAGCTGTTTATGATTGTGAATTTTGCAATCTGTTTGGTTTGGTTTAGCGGTCGCTGTGGGGATTAGGAAATCAGAACAGTAGCAATCTGCAGTGTTCTGAAAACCAATGTTATGGATGATCTTTTGTGCAGGTAGAGTTTTGCTTTTTGCACACCAAAATGCATGCTCTGGGACATGTGCATCATTTGAGTTCACTCGATATATCATTTGTCATAACTTGTGCTGCGTTTGGTCTGACCCCGTCGTCGTCGGGTGGAAATATTTCGGGTTATGCCTTGCCGAGAAAAAAGCATAAAAAGATTATTCATGACGCCTTTAAAACAAAGTAGGCGATGCGAGAGATGTCTGCACAGGACAAAAGCATTTCCGTAGGGATAATATAGTTAAGATTTGCGTCAAGGGGTCAATTATAAGAACATACCAATCATTTCACCACCAAGGGTTTGAGAGTGCTACTACCACGTCGAAGTTTTGTTGATAAAATTTTATTGTAGTGAATAAAATTCTTCGATATTGTAATGACCTGAAAATATTTCAACTCCGTGGTTTATTTACTATTTACAAAGAACCTATATATTATGGTAAAACGAGGATTTGAGGAGAGTAATAATAAGCCAGTGGTAATAGCTTCCGACAGTTCGCGATTTATCCAGTCTTCGGAACATATCGTGAGTTAATAATTTTCTTGTATGATTGCATGGCGACTTTAGTAATTATAATAACTTGTAGGTACACCACGTAAGTATTAAATACTGCAAAGCTTTCGGTCCGTTAACCCGGACCTTCATCAGTGCAATTACTTGAATACACGTTTGCGCGTCACTTAAATATCATGTTAGTCGTGATTAATTAATTAATTAATATCGTGAGTTATTCTTATGGCAAAAACATGCGAATATTTGTTACATTCCCTGTCTTTTTTTTGCAAATCCTTAAAAAATAAAAACATTGAATCGTTAAAATCAGGACTATTATAAAGGACAGACCTTCAGTTGCATATATATTGTGAAAGAGCTGCAGACTATAGTTGCAAAAGGAATTCTGAAAACCTTATATACAGACCATAGTCTTCCACCATTTCAGGTCTGTTCATTACTTTAGCGCAAATTTGATATAATCTTCCCAAACAAGCTTGGCAAAGCAATCGCGACAAAGTGGCTAAATCGCTGGCTTATTTCTGATTTATTTTAGTGAGGACTACGTTGTTATTGATCATCCCATAATGGCAGACGCGCCAGTTAACGTGATAAATGTTGAAGTAAATGGGGTGAAGTATACGATTTCAAACACCAATCCGAGGATATCTTTGAACGACTGGCTGAGATCTCAACCTGGGTTAAAAGGTGATGGTCATACATTACGTTTGAAAGGAGAGATATGATAGTGAACTTTAATAGTATGCTAGTTAGTTGATCAGTAGGTCTATTGATGGATCAGGTGGTATATGGATTGCCAGGCAACTGGGCAGTTAGCTACCCACATAACCTATGGTTACCCAGCTAATAGACTTAGCTAGTCTTAGCTAGTCTAATAGACTTAATAGTCACATCCACTAGTAAATTAATAGCTAGGTTGGTTAGTCAGCTTTCTGGATATTGATCATTTTGGTTACCCTACTGCAGATCTGCTAATATTTCAGTCAGTCTGCTGGTTGGTATATTTGTGATTCATCTCATAAGTTGCCTTCAATCATTTACTTATTTCATCCTATCTTATAACATGGTATGTTTAGGAACCAAGGTGACATGTCAGGAGGGTGGTTGTGGCTCATGTGTGGTCGCATTAACTAAACAAGACCTGGTCACAAAGAAAGATAAAACAGTTGCTGTTAACAGTGTATGTTAAATATATTTTTCCAATTTCTGAATCCACTTCAGAATTGATGAAGAATGTGTATGTGCATTCTTTTATTTTGCATGTATAGTGTCTATTCCCTCTATTTGCCGCGGATGGATTTAAGATCACAACAACGGAAGGAATTGGCAGGTAAATTAAGAGCAATATTAGGAGAAAACTTCATGTTAGTTTAGTTTAGGTTACCTCCCGTGATAACACTAGCTCAATAGGCAATATCCTTGGCTTTGACCTCGAGGAATAGGTTTAGAATGATTAAAGAAATTTTGATAAACTTTGCAGCAGTCGCAATAGCTATCATGCAATTCAAGAACGTATTGCTAACGACAATGGCAGTCAATGTGGTTACTGTACTCCTGGAATGGTCATGAATATGTACAGGTAAGATTCGAGACAAAGATGTTATATAATGTGTTAAACAAGTATCCTAAGTGTAGTTTAGCAAATTGGTATAAAGTTTTGCATGTTTTCTTTATAGCTTGCTCTCGGAAAATCTCAAACCAACCAAACAAGAGATAGAGGATGGTTTTGATGGGAACCTCTGCCGTTGCACCGGTAATGTTCCTGGAATATTATCTGACCAGTCACGTTAGTTTCCTGCATCTTAAGCAGCAATATTTTTTAGGCTATCGTCCCATTCTGGATGCTATGAAGTCATTTGCAAAAGATGAGAACCCTATTGATATTGAGGTACATTACACTACTTATTTCCCTATGGAAAGAGGGTCACAGACCAATGACACACTCTCACGTTGGAGCATTCACCTCCTCTCCTTAGCTTTAGCCTAGACAGTCATTTTGACTGGAATAAACTCTTATAAACTATTTTATATAACAGGGTTAAAATATATAATGTTTGATTGAACTTACCTTGAACTATTGAATTCCGTGCACTCTCTCGCAAGCATAATATCCAACGTTTTTCAGGAGTTGCAATGTTGCCTTGGAAAAGGAGGTTGTTGTGGTGAAACAAGAACTTGTCATGGGTGTTATTTCAGCTTGGGAGAGACGTCTGGTCCACAATGGTATAAACCTTCGTCTCTCACAGAACTCTACAGCATTCTGAAAGGACAATCTGGGTCTGTAAGGCTTGTTGTAGGAAACACTGGAAAAGGTGAATTCCCAGTAATGATTCCTGCTGCAACTTTAGGAAGAACAGCTTAAAACTTATAGAGCTATCCAGTATAAATAAAGTTAGTTTAGTTTAGGTTTCCTCTTGTAGTAACACTAGATCAATAAGAGATGATCCTTACTGGACCTCTAGGAAGAACAGTTTAGAACTGATAGAGTTATCCAGTATAAATAAAGTTAGTTTAGTTCAGGTTTCCTCCTGTAGTAACACTGGATCAATAAGAGATTATCCTTACTGGACCTCTAGGAAGAACAATTTAGAACTGATAGAGTTATCCAGTATAAATAAAGTTAGTTTAGTTCAGGTTTCCTCCTGTAGTAACACTGGATCAATAAGAGATTATCCTTACTGGACCTCTAGGAAGAACAGTTTAGAACTGATAGAGTTATCCAGTATAAATAAAGTTAGTTTAGTTTAGGTTTCCTCCTGTAGTAACACTGGATCAATAATAAGAGATGATCCTTACTGGACCTCTAGGAAGAACAGTTTAGAACTGATAGAGCTATCCAGTATAAATAAAGTTAGTTTAGTTTAGGTTTCCTCCTGTAAGTAACACTGGATCAATAAGAGATGATCCTTACTGGACCTCTAGGAAGAATAGTTTGAAACTGATAGAGCTATCCAGTATAAATAAAGTTAGTTTAGTTTAGGTTTCCTCCTGTAAGTAACACTGGATCAATAAGAGATGATCTTTACTGGACCTCTAGGAAGAACAATTTAGAACTGATTGAAAATATAAAAATATAAAAATTGTCCTTTTCAGGAGTATACAAGAATGACGGTGATTTTGATGTTTATGTACACATTGCGGATATTCCTGATCTAAACACTGTTAAAGTATGTTTGCAAAAGCTTCTTGATAAATTATGATAGTTGCAGTCTTTGATTAAATCTAATTCCTAATTTCTAGACAACTGATTCAGCTCTAGAACTTGGTGCTGCCGTTCCACTGAATATTCTAATCAGAGAATTGTTAAATAATTCCAAGAAATCCACGTCATTCGAAGTTCTTGCAACTCATATCAAGAAGGTTCGATTATGATCTCATGTATATCACATTTCTTGAATTAACTTTTTGGTCTTGGTCTAATCTCATTGATTTTTGCCTTTAGATAGCCAATGTACCTGTGAGAAACGTGAGTAGAAAGTGAGATTAGAATAATTCCTATTCTCTTTGTTGAGGGTTATAACAAAGGGCTGGAAGCTAGACTCATACCTGAGTCAATTTCGAACTTTTGCTCTTTCGGACAGCTTTTTTTTACGAAAACAGAGACACTGTAAGAGTGTGGTCTCTCACAAATCCTTTCGAAGCATGCAGATTCTTTTAAGTTTGAAGTGAAAAGATGTAATGGAGCTCAATTTGATTACCAATTTTCGTTGAAATTGAACTTAAAGCCACTGTAAACTCCGTAATTTGGTTCGGCTTCTGTTAAAAGCAACGCTGGTTAACGCGATGTCCTCATCAGAGGTCATTCATGAAGTTTGTTGCATGTATTGGATGTGCTAGTCATCATTGATTAGAACAGGCTATTTTATGTTTCTTTTGTGAAACGATGTTGTCATTCGTGGCACGTTATCAATCATCTGCTGAAATAATCGTAGTTTTAGATGTAAAAGACAGAACAGTCTCAAAAAACTTCGTTCCAATCTATAGGTTGGCTGCTGGGCTGGTAATCTCATGTTACTCCACAAACATCGAGAGTTTCCCTCGGATATGTTCACAATAATGTCTGCAGTTGGTGCTACTTTGCTTATTGGTGAGTTACAGAATCTTTCATGCTTATATTCGACCATGGTCGAGTCCGCCGGAAAACGACTAACTCGACCATGGTCGAGTTCGCGGGAAAACGACCAACTCGACCATGGTCGAGTTCGCCGGAAAACGACTAACTCGACCATGGTCGAGTTCGCCGGAAAACGACTACTTCGACCATGGTCGAGTTCGCCGGAAAACGACTAACTCGACCATGGTCGAGTTCGCCGGAAAACGACTAACTCGACCATGGTCGAGTTCGCGGGAAAACGACTAACTCGACCATGGTCGAGTTCGCCGGAAAACGACTAACTCGACCATGGTCGAGTTCACCGGAAAACGACTACTTCGACCATGGTCGAGTTCGCCGGAAAACGACTAACTCGACCATGGTCGAGTTCGCCGGAAAACGACTAACTCGACCATGGTCGAGTTCGCGGGAAAACGACTAACTCGACCATGGTCGAGTTCGCCGGAAAACGACTAATTCGACCATGGTCGAGTTCGCCGGAAAACGACTAATTCGACCATGGTCGAGTTCGCCGGAAAACGACTAACTCGACCATGGTCGAGTTCGCCGGAAAACGACTAACTCGACCATGGTCGAGTTCGCCGGAAAACGAATAACTCGACCATGGTCGAGTTCGCCGGAAAACGACTAACTCGACCATGGTCGAGTTCGCCGGAAAACGACTAATTCGACCATGGTCGAGTTCGCCGGAAAACGACTAATTCGACCATGGTCGAGTTCGCCGGAAAACGACTAACTCGACCATGGTCGAGTTCGCCGGAAAACGACTAACTCGACCATGGTCGAGTTCGCCGGAAAACGACTAACTCGACCATGGTCGAGTTCGCCGGAAAACGACTAACTCGACCATGGTCGAGTTCGCCGGAAAACGACTAACTCGACCATGGTCGAGTTCGCCGGAAAACGACTAATTCGACCATGGTCCAGTTCGCCGGAAAACGACTAATTCGACCATGGTCGAGTTCGCCGGAAAACGACTAACTCGACCATGGTCGAGTTCGCCGGAAAACGAGTAACTCGACCATGGTCGAGTTCGCCGGAAAACGACTAATTCGACCATGGTCGAGTTCGCCGGAAAACGACTAACTCGACCATGGTCGAGTTCGCCGGAAAACGACTAATTCGACCATGGTCGAGTTCGCCGGAAAACGACTAATTCGACCATGGTCGAGTTCGCCGGAAAACGACTAACTCGACCATGGTCGAGTTCGCCGGAAAACGACTAACTCGACCATGGTCGAGTTCGCCGGAAAACGACTAATTCGACCATGGTCCAGTTCGCCGGAAAACGACTAATTCGACCATGGTCGAGTTCGCCGGAAAACGACTAACTCGACCATGGTCGAGTTCGCCGGAAAACGAGTAACTCGACCATGGTCGAGTTCGCCGGAAAACGACTAATTCGACCATGGTCGAGTTCGCCGGAAAACGACTAACTCGACCATGGTCGAGTTCGCCGGAAAACGACTAATTCGACCATGGTCGAGTTCGCCGGAAAACGACTAATTCGACCATGGTCGAGTTCGCCGGAAAACGACTAACTCGACCATGGTCGAGTTCGCCGGAAAACGACTAACTCGACCATGGTCGAGTTCGCCGGAAAACGAATAACTCGACCATGGTCGAGTTCGCCGGAAAACGACTAACTCGACCATGGTCGAGTTCGCCGGAAAACGACTAATTCGACCATGGTCGAGTTCGCCGGAAAACGACTAATTCGACCATGGTCGAGTTCGCCGGAAAACGACTAACTCGACCATGGTCGAGTTCGCCGGAAAACGAATAACTCGACCATGGTCGAGTTCGCCGGAAAACGACTAACTCGACCATGGTCGAGTTCGCCGGAAAACGACTAACGACCATGGTCGAGTTCGCCGGAAAACGACTAATCGACCATGGTCGAGTTCGCCGGAAAACGACTAACTCGACCATGGTCGAGTTCGCCGGAAAACGACTAACTCGACCATGGTCGAGTTCGCCGGAAAACGACTAATTCGACCATGGTCGAGTTCGCCGGAAAACGACTAACTCGACCATGGTCGAGTTCGCCGGAAAACGACTAATTCGACCATGGTCGAGTTCGCCGGAAAACGACTAATTCGACCATGGTCGAGTTCGCCGGAAAACGACTAACTCGACCATGGTCGAGTTCGCCGGAAAACGACTAACTCGACCATGGTCGAGTTCGCCGGAAAACGAATAACTCGACCATGGTCGAGTTCGCCGGAAAACGACTAACTCGACCATGGTCGAGTTCGCCGGAAAACGACTAATTCGACCATGGTCGAGTTCGCCGGAAAACGACTAACTCGACCATGGTCGAGTTCGCCGGAAAATGACGAATTCGACCATGGTCGTATTCGCCGGATAATGGCAAATATACGACCATGGTCATATATTCGCCGGATAATGGCAAATATACGACCATGGTCATATATTCGCCGGAAAATGGCAAATATACGACCATGGTCATATATTCGCCGGAAAATGGCAAATATACGACCATGGTCATATATTCGCCGGAAAATGGCAAATATACGACCATGGTCATATATTCGCCGGAAAATGGCAAATATACGACCATGGTCATATTCGCCGGAAAATGGCAAATATACGACCATGGTCATAATAGTTTAATATTTTGAATTGTAGGTTCTGTTGACAGTTCAACACAATCTTACAGTATGGAGGACTTTTTATCACTTGATATGAACAGCAAGGTGCGGTACACTTACGAACTTAATTGAAAATTTTGAAGCCTGAGTACAGTACTGTAGAATATGATGACAATAACTCCTGTGCTTTTAAAGTATGTATTTTTATTTCGTCCAGGTTATTATTAGCATCAATATACCGTTCTCTGCTGCAGAGGAGGTTGTCAGAACATTTAAAATAATGCCAAGACATCAGGTATGACTGATTTCATCGTAACGTTGTGTTCACTCGAGCCAATGTAGTCGGATCCAATTCACTTCTGATGGATGTTCGTATATTCTATTGACTTGCAATGTATGTGAGCCGCAAATCCACTTTAGCAATAACAGACTACAATCCACAAGTCAGAATTGGATCCGACAAACTGGATTTATAATGTGCGTGGACAACATTTTCTATTCTTACTCATATCGTATACAAAAATGGTGTTTGTTAATTTCTTGTTGTGATGGCGAATTTTACGTTTCGTAAAGCTTTTTATGCTAGTTTACCGTAATTTTAGAATGCGCATGCGTATGTGAATGCTGGGTTTAGAGCCTCGATCGACTCAAGTCTCACGGTGAAGAGCGCAGCGACCTTGGTGTTTGGTGGAGTTAAACTTTCCCCGGTAAGCGATACACGGTTACGTTGCTTTGAAATAACTTTTGACATTTACATTTTCTGACCGTTTGAATAAAAACGAGTCTGGCGCTAGCCTGGTCCAGAGTTAACAACCTTTGCAACATTTTGTAGATGCGCGCCAGTGCAACTGAGCAATATCTTTCCGGGAAAAATCTTCTCCAGTTAGCTACACTAAAAGGTATAAATATATGATACATTACAGACAAGAATAAATTGTGCATTGTTTGGTAGTTAATAAAATTAGTTTAGGTTTCCTCCTGTAGTAACACTGGATCAATAAGAGATGATCCTTATACTGGACTTCTAGAAAGAACAGTTTAAAACTAATAGAGCTACCCAGTATAAATAAGGATAGTTTAGTTTAGGTTTCCTCCTGTAGTAACACTGGATCAATAAGAGATGATCCTTACTGGATCTCTAGGAAGAACAGTTTAAAACTAATAGAGCTATCCAGTATAAATAAAGTTAGTTTAGTTTAGGTTTCCTCCTGTAGTAACACTAGATCGATGGATCAATAAGAGATGATCCTTACTGGAGAAGAACTATTTAAAATTTAGTGAAAAGTTTAGTGTAAAGTTATTCAGTTTAATCGAATAGAATTATTTCTGTTTATTTTCTCAAGGTTGTTTGAGTGCATTGGATAAGGAAATTGTTCCAGAAGCGTCCCCACTTGCAGCCAGCACGGAATACCGCAAGAGCTTAGCCATTAGTTTGTTTTACAAGGTAAAAATTTAGAACGAAAGAAATTCCCCATCATGAATAGTGTTTAAATGAGACTGATCGATTTTATATTTTCCTTTCTACTGTAGTTCTATCTTGCATTGCTTGGTGATAAAGCTAGTGAAAAGTTTAGATCGGCTGCAGTCCCCTATGTACGCGCAATCTCGTCCGGTCAACAAAGTTATGACACGACAGCAAGCGACTATCCCTTGACGGAACCGATGACAAAGATGTCTGCGAAATTACAGGTAAAGAATGAGTTACAAATTAGATCACAAGGAAAAAGATATAGTTTGTCACTTTGCCTTATATATTTTATCTATTGTAGACAACTGTGTATATGTGATTGAAGGAAGTAGTGGAATCTTGTGCGGAATAACTAAGCACTGTCTTTAATGAAGACGGTTTTCTTCTTTCTTTTCCAGGCCTCAGGCGAGGCACAGTACACAGGCGATATACCTGAAACGCCAGGAGAGCTGTACGGGGCGTTTGTTACCGCGATCAAGGTGGGCTAGCAATCAAATTCACACTTTTATTAAATCTTTATATGATGAACAGAAATATGGCATGTTTCCTGAAGACTATATTTCAAACGTTCTTCACTTTCCCACGAACGAATGAACATGCAATTGTAGTTATAATTAAGATATTTAAACGAACTTGCTCTGAATTTTCATCTGTGTTTCAGGGTAATTGTAAAATTGCAAGTGTTGACACGTCTGCGGCATTGGTATGAAAATATAACAGCACACAATCCATATTTACATTTTCACATTTTAGTAGCAGTTCTTCTGTTATCAATTTTTTTTTCATTTTCAGAGCATTCCTGGTGTGCTGAAGTATATAGACGCAAAAGACATCCCAGGCGTTAACAATTTTGTTGGTTCTTTTGCGTCGCTAGAGAAGGTGTTCTGTGAAAGCGAGGTTGGCTATGCTGGTGAGGGGGTTGGAATGATTATTGCAGGTGAGATATTGTCGAAAACTACAACAGCTTATTGTAGAATACTACCTACACTGGACCACCACGTTTGAGATATCTTTCTCAGGTAGTTCAGACACAAACCACAACAGCTTATTGTAGAATACTACCTACACTGAACCACCACGTTTGAGATATCTTTCTCAGGTTGTTCAGACACAAACCATGGCAGCTTATTGTAGAATACTACCTACACTGGACCACCACGTTTGAGATATCTTTCTCAGGTAGTTCAGACACAAGCCACGACAGCTTATTGTAGAATTTTAACTTGACAAACTTGATTTACTTCCTGCTTTGAGATACAACTTTCTATTCTAGAAAGCCAAAGCTTGGCAGACGAGGCTGCAGAGAAGGTGAAAATTACTTACTCAGATTGTAAACCGCCGATAGTGACTGAAGAGGATGCCATAAAAGCAAAGTCGTTTTTTTCGGACCAAATTCTCAGCAAAGTTTACGGCGATCCTGACGGTAAGGAATAGCATAGATGACAAACAGAGTCACTACTGTAGGGTGACCAGAGAATCACCCTATAAGTGAAAATCTTATTGCCTCAATAGGTTTTTGAAATTAAAAATACTCATGTCAAATACAAGGAACTTTGAGATAGTTTTACAACTCTGCTTCATCATTTTGTAGGAGCTATGGCATCTTCTGCGCATGTCATAAACGGGGAAATTAAACTTGGAACACAACATCATTTTCACATGGAAACACACGTTTGTATTTTCCCACTCTTACTATCTCTTCAGGTCATAAATGTACCTCTCTTTAGATGAGAGCAATGAACGTATTTGCCTTCATTTTAGACATGTCTCTGTATCCCTGGAGAGGAAGAGATGGAAGTGTATGCCTCGACACAGTCCACAGAAAATACTCAAACCGCTATTGCTCAATTCTTAAAAATGCCGGAGAAAAGGTATTCTCAGTTATACTGGATATCTCTATCAGTTCTAGACTGTTCTTCCTAGAGGTCCAGTAAGGATCATCTCTTATTGATCCAGTGTTACTACAGGAGGAAACCTAAACTAAACTAGCTTTATTTATACTGGATAACTCTATCAGTCCTCAACTGTTCTTCCTAGAGGCCCAGTAAGGATCATCTCTTATTGATCCACTGTTACTACAGGAGGGAATCTAAAATAAACTAAACTAATTTTATTTATACTAGCTGAATAGCTCTATCAGTTCTAAACTGTTCTTACTATAGGTTCTTGGAGTAAGGACCATCTCTTATATTGGCCTAACATCTGCACATCACAAGAATCATACTCCAGTCACTATAGGGGCAGTTAGGCACATGCACGTACATGTACATTATCACCACGTTGCAGTCAGGTTTCTCACAAGCATTCATGGATTTTAATTATTGTAGTATTCACGTGACGTGCAGGCGATGTGGTGGTGCGTATGGCGCGAAAGCTATTCGTGAGGCGGTCAACTCAAGCGCGTGTGCATTGGCTGCTCACATCATGAACAGGTGATTTTCATATTGAAGCTAACTAAGAGGTTGCTAGCCATAGTTTTATAGCATCGCCCGAAATTGTGTTGCAGTTTGCAGCCAAAGCATCCCTAATTTCAAAACATCTATTCATAATTTTTTATTTTTAATTGAAAACATATGGATTCACACCTAATCTTCTAGATTTTTTACTCCTTTTTACATCCCAGTGATTCCACTAACGAAGCATGTGCTGAACGTTTTTGAAACGAACATTTCACTTTCCTTTGTAGACCGGTCCGCACAAGAATGAAGCTAAAAACAAACATGGAAATGGTTGGAAAGAGATTTTCTTATCTTGCCCAGTACAAGGTAAAAGCAACCACGATATTTTGAGAATATCCTATTCTGCATGGATCATGGAGCTACCAAATGACGCCCCGGGGGTATGAGGTTGTAGTACTCGAGAAATGTTGATGGCCGTATTCTCGTTTTTTATAGGTTGGTGTATCTGAAGAAGGGATATTGAAGGCGGTCGATATGACCTACTATACAGCTTGTGGTCGTGCAACAACCGAGGAATCGTTTTCAGTCATGCCAGTCTTCTTTGACAATGGTGCGTTGACAACAGTATTAATCTTTCTTTTTTTATGCCAGTTTTAAAGTACTGTCCTCGATGCTCGAATTTTAGTGCAAGAATTAACACGAATTCCATTTAGCGTATTATTGTGAAAATTGGAAATTTCATGCTGTACCGTGCAAGACAAACACAGCGACGAACGCCTTTACACGTTCACCAGGTACAATGTATTTTTTATCATTATTATTATTACTTTCTTGTTTATGTCCAATTGCATGTGATGTCGTATATAATCAACTCGAAATCTTCACACAGTAATCGCCATGAATTTGTAGTTTGTTGTCTGTATCTACTTCAGTGGCTTCGTGCTACCAAAGCAAATGTGTGCGATTTCAAATCACTTGCTCGTTAGTTTCCATGCAGCTTGAGCGTCCCTTAAACATTCCAGGCAGACCTTCACTCAAATCACTGATTCAAAACCCAGCAATAGAGTAATTTGAAACGGAGTATTTACCCCCCTCTTTCTTTACTCGAATTGACCTTCATAATCAACTACCTTCACTCATTGGGCCCTTGAAAGGTAAAAGGGAAAAATCTAGTTGTTTGGAGGAAGCCTGCTGAAGCATTCTTGTCCCGGAGAACGGCATATTACGCAGTCAAAACTCTCAGGTATGATACATTATATACTATGTTTACAGGATCAGTACCAGCAATATTTATCATTGAAACAGTAATGAATCACGTGGCCAAAGTTCTAAACAAAAGTCCAGATGAAATACGACAGATTAATTTCTACAAACAAGGACAGGTATTGCTCTGAGCATTATACGATGTTCGTATACAAATTATTTGACGCGAGTTACTTCTTTTTCAGACCACCTATTACAAACAGCCACTTCCGTACTGCAGTATTTCAAAAATTTGGCAAGGTATGCATGGAAACTATTTGTCCTATTTTACTGATTGAAAGTTTCTGCCAAAATTAACGAGTTGAATTAATATTTGATGAATATCTCTAGAACTGAAAGTATCAAGTGAATTTGATAAAAGAAAAGCTGCCATTGTGGAGTTCAACAAAGTAGGTTCAATTTTTCCGTATTGTAACACTTTTCTATCTCTTTCTCATTTCCCCCACCTCCTCCTTCAAATCCCCTCCTCAATACTCCATCCCCTCCTCCCACCTCCTATTCGCTCCATACATCTCGTCTCTCAAATTCCCTCCTCAATACTCTATCCCCTCCTCCCACCTCCTATTGGCTCCATACATTTCGTCCCTCAAATTCCCTCCTCAATACTCTATCCCCTCCTCCCACCTCCTATTGGCTCCATACATCTCCTCCCTCAAATCCCCTCCTCAATACTCTATCCCCTCCTCCCACCTCATATTGGCTCCATACATCTCCTCCCTCAAATCCCCTCCTCAATACTCCATCCCCTCCTCCCATTCCCTCCTTACATCTTCTCCCTCAAATCTACCCCTCCATACTCCATCCCCTTCTCTCATTCACCTCACCCTCTTCTCCAGGCAAACCGCTGGCGTAAACGCGGCATAAGTCTCGTTCCACTGAAGTATGGTGTAGACTGGGTAGGCAGTCGTTTCACTGCTTACGTCGTCATTTATCGCAAAGATGGAACAGTCTCAATATCACACGGGGGCGTGGAAATGGGCCAAGGAATAAACACGAAGGTATCTCAGCTTGTGCAGTACCTAATTCTCACTTCATCTCTTACAAAAGCCTGGTATTAGCATTACCGACAAGAGTGCTGTGTATGAAATATCATCTATTTCACACATCCATAAAAATGATATCCTAAGTTAATTTATGACAAAATGAAAAACTCGTTTGGTTCTTAGGTTTGTCAGGTAGCAGCGTATATTCTTGGCCACGGACTGAACGTTGATCAAATCTCTGTCAGACCCGCTTCAAGCTTCATTAACGCAAATGGTAGGAAATAATCCTGAGAACGACACATCGAGCAACTTTGAATTTAGCAGCCGGTTGTACGAATCAATGAAGCGCTATCAACCGGATGATGATTATATTTCCTTCCTGTAGGTACACCGTCATGGGCTAGTATCACCAGTGAATTATGCAGCGAGGTAATGTGTTAACGGCTCTCAAAATCATAGCAAATAATCTCAATGGGTAAACGGGCATTTAGAAGGAGACAAAACAGATTTAACTTTAAGGAACTCGTATTTCATTTGTTTTTAGGCTGTTGCAAATTGTTGCACTGCACTTAAGGAGAGGATAACAGCTGTTGAGAAAGATATGCCAAGTACTGCAACGTGGGTTGACATTATCGAGAAGTGTTATGAAGTGGGCGTTGATCTAACGGAAAAATACATGTGGGTATTCAACCAATTTAGGATGACTCTTTGCAGGTTCAATTAGAGATGGAGAAGTTTAGAACGGATAGAGCTATCCAGTATAAGTCAGTTTAGTTTAGGTTTCCTCTTGTAATAACACTGGATCGATAAGAGATGATCCTTACTGGACCTCTAGGAAGAACAGTTTAGAACTGATAGAGCTATCCAGTATAAATAAAGTTAGTTTAGTTTAGGTTTCCTCCTGTAGTAACACTGGATCAATAAGAGATGATCATTACTGGACCTCTAGAAAGAACAGTTTAGAAGTGATAGAGCTATCCAGTATAAATAAAGTTAGTTTAGTTTAGGTTTCTTCCTGTAGTAACACTGGATCAATAAGAGATGATCATTACTGGACCTCTAGGAAGAACAGTTTAGAACTGATAAAGCTATCCAGTATAAATAAAGTTAGTTTAGTTTAAGTTTCCTCCTATAGTAACATTGGATCAACAATATCAAGTGAGTGGTAGTTTCACCATCCCGATAAACTGTAATTGTTGCAGGGTGTTTCCACAAAAGAGTCACCAGTTCAACTACATGAGCTATGGGACCACGTGCACCGAGGCTGAGATCGACGTTCTTACTGGTGAAACAGAGATACTAAGATCTGATATCCTTTATGACTGTGGCAGAAGGTAAGGCCAATAATCTATCCACAAATGAACAATTGTACAGGGGCCACTTGTATAAAAGACTGTAGTTAACTTTTAACTGTAGTTAAGGACAGAATTGGCGTGTATTTCTGAGTTAACTTGGATTTAACTATGCAAAATGTAGTTAAATAGTTTTATACAAGTTAGATTCATGGTAATTGCGTGCAAAGTTCGTTCACAGTCTTAGAAACCACTCTTAGATCATATAGTGATGTGAAACGTGTGTATTTTTTATATTTTATGGTACAGTATGAATCCAGAGATTGACGTCGGTCAGGTTGAAGGTGCATTTATCATGGGTCTTGGTAACTGGCTGATTGAAAAAGCAGTTTATGATCCCAATACTGGACTTGAACTGACCTCAGGGACTTGGGTAGGTATTGAGGTTATCAAAGAAATTTATGTAACGATTCGTCCAGACCATTTTCGTTGTTGAAAATTGGTCTGAGACGATTTAAGACAATACATTGCAAGTCAAATATTACTGCCTTTCTTTGTCAATCGAAAATACACCAAAATTCATGTCGGAAAAGCGCCATAACCCATGATGAATGTTGGCATCTTGAAAAATGTTGGCATCTTGCCTTTAACTCACCATTGAAAATACTCCAAAATTCCAGTCGGAAGTGCTCCATAATCAATGACCAAACACCATACTGCCTTTCTTTGTCAATCGAAAATACACCAAAATTCATGTCGGAAGAGCTCCATAACCCACGATGAATAACATCTGCGTCGTTCCAAAGAAGTTCAAATTGCTTGCTCTGGAAAAATGTTTGCATCTTGCCTTTAACTCACCATTGAAAATACTCCAAAATTCCAGTCGGAAGTGCTCCATAATCAATGATCAAACACGATACTCCCTTTCTTTGTCAATCGAAAATACACCAAAATTCTTGACGAAAGAGCTCCATAACCCATGATGAATAACTTTTGCATCGTTCCAAGGAAGTTCAAATTGCTTGCTCTGGAAAAATGTTTGCATCTTGCCTTTAACTCACCATTGAAAATACTCCAAAATTCCAGTCGGAAGTGCTCCATAATCAATGATCAAACACCATACTGTCTTTCTTTGTCAATCGAAAATACACCAAAATTCATGTCGGAAGAGCTCCATAACCCACGATGAATAACATCTGCATCGTTCCAAAGAAGTTCAAATTGCTTGCTCTGGAAAAATGTTTGCATCTTGCCTTTAACTCACCATTGAAAATACTCCAAAATTCCAGTCGGAAGTGCTCCATAATCAATGATCAAACACCATACTGCCTTTCTTTGTCAATCGAAAGTACACCAAAATTCATGTCGGAAGAGCTCCATAACCCATGATGAATAACGTCTGCATCGTTCCAAAGAAGTTCAAATTGCTTGCTCTGGAAAAATGTTTGCATCTTGCCTTTAACTCACCATTGAAAATACTCCAAAATTCCAGTCGGAAGTGCTCCATAATCAATGATCAAACACCATACTGCCTTTCTTTGTCAATCGAAAATACACCAAAATTCATGTCGGAAGAGCTCCATAACCCACGATGAATAACATCTGCATCGTTCCAAAGAAGTTCAAATTGCTTGCTCTGGAAAAATGTTTGCATCTTGCCTTTAACTCACCATTGAAAATACTCCAAAATTCCAGTCGGAAGTGCTCCATAATCAATGATCAAACACCATACTGTCTTTCTTTGTCAATCGAAAATACACCAAAATTCATGTCGGAAGAGCTCCATAACCCAGCTCTTCAGATATTTTTACACGCTCAGAAAAATCCTCTTTTAGGTTCGGAGTAATTTTTCTCGACGTGAAACGGCGAGATTCCTAGCTACATGTACCTTGGAATACTTCATGGTACAGAGGGTTTTGTAAAGCAGTGTCCACAAAGAGTACTAAAGTTTTTTTTGTTTGTTTTTTCAGGATTACCATCCACCGTTTTCTAAGGACATTCCTGTTGATTTCCGGGTGTCTCTTCTCAAAGACGCTCCTAATCCATTAGGAGTTCTTCGCTCAAAAGGTAACCTTACGCTTAAAAATCATCCAGTGTTACTACAGGAAGAAAGCTTAACTTTATTTATACTGGATACCTCTATCAGTTCTAAACTGTTCTTTCTAGAGCTCCAGTAAGGAACATCCCTTATTGATCCAGTGTTATTACAAGAGGAAACCTAAACTAAACTAACTTTATTTATACTGGATAACTCTATCAGTTCTAAACTGTTCTTCCTTGAGACCCAGTAAGGATCATCTCTTATTGATCCAGTGCTACTACAGGAGGAAACCTAAACTAAACTAACTTTATTTATACTGGTTAGCTCTATCAGTTCTAAACTGTTCTTCCTACAGCTCCAGTAAGGATCATCCCTTATTGCATAGCTCTTTCAGTTCATCCTTCAGAAGTCCATTGTGCCAATTGTTGAGCTATTTTAAGACTGGAGAATTATTATAGTGAACATTTCATATTTTACAGTGGTCGGAGAACCACCTCAGTGTATGTCGTGTTCTTGCCTGTTTGCTGTACAAGATGCTATCTACCATGCCCGCGAGGAGACTGGACAGGACAAAGAATATTTTGCCTTGGATGGTCCGGCGACAGTTGAAGCTGTACAGCTAAAATGCTTGGTCAAATCTGACCAATTTTTGTTTTAATGGCCTTGCCGTATATGCCAAATATATCTACATGTGTCTCATGTTGCTGTCTGAAAATTGTTAAAAGAGTTATATTAACCAGTTAATTGTTAGCTATTAATTAATCAAATAAATCTTTCGATCTTTTCATTCTTCCCAGGCTGTATATCTGATGTATTGATTGTATAGGCCTACCTCGGCCAATTTTCGCGAAAATGGCTGAAATTGGCGACTTTTGGAAATTTTCTTAAAAATATGTTAACATGCATGCTGACAAATCTCGTAAAGATGAACGTGAAGACTACTCGCTCAGCCAAATTCAAAATGGCGATGCCGATGAAAACCATTCACGTGGACCGTTCGCGGACCTTTCTGGGCAAGATTGTTGCGATGTCTGGTCAAAGTGAAGTATTTTACTTTACTGTTTGTCTGCCTTCTGCTGGTCGTTTGGTCAGAAATAACAAAAAACCGTATACAATATAAAATACTCTGCCCACAAGGTTATCAAAAGTTTCCAGCTCTAATTCTGCCTGCAATGCCAATGATGATCATTTTTCACTGAGAATCAGTTATGTCATAAGCAACTTCCGCGCCCAGACCGATGCAGAATTGAACATTTTGTCGTTAGGTTCACCTTGAAGGCCTGTTATCAAGATGAACGTCAAGAGAAAAGATAACAAAAATCAGTTAAAGCCTCGGTCGGCGAAATTCAAAATGACGATGCCATGAAAATCATCCACCTGGACTTTGCGGACCTTTCTGAGGAAGATTGTAGCGCTGTCTGGTCAAAATTAGGTATTTTACTTTACTGTTTATGTGCCTTCTCCTAACCGTTTGGTCAGAAAAAATACAAAACAATATACAATACCAATACCCCTTACCATTTTACCAAAATTAACGACTTTTCAAAACTTTTAGAACTGTGTTAAAATGCTAAAAATGGCTTCCTTAGATTAATCTCTTTGGTTTTTGAGCATATTTCGTTCCTTTTTGGAACATTGAAAAAGTCGTCAATTTTGCCAAAATAGTAAGCCTTACCCCTTACCATTTTTGTGAAAATTGACATCGTTTCAAAACTTTTTAAAACTGTGTTAACATGCTAAAAATGGCTTCCTAAGATTAATCCTTTTGGTTTTTGAGCATATTTGGTTGCTTTTTGGAACATTCAAAAAGTCGTCAATTTTGACCAAAATGGTAAGGCTTACCCCTTACCATTTTGGTCAAATTTGACGATTTTTTCAACTTTTCAAAAACTGTCTTAAAATCCTAAAAATTGCTTCCTAAGACTAATATCTTTCATTTTAGATCATATTTGGTTGGTTTTTGGAATAATGAAAAAGTCGTCAAAATTGACCAAAATGGTAAGGCTTACCCCTTTGGTCAATTTTTACCACTTTTTGAACTGTTCAAAAACTGTCTTAAAATGCTAAAAATGGCTTCCTAAGACTAATATCTTTTATTTTTAGAGCATATTTGGTTGGTTTTTAGAAGAATCAAAAAGTGGTCAAAATTGGCCAAAATGGTAAGGCTTACCCCTTTGGTCAATTTTGACCACTTTTTGAACTGTTCAAAAACTATCTTAAAATGCTAAAAATAGCTTCCTAAGACTAATATCTTTCATTTTAGAGCACATTTGGTTGGTTTTGGGAACAATGAAAAAGTGGGCAAAATTGATCAAAATGGTAAAGCTATACTTGAAGGCAAAATTAGCCTTTCTCACGATGACGAATATGCCGTCATTTTTGGGGTACTTTTTAAAAAAACCCGTGAGTGTATAACTTCGTAACGGCGACTATCTTAAATTTTAGGCTGGAGTTATTTTTCAAATGGTCTGTTGAATCTAAAGAAATTCCGTTTCATGTCGCTATAATGTTTTAAACACATTTGAGAAAATTGAAAGTACCCCAAAAACGTCATCGCGACAAAGGCTAATTGAGGACTTTTTCAATGTTCCAAAAACTAACCAAATGTGCTCTAAAATGAAAGATATTAGTCTTAGGAAGCCATTTTTAGCATTTTAAGACAGTTTTTGAACAGTTCAAAAAGTCGTCAAAATTGACCAAAATGGTAAAGGGTGGTTGCAAGGCCAACGCCATCCAGAATATGGAGTCCTAATCATTTTGTTCTATTATTGCTAGCCAAGGAACTGCCAACGATGTCATTTATTGTTATCAGCTAACTGGACTTTGTGAGAGTTTTCTTGCAAAATGTTTGCCAAGGTAATTATTATAACAGATCATAAAGGCCTTTTAATGTTTCTTATGGTATACTGATCTGTGTTGTTTTCTGTGATTAAGTGATGTTTTTCTTCATGTTGTTTATCACTGAAGCTAAAGAATTGAGATACAACAATCTTTGACTGACTTTAGGTGTAAGACGTTCGCCCAGCTATTGTAGACCGCATGGAATCGATTCAAGTCCTTTAAAAATTTGTGAATCAAGATGAATATGAACTTAGTGAATCTGTAATTGCTGCTATATGTTTTGGCTAAAATATAAAAAAAACTGTTGTATGTCTCCAAAACAAAGGAGCTTATATTTATGATACCAAAAAGTACAGGATTGTTTGACATCAGAAATACAAAGAATTCGGCACACAGCAACAATTCAAAAGACAACTTTTTTCTAGGCTTTTAGCGATTCGTTTATAGTAACATCGCTCACGATGATGTTCGGAGTTGATCGGCATGTTGTCGTACATTATCATACCACGTGATCTGCTAAGATCACATGGTAATTATCGCCTATAAAACTAATCTCAACGTTAAAAAAAAATTTCTTTAGATTGGTGGCGATCGAAGGTGGACAGCAAGATCGAAGCTCAGCAAGATTGAAGATTGTTCGAGGAAGAAGGAGTTCGCCGTTGACTAAAAGGTGGGTTCCGGCGATTATATGCGTAATCTGCGGTTGCTTTGTCCGACCCCAGTAGGGGGACCGTTTGCCTAGAGCGTTTTGGTCCCCCGCACGCTGCTAGTTGACTAGTTCCCACTTGTAGGCCTTTACACTAATCTACGGGAAGGCCGTAGGCCTTCCTTAAGGAGTACAGTGTAGCTGAGCCGAACCCTTTTTTTCGTTGTATATAGGTTTATCTGAACAGCTAGTTGTCAAGATGAAGGTGAAGACTCGCCCGGCCAAATTCAAAATGGCGATGCCAAAGAAAACCATCCACGTGGACCGTTCGCGGACCTTTCTGAGCAAGATTGTTGTGCTGTCTGGTCAAAGTTAAGTATTTTACTTTGATGTTTGTGTGCCTTCTGCTAATTGTTGGCCAGAAATAACAAAAACCATATACAATATGAAATATTCTGCGTACAAGGTTATCTAAAGTTTCGAGCTTAATTCTGCCTGCAATGATGATAATTTTTTACTGAAAATTTATGTCATGAGCAACTTCCGCACCTATAGACTGAAGCAGAACTGAACATTTTGTCATTAACGTTTATCTCAACAGCCAGTTATCAAGACGAACGTCAAGAGAACAGTTGAAATAGAAAATAGAAATCAGTTCAAGACTCGCCCGGCCGCCGAATTCAAAATGGCGATCCCATACACGTGGACCGTTCGCGGACCTTTCTGAGCAAGATTGTTGTGCTGTCTGGTCAAAGTTAAGTATTTTACTTTGATGTTTGTGTGCCTTCTGCTAATTGTCGGCCAGAAATAACAGAAAACCATATACAATATGAAATATTCTGCGTACAAGGTTATCTAAAGTTTCGAGCTTAATTTTGCCTGCAATGATGATAATTTTTTACTGAAAATTTATGTCATGAGCAACTTCCCTGCACCTATAGACTGAAGCAGAACTGAACATTTTGTCATTAACGTTTATCTCAACAGCTAGTTATCAAGACGAACGTCAAGAGAACAGTTGAAATAGAAATCAGTTCAAGACTCGCCCGGCCGAATTCAAAATGGCGATGCCGAAGAAAACTATACACGTGGACCGTTCGCGGACCTCTCTGAGCAAGATTGTTGTGCTGTCTGGTCAAAGTTAAGTATTTTACTTTACTGTTTGTGTGCCTTTTGCTAAAACTAGACAATAATTAAGGTAGTTGAAAATGCAATTTTATAATTATAATGTCTTATTATATTAAAGATTTTCCTTTGTCAACATTGGAAGTGAACAAGATTTCTGCACAGAGGTAATTCAATTGTTTCTTCTAAATTTATATCAGCCTTGCAGCTAAAATTCTTGTCATTACCTTGTAATACATATCAACTGCCTGGGTATATATTTTGTTATTTCAATAGTATAAGAGGGAATTTGCTGCAACTAGGATCTTTTTCATGAAAATCGTCAGTGCGGTCACAATTTGGTTGAGATTACTAAGTGAACTTTGCTTCTATACTCACTATGTGTCACCAGTAATAAATTCCTGTGGTGGTCTTGAAATAAATATAGCAACCATAGTTATATATAGAAGGATGAAGTAACCATAGATTACCTGACCAAAAACTAGACAGTAATTAAGATAGTTTAAAATGGAATTTTATATTAATGATGTCTTTTTATATTCAAGATTTTTCTTGGTCAAGAGTGCGACATGAACTGTGGATATGAACTTTACTGTCAGATGAACATTGGAAGTGAACAAGATTTCTGCACAGAGGTTATTCGATTGTTCCTTCAAAATTTATATTAGCCTTGCAGCTGAAATTCTTGTAGTGACTTTGTAATACATATGAACTGCCCGGATATATATTTTATTTATTATAAGGGGGAATTTGCTGCAACTAGGATCTTTTTCATGAAAATCGTCAGGCAGTCACAATTTTGTTAAGATTACTAAGTGAACTTTGCTTCTATACTCACTATGTGTCACCAGTAATAAATTCCTTTGCTGGTCTTTGAATAAATATAGCAACCATAGTTATATATATAGAGGGATGAAGTAACCATAGAATACCTAACGAAAAACTAGACAATAATTAAGATAGTTGAAAATGGAATTTTCAAAGAGGTAATTCTTCGATTGTTCCTTCAAAATTTATATTAGCCTTGCAGCTGAAATTCTTGTAGTGACCTTGTAATACATATCAACTGCCCAGATATATATTTTGTTATTTAGTATAAGGGGGAATTTGCTGCAACTAGTAGATGCTAGTTTTCATGAAAATCGCAGGGAGTCACAATTTTGTTAAGATTGCTAAGTGAACTTTGCTTCTACGCTCCCTATGTGTCACCAATGATAAATTCCTGTGGTGGGCTTGGAATAAATATAGCAACCATATATATAGAGGGATGAAGTAACCATAGAATGCTTGACCAAAAACTAACAAAAATTAAGGTAGTTCAAATGGAATTTTATATTAATCATGTGTTCTTCTAAATTCAGATTTTCTCTGGTCAAGAGTGCAACATGAGCCATGGATATGAACTTTACTGTCAGATGTACATTGATTGGAAAGTGAACAAGATATCTGCACTGAGGTAATTTGATTTTGTCATGGATGGTCAGCATTTGATTTTAAAAAGCCACTACATTGTTGAGATGACAACAATGAAATTGTAATTTGCTTCTATGGTCACGATGTGTGAAACCAATGATGAAACTTAATGCTATAACAGCTGAACCAGTCTGTCTGATTACTAAAATTCCTGTGGTGGTCTTACAATAAATATCCACGAAAAAGACCAGCAATTACTATTTTAAACTTGGGAGAAATTTTTCTGATTTCCATGTGATTTATATTCTGTAGTACTCAGAGAGGTGGTACCCAGTTTTTCTGTGTTCAAATTAAATAGTGACATATGTCTGGGTTGAATATATATGCATGTGACATGTACATTCTTTTTATTGAAAATGGTAAAAATATAACTGGCATAAAACAGAATGCATTCATGAATGTATTGTCTATCCATGAAAGATGACTAAACTAAAGTAAGATAATGAGTAATATCTTTTAATAATGATGTCAGGTTGAAAATACAAACTTTGCTGCCACTTTTTGCCTAAAAGGATTGATGAAATGCTTTTTCTCTTTAGAATGAACGAAGTTGAAGAAAGTTGAAAGGCACCCCTGAAGAACCTGAATTATTTTAGCCCTATCCTAGATTCATTAATTAATATATTTTAGTGTGTGATAACATATGTGAAATGTGATCAATTATGTGACAATTTTCAAGCTTGGATTTATAAAGAGAAATTTTTCTTTGTAAAGTTTAAGAAGTAAACCTTTTTTGTCTGGTGGTGTTAGTGTTTTGATTTTGCATGTTTTTCCGTGTGCTTTCACAATTGAAAAGATTTTGACAGTTGCTTCTAAATGTTTTTTGAAAAGTTTAAGAAGAAACTTGATTTTTGCCTTGTGGTGTTTGTTTTGTTTCGATTTTGCATGTTTTTCCTTGTGCTTTCACAATTGAAAAGGTTTTGGCAGTTGCTTTTGGCTTTTTCTTATACTTATCTCTTTAATTTCTTTTTAGTATTAGTATTTTTCTAAATATATTTTCTCTTACTATTTTTTTGATGAAATTCTTTTTTTTTCTTTAGTGTTGAAGAAAGTTGAAAGGCACCCAGATTCATTAATTAATATATTTTAGTGTGAAATGTGATGAATTATGTGACAATTTTCAAAACTTGGGTTTATAAAGAGAAAGTCTTTGTAAAGTTTAAGAAATAAACCTTTTTCCTCTGATGGTGTTAGTGTTTTTATTTTGCAAGTTCTTCTGTGTGACTTGACAATTCTAAATTAAACCTCTTAGTATTTTTTAGTATTTTCTCTAAGTTAAACCTGTTAGTATTATCTTTTATTTCTCTAGTTTTTTCCTTTTTTTTCTCTAGTTTTTTTTCTCTAGTTTTTTCTTCTATTTCTCTAGTTTTTTTTCTAGTTAGTTTTTTTCTCCAGTTTTTTTTTCTAGTTTTTTTTCTCTAGTTTTTTCTTCTATTTCTCTAGTTTTTTTTTCTCTAGTTTTTTCTTCTATTTGTCTAGTTTTTTTCTAGTTAGTTTTTCTCTAGTTTTTTTTCTCTAGTTTTTTCTTCTATTTCTCTATTTTTTCTAGTTAGTTTTTTTCTCCAGTTTTTTTTTCTAGTTTTTTTCTCTAGTTTTTTCTTCTATTTCTCTAGTTTTTTTTCTCTAGTTTTTCTTCTATTTGTCTAGTTTTTTCTAGTTAGTTTTTTCTCTAGTTTTTTTCTCTAGTTTTTTCTTCTATTTCTCTATTTTTTTTCTAGTTAGTTTTTTTCTCCAGTTTTTTTTCTATTTTTTTTCTCTATTTTTTCTTCTATTTCTCTAGTTTTTTTTTCTCTAGTTTTTTCTTCTATTTGTCTAGTTTTTTTCTAGTTAGTTTTTTCTCTAGTTTTTTTTTCTCTAGTTTTTTCTTCTATTTCTCTAGTTTTTTTTCTAGTTAGTTTTTTTCTCCAGTTTTTTTTTCTAGTTTTTTTTCTCTAGTTTTTTCTTCTATTTCTCTAGTTTTTTTTTCTCTAGTTTTTTCTTCTATTTGTCTAGTTTTTTTCTAGTTAGTTTTTTCTCTAGTTTTTTTTCTCTAGTTTTTTCTTCTATTTCTCTAGTTTTTTTCTAGTTAGTTTTTTCTCCAGTTTTTTTTCTAGTTTTTTTCTCTAGTTTTTTCTTCTATTTCTCTAGTTTTTTTTCTCTAGTTTTTTCTTCTATTTGTCTAGTTTTTTTCTAGTTAGTTTTTTCTCTAGTTTTTTTTTCTCTAGTTTTTTCTATTTCTCTAGATTTTTTTCTATTTTTCTACTTAGCTTTTTTCTCTAGTTTTTTTCTAGTTTTTTTTCTAGTTTTTTTTCTCTAGTTTTTTCTTCTATTTCTCTAGTTTTTTTTTCTCTAGTTTTTTTTTTGTTTTCTCTAGTTTTTTTTCTCTAGTTTTCTCTTCTATTTTCTCTAGTTTTTTCTTTTTTTCCTCTAGTTTTTTCTTCTATTTCTCTAGTTAGTTTTTTTCTCTAGTTTGTTTTTTCTCTAGTTTTTAAAAAAGAAAAATAGAGAAATAGGAGAAAAAACTATTTAATTGTCCAATTTTTTTCCAACTATATCCCTTTTTATTTTCCAATTTTCAACTTTTTCAATGTTCAATTTTTCTTTGAAACTTATGTTTTGAAACTGCAAGGGCTTGAACCCACCACCCCCACCACCGCTCATGGACTAACCACTGTCCTAACCAACTCGGCCACTGCTGCTGGTTGTGAAAGACGACAGTTTCTTATTTTACTTAATTCTTTCTTCGACTTAGGACTTTTTAAATTTTCCAAGGCTTTGAAACTCATTGTTTTGACACTGCAAAGGCTTGAACCCACCACCGCTTATGGACTAACCACTGTCCTAACCATCTGGACCACTGCTGCTGGTGGTGAAAGACGACAGTTTTTTATTTTACTTAATCCTTTCTTCGACTTAAGACTTTTTTAAATTTTCTAAGTCTTTCACCACCGGCTATCAGTGCTGGTTAGACTTAGAATTTTTTCACCTTATCCTTACAAGTCTTTGAAATTAAATAAGAATTTGCAACTTAATTTTTGACACTGCAAGGGCTTGAACCACCAACGTCAACGGACTAACCACTGCCCTAACCCACTCGGCCACCGCTACTTGTGGTGAAAGACGAAAGTTTTTTATTTCATTTAATCCTTTCCTTGGAGACTTTAAATTAAATGGGAATTCGCAACACATGTTTTGACACTGCAAGGGCTTGAACTACCACCGTTTATGGACTAACCACTGCCCTAACCCACTCGGCCACCGCTGCTTGTGGTGAAAGACGAAAGTTTTTTATTTCATTTACTCATTACCTTGGAGACTTTAAATTAAATAAGAATTCACAACTCATGTTTTGACACTGCAAGGGCTTGAACCACCACCGCTTATGGACTAACCACTGTCCTAACCCACTCGGCCACCGCTGCTGGTGGTGAAAGACGAAAGTTTTTTATTACATTTAATCCTTTCTTTGGAGACTTTGAAATTAATAGAGGTAATACGAATTTCTGAATTTCAAAGTTTTGGAATAACGTAAAGTGCCCTTTTTCACCATTGTTTCTACCTCTAGACTATAAGCGCTTGCTAAACGCAGCGTGTTTGACTTCGTCAAGAGCAGTACGTGTTTATCATAGCAGTTATATTATTGATCTTAAGGAAAGCAAAGAGAAGGCAATGCATTTCAACCATTCATATGAGGGATTGTTGGAGCTAATGGTTACGGTGCAATGGACGACCGTCTAGGGCAGTAGCCTTAACCACTCGGCCACCGCATCCTGTGTTAATACTAGCCATAAAATAATACACTTTATTACTTGAAGGCAAAATTGACGACTTTTTTAATGTTCCAACAACCAACCAAATATGCTCTAGAATGAAAGGTATTAGTCTTAGGAAGCAATTTTTAGCATTTTAAGACAGTTTTTGAACAGTTCAAAAAATCGTCAAAATTGACCAAAATGGTAAGGGGTAACCCTTACCATTTTGGTAAAAATTGACGACTTTTTCAATGTTTCAAAAACTAACAAAATATGCTCTAAAATCAAAGATATTAGTCTTAGGAAGCAATTTTTAGCATTTAAGACACTTTTTGAACAGTTGAAAAAGTCGTCAAAATTGACCAAAATGGTAAAGGGTAAGCCTTACATTTTGGTCAAATTTGACGATTTTTCAATGTTCTAAAAACCAACCAAATATACTCTAAATTGAAAGATATTAGTCTTAGGAAGCAGCATTTTAAGACAGTTTTTGAACAGTTCAAAAAGTGGTCAAAATTGACCAAAATGGTAAGGGGTAAGCCTTACCATTTTGGTCAAAATTGGCGACTTTTTCAATGTTCCAAAAACCAACCAAATATGATCTAAAATGAAAGATATTAGTCTTAGGAACTAATTTTTAGCATTTTAAAACAGTTTTTGAACAATTCAAAAAGTCATCAAAATTGACCAAAATGGTTAGGGGTTAGCCTTACCATTTTGGTGAATTTTGACGACTTTTTCAAAGTTTTAAAAACCAACCAAATATGATTTAAAATGAAATATATTAGTCTTAAAAAGCCATTTTTAGCATTTTAAGACAGTTTTTGAAAAGTTCAAAAAGTTGTTAAAATTCACCAAAATGGTAAGGGGTAATTAATACGCCTTACCATTTTGGTCAATATTGACCAATTCTTCAACTTTTTAAAAACTGTCTAAAATGAAAGATATTAGTCTTAGGAAGCCATTTTTATCATTTTAAGACAGTTTTTGAAAAGTTCAAAAAGTCGTCAAAATTCACCAAAATGGTAAGGGGTAAGCCTTGCCATTTTGGTCAATTTTGACCACTTCTTCAACTTTTTAAAAACTGTCTCAAAATGCTCTAAAATGAAAGATATTAGTCTTAGTAAGCCATTTCTAGCATTTTAAGACAGTTTTTGAAAAGTTCAAAAAGTCGTCAAAATTCACCAAAATGGTGAGGGGTAAGCCTTACCATTTTGGTCAATTTTGACCACTTCTTCAACTTTTCAAAAACTGTCTAAAATGAAAGATATTAGTCTTAGGAAGCCATTTTTATCATTTTAAGACAGTTTTTGAAAAGTTCAAAAAGTCGTCAAAATTGACCAAAATGGTAAGGGGTAAGCCTTACCATTTTGGTTAATTTTGACGACTTTTTCAACTTTTCAAAAAGTGTCTCAAAATGCTCTAAAATGAAAAATATTAGTCTTAGGAAGCCATTTTTATCATTTTAAGACAGTTTTTGAAAAGTTCAAAAAGTCGTCAAAATTCACCAAAATGGTTAGGGGTAAGCCTTACCATTTTGGTCAATTTTGACCACTTCTTCAACTTTTCAAAAACTGTCTAAAATGAAAGATATTAGTCTTAGGAAGCCATTTTTATCATTTTAAGACAGTTTTTGAAAAGTTCAAAAAGACGTCAAAATTGACCAAAATGGTAAGGGGTAATAAGCCTTACCATTTTGGTCAATTTTGACGACTTTTTCAATGTTCCAAAAACCAACGAAATATGCTTTAAAATGAAATATATTAGTCTTACGAAGGCATTTTAAGAGAGTTTTTGAACCGTTCAAAAAGTTGTCAAAATTGATCAAAATGGTGAGGGGTAAGCCTTACCATTTTGGTCAAAATTGGCGACTTTTTCAATGTTTTAAAAACCAACCACATATGAACTAAAATGAAAGATATTACTCTTAGGAAGGCATTTTTAGCATTTTAAAACAGTTTTTGAACAATTCAAAAAGTCGTCAAAATTGACCGAAATGGTTAGGGGTTAGCCTTACCATTTTGGTCAATTGTAACGACTTTTTCAATGTTTTAAAAACCAACCAAATACGCTCTAAAACCAAAGAGATTAATCTTAGCAAATATTTGAAGCTATTTTCAGCTATTTTCGGAAGGTTCATGGAAAACGAATCGAAGCAAAGTTTATCGATGCTTGCGAGAAATATTGATAATTATACCGCATGTACCGTATATACTACTATATATGCGCGTAAGATGGAGGGTACACCGGGGGTCTGCAACCCCGTCCTCCCCTGACCCTCTCTCTTCCCTCACGCCTACGATACCCTTGCTATGAAATCATGTACATCCCTACATTTAAACCAAGTGTGTGATAAAAAAAATCTCGGTCAAATAAATTTCGTTTTTTTTAACCATTAATTGAAACAATGGAAAAGAAAGCTCTTCAAACGAGTGCCACTCCAAATTCAAGTTGTTGTTGCACTTCAAAAACCTGTTCTTATACGGTAGTGCACGTATGAGCCCAAGTCTTAATACTTCAGTGGAAATACCTCGAAAGCTACTTCAGAACCATAAGAGATCCTTGTATACTGTTGAAATTCGTCATCAAGACACATACGAGAGATATTTGGGTTGAAACACTATATTCCCCTTTTTAGGGCGTGCACGCTGTTGTGTTGTGACATACTTCAGGTGAAGAAAAGTCAGAATCTAGAAATTCACTATCATTAATTACTACTTAAACTATATGAAAAAGGATATATTTGAAAAGTTAAAAGTCACACGGCATGCTAACAACATTACACAGCTATAAGTTTCCTTTCAAGCCTAATGCCAAAAGGCTCACTGATACTCATTGAGTGGTGAAAGTGCTTTCTTTTAATGAATGGGATAAGTTTTAGATAAAAACGCATAGTTGTTATGCTATTGGAAAAACCGTCATTGAATCGTTCTGAGATGATTGACATCTCCCACCCAATGAGGATGAACGAGCTTTTAAAATACAGATGTAAATTACTGATCTGGCCATATTTTGCCCAGGAAAATCATACATTAATTATATCGAAGCTATAACTATATATTCATTTTACCATGGAGTACCTATAGAATAATCTTATCTGAAACTAAGAAATGAAAAGTTACGTTAAATTATTCACAAATACATCATTACATTAATCTTTCCATCCCATCAACTGCTGTTGATAATGGAACGAAAAACACAAGAGACCCATTAAACACACAACGTGTTTCACAGCGTTTACTAACTAAATTAAAACCTTTTTAAGTATAATTAATATTGGTTTCTACACCAACTAAACCTAAATTTAGCTGTATAATGGGGGTGTATATTAATTAGTTTAGTCAAGTAGAAATAAACACAGTTAAGTATTGCGATCAATTAATGTTAAGGGCTTCTTGCAGAGTCCAGACAATTCCACTTTTCCAGTTGCTGCTAGAAAAGGTGCTTAAGAAGAAAGGGATTTTGTATATGATAAAAACTAGACCTGCATATTTGCCGATCTGTTCACAGGATCTAATTTTGTTGGATCCAGTTCCAATTTAAACAAACATTCGGTTTAATTCTAAACCACGTGAAGCACGATTATTAAACCCAGAAAACGGTCACCTTTATAACAAACATGAGCAGTTTGGATCAAGTTTGCTAAATGGTGTGTGTGTGTAAATAACTGTGTTCGCTTTCAACGCAACTAACTCGAAAACGTCAAAAATTATGTTTTACATTTTTTAAAAATACTGTTTGCGACCCTAGGGCCTTTCACCAATTTTATAGCATCAACAATCATCTTTCTTCCAACTTTTTTGCCAACGACCAGATATCTTCTGCTGGACTTTGCTTTGATTAGTAACTTCTTACAACTACACTTTTTTTTATGGGATAGATGTAGTCTTTGTAGAGCTCCTGACTTTAAGGTTTTTTTTACTCCTTTCATTTGACGTAAGATACGAGAAAAGATGGTCACATCGATTTGATCTTTCTTCCCTCTTGCTCTTACTCTCTTGACCGAAGCGGTGAACACTAGAACAGCAAGAATGTTTATGAATAAATGGCTACACAGTCTGTAAGTTAGGGCACTGTGTACGTGAGTAATTTTAGTAGTTAGACGACAAAAAAGAATAATGGAAGTGCTTTTGTGCGTCCCTTATGCCAATTTTTTCGGAGGATTACCACAAACAGGAACCTAAATAAACTAATCAGGAACTTAGCACGTTTACCGAGTAAAAAGCATATACATATCTATATTATCCAGTTTTAAAGCAGAATGTCAATGATAAACATTGCATGAACTATCGCATAAACTTAGGCTGCTCGAAAATGTTGTTTTTTTATGGCGACATCCTGATTTTTATGAATTTTTTCAGATGAAATATTCTTCTAAGAGTCGTGTGATGACATGAAGCGTTTCTAATTCCAAGCGTCACTTACGTAAGGACCATCTCTAAGCTGTCAAATTCAGCACAGAAGTTTTGGAAGCTTTCCCATGCTTTTGAAGTGTGAGAGTGCTTAAGCCGGAACAGTTCTTTTCAAATGGCAGATTGGAATTTCGATGTTTCTCTAGACAATTCTTAATCAAGTATATGGATTTCAAAAGCTATCGAAAGCTATGAACGGACTGAACCGTATCGCGGGATCGATAAGACATGATCTTCGCAGACAGAAGAACAGTTTACAATTGACAAAGCAATCTCGCTGTAAAGTTTGAGTTGAGGCTCAAAAATTTAATTTAGATTACTGAGGTTTCCTTGCGCAGTAGTTAGTTTAGTTTACTGTAGTAACACTGGATCAATAAGAGATGATCCTTACTGGACCTCTAGGAAAAAGAGTTTAGAACTGATAGAGCTATCCAGTATAAATAAAGTTAGTTTAGTTTAGGTTTTCTCCTGTAGTAACACTGGATCAATAAGAGATGATCCTTACTGGACCTCTAGGAAAAAGAGTTTAGAACCGATAGAGTTATCCAGTATAAATAAAGTTAGTTTAGTTTAGGTTTCCTCCTGTAGTAACACTGGATCAATAAGAGATGATCCTTACTGGATCTCTAGGAAGAACACTTTAGAACTGATAGAACTATCCAGTATAAATAAAGTTAGTTTAGTTTAGGTTTCCTCCTGTAGTAACACTGGATAAAAAAGAGATGATCCTTACTGGATCTCTAGGAAGAACACTTTAGAACTGATAGAACTATCCAGTATAAATAAAGTTAGTTTAGTTTAGGTTTCCTCCTGTAGTAACGTACACTGGATAAAAAAGAGATGATCCTTACTGGACCTTCAGGAAGAACAGGTGAAGACTGTTATACTGATAGCTATCAAGTATAAATGGAGTAAGATTAGACTTATCTACACTTCCTTCCTTGTCAGACCGCATGCATTTCGTGTCTCTCAAGTGTCTTGAGTAGGGCATGCGTGTAGACAATCTTCTTACTGCACTTCAAAACACGACTACCCCTCCAGACGAAAGCATTTCAAAATTGTTTTCAAACTGGGTTATGACTCTCAAATCACTCAGCGAACCGTAACGCACATACTGAGAGTAATTGACGAATTAGCAACTGTCGTTCAGAACATGTTTCTATCAAATGCATTCAGACATTGTTAACATTGTTAATTGGTAGTTGTTAACCGGCAGACTATTTGAATTCAAAACAAGTCTAATTATCTACCTCATTAACAATAAATTAAGTAGAAGCCGAGAGACCTCTTAGTATAATCTAAACTTTAAACTATATAGGTTCTCGGTGTAACGCAGTGAGTGGCCTTTAGCCCGTTTCCACTGGCGAATTTATTCGCGCGAACGGATAAAAAGTAGGAAGCGATTCTACTTTTTCGCGGCGAGTTTTTTTTGAAAACCAATCGTATCACCGGATTTCAGATATCGCATCGGGTCGCCGCAAATAAATTCGCGAAGTGGAGAACGGGCTTTAAAACTAAGGCCTCTGTCGCCGATTCTCATTGTTGATATTTTACACTGCTCAATGTTGGGTGAAGTATAGACTTGAAATCACAAAGTCTATTTAGTAAACTCAATGGTTTAGACTTCAAATTAACCTCATTGTACAGGGTATAGCTTTGGTAATCTTAAAATACAAGTTTTAATGCTGAGTTCTTAGTGGTCTATATAGTCGGTTTAAATTAACGATTAAACCTATGCAGTGTAGGAAGTGATCTTGAGTCTAGAATCTAGTGACTTCGAAATATTCCACGTCAATAAAGGTAATGAATGTTGCACGAAAAACGTTCAACATCAACTCGCAACGCAACAATGTTTTAATTTTGAAGAAGGTTTACTCGTCGGAACTAGTTTGTAACACAGAAATTGTTTTGGAAACAAGTTGAAAGTTTATGAACTGTTTTTATTCCACATAACAACATTGTTGTTTAGATTTTTGCTTAGTGTTGCGTTGCGTTGCGAGTTGATGTTGAAAGTTGTTTCGTGTATCATTACCTTAAGGATGGATTGCTCAATGTTTACACTATTGTTAAAACTTCGATAATTTACTTTCAGTTAAAAACATGTTTTTTGTTGAAGCTTCGATTTAAACTGCACGTCTTCATCAGTCTAACACTTTTATTATCAACCCTTTTGGTTACAAAATTTTAAGACTCAAATATCTATAATCTCCTTAAAATCTTAAGATGTTTCCGGAAAAAAAAATTATCAAACCCTATATAGGAAAGGTTTACCTTATAGAGATTTTTCATGAAACCTTATAAGGTCAAACAAAAATGTCTGCCATTGAAACGCTAACCAATACATATCATTCATAATTCTTAAGATGGTTTTAGATTGTTCATTCATTGAGGATCGTATCGATTGTTGCCCGTTATAAGTACACTAGTTCACGAAATATAAGGAAAGGAAACTGATCGAATAATCATTTCTCCCTTAAAAGTTTACAACCTTGTTTATGAGTATATATCAAACTTACCGAAAGGACTTGTGGAGATGAGATTGCACAGTGTCTTGTGAGACATTCTACACGGACAAGGGATCTCTGTGAGGAAAAAACGAAAATAATTTTAGGGCGAATTCCACTGATTGATAGAATAGTTTTATTATCTGGCCCGGTGCATATTCCTCGCTTGGATTAGAACTTAAAACTAACCTGGAGTTAACCTTAAAGTTAATTTATTTTAAGAGCAGTTTTCGAGGTAAAATTCATCCTTCAAACCGGATGATATTAATTCAATTCGAAGGCAGCTTTTGATGTAAATATCGTTAAACAGAATATAGACGAAAGATATAGACCTAATCGTTGGAACAGCTGAAATGATAGACAAAAAATAAAATGAGAACATACATGCAGTAATTCAATCTTAGAAAACTTACTTTTTCCACTGCCAAAAATTCGTGTGTTCATACACATCGATGATGAGGAATCGTTGTAAAATTTCCTCCGTTCATTGCAATCGAACGTCGCTGGCCACGAACGGTTGTGTTGAAGCATCAAAGGCTCACAGGAGTTGCGAACGCTCTCGCACAATGATTTACACGGAGGCACGCGGTGTTTGGGGATGCAGACTGGTGCGTAGGTAAGACAGAGGAATAGCGTCAACTGATCCCCTGAATTGCAACTGGAATTCAACAAAGGTTTCCATACGTCGATATCCTTAAGAACGTCAAAGCGTCGTGTGTGATTCAACATGTTCGGCAGTCGCATTTTGGTATATGCCCCATTGAGGCCTTTACACATACGTGGGATTGCAAGGTGACATTCGTTTTGTTTCTGGACGGAGGCATAACTCACGGAAATGGCGAAGAACGATAGCATATAAATATTCATCGCGATTTGATCTCTAGAAACACACTTCCTTCGCTTCGTGTTCTTCAACTGCAGTATCAGTTTATATGATCGCCAAGTCTCGTCTGAATGTTCTCGACTTGTCAAAGTTCCTTGAACGGGAATACAACCTTCAAACTTTGAACAACGAACGCTCCAATTTTTATCTTTTTGCTCGCGTGAACAGCAAAAGTGATCAGAAATCGCTTGCTCGAACTTTCTAGTCTGAAGACGATGTAACCAGCTCGCTTGGCAAATCAGAACTGCTTTGCTCAGGTCAACATTACTTTTTAATAGCCTGCCGTTTCAAGCTATGCTGTTAGACAATCTATATTGCGACAATAGGATTAATTCTTATAGTTTTTTTCAACGCGTCATAATGCTAATTGGTTTACAGAATTACTGTCAAAACAGAACGCATTTGCGTTGTTAAGGGTCGGTTTTCACACGTTTTTTGGGCCATAAATCTGTCATAATCCGATAGAGATAATGTACAGATCAAACACAATCTCAGAACAGCTGATGGCTGGGTAAAATTATTACTAGTTGAACACGAACAACAGATTGCGTTGAACCCAAGTTTTAACACTTGCGAGAACCCGGCAAATTAAACGAGCTATTCTCGCAATAATTTTTCAATCAGTCATCGGATGGAGTTTCCTTTATACAAAGAAAACAATTAGCGCCATTATTTTACTTTCACACCCAAAGTCAAACTAGCTAACCCAAGGCGTTTAAAACCACCCAGGTGGAAGCCTATATAAATTATGATAACTGTATCGTGCGCTATCGTCTTAAACTAGTAACTCAGACTATTTATGTCAAAAGTAAGATAAGCCTATTTTTACACGACTTACAGTTTTATCACTATATCTTGAGCTTTTTATCTTTTGCTTTTTACACACACACACACACACAAACGACGCGCTTTTTAAAACGACATTGACATTGTTAAGGAATAATACTAATAGCAGACACATGGCATCCTGATTAGACTAATTTGAAGGCAGGATTTTCAAAGGATGTTTTTGAAAGTGATATAATCCTCACTGCTAAACGAGCGCTTGGCAAGTCGTTAGGCCATTAGGTTCATTAGAATATGGGATAAAATTTTACCGAGGACTGTTTTTAAGTAACCAACAGGAAGAAACGTATTATTGTTGTCTATTGGAAGACACAGCCAACAGTTGGCAGGCATACACGTCTATACTCGAAATAGTCTAGGAAATCATACTGAACCGTTCTTTCAGTTCTCAAGTGTCCCTTCTACAAGTCCAGTGTTTCATATTACCACCATAAATGTAAACTATTTTTGTAACGGATGACAGTTTAAACAGTTGTAAACTGTTCTTCCTATTGTGGCCAGGAAAAAAAATGTTATTGATGTGATGAAATTACAAGAGGAAATAGAATATCTTCTATCACGTCAGTCTGTATGTTTCTTCCACTAAGTATCATCTCTTATTGACCCAGTGTTACTTCAGGAATAAACCTAAACTAAACTAAGTTTATTTACACTGGATAGCTCTATCAGTTCTAAACTGTTCTTCCTAGAGGTCCACTAAGTATCATCTCTTATTGATCCAGTGTTACCACAGGAGGAAATCTAAACTAAACTAACTTTATTTACACTGGATAGCTCTATCAGTTCTAAACTGTTCTTCCTAGAGGTCCAGTAAGGATCATCTCTTATTGATCCAGTGTTACTACAGGAGGAAACCTAAACTAACTTTATTTACACTGGATAGCTCCATCAGTGCTAAACTGTTCTTCCTAGAGGTCCAGTAAGGATAATCTCTTATTGATCCTGTGTTACTACAGGAGGAAACCTGAACTAAACTAACTTTATTTATACTGGATAGCTCTATCAGTTCTAAACTGTTCTTCCTAGAAGTCCAGTAAGGATCATCTCTTATTGATCCAGTGTTACTACAGGAGGAAACCTAAACTAAACTAACTTTATTTATACTGGATAGCTCTGTTCTAAACTGTTCTTCCTAGAGGTCCAGTAAGGATAATCTCTTGTTTAAGTGTTACTACAGGAAACCTAAATTAAATACAAACTAATTAATCTTAGTTATTCTTGATGTCTCTATCAGTTGTAAAGTGTTCTCTCTAGAGGCTTCCGCACCAGTGTCATATCCTTATTCATTCAAGTGTTACTAGACAGAGTTTAGATAATAAATATGACGTTTGGCCAGCTCAAGTGCTCGCCTCAGTTAGCAACAACAAATTGTTGTGTTGTAGTGATAATCTGTAGTTTCGCGTGAAAGATCCCTAATAATGAACATATCACTTCTTCACCTGATGCAAAGAATCAACTTTCCCATACACTTGGAAATAACATCTTCTTTGTTCCAAGCCGACTGATGTCAGCATTCTCAAAGAATGGCATATTGCCATGGTAATCATGAAAATTGTAACAAAAAGTGCTATGTAGCCGTTTCAAAAAGGCCCAACACCTTCGTGTTCAACCAGCCTGCTACATTCAACATCCAGTCTACATATACAGATCATGAACCAGACACAAGGACACGGCTTTAGTCTCGTTGACAAAATTTTCATTGGTAAACATTAAGCGTTAAACTCGCATAAATTTGGAATTTAGGAAGATAAATGTTACGGTGAATGTTTCTCGACAGAAGATTAAATGTTAATTTCTGTTTAAGTTGACAGAAAATGTTTTTGAGTGAACTTTTATCTTCACTCAGCTACCTCCTCCGCAGGCCCTTTTCGGGCAAATATGGCGGGTGGTGATCACTCAGTATAGCCTCGTTTTTACGCGAGATTCCAGCACGTTTTTTACACAAATGGGCTGGGGCTGAGAGGCCTGTCAAAGCATTCACTCACTCGAGTTCGACGACGAAGCGTGAATATGCGAGGTGCTTAAATAACCTGATAAACGCAGTGCATTTTTCATCAAGACAATTGCTAGTTTGGTTTCACGATGAAATATGTGAATATCTCAAAATCATTTCACTCTTCCTTGAATCCTTAACATACCGATATCACGCAATCAAGCCCCCAGTAACAATTACGATGCGCTGGGGGGGAGAGGAGGGGAAGGAGGGGAGGGGAGGGAGGGGGGAGCTGCTATACTGAGACAGACATAGGCAAAAGTGAATAAACTCCAAATCCCATCAACATAATGGACGGATTAAATGTATTTTGGTGGTTCTTGAGAAATATATTCAAAGGAGTGGTGTTTGCTAAAAGTCTTTTCCGAACAAAAAGAAACGAGCAGAAATTGGGGGGGAGTTATACGGTCGGACCCAAGTCTTGTGTTTGAAAGTAAAAATTGGCCTCAGGTTAGCAGAGACGCCTTTGTTATGTCGAGACAGCCTTTGGTCTATTTTAGTTCAATAGTATAACCAAATCAGCCAATCACATCCCTAGGTCACATCCTGTATCAACCCCTATAGTATACCGTCATGCATCAGAAAAGTGGTTCAGAGGGAAGGATTGGACATGGAAGGATGTTTAAGAACATTTTGCAATAATCTTCTCGTCGCTGTACATTTATATCCATTCACTTCCCTTGCGTTGTGGGCCCCAGTCCACCACCGTCTTGATCAGAACCCTCTCCCTTTTCAACGTTCTTCAAAAGTCGAAAGAGAGCCGCAGCCTCCCGTATTCTGCTGAAGTCAATGCAGAAGGCCTGAACGTCTATGTAGATGTCCTGAAACACAAAAAAATCTCGCACTAAATCTCGCTCTTAAAATTTGACGACAATTGAAAAACGAGGTAGAGAACAGTAGTGAGAGTTCTTTTTATCAGAGTCAGGTCTAAAAACAGCCACAATACCTTGACATCGATGATCTTATTGCGAATAAGTGATTGAAGGAACACGCATACCTAGAAAGAAATGTTTCAGGATTTTAAGTGCGAGGTATTCTACAACAAAATCCTTATCAACGTAAAAATCTCCAAAAACAACACGCAATAAGTAGGCAATCAAAACGACGAGCACACACCAAGGCACCACCATCAAATAACTTATAGCTTATAGATACCACAGCCCACCAAAAACCACACCCAGACACAACACTGCAACATCATTCCTTCACACTGAGGACCACACCCAGACACCCCACCCAGACACCCCACCCAGACACCCCACCCAGACACCCCCCCAGTCACAACACCGCGACATTGCTCCTTGACGCCGATGCCCCCCCCCCTGGTCCCAACACTGCGACATCACTCCTTGCCCTGTTACCCCACCACACCCAGACACAAATCCACAACATCACTCCTTCATGCTAATCTCCCCACCCAATCACAACACCACACCCAGACACTAATCTCCCCATCCAGTCACAATACCACACCCGGACACTAATCTCCCCATCCAGTCACAATACCACACCCGGACACTAATCTCCCCATCCAGTCACAATACCACACCCAGACACTAATCTCCCCATCCAGTCACAATACCACACCCGGACACTAATCTCCTCATCCAGTCACAACACCACACCCAGACACCCAATACAACTCCTCAACCTTAATTCACTTGTTTTCCACAAATCACAGAGTTAAGCCAACCTACCAGACGAACTAATCTGTTCTGCATGTATTTGTCTTTGATATTTTCACAAGAAGAGATGCAGTTGGAGATGTAAAGATGAATGAACTCTTGCGGCAGATCAACAGCCTGAAAAAATTCATGGATGCAACACAATTTAGTGTTGCAAAAGGGACAACCACTGTCAGTTTTTCTGACTGTTTATTTATTGCGACAAACCGTTGTTAGTCTGTTGACAACTTCCATTGAATGCAGTGACATTTCCATATTCACAAGAACTGAGAAATACCTTGTTGGAAAAATACATACGGTTTTATTCATACAGCCTGCATTGCATAATCTGACTACAAAATCAAGGTTCTTACTCAGTGATTTGATTGGACTGCACAAGTTTCAGCAGGACTTCGATGGCAACTAGAGGATTACTTTCAACCAACTCTGGTAACTAAATATATATATTGTAAAACAACTTCAAAAAAATGGTCAAAATAATTTTGAAAAGTCTTTCTCAGATACATTAAATTGTTGATCATTTCTTAGTAGTTGAGACACAATTCAGCTCATTGTAGAATACTACCTAAACTGGACCACCACGTTTGAGATATCTTTTTCAGGTAGTTCAGACACAAACCATGACAGGTTATTGTAGAATACTACCTGCACTAGACCACCACATTTGAGATATCTTTCTCAGGTAGTTTAAGCACAAACTATGATAGCTAATACTATACACACCTTGCTAGGTGTAAGACCAATCCGATAAACAAAGTTTGGGTCATTTTCAAATTCTGCAAGAACTTCCTGTTGTTGTTGCAATGTCAAACTGGTATTAAATGCTTTTGCCATCAACTGATGTACTTCAGAACCTTAAGAATCAAACATGACTAAGTTTTGTACGACTGCCATAGCCTTAAAGCCTGATATATATAGTGCTCTAGGAATACATACCAGAGTTATTCGAAGCGCACATTGATTTGTCCCACTCAATTTTTGGCTTCTCTTCTTGTGGATTCATCCACACAAACTAAAGTAAAAAGCAACGATACAATGATGTTCTTAACAAAATCTTGCTTGCTGAAAGATTTAATTTCAATTTCCTACCTCATCTTCACAGTGGTATAAAGGTGGAGCAATTCTTATAAATTGCGGTTTAAAAGACATTTCACTTGGGGCATGTTCCCCTGAAACATGAGATACATTAATTTTCCAATGGGTCTTGATTTTTTTAATAAAAAATAAAAAACTTAGAAGTCTCACCTGTGACAAGAGTCTCTGCGATTTGCAGAACAGAAGAACGGTCAAACCCTGGACTAAAATGGAGGAATATAAAGATCAACTCATAGTCTAGTGTAGATGTAAATCACAGGCTTTATTGTTTGAGCCTTGCACAGGAGTACCAATGTAAGTAATCCTCGTACCTGTTATCATGATCCGGGTCACCAATAACTGCAGATAATCCTGACTTAACAAGATGTGACAGAGCTGAGTGTTGTTGCGAAAGACTGGTCTGAATCATACTGATATCATTAAGCTATAAAATATGAAAAGTCAGACAAATTCTACTAAAAGTAAATATCATATCACATTTGAAAAAGGCTTGATATACCTGGGCACCTGTAACATCCATGATCAGAATCTGCCGAGGAGTTTTCTTCAACAGCTGATGGTGAAAAATGGATGTGTTTGAAATTTTCAGCAAACAAACCTTTAAACGTAAGATGAATCTCAAGGAAATATTACTTACGTCCTTGGTAGGGGATGTGAGCAGTTGAGACAAAAATAATCTTTCTGGTGATGAAAGAATTGGTAGACTGTTCAGTGGGGTGTAGTTCTCATCATTTACTTGACTGCTCTGGAAAGAAATTTCATAAACATTCTCATAAACATTCAAAGCAGGAAAGATGCTTGAAAGTTGAGCTGTGTGCACTTACCAGAAGCTGCAAAAAGAAGGGCACAAATGGATTGTTTTGCGGAGGCTCAGACTTGTACATTTCGTGCAGTAGAAACAGTATTGAAATTCGCTGACTGTGGGCAGGTAAGAGATCTGGTTGTTGAAGAAGAAGCATCTGTAAAATATGTATTTACACATGGTTCATAGAGAGCAATTGTTGAAGGTGGGTGGCAGTGACCATGATTCATATTTGTTCTGACAGTCCTTGAGTTGAGAAGACTATAGTTATAGACTTAAGGTATATCTGATGAAATAAATCTCGCAGATTACCGGTGGGTGCAGATTACTGGTGACTGGTGTATTACCGTGTATTACAGTGTAAACAGCCCTTGAATAACCTTACCAATGATGAACCAACTCTAAAGTGATCCTGTCTTTGAAAAGCGTGATGAAAAGTGGACGCAATTCCTTCAAACGACGACTGAGAGAGATTGTCCTCAGAGAGTATACTAGTAGAAGTGGAAAGGAATATGTGAATAGAAATATTCATGCATTTTAAGCAATTTAAAAATTTTGACATACCCAAGTAATAACGAGAGCTCCTTTGATGATAAAGCCATGATTTTGAAACGATCAATCTTCTGAGTACCTCGATACAGTCAAACTAGCCAAAATAAGCCGAAGATCGGCAAAATAAAAACATACTTCGATTGTGAATCTCTTCTTTTAATCCGCCATTTTGGGGGCCATTCCCAGTCCTCTTCTCGCGCAGGTTTCGTCAGTTTTCTGGTAAAGTTTCCGCATTGACCAATGACAATCAAGTCTCTTTACACGATTCCACCAATAGAATGCCAGATTCAGAACAATATCACTATCGCAGCATAAAAAGCAACAAAATATCTGATAGTGTTTATTGTCACTGAGAAGGTCTCCCGTTTCCGTATGGAAAAAAGCTAACAGCTGAAGATTCGTGGGTGGGTCAGTGGACAGAGTTGCACTTCCAAAGTAAAAACATCGTCGAGCCATTATCTATAAGCGATAAATTCTAGGGGAGGCTCCCATCCCTCCCCCGTTGCCCAAGACTTACCCCACCCCTCTCTCCTTGTCCCTGTGCAACAAGCTAATCTTTCACTTTATAAAACAACCAAATAACAGGTATGTTTGTTTTTCCAAGCTGTTTACAAAATATAGCGATGTTGTTTGTTGGAATGAAAAGGCGCAACCATAAACTAAAAGTAAACAGGATTTTCTTTTCTTTTCAATTGCTGTGTTATAATGATATCTTGCAAGCAGGATGAAACGTCTTGAAACGTTCAAAGGCCGGATACATTTATTCGTCGCATCTGTAGTTAAACCATCACAGCGACGATTGGTAATTTACTTCTAGAAGACGTACTCTTGTCAAAGGGTAAGGTTGTGATGCGAGCTTCAACAAGGTCGAAATGTCGAGGAGATTTTTAACAAAATTATTGCGAGGGGAAGCTAGTTTCGAAACAAATTTCCCAACCTCAAAACAACAAAACTTTTAGGGTCCATTTAGGCAGGATTGATATAATGATATTTGTAGTTCTTTATTCTGATTTTTCATCTTTTTAAAATAATAAAATTGACAAGTCAACTTAGTCAAGAGCAGTAATGCACTTAGAGCCACATATTGAAAAGAATTCAAAACATTTTTAAAACTTTTCAATTCCAATCCATCCAGGCATACATATAATATTTTTTCATATTTTATTTTTAGAAATTAATCTGAGATGCGATTGTTACAAATCACTGGATTCTTGCTCATTTGTCTAGCGTTCATTGTTGAACAGATGAGCGCAGTTGATGAGATTTTAAATGTACGTTGTTCCGTCTTTTCTCGCGTGTTGAATGGCCGCAGACTATGATCAGATCTTTAGTTTATAAATTCAACTCTATTTAGGATCGAGGGTTAAGAGAAAACACATGTCGAAATTTAGCCAAACAGTAAGTTACTATAAGATATTTAATTTGTTACTTCGTATATTCAAATACGAGGAGAGGTCTCTGACTCGCTCGTGTGTAAACGGACCATACTGGCATACCATACCTGGAACACCACACCACACCATACAGGCATACCATACCATACCATATAACCACACACCATACATACTGCACTATACATGGAACACGACACCATACAGGCATACCATACCATACCACACACCATACATGATGCACCATACACCACACCATCATATCTTACCAACACCGATCCCTGACCGCAGTACATACCATACCACACAAGTATCTCGCCATACCATACTTCAACATAAATTCAACATTATCAACCGTTTCATTTTAGATTAACCACACGAGAATCAAACCAAAAAGACATCAATTTTTTCAAACGGTGCATCGTAGACTATTTCAGCTTCAGAGTGGGTCCCCGGATGATATACACCATACCAACAATCAATCTTCGCCAGTTTTTCAACCCCAAAGGACCTGCATACATAAAAACAATTGCGAAAAGAATAGAACGTTTCTTTATACGAAATGGAAATTGGGACAAGATACTGAAGAATAAAGATATTTACGACCGAGAAGAGAATTGTTTAAATTTGTTATATATCACTGCTGCAAAGTATGCGTATGCCTTGTACGTTCTTAACACTTTAACAAACAGATTAGGATGTCTGCCGTGTATAAAAAGGAATAACATTTACTCACTGCGGAGTTTCAGCGGAGTTTGTTTTATAAAACCAAAGGATTTGACTTGTGGTGGTATTTTAGAGCTCAGTTTGCTTGGACATAAATCGGGATCGCTCACAACGCTATTCAATCAGTTTTTTACAGAGCCCATCGGTCAGGATAGAACTGTACCCGGGTTTAAGAAGGAGCCCGCTATACTGATGGGTCTGCGGATTTCTGCCTTCAGCCTGGAGAAGGTGTTACCCAAGCTGTTCAGAGGTCCCAGTTATTTTTATAACTTGATGCTCACAAACGCTGTGAAAAAAATGAAAGAAAATATACAAATGAAAATGCTGTCGGTGGCAGTTGCAATATTTAGGATGAAACCTTACAGTGGAAAATTCTTCAATGAATTGCTCAGTGATCAGAGTCCATTACGTGCACAGATCTATCTTGCGAAAGCTTTTCAATACTGGAGCGTGGAGCTGGCATTATTTGCTTCCAAGATTAAAAGTTTTATGAAATCACCACATTATAGCTACGAGTTGAACTACCGTCGTCGCCACAATATCGCGTATGAATTGATCACAGGAAGACTAGAGAATAGGGGTGAGTGTATTGTTCTTCTGATACAACGACTCTTTCTTGTTCTTCCCTTTCAGTTCAGACACAAACCACGACAACTTACTGTAGAATACTACCTACACTAGACCACCACGTTTGAGATATCTTTCTCAGGTAGTTCAGACACAAACCACGACAGCTAATTGCAGAATACTACCTACACTAGACCACCACGTTTGAGATATTTTTCTCAGGTAGTTCAGACACAAACCACGACAGCTTATTGCAGAATACTACCTACACTGGACCACCACGTTTGAGATATCTTTCTCAGGTAGTTCAGACACAAACCACGACAGTTTATTGTAGAATACTACCTACACTGGACCACCACGTTTGAGATATCTTTCTCAGGTAGTTCAGACACAAACCACGACAGCTTATTGTAGAATACTACCTACACTGGACCACCACGTTTGAGATATCTTTCTCAGGTAGTTCAGACACAAGCCACGACAGTTTATTGTAGAATATTACCTACACTTGACCACCACGTTTGAGATATCTTTCTCAGGTAGTTCAGACACAAACCACAACAGTTTATTGTAGAATACTACCTACACTGGACCACCACGTTTAAGATTTCTTCTTTAGGTTGTTCAGACACAAACTATGATAGCTAATATTATATATATTAAACGTTTTTGCCATTAACTGAATGATGCACTTAACCTTAAGAATCAAACATAACTAAGTTCAGACACAAACAACTATTGGTTGGACCGAAACCAAATATATTATTTTCTTTCAGGTCTTCCGCCGGACTGGATAAGTAATTTGGCTGAGCATGCGATTTGTCTGATTTACAACGTTCCTGCATATCTTACACCAGGAGCTGTACATCACTCTGTCATTATGGAAATGTATAGTTCAGACAGGAGAATTGTAAATACGTACGCACCAGATGTGGAAGGCTATTGGCAATCTATGCTGGAGAACTGGGCAATCGCCAATCGGGTGTATTGGAAGGAATGCGTTGAGAACAAGTTATTGATAAGACCGTGTCTGCTGAGAATGAGTAAATCACTCCATCTTATGCTTGATGCAATGACAAAGGTGATTTATGATAAGATTTATGACAAAGACGGTTAGGAATGTATAAAATTCGACATATATAAATGCAGTAAGATCGCACAGCATGATAGAGCATGTATCATCAAGTGTGCCATATCATCAAATTATATGCAATCTTTTCTATTTTTTAGTCAAGATTGAAGCTGAAAAAGATTAAAAGAGCAATTGGCGGTGAAATTATGGTTGATTTTAAAGACGTCGCGGAAATCACGAAATCCTGGGTAAAAAACTACCGTGATAAAGGCCATTTCAGGCTCCCAACCGTCAAGTCATCCTGTGGACGAGTTAAACCACACCTGGTCCGCAAACGACCCTTCTTTATGACGTCACAATCCCACGATGATTTCCCAGAGTTGCGAGATTCGGAGAAGAAACTGCCCAGGGAACTGGTCAACATCACTAGGCGAAAACAGCTGGATGAACATATTAGGGGCTCGGCTGAATTAGAAACTGGAAACCTGGAACGTTTGAGAGAAGACGAGCCCCTGGACGAAAATATCGAGGGCTCGATCAACGGTAATGTGAATAGAGTTAAGAAACCGCTGGATAACGCAGGCATTACAGGAATGGAAAAGAATGGACTGCTGAACGAGAACACTGAAGGCTCGCATCAAACTAAACCGCTGGACGAAGTTCTTAATGACTTCGACGACTCGGATGCAATGAAATTACTCACCGTTGATGCGGCAAACGGACTTAGGAATGATATTGACGAATCGCGGGAGATAAAACCACTGGACAGAATTAGTAAGCCAGGGGGCTCGCAAGAAGGAAAAAATTACGACGATGAGCAGAATTTGTCGGGTGTTTACGAGACCAGTCCACTGACACCGGATATTCTGGATTTGGATGAAGACGAAAAATCGCTAACACGCACTACCCAATCGGAGGTAAGGCCAGTATATGTCACACTTGAAGCACCGGCTGAACCCCCTGTCAGTAGAATGTTATCAGATGACGATATGGAGAGGCCACTGGACGAAAAAGAAAAAACTGCGGACGCATCTATTGCAGAATCAGATTCAGAGAAAACTACGGACTCCACAATGGAAACACTACCAGAAAATGCTGATTCAGAGAAAACTACGGACTCGACAATGGGAACACTACCAGAAAATGCTGATTCAGAGAAAACTACGGACTCAACAATGGGAACACTGCAAGAAAATGCTGACATGTCAATGACCAAACCACATGACATTAACAATGAAGAAATGTCAGCGGACGACGATATCCAAGAAACTAAAGACTCAGCGATGACAGAACACGTTGACAAAGATACTAAGAAGACTGTCCGTTTACAAACAATGAAACCGCTGGATAAAGATATTAAACATACTGTCGGCTCAACAATGGCAGAGCAGCTTGACAGAGATACTACAGAGACTGGCGGTATACAAACAACAGATAAAGATTTCGAAGAGACTGTCGGCTCACAAATAACAAAACCGCTTGACAAAGAGACTAAAGAGACTGTCGGCTCACCAACAACAAAACCGCTTGACAAAGATACCAAAGAGACGGTCGGCTCACCAACAACAAAACCGCTTGACAAAGAGACCAAAGTGACTATCGGCTCACCAACAACAAAACCACTTGACAAAGAAACCAAAGAGACTGTCGGCTCACCAACAACAAAACCGCTTGACAAAGAGACCAAAGAGACTGTCGGCTCACCAACAACAAAACCGCTTGACAAAGAGACCAAAGAGACTATCGGCTCACCAGCAACAAAACCGCTTGACAAAGAGACCAAAGAGACTGTCGGCTCACCAACAACAAAACCGCTTGACAAAGAGACCAAAGAGACTGTCGACGCACCAGCAACAAAACCGCTTGACAAAGAAACTAAAGGCTCACCAACAAAACCTCTTGACAAACAAACTGACGGCTCACCAACAACAAAACCACTGGATAGCAAAGTAACATTTGGATCGACAATTTCAAAGTCGTTAAAAGGTAACGTCAAAAAGACGACAGACACAGAAATTGAAGATGAACTGCAAGAGGATGATTTCCCAGAACACCCAGCGACGGAGGTTCCCTTCATTCTGGAGAAAACCGAGCAGAAAAAATTAGGGACACTCAAGAAACAACCAAAATTTGTAAGTTTCTTTCGGAGAAGAAGGTTTGGTTCCAGGGCTTTCAGTAGGCGGCGTTACCGCATATACGTTAGTCGAAGAAGAAGGAGTGGTAGTTTCACTCGAAGAAGAAGAAGTAGTTTTACTCGAAGAAAGGGAGTTCGTGTCAAAGGAAAAAAGACATCTTCAAGTTGTAAGCGTCTGCCTGATGAAACAAAGAACATTCGCAAATTTTTAATGAAATTCAATTGCCACGTCGGGGTAGAAATTTCAAAGATGGCGCTCACGGAAGGATGCATGAATAAAATACAGTCTCATGTGAGAAGTTATAACCGGTATGCTTTCTCGTATATAGCGAAGAAGCACCGGCATTCTCGACCCACCTCCAGCGACGCAGAAGCAGATGACGTACTTCTTAAAACAGAACTGTAGTTTTAACAGAGAAATATTAATGAGCTTAAGCAAGTGACGTTTTAACAACACGTACGTTAACCGGAAGTAAAGTTTTTGTTTTTCACCAATCACAATCCTTGACCCAGTCTTTTCACGTTGCTCATGCCGTTTGTGTTGTCAAAAACGTCACTTGCTTGAACTCACTATTGACAGACAAATATCAGATAGCGGACAAAATAGAACATATTAATTCCACATCTATGAGCTCCACAGGCGCTGCCGTTGGTTTGACGACTAACTGTTAATACGAGCGAGAGTTCTACTCCTAGACAAAATGTCGTAATTATAAAAAAGTATTTATTGTGTAAATATTTAGATAGACAACCCTAATTGTTTATCAAAATACGAAACTAGTTGTTTATCCTTGGATCAATAGATATTTAATATTTAACCTTTGGAACTCCTTTGTCTGCAAAAACTGTTCGCTGGCATTGTTAACAACAGGACGCATTTTAAAGGAAAGCTATCTCTTCACATTGCAAGTTAGGGAGAAAAACTGATGTAATTATTTATTTTGAAACACGGTTCACTAGTTCTACCTGCAAAAAGAAACCTCCTTTTTGCCTTGTTGCACATTGTTTTTATTTTGAAACAAACAGACTAAAATTGTTTCCTCGTTTTCTAACAAATTCTGCAGCAAGTCAGGTAAAATTGTTTAGGTGAGTAAAATTATCTTAAATATCTCGTGATATTTCCTTAACCGTCGTGAGGTTGTTGTGAAAGGTAATTATAGTTCATCATACCTTGCACCTTCGAAACCAAAGTCTGATACTATACAGACCAATTATAGTTTCCTCGTTTCAAAACGTACCCAACCAGTTTGCAAGTTACCTAATTCAAGGATACTTTTTCAAGTTATATAGTAACGTATACTTCGGTAATTTCGCCTTTATAAAAACTAGGAAGATAGCTTAACCGTTTATCACTGGACAAACGACAAAGCATGAATATACATCTCTGAAATGAAGAACGATTGTGATTGAATAGCATCTTCTGTAGGTAATGCGGGCACTTCTGTCATCTTTGACCTTCTTGTTTGGACAGATTGTAAGTACAACTCTACTTCTTCTGTTAAATCTATTGTTGTACAGAATAGATAAGAACTACTTAGTACGAAAATATTTGTTGTATTTCAATTTGGCTTATTTATGTAATTGCGTGCGAAGCTTTTTCCAGAATTTTTGCTGGAGGAAGGGAAGTTTGAAACGTACACACGATTTACACTTCTTTTTAGCTTCGAGTGGCGATCGCTGCTGTGGTTTCTCCGGAAATAACAATTGGAAATGAACTGTCTTTTCCAGTTAGAAGATTTCCTACGACGGAAACACTTCAAGATGGTTTCTTTAAACGAACATGTTCATCTGCGAGTGTAAATGTACAGCAGTGTTTGCAATCCGCGATAAGGTATATGAAATCATTGCAGTATATCTGTATGGTAGACTGAACTATCTACGTGTGATCTCGAAAAGCCCGAAAACGGCATAACAAAAGATTAGCATCTTGAAATCCAAAATACGGACTAAAACATTAAAACAAGACGACTATGATTTCGTGATATTTCGATCTTATTGCAAAATCAGGGATTATAGTACTAGGTTTAGAAAACCGACTTTTCAAAATAGGTCGAAATGTCGATAGTTCAGTTTCAAGTTTTCTTGTGTGAAGTTGAGGCCGTTGGTGAAGTCAGACGATGATGACCGATTATAATGACGGCAGAAATGGACATTGTGTTTGTATGAATATCCACATTTATCGTCTCTTCATTAGTGCTACAGCAGCGGCAGATGACGTCAAAGAAGACCTAGACTTTTTCAAAACATGCATCGTCGATTTCTACTGTTATAAGAAACACCCAACAGAAGACATCTGGACGGAATTCCCGGACTTTAAAGATGTTATTGGTACTAATTATTTCAGAGCGATGGCGAAGCGTGCCCAGTTATTTTTCGTCCGTTACAATTCATGGTCAAATACCCTGGTCGATGCTAAATTTCGTGATGTGGCTACAGGTATAACTATAAACTTACTATCCTCACCATACCCTCATCATACTGTATCATACCCTCATCATATCCTCATCATACCCTCATCATACCCTCATCATATCCTCATTATACTCTCATCATACCCTCATCATATCCTCATCGTACTCTCATCATACCCTCATCATATCCTCATCATACTCTCATCATACCTCATCATTCCTCATCATACCTCATCATACCCTCATCATATCCTCATCATACCCTCATCATACCCTCATCATATCCTCATCATACTCTCATCATACCCTCATCATATCCTCATCATACTCTCATCATACCCTCATCATACCCTCGTTATACCCTCATCATACTCTTATCATACCCTCATCATACTCTCAACATGTTTCTGATAATATAATTTAGGAAAATGCCTGAACTTGTTGTCCGTGATAGCAGCCAGATATCTGTACGTGATTTATGTCTTAAATAAAGTCAATATGGAAGACTTGACTTTCGGACCATGTGTAAAACACCCTTCAGGAGATTACACTGTTCCTAGTAACGGAGTATGTTTCATAACACCTCTCAGTCATGTGACGTGCACGTCAGACCACGATGTCGCCTTGATTGGGAAAAGATCGGGAACAGTCGCGTCGCAGTTCAATAAATTTTTTACTCAATCAGTCGGAACGGATACAGAGATTCCTGGATTTGCGAAGGCATCGGAAGACCTTTTTGACACAAATGTTTACGCTTTTACGTTGGAATATGCCATGCCACAGGCATTTAAAGGTGTCACAGGGCAGTTTAGAAACCAAGTTCGTATAGAAATATTATTGATATTCATTACACCCAATTTCTTTTACCTTGATTGACTCAGGGGCGTAGCTAAGGAGGGAGGGGGGGGGTGTAAGGAGAGGATGCAGTTCCTCCCCCCGTCAGTGATTCGAGAAACCATATATTGGAAATGTTGAAGTCCCATGTAATTCGGGGGGTGTCACTAAATCTTTATTTTCTCTGACAGGGATGGTGCCCAATGCTTCTAAATTACCCTCGCCCCCCCTGCCCAAATTCATGCAGGGTACCCGGTCCACGCTACACTCTGTTGATTGTTGTTTCTGCCTCGTATCATTCCGACCTTCATCACCATATTTCATCTCATCTTCAGGTAAACGCTTTTAATGCGGATTTGAACCTTATCGTTCAAGAAACGGTCACAGCCATTGCCAAAATGAAAACGTACAATCCGAGTTATCAAAACGAGTTATTGAGCGACGCTGGTGAGTTTAACACCAGACCTGATACAAAGAACGACCTGAAGGGAAAGTTTCATACTTGGAGGAGTAGGTTTGAAAGCATGCAGGAAGCGCTGGCTGGTTTGAAGCAACTACGTGATTATAAAACTATCAGTTCTCGTCGTCAGTTGGAAATGGCATACAGTCAGATTGCTGGCAAAATTGAGTTATACCTTACTGATGAGCTTGCACGTAAGTAGAAGTTATAATAATAAAGGATGGTGTGAAAGATGATGGAAGAGGATGGGGAGATGGGAGTGACGATTGAAGGTAATGGAGGATGAATGAAAGAGGATGGAGTATGATGGTAGGGGATAGACGATGATGGAAGTGATGGTGGATGACGGTTGAAGGTGATGGAGGATGGTAAAAGAGGATGGAGTATGATGGTAAGGAATAGAGGAAGATGGAGGATGATGGAAGGAGATGGAGGGTGATTGAAGGCGATGGAAATCATGGAATTTAAATAAGAAAGACGGAAGGCGATGAAGGATAACGAAAGGTGATGGGGTTGTTTGAAGGTCATAAGGAATGATGGAGGGTGATAGGTAGTGGGAGATGATGGAGGTTGTTGAGAATAATAGGTGATGAAAAATGATGGAAGGTGTTGGTGATATTGCGACAACTCTCTCGTTGCAGGTAATGTGTTAAATGAAATGGTGATGGCATTAATGTACAATCCTGGAGGTTATCATACAAGAGGAGCGATTCGACATGTGGTTGGCTGGACACAAATGGCCAGAGCTGATGTTTTTAACAAAATCACAATCAACGATAACTGGGTGTCAATGTTGGAAAATTGGGCAGATGCAAACAAAGAATATAATAGAGAGTGTGAGGGGAAAAGTGCTCCGATCACCATATGCTTGCCGAAAATGTCGAAATATCTTTGGAGAATGTATGATGCAATGTTTTCAGCCTATAGTAAACTACCGCCAACACTGCAAGCAGGTGAGATGTGTTAAAATACACTGCAACCCCATCATCCTAGTACCCGTGTCTGTAGATCACCACACTACGCTGCAAGGCACCAAACGACACCCACCACACTGCCTTGCATGCACATCACCCCCACTACACTGCCAGGCACTAACCCCCCCCCCACCACACTGCCCTGCATGCACACCACCCCCAGTACACTGCAAGGAACTCTACTATACTGCAACGCACCAAACTACACCCACTACACTGCCCTGCATGCACACCACTGAACATCACCCCACCCCACTGACTGCACCCCATCCAACAGTAATGCGAGGCCGTCACCTCACAACACCGAAACACACTACAGACCATGCCACAGCATTGCACCGAAGCCCACAGTATTGTACCGCATAGTTCCTAATATATCCACTGTACGTACCCAATATACGAGGAAAACGCACGTACATCTGATTATAAATATCTGTCGTAGGTCTCCAAGTCGTGGACAATCCTCAGAAAACTGGAATAAGGAGCATCATGTCACATTGGTTCACAAACGTGAAACGAAAAGGCCTGAATGGCATTCCGAGCACTGACAGGTTGCCAGGTTTAGCTGCTGGTACCACAAGTTTAGATGCCTTTATTCAGGGCGTACAATGCACTGGACAGTCAAAAACAGCTCAACTGTCTCGCGAATGCATGAACATAATTCATGGCTGCATCAGAAAATATAACAGAAATCTTTTTGCACAGCTTATAGCTAGCGATCCTGTATGATTGGACGATAATAGACACGAACGTCAGGGTTTAAAACTCACTCTTACTCACACTCATTGACTGTGACCTAGAAATGCCTTTATTACCGATCAATGTGAAAGATTTAAGGCAAAAACTCCCCTATATTTGGGTGGAAATCGCACATTGAAACGTTATGAGGTGATTCAGATCTCCCACTTAATGAGTTTGAGCGTTGGACAGCGAGTCCAACTCTCAATCTAGCTATAGCGTCTTCAGAGAAACAGTATCCCTAAAGATCCTCTTGCATTAAAAGCACCGTAAATAACCTCTGATCTGTCTTTTACAGTCCTCTTAGATTTTTTATTCCAAACTACAAAATTTGAAGAACTTTTTTAACGTAGCTGCTTACCAGTAAAGTTAGTTTTATTTACTATTATATATAAACAGTCCATGCGTTAATTGTTTACTGTGGTTAGTACAATAATGTTTTTAAAACATGCTTGTGACCATATATTTTAAAACGTTAAAATCTTTGCCATTTCCTGGGTAAAGAGACAAGACAGAGTTTATGAATTAGGAAGCATTATAATGAATTAAAATGCCGTTTGAAGTTCGTGCTTATTAAAAAAAGAATTTGATCTTATATTAGCAAGTCAGTTTAAGGTAAGTCACACTTTGAACCACGCTTAAACACATGATGATTTCAACTTTGATGTCGATTCTTTTCGTCGATCTTCTGTTTTAAAGAATATGTGGAATAAAAGGAACCTTTTTGAGATAACGATATGGTTGATCGTCAATATGGTAAATCATTTTTATCTTCACATTACAATCCACAGAAAAGTTCAAAGTTAGAACTTAGGGTATACCTGCTTTCACAGTTAGCAATTTTCTTGTTCTCAGGTAAAACTAGTAAATCTGCAGGACGATAATATGGTAAGTTCTTTGATCAAAATTTGTTAGCCGTATGGGATGCGAAAACGCGCCGATCCGTTTTGATGTGTTTTACATGCATCATCTGTTTTACTTGCATCATCTGTGAAGTTCACTTTTTGTGTTTTGAAAAACATTGATATATTGAACGAATTTCGTTCCAACATAGGAAAATACAATAAAAACTACGCCAAGTAAGGAGGTGGATCAAATGAAGATGAAAACAAATGAACAATTGCCTGTCGCAGATACGCAGAAAAACATGGAATATAATGACTGTGGATGGAAACCAGAGTGCACATCTATGGCTAAGAGGTAGAACACTGATCCTGGTGTACATGACTGGATAGATTTATCCAGTATAAATGAAGTTAGTTTAGTTCAGGTTTCCTCCTGTAGTAACACTTGATGAATAAGAGATGATCCTTACTGGACCTCTAGGAAGAACAGTTTAGAATTGATAGAGTTATCAAATATAAATAAAGTTAGTTTAGTTTTAGTTAGTTTAGTTATAGTTTTAGTTTAGTTTAGTTTAGGTTTCCTCCTGTAGTAACACTGGATCAATGAGAGATGATCCTTACTGGACCTCTAGGAAGAACAGTTTAGAACTGATAGAGCTATCCAGTAAGTTAGTTTAGTTTAGGTTTCCTCCTGTACTAACACTGGATCAATAAGAGATGAGATGGATATACGAGATGCATGTAAAATAGTATGTATAACAAAAATCAAATGTGTTCACAAATCAGAACTTTATTTAACATTTTTTTAGCTTATCTTTGAACAACAATAGAAAAGATATCGAGTTTTTTAAAAAATGCATCTCTGAAGTCTACTGTTACAAGAAAGCATCCTCGGGTGACAAATGGATCAGCCTTCCTAACTATGAAGCACAATTCACCAGTTATTTCACCGACGCAGCAAAGAGGGTTGAACGATTTTTCGTAAGAAATAATGATTGGAACATGCTCTTGGAGTTAAAAACCTTACGCCAAGAAGGATCCTGTCCGCATTTACTTCACATCATTGCAGCAAGGTCAGAAGTAAATTATAGTCGTGTGTGCATGTGTGTGTTTCTCTTTTCGTGTTAAATCGCCGTGTCTGTATGAAGGCTGCTTTACAGTCGGGAAAATTATCCTCCGGACCGGCCGGATTGAACAGTATGGTTTCCTTTGTGCTTAAGGACTGTTTTCCATTGTCACGTTTTTTGCACGCAGGTACAAGCACGTAAAAGCTTAAAACTTTTTAAGTTGTTGCATGAAAAACACACCAAATCATGAACCAACCCTATGCATCTGTTCAATCGTCGATTTCATAAGTATCATTTAAATTATTTTAAACTTTTACATGCGAACGTGTAAAAAGCTCTAAGACAAATAATTTTGGTTGAGAACCCACGAATAAAAGAAACTTCTCTGACCTATACGATACGATATGGAGGATAATTTTCCTGACTGGAAACAATGCAGGTTTTGGGGATGAAGGTGACAGTCTTAAACAGCACGGTGCCTGAACTAGAAAGCTGAGCAACGGAGATGTCTGTACAAGAAAATATGCCAGTAAGAAGGACTCAAATTAGAGTGGACGAGACTGTAAACTTTACTGACCAAGAATTATGTGTTGCAGGTATCATTATGTGGTATACGTGCTTAATATCCTATTTTCTGATCGGAAGTTTGGTCCATGTAAATACGACCCAGTAAGCAAAACACTAGAGAACCCCACTGAACACGAATGTTTTGTTGTTCCATTACATCCAATAACTTGCACATCAGACTTCGATATTGCTCTCATGGGAACGAGGTTGGTATCACTGATAATAAGTAATAACTTCACTTGTATTGTAAATCAGTTCACGAGGAAACCTAAACAAACTTTTGTTACACAAGGGAATTACAGGTCCAACAAGAATGACCTCTTTAAGGAATGCTCGTATTCATCTAGTATTACAACAGGAGAAACCTAAACGTTAGTTACATTAGATATAGCTCTATCAATTATCTAAACCTTTCTCTTTTTAATCAAGGTCAGGTTCATTGGCTGCACGATTCAATCAATTCTTTCTGGAGCCACTCGGAGCAGATAAATTTGTACCTGGATTTGGCAAATCATCAGAAGAAGTATTCGGAGCTAACATTTTCGCTTTCACCTTGGAATATGCATTACCAGATGTTGTTCGAAACATGCCTCCTCCACAAACACAGACACTTACGAGTTAGTATGCATATCATGCATGGGCATATTTTTGAAAACGGGCAGGAAAAACGGAGCTTCGCAGTTGTGGAAACCAAACGACATTGCTTCTAGCCATGTTCTCGGATAAAACAGCAAACGTTTGACATTGTTTATTAAAGCATCGTTCTTCGATGTTTTGACTCCAATTTACCTTCGTTTCTTCGCGCTGAAAGCCGTAGTTAGTCTACGAACTTTAGCTAGAGCATCATACACATCTTGAAATGTGAACACACACAAGGAATTTGAACCCACATCCACGGCAAATAAGTCGAAAAGCCGGGCATAATAATAGGACCAGGGTTATTTTCGTTGTGTAAATAAAATACGGGTTAAAATCTATTATTTTCTTCTTTAAGAACTCAGAGATAAAAATAATTTCAAACTGGAGGAAATTGTGACCGCCATAAGAAAGATGCGAAATTATTTACCCAAATATTACAACGATTTGGTGATGGACCAGGCTGAGTTGCGCTCCCGGGAAACGAAGGACAATTTAGATAAAATCTTCAACGATAATGTTAAGTTATTTAACACCATCGAAGAGAAAGTCGCTGGTATCAGCTCGACTCAGAATTCGGATATAAGTTTTAGGTGGGTCTGGAAGAGCGAATTGGTGGGTTAGTAGTACACTAATAAGAGATGATCCTTACTGGACCTCTAGGAAGAACAGTTTAGAACTGATAGAGCTATCCAGTATAAATAAAGTTAGTTTAGTTTAGGTTTCCTCCACTGGATCAATAAGAAATGATCCTTACTGGACCTCTAGGAAGAACAGTTTTCCGATACGAAACATTGTAAATTTGATTTTCATACTTCAGATACGAACAAGACATGGCCAGAAGCATGATTCAGGGTGTTGTTGAAAATACTGGAAGAACTGATGTTGTTGCAAATTCCATGGTGGAGCATTCCATGGCAACAATATATGGTGCTGAGGTAATCTATAACAGATAAACCCCATCACACTTTCTGTTTGCTCGCCAGAACTACATCATATTTTTTACGAACGTAAAGTCTGTATTGAAGAGTTGTAGTGCACTACCATCACATTCACAGCAATTTCTGATTTGCAGGTTTACCATACTACAGGCACAGTACGTCATGTATTTGGAAGGAAAATGGGAAAGCCTACGCTTGTGACGATAGTTGACGTGTGGGCCTCAATGTTGGAAAACTGGGCTGACTCAGTGAAAGAATTCAAACGGGAATGCGAGAAAAGAGGATTACTAGTGGCACAATGTTTACCAAAGATGTCAAAATACCTCGCAAGGACGCTGGCTTCAATGAAAAGAATACGCAAATTACTTCCAGATAGAGTCGAGGGAAATAGTTTCAAAGATGACTTGGCTACGTTGGATGACACTGCGAAGATTGTCTGGGGCTGGTATGTTCGTGCAAAAAGAATGGTTAGTGCGTTAGATACGAGACTTAATGTTATGATAGTCAGTGTGCGTACCACATTGCTAGGATAGTGAGATTGCTTCAAGCTCATAAATTGTTGCATGATTGAAGCACTGGAACTCTCCCAGAGTAGAGAAATAGCTGACGAAAAATAGCTCAGACCAGAGTTTTATCTACATTTTGGTTAAAAAAGTTGGATGAGAGTTGACTGGATATTGCCACGCGTAACATCAAACGCAGGAAATCAACCCTAATGCCATGATTAATAAACGAGAACAAGAGTTGCACGAAAGCTGATTGAAAAATAGTACGCACAGAGGTATAAGAAAAACTGAGATGACTCGACATTACCGTAAGTATCAATAAAACGTGGGAAAGCAACTCTCGCGCAAAACTCTCTTCCCAAAGAATCGTTTCGACAGAAATCCCAAATATCTTTTTTGTTGTTGTTCATTTCAGGGTTTAGACGAGTTGCCAAAAAGTGAAATAGATAACTTCAAAGCATTCAGGGGCATATTCGGATGCCCTTTATCAGTGAGATTTTACAGCGGTGATATGAGGTTTCATAACTGCTTGGACCAGATTCAAAATGAAATCAGAAAATATAACAGACGCCTGTTTACATACATGGCCTACCAGAATAAAGTATAAACCGACTGAGCCGTATAGGATAAACTGGAACGCAGGACCAGAATGAACTGAATCTAACTGCACCGATAAGAAGGTTAAAAAGAAAACTATAAATATTAAAATCATGGCAGGATAGGCATTTTCTAGTTTAGGTACATTAACACATGTGAATTTGGTCGGTTGATTTTGGTTTTTGCCTGATGTTAATGACGAATAGTGAGAACACCACATATTGGCTTTTCCGTCCGTATGAGCCCGCGTCGGACGGGACAGAGCCCGCGTCCAGACGGGATAAAGAACTTGATGTAATAATCTTGTTAAGATATAATAAAATGATACGAGAACAATGCATATGAGAGTTGACTGGATCCTACACCAGGTTCCACAATCTGAGAGAAACTCGTTCAGTGTATTCTATGTAAACTGGAGTTTCAACCCGAATAAGCGACAATGACGGTTGACTGGGGTTATTCAGGGAGATTTCCACTTGGGGTATCCCACACCACCATATGAACCGGTCATCCGGAATGTTTATTGCTTTAAATATATCCGTATAATCAACTTCGTTTATAAACGAAATTTCAACTCGCGTCCATTTTAATCTCATTCCCAGAAATATAAAGCAGGATGTGTCATGTCTATGTGACATCAGAATTCTGTTTAAGTAATTCCTCAAAGTCAGGCGTACACACAAGACGTTGTTTTACGTGGCACAATGTCATCATTGACCTCGATTCTTCTTCGGGGTGAATCGATACAATATCCTGAAGAATATTCGAGGGGAAAATATTGTTATTCAATTATTATTGACTTGTAGTGTTACTCCGTTTAAGAGCTTAGTTTAGCTTTCTTTTAGACTGTATAGCTCTATCAGTTCTAAACTATTTTTCTTTGTAAACATACCTGTAAAAAGTTGCAAGGTGTTCCCATCGAAACGTCCAAAGCAACCCCGCCCAAAATTAACCTGAAAAATGGAATAACAGTTTAATGGCTGGACGCGTGTACAAGATTGCTATGATGAGCTAACGTTCTTTGTAGAAGCAACTCTCATACCAGACATTAGACACAACACAAACCTAGTTTTTCCTGACTTCAGGACTTGTATTTTACCAATGTAACCTTCGGAGATATCTTGCAGTTTCAGCGATTTGTTTTTCTCCTACGAAAGACAAAAGACAGGAATTTGATCTGATGAATTGGATAAGGCGTGTATTGATATTTTGGCCCCATTTAATGTCTATACCTTAGAGCCTTCTTCCTCATTCTCCAATACCTTCGTTGGAAGCGAGTCAGGAAATTGAAAGAATAACATTTGGTCTTTCTTTTTCTGCAAAAGAATTTAATACGGTATTATTTCCATATACATCTAGAGATGAGGGATGATTAGAGAGGGTGTTATTGGAGAAAGGAGGCACGATTAGATAGGGTGTAATTGGAGGGAGGGGGGGTGATTAGAGAGGTTTTTATTGGAGAGAGGAAAGATGATTAGAGAGGGTGTTATTGGAGAGAGGAGGGGTGATTAGAGAGGGTGTTATTGGAGAGAGGAAAGATGATTAGAGAGGGTGTTATTGGAGAGAGGAGGGGTGATTAGAGAGGGTGTTATTGGAGAGAGGAAAGATGATTAGAGAGGGTGTTATTGGAGAGAGGAGGGGTGATTAGAGAGGGTGTTATTGGAGAGAGGAAAGATGATTAGAGAGGGTGTTATTGGAGAGAGGAGGGGTGATTAGAGAGGGTGTTATTGGAGAGTGGAGGGATGATCACCCCATTCATCAAAGTTTATCCTAACCTTATCGTTACCAGTCAACAAACGTTCACATGTCATTGGCTGATCTTCCTTGGTTTTCTTCTTAGAACCTTTGTTTGATGGCCTCACAAAAGGTTTCTTCTCATCTGTTTCCATTGGCTCAACTATATACAATAAGAAATCTTTCCATGAACTGGAAATCAAAGCAATTGATCCTAACTCTGACCAGAGACCACATATTTCATACCTTTAACTGATGAGATATCTTCATCATTTACAACCTCTTCTACGAAGCGATCATGGTAAGCTAAAGGTATATGCATGGGTAATATCCCACATGCCAGTTGAGCTTCATCAATATCCATTTCGCCCTGTGATTAGACCACAAGTGATGAGCACAAACTGATTTGACCAGATGCCATTAACAAGAGGCAATAAACACTTCTGAAATTTGCTTGAGTTCACACAAAACAACGTAATCTATTGTTAGTGGGATGGTTTTCATTGCCCAAGAACAAATTCGGAAAGTGTCTATTGAAAGCAACCAATAACTAAGAGTATTCTAGCTACCATTCAGGATTGAAGTTGTATATCAAATGATATCAAACATCAAACTAAACTCACATCACTGTCAATCATTTGTAATATCTTATTTGGGTCTTCAACTTCAAAATTTTTTTCAGCTCTAGAAAAAAATGTTATGCCCGTCAATTTCAATTTAATTTCTTCGTATGTCCAGAGGTGTTCTCAAACTCACTTGGGTCTTTCACTTTTTGTACTTTCTGCAAATCCACCACCTTCTCGATAACTGGGCGCTCTACTGGGAACAGAGGCTGAAAAATTTGAGAACATGAAAAATTAGGTGAGTGAGTAGCTTGCTTGATGCAAAGAAGAAGAAGTAAGTAGCAATCAACACACCTGTCTTGGGCACCAGACCTTCGGAAAAGATGGATTTTGATTGGATGATATTAGGCTGACCACGCCCTCGCCCTCTTCCTCGATCTCTTCCTCTCCCTCTCTGTCTGGTCTGGCCTCCTCCATGATTGGGTTTTTGCTGTCAGAAAACCACATACACATATTTTGCACCACTTTATTATTCAGGTAAGGAGAAGACTAGAGATGAAAGCTTCATAAAGAGTGATACGAATTTGAGATGGGTTTGTAAGGAGGGGATTGATAGTTGATAGAGTTGAAAAAAAAGGCCTCTTTAGAAATGGGGATTATGGGGATAGATTAGGTCTATCGAAGATGAAGAAAATGTTTAGTGGTTACTTTACCTCTGAAGGGGTATCTTTCGGTCTAAAAATAGAAAAATATCATTGATATTATTCTGCTATGAAACACATAACAATCTATACTTTCTTAAGTCTTTCTTAAAGTCATCAACTTACTCTTCCTTGATCCGTCTTACTGGTATTGTAGGTGCATATGTTCTCTATGGATGAGAACAAAAAACTTTTATCAATGCATGAATGCTTCAAGAATGTGCCTTAATCACTAATGTAGGACAAAAAGTAGATTAGATGGTATCTAGGACCTTGGTTGAACCTCCGAGTGTTAGGTCTCGTGGTGATCTCAATGACTGAAGACGGCCTCTAAAAATATTTAAAATAAAAATACAAGCTTTGTAGTGGTACCTACGGTTGTACCAGGCAGGTTTCTGAGCTACATGACAAGCAATGAATGATCACCATTAAGCACCTTAGTCCTATTATTTACAGTATAAAATAACGAATGAATAACATAGAAAATTTGGACACTGACCTTCCTCTTTTGACGGCCAATCCTGTTGTCAATAATGGAAAAGATAAAATAACAATTATTTAGAATCAGTAAAATGTTAACAGCAGATTATATGCTCTGTTTCTAAACTTGTAAATTCTGAAGTTAAATATATAATTATATAAAAAACTAAAGTACATGAAACAAAATGTTATGACGTGTTTTCTCGACAAAAAATATCTCATAGTCTATATCAGTAATATCACTATATGGTCTTACCTGCTCTAGGCTGTTTCTTTGCATCGGGCGTCTTTTCGGCCATTTTTATTATTTTACAATAAAGCACTTGGATTTTTACGCATTATTCATTGATCCAACTCTGGTATAATCTGGCTAAACACTTAAATTTCTAGATATTTGTTCATTCGTACAAATCCCACTCATCGTGCGCCACCATTTTGAAAATTTGCGCAGGAAAATCATCGAATTTAGACGCCGGATAAACTCAGGGGGGGGAAAGTACATTTGCCTGTTCTTATTAAAGTGGAGGGAATGCTAAGAAGAAAGAGGAAAACAGCTTATTTTAAAGCAGAAACCATCGTTCTTACCTCATAGGAAAAAGCTAAAAATGATAGCTTTCCCAAAAATCGAAAATAAGTTTCCCAGTTTCTGGCTAATGCTGCTGCTGAAGATGGCTAAAGATAAGTCTAAACCCCCCGGGTTACAGACTTTGCCCTATTCTCCCAGGTCAGGCCACGGAAGGGTGTAAAAAGATCATTTGCATTTTGAATGCAAAAATTGCATATTATAAATTTTAATCTCGCTTGATATTTGTATTTTGAATATACTATACGCTGCTTAAGACTTAGTGCACTGTCCTTTTTTGTATTTTTTATCGGCGTGAGCTCACGGCACCTTGAACTTGGAGAACTTCATGTCAAACAACGAGAGTTTGCAAACGGCTAGAAGACGCCAAAAAGACATCGGTCAGAATCAAACTAGCGAAAAAGTGGAGTCCAAAGGCAGCGAGCAAGCTTCTTTGAATATTGTAGACGAATCAAAGCCTATCGAGGTAGCCACTTGTGTATTTTTTAGATTAAACTGTCTTAACTTATGAGATTTATGTGCTCGAATGATTTTTGAATTGCGGTTGTAAGACTTTAAGATTGGTGTTTTTGTTGATCTTAAAGATGTGTACTTAAGATTTGATCGGTAATATGGATGTGTTTCAAGCATTGTTGTGTAGTTGAAACACACCCTTGCCATCTGTCTATGTTTACGTTTATGCCATCGTTTTTTTCTAATTCATCTGATTGATCGTTGTTAATCTTGCAATGGGTTTATTCTGGGAACTTGCAATGTTGAGGTCAAGTTGCAACGAAGTGTTGTGAAATAGTATCATGTGATTTATACTGCTTTGATGTTATTATTCCCTCAACCTGCCAGCTATTCCATAAACCAATATCTATGCCTCATTCTGAGCAGGCAGTTCATTTATACTGAGGATTAAATAGATTGACACTTCTAAGTGCAAGGTGTTATATTACTGTACTTTAGCAAGCTGACAGCAAAGAACTCCTGGCTACGTTAAATCCAAGGTATTGATTTCACATTTCTCATTCATTGGTGATGTTGAACAGTCTTGGTAACCAATATATCAAATTTTTTTTAGATGGAGAAATTGGTGGATCAGAACCATATTTACATGGTTGATGATAATAGCCTTTCTTTTTATTCTATATCTTGGTCCTTTAGCCTTGATCATTTTGGTAGGTTTAGTTTATTGAAATTTTAGAGTTTGAAAAACTTAGGCAAAAACTCCAAGTAGCTACCTTAATATGATTTATTTTTACTACATTATTGATCAGAGCCACTTTAAGATGATAAGAGGATGCATAAATCTGGTCGACTATATGAGTTGTGTAATCCTCTAAGAGCCACCTTAAGAGCAATGTGTTGGTTAAATCAAAATGAATAGACCCACTTTAGGTAAACTATCATGAGCCAGCTTAACCATATTTACTATACCAGATCCAGTTGATTCAAATCAAATGCTTTCATGAAATCATCTCAATTGGTCACAAGAAATACCAGAGTTTGAGTCTTCCTTGGTTCCGTACATTGAGCTGGTAAATACGTTTATTTATACTGGATAGCTCTATCAGTTCTAAATTGTTCTTTCTAGAGGTCCAGTAAGGATCATCTCTTATTGATCCAGTGTTACTACAGAAGAAAACCTAAACTAATCTAACTTTATTTTTTAGGTACTTCTTACTTTGTAGCAATTATTTCTTTTATGGTGAAAGTATTTCAGAGTACTTCCAAGGCTTGCTTACTCACGAGGTGGGTTTATCTTTGCGATAAATTTCATACTCAGGTTAAAGATTCAAACTCACTAAAACATAATGACTTGTCTTCATTGTAGCATATTCTTCTGCAATATCTTATTCAATATCACCGGCTGATCTCATATGGATTATATTGTATTGGTGGGTGCCATGCAAAATCACCTGTAATTTTATATACTATTATAACTATACAGTTAATTACACCTGAATTTCTAACTGTATTTCCTCCATCATGCCTGTAGGAATAATGTTATTTGTGAACAGCCTTAAAAAGGACTTCTATAAGAAACAATTTGCATTGGTTAGTGCTTAAACTATACTCAGAAGTCGTACCTCTATCATTTTCAAACACTTCTTGCTATACAGACCCACTTAAAATATCTCCAACGCTTTTTTTATCGTGTTTAGTTTGGTTGGACCCATATCACCCTTTTAGTTATCGTCACTCAGTCGCATCTTGTCATACAGACATTGTTTGAAGGAATGATATGGTGAGAATACTTTTCACCCAGGATGAAAACAAGATATAAAATTAACAGTACTGCTTTATTTGTAGGTTCTTCCTACCAGTCTCATTGGTTATCTGTAATGATATCTGGGCTTATATTTTTGGTAAGAGTTTTTTCACTTTCATAAAGAAGTTTTATAACTGGTTATTATGATTGATTCAGTAAGCTTTGACCATATAATTGTACTTTTTTTACAGGATTTTTCTTCGGAAAAACACCATTAATAAAGGTGTGAGAACATTTGGTTACTTTGGCAAGTTAAGTACTGGTGATGTTAGTTTATTTTGTATTTAAAATAGAAGATATCATTGTTTTTCTAGTTGTCACCGAAGAAAACATGGGAAGGTTTCATAGGTGGTGGAGTCATGACAATTGTGTATTCGTTTGTTGTAAGTATTGCGGTCAGATATTGTTGCTGTTTTTTATTTAAATATAACCTGCATTTCAGTTAGTTTTAACATCAACCAATCAACTTACCCTTATTTTAGGGTGTGTACATAATGTGTCACTTTGACTACTTTACTTGTCCAGTTGAGGTAAATTAGAATCAACAGCAAAACTGTCTGTCATCTTCAGTTAGACTTTGGACCTAACATAGAGTGTAGTCAACACTAACATCTCATTATTTTCTCACAGTACAACAGCGAGAGTAAAACGTTCCTCGCCTCATGTTCGCCAGCACCTCTCTATCAACTCACCAAATATCCGCTCCCTGCATTCCTTCATTATCCTTCACAAATGGTAGGTTTAGAAAATGCTCCGGCATTCAGCAATGAACTCACATCCAGAGTTGAAGACCTTGCAAACAAATATATTGCTAATATAATTAACAATTTGAGAATTGAGACATAAATATTGAGTTTTTTCTGTATAGTTTGGTTTCCAGGAGGCAGTCATTTGGATGTATCCAATGCAAATTCACGCTTTCTTCTTGGCTTTATTTTCATCTTTAATCGCTCCATTTGGTGGTTTCTTTGCAAGTGGCTTCAAACGTGCTTTCAAAGTGAAGGTAATCCAATCTCAAGGAGAATTTATTCATATGCAATTCAAAAACCATAAACCTTCTTCAAATCATTTGTATCACTGGTGATGATCCTTAGGAGGTTCTCAGTATCAGCCTGCCACAAGCAAGCCTGGCTTGAGTGCCACTCGTGAACAAATATCTACTTAGTCTTAGTGCTTGGTGTATTTCAGGACTTTGGTGATACAATTCCTGGACATGGTGGATTGATGGATAGATTTGATTGTCAGTTACTGATGGGAACATTCACCTACGTCTATCATTTCACACTCATAAGGTAAAGGCCTTCACCTCATTCCACATTTATATGCTAAAATGCTCTGCCTGGAAGGAATCGTACCTTCAAAGATACCTTATTCATCTTGTTTTTGTTTCAGAGCTCCAAATCCTGGGAAAATCCTTCGTCAGATCATGTCCCTTTCGCCAGAGCAACAACTGTTGTTGTTTAAAAAGCTTCAAGAGGAGCTCACACAATCTAAAATGCTAGGACAATGATCTATTTTATTTATATCACTCTGTATTATAGAAGTAACTCGTGTAATTTATTTTTTTGAGTTAAGTTTTATGATCATACCTAGTTCCATTTTGAGTAAGATTTTTTCAGGGCATCCAGAACTCCAGGAAAACTCAGGATGTCCCCCCATCTATTCTGTAATATGCTTCAATATTTCTTGATTGAAGATTTAAATGAATTTAGGAAAATTTGAACTTGAAGTTAGGCTGTTACCATTGAGATGTAAATCATCTTAAAGATCCAAGATAGAGAATCCAAGATAATTACAAGATAATAGACTACTTAATGACCTGAGAATAACAAGAATATATGTGCAATAACTTTAATTTAACTTTTAACTAACTTAAATCTTGTTGCCAAGAACAATATGCACTCAGAATTATTAGAATAGAACATACGAAAATTATTTAATGCAAGGTTTTGTTATTTTACTGTAATACTGTATTAAATTTATCACAAGAACATCTCCAGCTGTCATGTTTAGTACACATTTTTTACCGTCAAAACTTAAATGGACAAAACCAGTGTATTCCCAAACTTTAATATTTAACATATTACAGGATTATTTTTCATTTTATAATTTACATCATGCTGAACATAAAATTTATAATACATTAAAAGGCAATAGCTTGGATGGTCAGAATGGTAGCCAAAGGCCAATTTGACCAAGAGATGATAACGAAAGGAGAGATCATGCAGGGATGTAACTTCTGTTGTTTGTGAATGTTTTTTTTTCTTTTATTGTGTATTTTCAACCTCTTCATCATCAATCTTAGGTGCAAGGTAGAATCTAAAATGGATCAGAATATTTCTTAACTCCCTATAGCTCTGTGAAATCACCAACAGTGTTGTATGGGTACAATGGATATCTCAGTTAGGCGAACATTTCCCCTTACATTTTCCCTCTTGTAGACCATGGACTAATTTTAAAACTAAAACATGGACTAACACATTTTCACACATTTGAAGTGAAGAAATATTACACACTCACTTTATTGAACCAATGTCACCAACTTTATATTCCACGACTACAAAATGAAAAGAGAGAGTTATTGTCTGAAAAGTCACACACAAAAGGACAGACTTTCTTACCTAATGGTACTTCAGCCTTTAGTGACAAGGTGACAGTTGTTGATAATGGGGTTGCTTTGGTAAAAAAGTTCAGATAACGAGATGCGAAGGTAAGACTGCAGGCTTCGTGAAGTTCAATGGATACCTGAAGTGGTTGAAAAATCAGTATGTTATCTCTTTTTGAAACACAAATATCTTGATGTAATAGCAAGCTTACTTGATCATCTTCATTGTCAATGCTGGAATTCTGTTTTAGATTAATCTTTCCACTTCCAAGATCCCCACTGCATGAAAATGTTACACCTTCCTTTGTGCATGTTATTGTAACTAAAACACAAAAACAGCCATTGTTAATTAATATGGTTCATGTAAGGTCAATATTCTCTTCTGATAAAGGACGTTTTTCAACTCTAAAGTTGGGATCATTCTGAATTTGCCAACTAACCAGAATCACCAATTTGGCTGAGATCTCGGCATATTCTCTGTAGTTCTGCAGATGGCATTTTTACGATGGATGAGTATTCTGTTTCCTGCATACAAAACATAGATAAATGTTATTGAACTTATTTGTGTTCATATCCAAACACCAGAACTTTAACTTACAGGAATTCCAAGTGTTTCTGCATCAATATCCATTAGTTTCATACTATATTCAGACACCTTTTCCTGGTCTGTTAAAAATGTAAAGGCACAAATTAATTGCTGTAAAATAAAGAGTAAGTTGTTTGGGCAAATGTTAGTTTAATTAACACATTTTATATAATAGAGAACATTTCATACTTGGGCTTTCGAAAATTAAATTAACAGCATCAGCATTGTCCTCCGCTCGGATTGTGACCACATCATCATTGCTTGCACATTTCATGATCTTTGAAAGGCTATAATAGATAGAAAGACAGCTGTATTTCAAGGTTGTTTTAAGGTTAACAAATCAGATTTTAGAAAGAAATAGCAGCCTTGGCTTATTACAAGTATCAGGTGAGACATCTTTGAAAACAATAGGTATTCTTACTTTCCAATATTCAGACCCAGTGTCAGATTTCTGTCACATCGGAATGGATCAAAACCATCGGCGTTGAGGTCGATAAAACACAAGCTGACATGAGCACTGTCCATTGCTTGCATTGACATTCCATTGTTGGAACAGTCCCAGTTTGCCTCAGTGACAAGGTCCTTTATCGCATCCAGCACCTTCTTCAAAAGACTACCTTGTACAAGACGTGCTTCAAACATGGTTCTTGGAGAGCTGGAGTTTTGTTTTTCAGATTATGTTATATCACCTACAAGGCAGAGTATCCATCCTTAGTTATTAAATATTTCACTCAAAATGAATGTCCTCTCACATTTTTGCCTGATTTCTAATCTTCCAAGTTGCACAGATGTTGTTAGGTATAGTTTTAACTGTTCTTGCTGCAGATTAATACCAGTACAGCTAAACTTGAGAGCGTATTAAACCTAGTATTAAACATCGATAGTAAAAAAAAATGACATTGCCTCACGAAGTCTATCATGCTGGTTTATAAGGTTGAATTCGCATTAAAAGCAATTGCCAGCGATTAGTTCCCATTTCTTATGAACTAGACCGTAAAAAGTGCTCATCAATGTCAATATTTCTCTCTTATTTCAGATTTATATTGCATCAAAATACTATTTTCCTTTTTATCAACAAGATCACCATCATTTCGTCATTGAAATTCAAGTAATCTCGGACAGAAATATAGTGTGTATCATCCCAAAATTATACATTTTCAAACACTTTACAATCTTTCAGTTATTTATCTACAAATATAGAAACAGATTGCCTAAAATCTACAATGACTTAAGTAAAAAAAATGCAAAAATAAAATATCCATCTTACCTTCCTCGCGAATGTGCACCTTATGGCGTTTGGCGGCAAAAATGTGTACATTACGCGCCAAAATTACGAACGTTCTTATTCGTCAGTTTCAATCACGTGGGTGAAATTCACGCGGGCTCGCGCGCGTTAACTTTTCTGAATTAGCAAATAAGGAATTTGAGGTCACGTGATTCCAGACAAGTTTGAACAAGAACGAAAGAACGACAAATTACTGAACGCATTATATTCAGAGGCTATTTTTAACTGGAGTATCACACCTCGTGATCAAAAGCCCATGTTAGTGTTGCAAAGACGCCAATAAGTTAAAATATGCCAGATTTGATTTCCAATATTTTTTCCTCAGGCGATAGCACTATTCACCCCAGTCCATGCACAGCCAAATGCAAATTGCCACTTGGTATTGATCACAATAATATAGCTGTTGCTTTTCAGATTCAGAAACTTGCCATTCTTATTTTCACCCTTGTACACTATTTTATGAGGGCCTTGGAATAATTCATAAAAAACAAAATCAAACCAACTTGTACATTGAGATTTGGTACCCTTTATTGAAAATGATAGTCATGCTCAAATTTACAAACGTCTTCCACGACGACCACCCTTGCGTCTGGTGCTGTCTGAGGGAATTGGAGTCACATCCTCAATTCTACCAATCTTCATTCCGGATCTTGCCAGAGCCCTAAGAGCCGACTGGGCACCAGGTCCAGGGGTCTTGGTTCTATGAAATGTTGGAAAGTTAATAAAATTGTTCAAACATTAGAATGTATGTAAAATATCTTCCCAATTCGGGCATATTATTACCTGTTTCCACCAGTAGCTCTGAGCTTGATGTGCAGAGCAGTAATACCAATATCCTTACATCTCTGAGCAACATCTTGGGCTGCTAACATAGCTGCATAAGGTGATGCCTGAAATACATTTAATAAGATTAATCTTTAAGAATAGATATTGGTTACATATTTGCCCCATCTCATCTCTTGCATAAAAGGCTGATGCTGATTGGTTCTGAGTTGGTCAGCTTTTTTCATGTTTGCCTGATGTGGTAACACATGAACTTAACTTGATCACCATTAAAAGTGGGGTTTTATAACATGCAAGGAAGTAGGTTTAAGATTTATGCACCTACAGAGGCTGGAAGCATGTGCCTTTTATGGTAGTTAACCAAGTTTGATTCATAATCGAAAAACTACATATTACAGAAATTAAACATAAAAATTTAGGTCACCTCATCACGATCAGCCTTGACCTTCATACCTCCTGTAACACGAACAATTGTTTCTCTGGAAGAAAGCAGCCTGATTAGTTGAGATAGTGGATGGTGATCATGACAAATGGTGGTCATGACAAATGGTGATCACAAGCAGTGGTGCTTCTACATGGTCACGGTATCAACGTTGATCAAAAATATGGGTTGTTATTTAATTTAAGGATTTTTTAAAGAGGATGATGTTTTTCAGGGTAACGGTCATAAAAGTAAAATAATAAATTTTTGTCATTGATATTGAATAATACAGAAAAAGACACATATCTTCACAAAATCATTAATAATCTTACTTTCCAGAGAGATCGGTAACATGAACAAATGTATCATTGAAAGACGCAAAAATATGCGCTACACCAAACACATTTTCTCCTTCCGTAACTTGTGGTCCAAGCGTAATTTGTGCCTCCTCTTTAGGAGCCTTTCCTTTTCTGGGAGCCATGCTAATGAAATGAGAAAAAACATTGCTAAAATATTGTAAATTTACGATATAGACCACTCAGGGGAAAGGAGAGATATACTTTTACTATGTGTGGCGATAGTGAGGGGGAATATTTAAAGACAGAGCTAGGATGGAATGGATTTTAAACCGTACCTCAAATCTTATAAAGAACGAAGGAAAACAACATCGAAAAGGAAGATTTAAAATTCGGAAACGTGCGAAGACTGGTGACAAGAGCGACCAGAAGCATAATAATTCATGTAATATGGAATATTGTGGATCTCCTGAGTTTTTTTTTCTGGGAATATTTTGTCTAAAAAGAGCACATTTTTCGATTCCAAAATTCTGAGAATTTCAGTTCTGAATACCGGAATCACAGCCTTTTTTACGTACTTGAAAGTTGTGCTTGAAATTATGTTCCCCAAACCATAGGTAATTGATTACCTGAAATTCCAAGTGCTTTCGATTTTAATTTATTAAATTATGATTTACGAAAGTCATTATGAGTCATTTATGACGCAACGTAATTTCAACCTTTGAATTGAGTCCATATTTCCTCCTCTGGGTGACGAAATAGTTTTAATCTATTCTCTTTTCTACAAAGTATAAACATATAATATCGAAAAGGATTTAATAAATATATTTGAAATGCCAACGATACATATAAACGTGAGGAAACTCGCCACATTTCTACAGTTGGGTCTCGTCAGCGTGATAATCTATTATGGAATGAAACTTGTAATTGACAGTTTAGATTCAACGAGAAAACGACCAGGACAATTGACACAAAAAGAGGTAGAGATATCGGTCAAATTTATGTTAGAAGTAGTTTATTGGTTTGTAAGAACTTTAGCGAAGAAAGTTTGAGTGGTAATGCTTCTGTGTATGGGAATGGTAAACAAAAATGTTGTCTTAATTATACGTGTACAATGTAGTAGACAATAGATGATGAAGATGTGAATTATAGTGAATGTTGTTGTATAAATGGTTCAGAGCAAGGTCTGGCTTGTAAGACTCATTCTGATAGTCATATAAGCCACAAATTGCTATAGTATAACCTTTGTACAATGTACAACAGTCTAAAAAAGAGAGCTTTTGTAAACTGCCTCATTTCTCACCCCCAAATGGTATTAAAACCATCAGTAACACATCATTTTCTTCGAACCTGCTTACTTTATAATTTAGACCATATTTATTATAGGAAATATCATTATACATACTATTAGACTCACTTTATATTACCATGCAGTCACCTGCTGTGACAGTCTATGACTGCAGTCATGTCTGTAGTCATGTCTGTTTTTTGTTTCCAATAGGCTGATCAGTTGTTACAAAAGATTGGTTTGAAAGGGATTCGGGTAAGCAACTATCATAACTGACACTTTGATCAATGTACTACAGAGGATATTAGGTGATATGATATATCACCTCGAATTCTTCCACATTTTCCCATTAATGTTTGAGGGTGATCTGCATGTAGATATTGATTCCTTTCTTTCATTCATTTCAGTTAACAGATCATGAGTTATCATTAGCATCAACAGTTATAGATCCATTGACAATTCCTGTCAGTTGGAAAGACATTGGTGGTCTGGATTCCCTAATCAAGGATTTAAAGGTTTATGAGGAAACATATTAACGTGAAGTCTGTTCTGTGGCAGTTTTTTTACCGCTTGTTTTGCTAATTCTTTCATTTTATCTCTCAATATAGGAGACAGTTATTTTGCCAATGAGGCAAAGGTCTCTATTTAAGAAGTCACATCTTCTCTCTGCCCCAAAAGGTTTCACTTTCAATGCAAATTTGTTGTGAGTTTTGGCAATTTTATTAAAAGACAATGTTTTTTAAGATTGTATTCTTTGTTGTATAGGGGTTTTATTATATGGACCTCCGGGTTGTGGGAAAACAATGGTTGCTAAGGCCACAGCAAGAAATGCAGGTGATTAATTTACCTAAAACCATGTAAATTTTAGAAACTATGAGAGAAATGAAATGATGTATAATCAGGGAGCTAGCTTGAGTGCATTTTTTTGCAATAAAAACGTTGTTTCTTTCAAGGTTGTCGTTTCATAAATGTCCAAGTGTCTACTCTGCATGACAAATGGTATGGCGAATCGCAGAAGTTAGCTGCAGCTCTTTTCTCACTGGTAAGTACTGAGGAGGGTTGATGTTCATGCAATGTCAGAGATTTCATCACCATTTGATATATTTCATATAGGCAAGAAAATTGGCTCCTTGTATAGTGTTTATAGATGAAATTGGTATGTAAATGGCAGTGAAAATAAAGTTGCAACCATCCATAGCAATGTTTAACTAATTAGCAATCATCTTTATCACAAAATCCTACCATTTCTAATTGCTTGTTTCTTGATTTTTCAGATTCATTCCTGAGAAGTCGTTCCCTTCACGACCATGAGGTCACTGCAATGGTGAAAGCACAGTTTATGAACATGTGGGATGGTATGTTCAGTCATTGCTACATTAGCCTTGCCTTACACTAAAATGCAGCCAGAGATGTTTAGGCAAAAAAATTCTTACCATGAATTTGCAGACCCTAGATGAACCTGTAACTTTCACATCTGAATGGCTTTGTTGAAACCTTAAATGTTAGGCTGTCATGTTTAACATGAACTCCACTATCCACTACACACTCAAGTGACTCAACTTTCTATGACATTGGCTGTGAGCAAGTTTAATATTTTCTCAATCATCAATTTCCCTGGCAGGTCTTCAAACAGAGGAGGATTGTCAGGTGATGATAATGGGTGCTACTAATAGACCAGAGGATGTAGACACAGCAATTCTAAGAAGAATGGTTGCTGCATTTCATGTTGGTCTGCCTGTGAGTGTGCGAAACATCAGATTATTATCATTCAAAACTCTATCTAACTACAGTCCAATTTTCCTTGATCGTATTTCTAGGACGGAAAGCAAAGAGAATCAATTCTAAAGATCATTCTTGCAAACGAAAGGGTCAGTGAGACAGTTTGGTAGTAAAATTTTAGAGCCTGTTTTGAGACTTTGAGCTTATACCGTTATACGTTTAGTTAGTGCAAGGTCCACAAATGCAACTTGCAGTATCTCACATTTTTCAATCGTCCAGGTGGAGGAAGATTTTGATTACGGCCATATTGCATCTCTAACGGAAGGTTGTTCTGGGAGTGATATAAAAGAATTATGTAAGTTGATCAACAAGAATCCGAGTTCTCGGTTTTCTTTCGTCAATGCTCTACAAGCTAGCCGTGTACTAAGGTTCGTTTTGTACTTAAACAGGTCGAAGCGCCGCAATAGGCTGTGTCAGAGAGTATTTATCAGGTTTTGAGTGGTAAGTACAACTGTACAAGGATAAAATATTTACACGTCCCCATACCGTCATTAATGAAAACGTCTTTGGCTTTTCGCCAGATCTATACTACTTTAGAAGCTTGTAATATTCGCTTGTAATATATACTGGCTTTTCCAATCCACTAGCGAGTTTCGCTATTACCATTGCGGCAAATGCCGAATTGAATGTGAAAATCATTATAATTTTCACTCCTCATACTCTTGATAAAGCCTTGCATACTGAAAGGGAAAATGAAAGAGTTTATAGTTTCATTTTCAACATGTCACAATAGAGGTTGACTAACCTATGCCTCGGTGTACATTGCGAGTCTGTGACGCCTGGTCATTGACGTTGTACTTTATTTATAGCGATGAAGACTATGCAAATCTAGAAAAACTGGATGAAGTGACTATCAGAAACATTAATACGAAAGACATGGAAGCAGCTATCGAGAAGTGCAAACCACTTTTTGTTCATCATAAATCTCGAACTGAAGCACAGAAGTAGCTTTCCTATAATTATAAAAACTTATATTAGCTTTATTACACGGAATGGTCACAAGACATGGTCTGAAAATCTAGCAAGCTTCGGTGTTTCTAGCTAAGGTTTTGATGTTAAGAAGACCCAAATCTTTTGAAACTTTTCATACTTGATATTTCGGAGGGATTAGCGAGGTAACACCATTAGAAAGATTACTTCGTTATTCAGAAAACCCATCGTGTTCACCATTTAAAAGTTGCATATAAACATGAGCAAAATGAACCAATACCTTAGGCTTGTTTCCAGACCATTTCTTTATCGATTGTTGCTACGATAAGATTTTTACTCACTGGTGTCATAAATGCTGAGTCAGTTACTACCATTTTGATAATATAACAAGCTACATTGAACGAGGAGACTATGGTGACAATAGACAGTGTTCTGACAGGGATAATATATAATATACCTTAAGTTAAGTCTTAGAAACATGAACTTTATGTTGAATTTTGTTTGGTCATAAGTAGGAATAAACAGTAACAAAACAAGCCTTTGGCCTTTGAGAATAATTTGAATAGTCATTCTTTTCCCGGAATGAACGAGGAACATTGCGATGCTTCTGTGCTGTGTTCATTCCCATTGTTATATACCACACAATTCATACCGAGTATCTCAACAAAAATATGGGATGGAATAACATCTCTCAACGGTAGTCTATTCTGGTAACAGTAACACAACAGTATGATGGTAGTTCCATCAGTATAACGTTTACACTGAAATGACATAATGTATCATCTCCACAACCGCTGGTAATATCACTTCTGCTGGTGGGCCAAACCTGTGGTAATCTTTTGCCACAAATCTTTCTTTTTAGCCGTACTTCGTCGTATGTTCTGAAGCAGATCATTAAACTGTGTCATCCCCCCCGGCGCCATGCAGTACGCTCCCCGAGCGTGCATTATAAGCTCGACAAATTCCGGGTACTCGGACTTCGGAAGACCTTGTAGATTCTGCTGCACGCATTGCGAATAGTTCATGAGGCATTTTTGAACCATAGGACTCAGACTCGGCGAACGAAGATGAAATGCGATCTGGTTTGGATTGGCTTTTGCCATGAAACGGGCCGCTTCTAAGGCAAGCTCATGTAAAACGAACGGACTATGAATTGAATTAACACAAACTCTACAGAATCTCTGCAGAGCGGAAATGCCTACTTTATTAGCAATACCGCATAGCCAATGTATTTCGGTTTTGAATGGCGGGCTCTTTGCGAGCATCGTGTTCGGTTGATCGTCGGCTGGTCGTCGGCCGAGGTTCTCCAAGGCGAGCATGCCCACTCGATACGCACTAGCAAGCTCCTGTTGTACTTGTGGTTGTCCCCAGCCCCCAACCTGGTAACTCTCGACCAAGTGCTGAACTTGCTGAGTGATCTGCTGTTGAACGAGTTGTTCCGGGGTGGGAAGAGGAATGAATAATGCATAATTCCTGTTGTCACGGTAACCATATGACGTGGCCTGCGAGTGATGGGAGGGTGATAGGCCCGTGCGAGGCATTTTTACAATGACCGGTTGTTGAGAAGAGTGGGCGTTAGAAATGCGTCTTCGTGACTCGTCCTCAACCCGTGGTTCCGTAGGTTCTTCATGGGGTCCGCGTGTTTCGCGATCATCGTGATTGCCACGTGGGTCGTTATCCTGGACCTCGTGGGCACCACGTTCCTGTGGACCTCTGTGTTCGCCATTTTCCTGAGGCTGTGCTTGCTCGTACAGATATTCCCAATGTTTGGCGATCTCGAACAACACTTCAGGGTACACTCCCCCACCACGTGCAGCCGTTTCCACCGCTATACACGCTTCCTTCAACAGTCCTGAACCCTGCTCCTTGCACTGGGTAAGAGCGCTCCTGATATACCCCGGGTTCAAGGTGTGCGCCATAGACAAACACGCCAAAGCAAGCTTTGCGGCTCTTTCAACAGTCAACTGATCGTTCGACTTCGACGCTCGGTCGGAAATGGACGCAACTTCAGCTGCAGTGAGATGATCTCGCCATTTCTCGTGGAGAATGTTCAATGCTATGTTCCCCAACTCGAGGGCTTGCGTGGATATCCACGAGACATGCGCAGAATAGGTACGAGAAAGCCAGTTAAAGCAAGTCGTATTGTGCAGTCCCAGGGCGAACAATCCCAGCTCGAACGCGCAGAGTTGTAATGAACGATTACAAATGGATTGAGTTACGTTGCTCGTGGGCTCAGCTTGCCCAAATATGGAATTAGGGGATGGCGTCGCCCCTCCAGCGAGCATAAGAACTTTCTTTGCAAGTTCAAAAGTAAAATGTGCTTCAGCCTCCAACGCTCTCTTATCGTGATATGATCGACTTTTACTCGGGTTTCTGTTCCACTGGCCATATCGTCTCCCTTTCCTAAACTTACTTCGGTTGTCGTGATTATCACCCTGGGGTATGTCATTTTCTTTCTGAGATTCAGGATTTTTAGCTTCATTCCATCCGTCAGAATTCCAACCATCGTCAACCGGAGGCGCACGATTTTCATTGTCATTTTGAGGTACCTGATTTTGAGAGTCACTCTGAGCGATGGAATTTACACTACCATCTTGCGGAATGCGGCTTCCACTTAGGACATCATTTTGAGTGATGGAGTTTTGCAAGACATTTTGAGCGATTGATTTTCGACTTTCATCTTGAGGGATATCAATGGGTACATTACTTGCTCCCTCGCGATGGTCTATGCTTGAGCCACTGATGTTCCCTTCTCTCCCCGCCAACCCACTGCTACTCCTCTGTATCCGTACTTCTTCCCCGGGTGAATGGTTACCGGAGATTTCCCCCTCACTATAATTTTCCCGAGAGGGGCATCTCGCCGGGACGTGGGTGTCGTTGTCCGAGTCTCTCCCACTATCCCCGGCCGCTCTAAACTCCTCCTGTGGGGAAAGATCATCCGAGAGGCAGGAACTCCAGGAATTCTGACGAGAACCCGAGGAGTCTGTAGACAATGATATCTTCGCATTGTCCGATGATGACCTCGATGCTGTCGACTTGTCGTCGGCAACGGCTCGGGAATTGTCGTCATCCTCGTGAGACGATTGCCTTGATAATTGAGAATCAAAATAGATCTAAGTAACTCCCCATCCACTTCTAAATCCCAGTGTTGGGAGAACACTTTCTCACGTGTCCAAAATGATGTAATAGATACAGACAACCCCCCCAAAATGATGCAATAGACACAGACACACACAGGGGGGCTTGTAACAATCAGCCTACCTTTTCCCGCGCTGAGCAAACCCACGACGACTATCCCCAGTCCTTTTCTCGTAGCTTTTTTCCTTTCTTCCCTTGTTATTACTATTTCGTCGGTTTCCACTGAAGTGAGCCTCCGGCAGTCTGTAGCGTTTGCGATCCAGCAGACACTCCTTGACTTGCTGTAGATACGTGGAGTTATCTTTGGCGTAATCCAACAAGGCTAGAGCCAGTTCACCTCGCTGTCGTCTTATTCCTTCGCATAACATTGGATATTCTGTCTCAAGTATATCTGATTTCATGTCTGAAGAGAAAAAGGACTGATATAGACTGCTATAATAGAAGTCAGAAACCTGGAATAATAATTTATACTGGATAGCTCTATCAGTTCTAAACTGTTCTTCCTAGAGGTCCAGTAAGGATCATCTCTTATTGATCCAGTGTTACTACAGGAGGAAACCTAAACTAAACTAACTTTATTTATACTGGATAGCTCTATCAGTTCTAAACTGTTCTTCCTAGAGGTCCAGTAAGGATCATCTCTTATTGATCCAGTGTTATTACAGGAGGAAACCTAAACTAAACTTTATCAATACTGGATAGCTCTATCAGTTCTAAACTGTTCTTCCTAGAGGTTCACTAAGGATCATCTCTTATTGATCCAGTGTTACTACAGGAGGAAACCTAAACTACACCAACTTTATTTGAACTAAGCTCTATCAGTTCTATTGGAAAACTATATTTGTTTCCCTCAGAGGAGGAGTAAAGATCACCTAATATTGATCTTAAGGTAACCTAGGCTACAGTCACGTATTTATACAGGACAGATACAGGCCTATATTACCCAGCTATGCATTACATTAACATCGCTTACTTAAGGCGGCGAGTCCAGTTTTAAATCCCAATTCCTTATCCTCGTCTGTCGGATCACGAGATTTGGTCAAAACGTGAAATAGGAATATCGCTAATTTGATTGGCAGAACAGCCTTGCCTCGTTCCAACTTCCCCTGACACAACAACTGCGCCTGTTTCCTCGCCACTGTGAACTCCGCTGAGCCAAGAGGCAGCTTGTTTAGAAGACTAACCAACTCCGTCTCTTGATTTGCTAATTTCACCTGCAAAGGAAAAAGCGATTGAATGTTTGCTGTCAATCAAAGCGAAAATTAAAGTTGAAACATTTTTCTCACTCACTTCAAGCGCTTTGCTCCTCGCAGGTCGTCTCAGAGCCTGCAAACCATGAAGGCCAATCCTGAAGGCCAAGTGGTGTTTCCTCGGATCTTGATGTAAAACGTTGCAAAGAAACGTTGCTCGAACCACAGAACTCTTGATAAAACAACTGGAGTCTTCAACTTGTCTTTCCACCGAATCATTTCCTTCCTCGCCTTGACAGTTCTCAGCAAGAATCCTCTCGGAAATTAGTTCTGCAATTTGACTTCCTTCTGGGTAACCATGAACCTATGTGAAAAATCGCAAAGAACAGCTACAGATCGATTTAATAACTCACACTCTGTTCTTCCTAGTGGTGCAGTAAGGATCATCTCTTATTGATCCAGTGTCACTACAGGAGGAAACCTAAACTAAACTAATTTTATTTATACTGGACAGCTCTATCAGTTCTAAACTGTTCTTCCTAGAGGTCCAGTAAGGATCATCTCTTATTGATCCAGTGTTACTACAGGAGGAAACCTAAACTAAACTAACTTCCGAACTTTAACTCTATCTTAATGTGACCGACATGTGTACATACCTGTAGAGCCTCAGCCCTGGTGCATAGTGTGTCAACATCTTCGTTAATCTCCTCAATATGCTTCATTTCAAACTCAGCACTCGAGGTATGACCAGTGATCTCTTGGGGTACTAAATCACCGGGATTGTTCTTGCTAGTGTTTGATCGAAGAATAATGAGTGACCAGTCCAGTGAGCAAGCTTCGATTGCAGTTTTAAACCCAGGGAAGTTTTCAATTGCTCGAGCGTATCCAAAGATTCGGTCACCAAGATAACGGGCTGAAAAGTGTAAAGAGAATGATGGTAGAAATAAAATAATAGGAGGGACGGAGGTGGCAATATAGTATGTAGCTGGGAGATATGAAGGATGAAATAGGGAGAAAAGGAGGGAGACATGAAAGATGAAATAGGGAGAATAGGAGGGAGACATGAAGGATGAAATAGGGAGAATAGGAGGGAGACATGGTGAGGAAAGATGGGATAGAGGTGTGATGTATGGGGATAACTTTGACATGTCGAAGGAGGAAGAAAGTATATGATAGAGGAAATTATTTTACCATTTTTAGCTTTTTCAATTGTCTTGCATTGCCATTGTTCCAATCTTTCCCTCAATTTCTGCTTTTCATCAGAACTCAGCATTGGATCCAAGCACGCCAACCGCCAAAGGACTACCAGCTCATCACAAAAACTAGCACAAGCATGTTTGGTCATCTCTGTACTTGCAGTATTGATGTTGCTCTTGTAATCATCTTTGTTCTTCTTATAAGACTGTTCCCGTCTCCCTGAGCCCTGGCTACGACTGTTGAACCACCACACAACAATCTGGTCAAAGGAGAGACACTCTTGTGTCAGTAGTTGCAATAGTTCAACAGCATTTGGGTCTCTGTGTTGGAATAGTTCTCGTACGATCGAGAGCAGGTTCCACATGCCCTCTGGGTCATGAGTTGTCAGTGGCCTCAGCAGGTTTGACCTGGTAGAAAAATTTAATCAAATCTTAGAATACCAACTACACTGGACCACCACATTTGAGATATCTTTTTCAGGTAGTTCAGACACAAACCACGACAGCTTATTGTAGAATACTACCTACACTGACACCGCGGAAATTGGTATAGGCTTAGCCGCAATTCTCGATACTTAGACTTCAAACTTGGTGAGGAAAAAGATTTATAAATATTCAAGAAAATATGTCTTGCACAAAAGATTTGAAGCTTGCTCACGGTAAAAACGAATCGTCTGAATTAATAACCTTGTGTATACTTTAAGCCTCAAAATGGCCATTTCACAGCGGTCAGATGTGTATGATGAGCTGTCAAAAGATTGCAGAATGCGTATTCAGAAGAAAAATTGAACTTTTTTAAGATATTCAAAAGGTTTCTCTTTGATAGGGCGATACAGAAATGCACAATTGTGAACCAGCGATTAGATTTTCGGGTTGAAACGTCTTAAACACCAATTTCTGCGATGTCACCTACACTAGACCACCACGTTTGAGATATCTTTTTCAGGTAGTTCAGACACAAACCACGACAGCTTATTGTAGAATACTACCTACACTGGACCATGTGTAGTAGATATATTTTTCAGGTAGTTCAGATGAACCAGTAAAATGCCTACACCGGAACACAATATCATTAACTTACCACTCAGCTGCAGTTGGTGGAGCAGTAGATGCAAACTGCAAGTTGTAAGCTTCTTCTAAAACAAAAGGACCAGGACCGCAGAATTTTGACAGCATTTTTCTGATGTTATCACGAAGAGCTTTTTCATCCATCCACCACTGGTTTTTCGTTTCAGCAGATGGACCTGCAGTTGGATCTAGGAATATAAAGGTGGTCAGTAAAATGCTTTTATATTTTTTAACTTTTAGAAAGACAACAATACCTGGAGCTCCAACTGCAGTGTTTATTTCTGAGTCATTGGACAATAGCAACTGATCAAGAAGTTTTTGAGCATAAGGCAATAACTGAAATATACATAAAATTTGGTAAATTAGTGCATGGTAAATTAGGTCTGATAGAACTACCCAGTGGATAAAAGTTAGTTCAATTTAGTTTTGGTTTTCTAGGACAAACAGTTTAGAACTGATAGAGCTACTGTATCCAGTATAAAAAAAGTTAGTTTAGTTTAGGTTTCCTCCTGCAGTAACACTGGATAAATAAGAGATGATCCTTACTGGATCTCTAGGAAGAACAGTTTAGAACTGATAGAACTATCCAGTATAAATAAAGTTAGTTTAGTTTAGATTTCCTACAAGTGATGTCAGTGCATGATGTCTACCTGTTGAGGAAGTTCACTGATTAAATATTGAGAAAACTTCTGCAGTTGGTTTCTTTGTAATCTTGAGAGAGACTCAGACACAGGAGGCCTCAGAACCACTGACTGTGGCTGATATATTCTGTGTAGACACAGTGCAACAATATGAGAACACCATGCTGCCGTCGGACCACATGTGCACATGCATGAAGTCACATGACCTCGGTCAAACACCACGGCAGACTTATGCACCTGATCAATGTTACAATTGGTCGGTAACATCCCATGATTATGAGGAAGAAGACAGCCACTTAAATGAAACCCTAAAAAAATTCAGATGTTCAATCAAGCCAATGTGTTAATTCACACTGTTATATACACATACAGTGTCAGAAAAGTAACTTTACTATCTCTGCACAGACAGATAATACGCTTTGGATCAGTCTAAATAAAGAATATGATTTGCTTCCTGAAAATCACGATAATCCTTTCCTACAAGTTCAACAACTTTGTTACAACTTGTTGACATATTTTGCAACAGGTATGAAGAGTTCCAAAAACCCCTCAAATTCTTTCGCCACAACTCAAAGAGATCTAATGCGTACCTATTTGCAACGGTTCTACGACAGCTTTGACACGATAAAGTTGCTCTCCTTTTGAAAATTCTTCAGACGAGCCATTAGCCAGGCACGAATACAAACGAATATTATCATCGCTTCGGGGAAAAGACCAAAACGCGATCCTCAACTGTAACTGTTCTGGCAAATTCGGACATGATTTCTCCACCGTTTCAAATGAAACAGAGACAGCTACAACTTTCGAGCAAAGTTCTATTAAAGTCTCAACATTTGGCTGGTTGTTTCGCGATGGGAAAGTGTCGTTGTTTGAAGCGCTTCTTTTCCAACCGCGCCAGTCACCACAAATACTTTCGGGGTCGGAGACCCAAGAACACAGTGACATTTCATCGAATCTATCACTGTCTTCAAAACTAAAAGTGCCATCATTATTTTCCCCAGAGTCCGTAAGATTATCCATCTCTATTTTGATGTTAAAACCGCACAAGAAACGTTCGCATTTTACGTTACAAACAAAACTTTGTCCGACATTCTTCCATTTCCGATCAATGTCGAATACTTGTCTGTGAATGTCTGGTTCATCTTCGTCCCCAGGTCGAATTAGAGGATTACGATTTGGATTAGGTCTTAGATTAAAGTTAGATTAGGGTTAACCTTAATCCTAGAGCTCGAAGAGCTTGCAAAATTTTCAAACAATCGCCAATTTTTTCTTACCCCAATCTCCTCTACAGATTGTGCTGGTAAATTTTAAAAAAACGTTGCTTCAAAATCACGAACAATGAAGAGCCCCTAGCAACTTCACTTTACCAATTTCTACACTAATAACACTAACTAACAAAGCTTTTAAGATTATTTTGTATTAATTCATTGATTTACATCATTTTTGACAAATTTAAAAATCTCAAGCAAAGTGGAAAATCTGCAACATTTGAAGAGAAGAAACAATTATAGGTTCTGAAATTCTCATATTCTCATATTGTCTGTACAATTCATATGTTCGAAGTCCAGTGTAACAACCCAGATCAGTGGTATGAGTGACGTTCAAATATGACACTGGGACCCAATCATTTGGACCTGCGCAAATTTATCACCGTACGCCTCGAATGGGCAGAGTTACAGCATGGAAGAAAGTAACCAGCATTTTCACTAATAATAACCACCTCTTTATTTCATCGATTTCCATTAAATACTCTATTGATTCCGCAGCCAGGTGTCTTCTGTTTTCAGTTTGATCAACATGCAAACGTGAAACGTGTCGCACCACTTTAAGCTTCTGAAGTTATTCGTTTTCTGCTTGCCAGGGCTGCGTGCTGTCCTTAAACCATGGCCATCTCGGGCTCGTACGTAGGATGGGTGAATTTAAGTGAACGTGCAGTTTGCCTGTAGACAAACTGCCTCGCCTGTTCTGTCAGGAATTTCTGATCCTCTGTCTGTCCACACGCCACTTCTTGAAATGTCTAAAGTTCAGATGAATACGAAAGTTAATCGAGTTTTCAGTAGAAAATCTGCAGTTGTCAATGTTAGAAGAGGTGATATCCTCCTGGTAGCAAATAAACAATCAGGCGTTGGAGTTTGCTCAACTCTTTATTCCTTGTACAGTATGCTTAGAATTGTGATGGAAATGTTGTAATTACACTTCATTTCTTTCTAACCTTGAATAATATACTATGGTTCCCAGTTGGAGTTTCGAAAGATAAAAAGTTTGGTACTGGCGATGGCTTCTGTTGAATTTCCTACACAAAAATATAATTTGTATGTTAGATGTTGTTTATAGACACTGTTCTTCCCAATACAGAACAGAAGACATCAACTAACATCGTCCTGTATCAACGAACTCCAGCCACTGACTCAAGTCAAGAACAAGGATTAAAATTAATACATTCATCTTTTTACATAACAATATATTATGAATCGTATTTTAGCTCACCTGAACGGGACTACCCTCGATTGCCGCAGCAAAAGTTAATATTTGACCATACGAATCATTGAAATGATGATGATTGTCAAGAGTTTTACTCGGCGTCACGTATTCATCTCCTACTCCAAAAACATCGTGAGGTTTGACTGCTGATGAAGAGAGCGGGGAAATGTATGATGCGTCCAGACCATTATCCCCCAATTCCTACAAACAGATATTTCTCAGTATGTTACTAATAATACAGCTAACAGGAAAAGTTGCGCTCAGTTCTAAAGATGTAAGGCTCGTTCAACTCATGATGCCGGATCCTATCAACCCCACCTCAACTAGAAGATTTAGCCATTCACTTACCACGTGAACAGGAGCTGTCGAGTTCTTAGGGAGCTCGGCCGAGTTGGATGACATGATTGGTTGCACGGTGGTTAGAAAGGTTTCTGACATGCTCTGGGGTAAGCCAGCCTGGTAGCTCTCTTCCAAGGTTTGTCTCATGTTTCCCACAGAGCAGTTAGCGTGTTGTAAAGACGGAATGATTTCCTGCGCGGCTTCAGCTTCGTCTCGTTCAATAATTTCCGTGATATCCTGCTCCAAATGACCGTTCATTGCCTGCACAGAGAACACAACACGACTTACGCTGTATTCTAAAAGCTCACTCACACTCCAACTCGTTCAGTTGAAGATCTCAGTCATTTCATAGCGATCCCTTTGCGATATTTCCGCTCGAATAAGTGCTTGATTTTTAATGTTTTATACCAAATCTTTTACAAAATATTTCCGCTAGGAAAGTCGATGAGTGGATGGTAGAGCCTGTACATTTCTACTCAAACATTTCTACTCAAACATTTCTACTCAAACATTTTTACTCAAACATTTCTACTCAAACATTTCTACTCAAACGTTTGAACTTACCATAGTGGAAGCTTGGAAGGTCGCTAAGGCTTCTTTGAAAGGCGTGGGTGTACGGGGACTGTCAGTGAGCAATGATCGTCTTATTTTAGGAGTCCTGAACGTGCCGTTTGCCTCGATCTTGGGCGTGTTGAGACAGTCTCTTGAAAACACTGGTGTCGATGTGAGGGTGGGCCGGGAGGAACAGGGGGTGGAGGTACAGATCAGGGTTCCCCCTCTCGCCGTGATTGGACTGTTGAAAAACTGCGAGGGGGAAAAGGGAAGGGATTTTATCGGCGTACTCTGGGGTGTGGCCCCTGATGTTGAGTTCAGCGAGGAGGTTGTGGCATTTAACGAAGTATTACTGCATGACTCGCGCTGGGAGATGAAGGTTAAGGAAGAGAACAATACGACGAAGGTTTTACAATCTCAAATTAATCCAGTGTTACTACAGGAAGAAACCTAAACTAAACTAACTTTATTTATACTGGATAGTTCTATCAGTTCTAAACTGTTCTTCCTAGAGGTCCAGTAAGGATCATCTCTTATTGATCCAGTGTTACTACAGGAAGAAACCTAAACTAAACTAACTTTATTTATACTGGATAGCTCTATCAGTTCTAAACTGATCTTCCTAGAGGTCCAGTAAGGATCATCTCTTATTGATCCAGTGTTACTACAGGAGGAAACCTAAACTAAACTAACTTTATTTATACTGGATAGCTCTATCAGTTCTAAACTGTTCTTCCTAGAGGTCCAGTAAGGATCATCTCTTATTGATCCAGTGTTACTACAGGAGGAAACCTAAACTAAACTAACTTTATTTATACTAGATAGCTCCATCAGTTCTAAACTGTTATTCCTAGAAGCCCAGTAAAGGGTTAACTCCGGTGTTACGCGGAAGACGACTCAGCAAGACTAAAAAAGATACTCGTCTCTTTTTGCCTTTTCTCAAGATAGCTGGAGGTGTGCGGAATCGGCTCGTTACAAGAGGTGATGTGATCGGAATGAGAGATCTGTAACATTTTAAAACAGAATTGGTGTGAGACAAAAGTGACGGGTAGTTGATCACTTGGGAAAGTACATACCCTTTTCCATTGCTGCTCTGTAAAGAGGCTATTGTTTTCCCATCCAATCGACAGCCTGAATGGAGACAAAATACGTGTGTTAAAAGCTTTATTTTCATCATTTTTAGTACCACACTTTCCCTTCCCTCTGCTCCTTTCGCCAAACCTCTTTCCCTCATATCCCCCTTCCAAGTATGACAAACGTATAATTGTATCCCCTACCAAACATTCCTGGCGAGTTCCATTTGCCACTCCTCTTCGCTGCGTGCATGTCTGGACTGGAGTCATCGAGAAAACCACTCACTCCTGACCAGGTTTGTTGATCAAGATCAAAAAGATCTTTAAGATCCTTCAGTTCATCCGTGATCGTCCTCAATGGCGACAACATATCATTGGGGTTCGTCGTTTGACAGGCATCGCTGTTTGCTGTCGAGTTGGCATTTCTGCAGATTAATTGAAATAGGGTAAATCATCCACTTCTGAATACTGGATAACTCTATCAGTTCTAAACTGTTCTTCCTAGAGCTCCAGTAAGGATCATCTCTTATTGATCCAGTGTTACTACAGGAGGAAACCTAAACTAAACTAACTTTATTTATACTGGATAACTCTATCAGTTCTAAACTGTTCTTCCTAGAGCTCCAGTAAGGATCATCTCTTATTGATCCAGTGTTACTACAGGAGGAAACCTAAACTAAACTAACTTTATTTACACTGGATAGCTCTATCAGTTCTAAACTGTTCTTCCGAGAGGTCCAGTAAGGATCATCTCTTATTGATCCAGTGTTACTACAGGAGGAAACCTAAACTAAACTAACTTTATTTATACTGGATAACTCTATCAGTTCTAAACTGTTCTTCCTAGAGCTCCAGTAAGGATCATCTCTTATTGATCCAGTGTTACTACAGGAGGAAACCTAAACTAAACTAACTTTATTTATACTGGATAGCACTCTATCAGTTCTAAACTGTTCTTCCTAGAGTTCCAGTAAGGATCATCTCTTATTGATCCAGTGTTACTACAGGAGGAAACCTAAACTAAACTAACTTTATTTATACTGGATAGCACTCTATCAGTTCTAAACTGTTCTTCCTAGAGTTCCAGTAAGGATCATCTCTTATTGATCCAGTGTTACTACAGGAGGAACCTAAACTAAACTAACTTTATTTATACTGGATAGCACTCTATCAGTTCTAAACTGTTCTTCCTAGAGTTCCAGTAAGGATCATCTCTTATTGATCCAGTGTTACTACAGGAGGAAACCTAAACTAAACTAACTTATTTATACTGGATAGCACTCTCAGTTCTAAACTGTTCTTCCTAGAGTTCCAGTAAGGATCATCTCTTATTGATCCAGTGTTACACAGGAGGAACCTAAACTAAACTAACTTTATTTATACTGGATAGCTCTATCAGTTCTAAACTGTTCTTCCTAGAGCTCCAGTAAGGATCATCTCTTATTGATCCAGTGTTACTACAGGAGGAAACCTAAACTAAACTAACTTTATTTACACTGGATAGCTCTATCAGTTCTAAACTGTTCTTCCGAGGTCCAGTAAGGATCATCTCTTATTGATCCAGTGTTACTACAGGAGGAAACCTAAACTAAACTAACTTTATTTATACTGGATAGCACTCTATCAGTTCTAAACTGTTCTTCCTAGAGTTCCAGTAAGGATCATCTCTTATTGATCCAGTGTTACTACAGGAGGAAACCTAAACTAAACTAACTTTATTTATACTGGATAGCACTCTATCAGTTCTAAACTGTTCTTCCTAGAGTTCCAGTAAGGATCATCTCTTATTGATCCAGTGTTACTACAGGAGGAAACCTAAACTAAACTAACTTTATTTATACTGGATAGCACTCTATCAGTTCTAAACTGTTCTTCCTAGAGTTCCAGTAAGGATCATCTCTTATTGATCCAGTGTTACTACAGGAGGAAACCTAAACTAAACTAACTTTATTTATACTGGATAGCACTCTATCAGTTCTAAACTGTTCTTCCTAGAGTTCCAGTAAGGATCATCTCTTATTGATCCAGTGTTACTACAGGAGGAAACCTAAACTAAACTAACTTTATTTATACTGGATAGCTCTATCAGTTCTAAACTGTTCTTCCTAGAGCTCCAGTAAGGATCATCTCTTATTGATCCAGTGTTACTACAGGAGGAAACCTAAACTAAACTAACTTTATTTACACTGGATAGCTCTATCAGTTCTAAACTGTTCTTCCGAGAGGTCCAGTAAGGATCATCTCTTATTGATCCAGTGTTACTACAGGAGGAAACCTAAACTAAACTAACTTTATTTATACTGGATAGCACTCTATCAGTTCTAAACTGTTCTTCCTAGAGTTCCAGTAAGGATCATCTCTTATTGATCCAGTGTACTACAGGAGGAAACCTAAACTAAACTAACTTTATTTATACTGGATAGCACTCTATCAGTTCTAAACTGTTCTTCCTAGAGTTCCAGTAAGGATCATCTCTTATTGATCCAGTGTTACTACAGGAGGAAACCTAAACTAAACTAACTTTATTTATACTGGATAGCACTCTATCAGTTCTAAACTGTTCTTCCTAGAGTTCCAGTAAGGATCATCTCTTATTGATCCAGTGTTACTACAGGAGGAAACCTAAACTAAACTAACTTTATTTATACTGGATAGCTCTATCAGTTCTAAACTGTTCTTCCTAGAGGTCCAGTAAGAATCATCTCTTATTGATCCAGTGTTACTACAGGAGGAAACCTAAACTAAACTAACTTTATTTATACTGGATAGCTCTATCAGTTCTAAACTGTTCTTCCGAGAGGTCCAGTAAGAATCATCTCTTATTGATCCAGTGTTACTACAGGAGGAAACCTAAACTAAACTAACTTTATTTATACTGGATAGCTCTATCAGTTCTAAACTGTTCTTCCGAGAGGTCCAGTAAGGATCATCTCTTATTGATCCAGTGTTACTACAGGAGGAAACCTAAACTAAACTAACTTTATTTACACTGGATAGCTCTATCAGTTCTAAACTGTTCTTCCTAGAGGTCCAGTAAGGATCATCTCTTATTGATCCAGTGTTACTACAGGAGGAAACCTAAACTAAACTAACTTTATTTATACTGGATAGCTCTATCAGTTCTAAACTGTTCTTCCTAGAGGTCCAGTAAGGATCATCTCTTATTGATCCAGTGTTACTACAGGAGGAAACCTAAACTAAACTAACTTTATTTATACTGGATAGCTCTATCAGTTCTAAACTGTTCTTCCTAGAGTTCCAGTAAGGATCATCTCTTATTGATCCAGTGTTACTACAGGAGGAAACCTAAACTAAACTAACTTTATTTATGCTGGATAGCTCTATCAGTTCTAAACTGTTCTTCCTAGAGGTCCAGTAAGGATCATCTCTTATTGATCCAGTGTTATTTCTGGAATTCTTCTTCATTTGAACAGTGAAATCATTCAGACCAACCTTTGATCGCTAGTGATGTTCTTGCAATCAGCAAACGAGGAAGAAATCTGTTGAGTAGTATCTCGTGCAATGGTCGGTATAATCTCAACAAGATCTTGTGATTGATATGCTTGCATTGCGCGATTGTCCCGGGAAACTTCACAATGGGACCAGTGAGCTCGTCTTTTGTCTAAAAACAAAAAAACATTTCGTTCAAACAGTTTCGATTCGTTGCAAGGTTATATTGAAAATAATCTTTTCAAAAATGTTTGAGTACTGAAATGACCGCTAGGCGAGAATCAACTTACCCTTTTGTCTTGAAACTTTGTTATAATATTTTCCCTTTAAAAAACAAAGAAAAAATAAATCTCTTAGGGTTTTTTAGCCTTCAGCGGTTTCTATTCTTTGTCGTTAAAAGGGGCAATATTCTTCTGTATAGGAATTATCAATGATCTCATGTAAAAACAGTTCTTTTTACTAACTGTTCTATATCTGTTCTCTTTATATTCTTCATAGCCTTGAGTTTCAACGCGCTTTTTCATCGTGGAGTTCCAATGATTCTTTATCGCATTATCGGTCCTGTATCAAGTTGAAAAGCATCGAGAATTGATTCTTTGAGAAGTATTCTTTTTAGACCTTAAATTCCTGCACGACTTCTGAGTTGGGTTTAAAAAAGGATAAAGAACTTTTGCTACCTCCCCGGGACCATTTTAGCAATCTCTGCCCACTTGTTTCCTATCTTTGAATGAGCGTCGTAAATAATCTTATCTTCCTCTTCTGTCCACGCTGTCTTCTTGATCGCTGGATTGAGATGGTTGTGCCACCTGATTAAAGAAATCGTTACTTTTGACACTGCTCTGGTATAGATGGAGAGATTTTAAAGACACAGGAAGAATGGGTGAAACTCTCAGTTGTGTGGTGTGGTGTTTGCTTGTAGTCATACTAAAAATTCTTCATTATAAAGATCTTTCCATGACGGAGTACGGACATTCTATTCGACGTCACACAAGACTACATACAGAAAGCACTGAAACTTCACCCTGCTTCACCCTACCTTTCCCTACACTGCTTCCCAATCCTCCCAGGTAAATGTTGCGCGATTGTTGACCATCGTTTTGGTCCAAACCTCCGGACCAACTCGACAACTTGTTGATCTTCCTGTGGCGGGAGACACAGTAATAAGTCATTCACGAGAAGCATAAAAACGTCTACTGATAGAGTTATCCAGTATAAATAAATTCGTTACTACCAAATATATTCTTTTTATTTTCAAATGGTCTAATTGTCTCTCATGGCTTTACTGAAAGCACTATGTTGGGCTTTAATATTTATCCAGTATAAATAAAGTTAGTTTAGTTTAGGTTTCCTCCTGTAGTAACACTGGATCAATACAAGAGATTATTATTACTGGACCTCTAGGAAGAACAATTTAATTAATTTAGTTGCACTTTCCTCGTGAAGCAGTATCACTGTATCAATTAGGAAGGACCATCACTCAACCTCTGCGGGGAACAACACAACCCATGCAGAACGAAACAAATCATTAATCATCGCACCTCTTTCGTCCAAGCTCCTTTTACGAGATCTGGATTAAGAACTTTCTCCCAGCGATGAAGGCATTGATGTTCACTTCGGTCATCAAAGTAACTCGCAATCTTCTCCCAGTCCTCGGAGCTCTCAGACTCCACCAAATGTTTCAATCTATCGTCCTGAGGCAATAAAAGTAACCATGATGAATAAATGAAGAAATATTGAAACTAAGCCGAACCTTTAACACTAACTCGAAGCATAGTCTTAATAAAAAATCGACACTAAAAATAACCTAACATACCATGTCACATTCTGGCCAACGTTCAGTAAATAACATTTACAACTCACAATTGTTGTCAAAGTAAATGCAAAAATGATATAGACGTACAAACTCGTTGGAGCTTTTTTTTTAAGAAATATTTCTCATCTTCTGACGTCAAAGGAGATCACACTAGAACCTAATATACCATTGGTTCCCAGGGAAAGTATTTTGTGGTAAATTTTGCTTTTCTATTTACAAGAGACCTTTTTGTTTTGCGCCAAGAACCGTCTGTGGGAATTATATTCCAGCATGAACTGAATATAGCTGGTCAGAATTTGACAAATACAGAGTGGTATAATATCACATCAAGTTTCCACTAGTTTGTATTTTTTATCAATGAAGTGTTTCAGTTGTAGTACGAGTAACCTTCTTTTGAAATTTAGGCAAACATAATAATATAGCCTACTTAACTCTTTACATGATGATTTCGACAAAGTTATTATACCGTAAAAAGCAGCAAAGCATGAAAGACCCTCGTTTGTAAATAAGTTTATAAGCATAAAATAAACAAATAAGATGAATATATCATCTCTTTGAGTCATTCACCAGATTATTCCATCATTTCAACACTGGATATTCTCCTAATGTAAAGGGGAAATGGCCTAGCTATTCAAATCATTTTCATGGGGAACATTGGAAGGGGAAATACAGCGCATTTTATAAAAGAAACCAAACAGACAGGAATCAATTCTATCTCGCATACAAGTAATGTCACTATATATAGTACACTTTACAGAGCCTTGTCATTTATTGAAATGGCATGTGGGTACGTCTTTGTTGATCTTCGGAAGGCAGTCCAACCTTTTTATCAAAGTTATGGCTTTTTTTTTAAACAGACGGAAACACATGCGGAATGCCTGAGTTATCGAGACTATACAATGCACTTCTTGAGAGCGTAGCTATATTCTGTACCATATACGTGTTTAATTCACTCGTGCCAAAACGCACTAACCGTGACAAAGTGGTCATTAAGTATATTGAACGTCAAAGAGGTACTATGATATACCTTGAAAAATGGCTTTCGATCCAAACTGACGAAGCAAAATTCGCTTACATATATGCCTGACATTTTCTCATTTGTAGAAGATAAAAAAAAGAAACTTTTGAGGAACGATATCTAACTAACTTGCGAATCATTCTTCAGACACGAGCAATATATAGCTTTTTATGGTCACATTTTTTGAGAATTTTTTTAAAAATATTCGTTTGTTTGGTGTCTTAAAGATAGTTTCATCGCATATATCTTATAGAGCAATGCCAAACATTCTCAGCACGCGGACAAAATTCTTACGTTGAGTATCGGATATTTGCCACAACATCTCCGGGGGAAAGCACTTGTAATTTATTATGTAAATGAGAGTAAATGAGTGGAATTAAATGTTTATAGGCTCAGCTTTCCACCCTTCGGAAGTTTTCATTTTAATCACGTTTTGGGGAGTTAAAAAGAGGACTCTTAAACACTCAAGACTCAAGAATATCGCGTCTTTATTTGGAAAAGAAAACCGATAATATTTTAAGGCATCATAGACGTCAAAAAGAAAAGCGAAATATTCTTCTCCCCCGTAGTACGTATTTCGCTCGACATAAACACCGTGCATGGGTTTCAAGGCAAAGCAATGCAAAACAATTCAAAAGAGCTACATCTTTACAAAAACGTGTCGAACTCGGCGCACGCGAGGGAGGGGGGGGGGTGATGTGTTGCAATCTATTTGGCCTGCATCAAGTAGATATAGTTTAGATATACAAGGGCAAATTTCTAACTTAACGAGCTCTTGTGATGTTTTCACTACTCGACGGTGAATCAATCGAGGACCTAGCTATATATATATACTCCAAGTCTCATGCACGAGTGTCTTGCCATCTGAGAGACGCTAAAACTATAGCTACCAGGAAAATATTGCAAGTCATCAATCGCGGCACAAGCCTAATTCATATATATAGAAAAAGGTGTATTTGCTTCATGGCCTGTAACTGATTTAAAAAAATTACGTCGTCATGAAAGTCTTCACAAAGGTCGTCATGTTCGTATAAATTCCATCTTATTTTTAAAAAAATATCTTGCCGTATGTATTGCGCTTGAATGTGAAATCGTGCACAGTTGAGAGGAATATTGAAAACAGATTGTTTAACTTACAAGGCATGGCCGCACTCGAAATTCTTGGCATGCGGTGTTTAATTGTTGTTATCAATTGTTATTACACAGAGCAGTAGTTACACAGACAGAATTCACTTCCCATCTTTGAAACGAGCCTGAGTGCATGTGACATGCGACTAAAGTATCGATCTCAGATGGCGGAATGCTTAGTCATTCGAAGTTAAACAAATTGAGAAGGAGACGAGAAACATGACATCCGTGTTTGTTAAAACAGCAGACCTGCCCAGTCCTTCCAGGAACTTACGATAAACTTCACAGGTTACAACTCGTGCAAATAACTCTGCTGTAGCCAAGTTAAAATTGCACGAACGTTACAAACGAATGCTGTAAAACGTTCACTAGTACTGAGGTATTTTGATTAACGGAAAAACTTATGTTTTGGAATATTTTGGAACGCAAATATTTTCTCTATATTTCACATGCACAAGACACATTCTGAATATTTCAATCTTTTTGACGTCAGTGCAACCTACACACATGCAGTTATCAATATTGAGGTCTTAGAATAAACCCCAAACAACACCACGATATCACTTTCGAAAAACTATTTCCCTTCTGAGCTTCGTCTTCTTCACTCAGTGGCTCAAACTAGCCCGACCAAACAATCAAATGACGTCAGATATTATTGTGACGTCACAAGAACTGGGAGGGAAACGAGGCCATTTTTGGCAGCAGCAGCAGCGTGTGACAACTTGGCGAAATAAGATATAAACAAGACGGCCTTGCGGGAAACTTCTATCGACACACGTCTGAATTCCTAGTAGCTAAACATGGTTGTACTACAATCAGTGAATATTTGTTGAGTTATTGGTGCGGTTGTCCGTGACTTTTTAAACATGATAATCGTTACATATCGTTCGTTTCATTTGTGACAGCTCTTGAAATTTTAAAAGCTATAAGCTCTTTACCGACCACAATATCGTTGCACGTAATATTATAGTTTTCGTGACCAAACCAGGATGCTATAGTGAGTGATGCATTGTGTAAACACAAAGTGTAGCTATACCACAAATATACGTCATTTCAACATAACACTTCATAAAGACAATTAGGAAACCCAAGAAAAACAAGAGTAATCTGACGGTTAAACTGTCGCGGTGCCAGTTTTCAGTCTGCAAGCTCAAGTTCAACCCTATTTTGCGCGCAGAATTAAGTCGCAGAGCCTGTAAAAAAATTGGTGCATGATAATTGACATTCTTTCTGTACGCCCCGATGGTCAGGCTATGGTTCACTAAAGAAGTCTTGGATAAGACTCGATCCGTTTGTGTTTTGAAGGGCTTTGTCTTAGGAGTCAGCACGATTTCTGATCGATAACGAACGAAATGGGATACTTTTTGAACGGTGCTACACTTGTGTTGGAAGTTTAATATGAAGTTGCATGAAAACGTGAAATTTTTGAAAACTTTTCACAGCATCTTCGTTGCGAATTAAACTTGATTATGATTCCTTGTGAAGTTGTACAATAATTGGATATTATTGGCAAGATTTACAATACATATAGCACATATCAATCTAGCATGTACAATTACGGCATAATATTTAGCATATATATGACATGAAACATGCTTAAAACTCAAAGAACAATGAAGCGCTTGGTAAGCTTTCAAAGCCGTTGTGCAACAGTGAGCAAGGTACTTCAAATAACGTGCCTGATTTAATTTAATGATAAAACTGTCAGAAGACAGTAAAGCCAGATGTTGTTCAAATTTCATTCAAACATCTATTCCCTAAATAGTTGGGTTTTGATGTTTCATATACGAGATGAAATTCCAGCTAGACACAGAAATCTTGAATATACATTTGTATGAACCAGTTTCGAAATATTTCGAGTACTTCTTTTGATGCCCTTGGGATGGTGATGAAAATTCAAATTTTTGTCGACTTGTTGCATGTTCACCTCTATTACTAGGTGCATTTTTAGAACTGTCTATCAAGTGATATGTCATGGATGAAATGCACCTGAAAGCCAGCTAGTCAGAAGATACACAGACACATTTGTGTGACCAGTGTGATTTTGAAAATAATTTGATGTTCAAATAAAGAAACCTTCAGCATGGAAGATAAAACATGAGTTTAGGGAGAGAAGATGCTACCTGCAAACTAGGAAGACAGTCACTTTCTGCAAATCATGCCCAAAATGAGACAGTAACCAGTAAACAAATGCAGTCTCCTGGATACAGTTCTCAAACAACAACAACAATAGGCTAACATTTCTCAAAAAGAAAGATAGCAGCTGGAACTGTAACCCAGAGTTGTTTACACTATGATTAATAATGTGTATGCTCCATACCTCTTCCTTTGTCCAGCGACCTTTATTAATTCTCTTTAATTTATTATCAAATATATTGCCAAAGCTTTCCTGATCACTTGCGGATGAACGACATCCCAATTCTGACTCAGTTTCACTGGAATTAATTGAATAATAACATCAAAATACAAGCAAATAATATCTAGTGACTCCTGTGTTCAGATGCAACAGCTGATAATTAACTTTAACAGTTATCAAACTAGAGAGATGTTTATCACTTTTAGTACATGTGTACAGTTATCTTTACCTAGGCAGTCATTCCAGTGAATACACACCACTCTCTACACACAAGTTTTTTAGTTTTGGCATGAGAGATTTTTGATTTTCATTCACAAGCAAAGATTTCTCATCCACGTTTTGAGGAGCCAAATGAAATGTCATGCAAACATATATGCACCATTTTGTATATAATCTAAGGCAACTGGTGCCTAAAGCGTCTCTTGTAGACACTTCTTTTGTTCAATCATGTTTTACACGAATTGCATTGAAATGCATATAAGCTATTATAAAACACACGTATCTACAACATGCAAATCATAGTAATCACCCGAGCAAAATTTCACATTTCTTCCGTAACAAAACTCATGCTTCCGCCAATTTACAAAGAAGGAACAAGCCTAAATTCTCTTCAAATACATGCCGGATAAATCGAATTCAAACAGTAAGATAAAACTTTAAGAATGTTTCAGACAGCATAGGTGATGAAAGACAACAAAGGCGCCAAAGCAGACAACATCTATGCAAATGTCAATGTCAAATTTTACACGAATTTTCCCTTCGATCGCTCGTGAAATACACATATCCTTAACTACGATTCCCCCTCAATTGTAAGCAGTGTAGATTGACGTTAAAATATGTAAAATTTCAATGAAATTACTACGAGTATCCACAACAGAATGTACCATAAATAAATTTAATATATGTAAATATACAACCAATGCTGCAATGCAAAGCATCTCGGTTCAAATCTGTCCGTTGTACGAAAAGACGTTAAATAAAAAACAAACAACATTCGGTACCTTTGGGACCTTGCCATTTTTGTCATCTCTAACTTGTCCACAATGTCCGATCGAAGTGAGGTTCAAGGGGCAACAATTCGCTTTTATTTTCAACACGATCTCTTCAAACGAGAACCATCATTTCCAATATGGCGGTTGAGAACTTCAAATGCTCCGCCACCCACGAGCGCTGTGATTGGCTGGCGTTAATTTTAATTGTTCCGTTCGACCAATCACCTTCCACACAATGTACGCATCGCATAATTATGCATACCAATATTTACTTGCTATGCATGTATGTGAGTATATTACGCCGGTGAGGGCTAATTAGGCATTCACCCATATAGGCGGTTCTCGTGATGACGTTCTCCCCTCGAATCGTGACGCTTCGTGAGCACAATAATAACATATTCATATTCAAGATTTAGCTCTTAGCCTCTGCTCTTACCAAGACATTACGCAGAACAAAATAGGCGCGTTTTCGTTGTCATTGCGTTTGAAAATTCCCACGCACGCACGCCTTACAAGTAAGAATGCATAGCGCGTCATTTTTGCTGCATGTAGAAAGAAGTAGCAGTTTGCAGTCCCAAATTAGAATTTTTCAAATCATTTAACAGCCATCACACGGTCAAACAAGTTAGTTGGAATGCGAGTAGATCTCTTGAACTGAAGAGTACGTTAGAGGACATGCACATTACAGAGTAATGTACTAAAAAATGACTTGGAACGATATCTCAAATTTTTTGAATCGAACATGGAAGACAAGTGTAGTAATGTAGTTTAGGAAGCGTTCAATGAAATGCCTACTGCAACAATTTCAGACGTGGTGGTCCAGTGTTGGTAGTATTCTTCATAATAATTGTCGTGATTTGGGTCTGAACCACTTGAAAAGATATCTCAAACGTGGTGGTCCAAAAACCGTCTAGTGTAGGCACTCTTCTTCAATAAGCTGTCGTGGTTTGTGTCTGAACTACCTGAAAAAAGATATCTCAAACGTGGTGGTCTAGTGTAGGTAGTATTCTTCAATAAGCTGTCGTGGTTTGTGTCTGAACTACCTGAGAAAGATAGCTCAAACGTGGTAGTCCAGTGTAGGTAGTATTCTACAATGATGTCGTAGTTTGTGTCTGAACTACCTGAGGAAGATATCTCAAACGTGGTGGTCCAGTGTAGGTAGTATTCTACAATATAAACTGTCGTGATGTTTAAACTACTTGAAAAAGATATCTCAAAAGTTGTTTGTTGTCGTAGTTTGTGTCTGAACTGTACATGAGAAAGTTATCTTAAACGTGGTAACCAGTAAGAAGCATTGTCATAATGAGCTGTCAAGTTTTTTACCACATTTGAAGACCCTTAATTATCTCATTGATTATATTTTCTTAAATTCCTCATGTCTTGTGCAAGATGCTTTAAGAATCAGCATGCCAAATTTCCGGCCCTTGCAATGTTTGAGTCTCTTTGTAGCATTTGGACCAATTAAGAACAGTTTTGCTTGAAAATTGAAAAATTTAAAGAATTCTACACCCATAGGATACACATGACGTGAATAAGGAAATACTAATGTTCAAATATTTTTCCTAAAATGTTTTCATCACAACCTAAAATATACCAGACTGACAAGAGAACCTCTTGATGTCCTTGGCTCGAAATATCGAGACGTTTTCGTGTATATTTTGGGCAGTTGATGAAATCATTCAACTATTTGTAGACTTGAACACGCTGCCACCGTGGCTTTGTATGTTATCCTTAGTAAAGATTTAGCTATGGCAAAACAGCATTCCTTATAATGCGTGGGATTTAAATTTTCTTGGGATTCACTAGGGTTTTACCACAGCCGCAAACTGGTATAGTCTTGATACAAAATAGCTTATTATAAATGGAAATTGAATCATTGAAGTCAGACCATTTTATTCTCTAGAAACTCAACGCTGGTTACAGACAAATTTCACCAATCTAAAATCGTTCATACACAGAAGCATGAGAGAGCTGATGTTAATAGACTATAGTCTATATGTATCGACATATCGTAACGAATGCTATATCACGTAAGACATTAATCTTAAAGGCAAACATATCATTAGGTTTTATTCCAAAAGTTCAAACCCTTCAATGTTATGGGCATTTAACAATAAGGAAGCGCCCTTAATCAGGGTGTGCATCAAGATTGCACAATATAGGAATGGTCCTTTTCCTATCAGACTCAATCAAGCATATGGTTGAGGTTACATTAATTTTATCATGGGAGTGTGAACTCTTAGCTATCAGCGGAATAATCGGCCAATAATACTGGCCAACTGTATATAAGAGAGAGTTCACCCAATGAAGACTTTCTACGAAGAACAGTTTAGAACTGGTACAACATTTAGGCATGGATTTCTGCTGTGCGATAGCATCAATTTATTGAATACTGTTTTGTTTCTTTCCTGAATATAATGCATCATGTATCAACGTTTCGTTTATTATACTATGCCAATATCTGGTTGCTCGTATGAGTTCAAAACATTGCGTTAAGTATTCTGAGTATTTCTTTCTCTCTGTTTCCCAGCTCTCTGATTGATGATTCGTGTATGTATGGCGTGACGTAATATCGTAAAACATCGCAAAACGAAAGAAAAACAAGGATTTGAGCGTTTTAAATCACGTCCGCATCATTAGTTGTTTACGACAAATGCGAGCTCTTTGTTGGTAAATGGTAATGAAGCAAGAAGGTGGCAGAATAACAAGTTGTTTACGGATAGGAAGCAAGCTCTTGCACGTACAAGTGACTCAATTATGAATTTTCAATTCGTTCTTTTGGTCAATTAAAACAGAGCTACGCATGCAGCAGAGCCAAGCATTAGTCTAAATCGATTTCTTTATGTAACTTGTATTTGTATATTTTCATGTAACTCTTGTATACGTTTCTCGTAAATAAATAGAATTGAGAGAACTGTGTTCATCCGTATGTCCACGAGTGTATAAGTGATGTCCGTACATGCCTTCGTAAACAGAAAGTAGAGATTGACCAAACGCGTGCGATGGGAGTCTAAAAAATCTTAATTTGGAGAATTCACCCCGATCAGCGTTAGCGAAAGCAAAACATGTTATATAATGGTGCATGATAATTCTCGTATTCGTCTGATGTTAAGCTTTGAAGGACCATCATGACAAGATAAGAAAAAGAAATTCGTATATCATAAAGTCTTGTATAGCTATATGTACACCGACACTTTGGTCTTTGAAGAAATTGTACAGTTTGTTAACATGGTAACTGCATCCTTTATCGAGGTACGCGGGATCTTCAGTCTTCAATGAAAATAAGCACAGTTTACTGGGCTCCGGCCTTTATGATTTTAAACAGAGACGACATATTGCTAGACTTGATTGCCTGACGACATGAGGAAATCACGTTTGCCTTGTGCTTGCCAACTACAAAATAGGGGGATTAGGGGATTAAGAAAGATTAAAAAGATTATATACGAAATAGTATTTTCACGCCAAAATCCGATGAAAGCTTTTATATATAAGCTATACCCGTTTAGACAGACATAAAACCTCTAGAGTTGACTGGGAACATACAGGCAAGTCACTCAGGATTAAAAAATAGTCCTCGATATTTTAAGTAATGGCAGAGAAGCCAAGTCAGCGTGACTGGTCAGACATCCCATTGACGGACTAGAGTAATGACGGACAATGGGTAACGTGATATTCGTGGGGAACTCAGCTTAAAAGGTTCCAACTTGAGTGGTCAAGATATAATTATTCAGTTGTTATATCGATTGAAATGGTACAAACTTACCCCTCAGATTCCCTGCTCGTTGTATGACTTGGTTGACCATTTTTAGACAACTCAATAACTCAGTGTGGTTGTTGCAACGAATTTTATATCCATTCACAAGATCACGATTCAGGTCATAGAGTTCCATGTAGCCTCGTCTCATATTTTTCCTAAAAGAGAAACAGTTATTCAAGAACAGTTTAAAATCGATAGAGCTATCCAGTGTAGTTAGGTAAATAAAGTTAGTTTAGTTTAGGTTTCCTCCTGTAGTAACACTGGATCAATAAGAGATGATCCTTACTGGACCTCTAGGAAGAACAGTTTAGAACTGATAGAGCTATCCAGTATAAATAAAGTTAGTTTAGTTTAGGTTTCCTCCTGTAATAACACTGGATCAATAAGAGATGATCCTTACTGGAACTTTAGGAAGAAGTGCTTAGAACTGATAGAGCTATCCAGTGTAAATAAAGTTAGTTTAGTTTAGGTTTCCTCCTGTAGTGACACTGGATCAATAAGAGATGATCCTTACTGGACCTCTAGGAGAACTGAATCTGGTGTTCCAAGAAGTGCCTTATAATTGACTATTCAAATCCCGACATTCATCCCCACCCTACCCTTACTTACATGTCACCCATGAGTCTTGCATCTTCGGCTCTGACAACGAGGCTACGAATAAGATTAGAATGATCCGCCATCTCCGCCGTCAATTTCTGTCCTGCCGAATGTAGTTCATCGACCTGCAAAAATGAGTCCAGTTTATACATTAAATTTTTGCTGAGATCTTCTTCTTTTGACAGATGAGAACGAGTGAGTAAGTTTACTAAGTTCAGTACGGATTTTTAAAAATAACGACACTTATACATCAGAGCATCCCTAACCCCTCGCTCGTTTACATCCATTAAAAGACGAGATCGTACAGAAATTCTAAGTTTAAATGGGTCAATAGAGATAATTCATTTGCTGCAGAAATTTTGAGATGGATTAGTGGCACATAGTTATAAGTAGAGGGTCAATGATGCATGGACAGGTCTAAGAATCCAGGTCATACAGAAGTGTTTGTGTCCAGTAGCATATTGCAGTTTGCATACTAATAAAGTATATTTTGATATAAGAATATATACAATTGGACATCTTGAACAAAACAGAATAGGGAAAAATAAAACGCCTTTGCTCCAAGAAAGGTTACTGTCAAGGACAATCTACATTTGGTAAAGTAGGCTTGTTTTAAAAAACCCTGGCAACCTTTGAACTAAAGTCAGCTGTAATAATTTTCTTGTATGATTGCATGGCGACTTTAGTAATTATAATAACTTGTAGGTACACCACGTAAGTATTAAATACTGCAAAGCTTTCGGTCCGTTAACCCGGACCTTCATCAGTGCAATTACTTGAATACACGTTTGCGCGTCACTTAAATATCATGTTAGTCGTGATTAGTTTGCTCGCGCTATTAATTAAACGGTTTCATTTAATTAAGTTCTAATTAATGCGCGCGCCCTAGACAAGTATTTGACTAAGAGACACCGAAAAGAGCACGCCACGTACTATTAAGTGGCTTTCCCTCTTGGACGATAGTTTGATGTTTATAAATTTCAATAGATTCTCTCATTTTACGAGAGACAGTAAACTTATCGTTTGCTAAAATGGTAGCATCGTTCCATTTAATGCGATGATCATAAGTCCATGCATGGTGAGCTACTGCAGACTTATCCAGTTTACCTTTCTCGCAGTTCGTCTTATGTTCTTTAAGACGTATTGAGAGATTTCTACCGGTCTCTCCAATGTAAACCAAACCACATTCACATGGAATGCGGTACACACCAGGTTTCTGTTGTTCATCGACGCCATCCTTGTGTGTGTAAAGAGCGCGAAACAATTTGTTATTGCTAGAATGGTAAACTTGTATTCCAACTTCTTTTAAAATCCTAACGATTTTATATGAAGCTGGGCCATCCTCTGTCTGTTTACCATATATTGGCCCAGCTTCATATAAAATCGTTAGGATTTTAAAAGAAGTTGGAATACAAGTTTACCATTCTAGCAATAACAAATTGTTTCGCGCTCTTTACACACACAAGGATGGCGTCGATGAACAACAGAAACCTGGTGTGTACCGCATTCCATGTGAATGTGGTTTGGTTTACATTGGAGAGACCGGTAGAAATCTCTCAATACGTCTTAAAGAACATAAGACGAACTGCGAGAAAGGTAAACTGGATAAGTCTGCAGTAGCTCACCATGCATGGACTTATGATCATCGCATTAAATGGAACGATGCTACCATTTTAGCAAACGATAAGTTTACTGTCTCTCGTAAAATGAGAGAATCTATTGAAATTTATAAACATCAAACTATCGTCCAAGAGGGAAAGCCACTTAATAGTACGTGGCGTGCTCTTTTCGGTGTCTCTTAGTCAAATACTTGTCTAGGGCGCGCGCATTAATTAGAACTTAATTAAATGAAACCGTTTAATTAATAGCGCGAGCAAACTAATCACGACTAACATGATATTTAAGTGACGCGCAAACGTGTATTCAAGTAATTGCACTGATGAAGGTCCGGGTTAACGGACCGAAAGCTTTGCAGTATTTAATACTTACGTGGTGTACCTACAAGTTATTATAATTAAAGTCAGCTGATTGAACAAGTTCTAGTAAAGACAAAAGGCGAAAAGGACACTAAGTTACACTCCTCCAACTCCTCCTATATTCCTTCGCAGAAGACTGATTGCACGTATTTGGCAAATCGTGTATCGAATTTTGCGATACAGAATCTTGCAACACAGTAAACACTTAAGAATAAATGATTAGGTTTAAGTAAACACTGCAAGTTTTCGACCGTTTCTCATTTATCGTTTTGACAGATGCACATTACAATTGAAAATATCAATTGACAATTTCTGTGGATGTTCAAATACATCGCTGGGGGGAGTCCATTATCGTTTGAGAGCACTCAATGAATGATGATTCTGGTTATATAAACTATCAAGACACGTTCAATGAAATCCAATACCACCACTAATGAGACTTAGAATAAAACTGCAGAGTTTCCGCTGCAAATTGCTGTAAAAGGTGAAAGATAATAGCCCTGACAATGCTTTGTGTGTTGTATCACGTGCTGTAAGAATAACCATCGTCCGTTTTTGGTTTGTGTTCGTTTGCAACAGTACCTTGACTAAAATGTTGCTGAGTTCTTCCATCTGAATTGGAAAGTCCGCAGTTGTCTGTAACTCCTAACAGAACACAAAACATCAAATAAACAAAAACATGCTGATAGTCCAGTGTAGGGAGAGAGTGCAGAACTTTACCACACAGCACCTCATCTTCTCACGATACTTCACTACACCGTACCGTACTGTAGCTCACGGTACCGTAATGTACCTCACTGTATCGTACTGTACCACACTGTACCGTATTGTATCACACAGTACCTAACTGTACCACACTGTACCGTACTGTACCACATTGTACCGTACTGTACCTCACTGTACCGTAATGTACCCCACTGTACCGTACTGTACCACACAGCACCTCACTGTACCGCACGGTACCACACTGCACCTCATTGTACCGTACTGTACCTCAATCTTAAGAAATGATGTCATAGCTTGAATAACTTCACCCGCAAGATCCATATCGTCGGTCTTGATGATAACCTAGCAATCAAACAAATACCAAGTTCATTCTATCAAACCACTATACCACCAGAATATTGAGGCTAATTTTGTATCTAATCAAATAAAAGTTGCATACTGCTCCATTCTGTTGCATTCTAATGACCAGGGGGGTGTGAGTTCGCAGAGATTGAAAAGCAACGTTCAGTCGACCATCAACAGCCTCAATTTCCTCCAAAAGAAGGAAATTCTGATTAATCCATAAAACAACCTAGAATATAAAAAAATATTCAGAAATGATTCACTGTGAGTTCTCGATACTTTATTTCTTGATTTGTAATTTCCAAAGGGACCTTCCCGTTCTACTTATCATTAGAAATCATGGTTTTAGAACAATTCTTCCTGGCTTATTTTAAGGCTAACTCTGGTGAAAAGGTAACAGAATGTTTACTCACCCTGTTAACTCGCTCGTTGATGTGAAACTCCACACTGGACGAAGGCTCCAGAACCTCTCCTGGATGTAATGTGTATAACGCGAATCTGCAGAAAAATAATTGAAATTTATCAAAGATAATACTGACATCGGTAAATAAAAGGACAAAATCTTTTGTTTGTACCTTGGAAGTTGCCGGGTGATTTCAAACACGTGAAACTGTGAACTGGGGGTAGAAAAAAAGAGTAACTCAGACAAACTTTATTTATACTAGATAGGTCTATCAGTTCTAAACTGTTCTTCCTAGAGGTCCACTAAGGATCATCTTTTATTCATCCAGTGTTACTACAGAAGGAAACCTAAACTAAACTAACTTTATCTATACTGGATAGTTCTATCAGTTCTAAACTGTTCTTCCTAGAGGTCCAGTAAGGATCATCTCGTATTGATCCAATGTTACTACAGGAGGAAACCTGAACTAAACTAACTTTATTTATACTGGATAGCTCTATCAGTTCTAAACTGTTCTTCCTAGAGGCCCAGTAAGGATCATCTCTTATTGATCCAATGTTACTACAGGAGGAAACCTGAACTAAACTAACTTTATTTATATTGGATAGCTCTATCAGTTCTAAACTGTTCTCCTAGAGGTGCAGTAAGGATCATCTCTTATTGATCCAGTGTTACTACAGGAGAAAACCTAAACTAAACTAACTTTATTTATACTGGATATCTCTATCAGTTCTAAACTGTTCTTCCTAGAGGTCCAGTAAGGATCATCTCTTATTGATCTAGTGTTATTACAGCAAGAGACCTAAACTAAAATAACTTTATTTGTCTAAACCCTGAACAAATTTTTACTCTTATCCCACCTTGTCTTTGTTCCCACAAAAGCTTTGATATGTAAGTCTACGGGATAGTCTCTCGGTGGTACGATAGAAATCTGTAAGCTATTACTGAGGTTCGTTTGTAGTGGATGAGCTACGTGACACTCCCCATCAAAGATTCCCTCAGCAAACAACATAACCGCTCGTATGATCATCTCGTTACTCGTGGCTATAGCTAACTCTACGGAGGGCTGCACGTGCTCTGAGCCCGGGTTCACGTGAAGAGAGGTTTGGAGTTGAGTATTGGCGGGAATAATCCCCAGTTTTGATTGGTCGACGTCTACACCGCCACTTGATTGCATTGATTGCCCGACCTTGTAATATTTATATACAGAATAGTCTAGTACACTTGGGTACAACGCTGTACACGACGCTACATTACAATACACTGCGATATACAGCAGTACATATATGTATACCTTTAGGTTTTCCTCATAGTTCTTAAGTTCCAGCATCAAATTTTGTCTCTTTTGATTCAAATCTCTCAACGTTTCTTGTGCAAGATCTACGCCCATGAGATTACCTTTCGCTTGAGGAGCTGATGGAAGGTAGCCACGCACTAAAATGGGGAAATCAAATCTCAGCTTTTCAATTTAATCGTGAACAACAAGGAAAGATGATCCCCTTATGTACCTTCGCCATCAACAGAACAACAGATAAGCTCCTCTTTCCCATCCAGTCTGTAATCCCCTTTCACAATGCCAGCCAAAGAGGTTGGCAGGTTGTCTTTGAAAATAACTTCGCCCGTTTTTTCGTTGCGTGCATCAATCTAAATGCAACAAAACAGTGATTATTCGTGAATTCAAGTTCCATACGAAACTGTACATATACCTTTCTATCAATATGGACGAATTTCTGTCGGTAATTTCAAAAAAACGAGGCTACCTTTCCGTTGCTCCATCCAGTTATAAGTTCAGGGATACCATCACCATTTAAATCATAACTGCACAAGGCGACCGCTTGATTCTTAGACTAAGAACGAAATATAGGCCTTTATAATTTTGGATCCAATTCACTTCTGATGGATGTTTTATAGTCTGTTGTCATGTAATGTATATCAGCAGCAAATCCACTGAAGCCAATGCACAACGGCTTAACCAGTAGCCGACTATATTTCATACGTCAGAAGTACGAATGGATCCCAACAAAATTGGATCGTGTGAACAGACCTTAAGACGATTTATTTTGATGTGGTTTGCAGGAAAACCAACTATTACCTTAATACGCCAGAGACGGTTGTTTTTTTCATAAACTCCGACTGTTCCGTTAGCCAAGGCGTATCCAAATCTTCCTCCATAAAGCGTACAAAGAGATATGATTGCCTACGCGATAGTTTTCAAAAAACGCTCCATGTAAATCATTGGGACTCTCGTGCAAAAAGCTTAGAATGAGCTTAAATGGGACTTCTCAAAATCAGCCACGTTTAAAAGAAGATTTGTTTTCAAATAACCAGGGAACTAACCCTAATAACTAGACATAAAATGTGGTATAAAAGCTGACTAAAATAGACGAAAAATGTCTGGGGCTGGTTGTATAAAACTTTAAACTACATTTTGCATCTAGTTAAATCCTAGTTAACTCAGAAGTACAGTCTTTTATGCAAGTGGCAATTGGACGTTTCGACCTGAGTGACTTTGTCAGGTGGGTCAGTATGAGGCTATATGTTTCTAGCTGATATAAGAACAAACCAACCTCTGTTTCAGTCATTTCATTAATCATCTCATCCTCTTTGAAAACGCGGATATCAAAATCCTCCGAGCCAACCAATAGCTGCAGTTCAATGGTTTGAAATAATGTCACCAACAAAAATTATTATATTAATGACAGAATGCAACAGACAGCATTGCCATTCTGTTAATATGGCTTCTTTGCACAGTTGTAAAGGCAGAAGACAAGTAGAACTTGCTAAAGTATGGTACAGTACCTCATTTTGACCATCCCCAGTATAGTCACAAAGTGCCAACGAACTAACATTATCACCAGTAACCTAACAATTTACCACATTGACGTCATTATAAGAAAGGTCTATTAAGACAAATGCAACGATGCATACTTACTGTCCAGAAAAGATCATTTCCCTCAAAATCAAAACCTTGCAAAGAACAATTTCCACCAGCTATTGCCAGTGGCGTGCCAGTGTTGCCTAGCTCACCAATTGTCAAAACATTCACACCATCAGGAACCTAAAAAATTAGTAGCATATAATAATACTCCTTGAGGTACACCATTTTATCATTTGAAGAACTAAATAGCTTTAATCCTGAATCCTCACTTACATCTTTATAAAAAACATCCGAATTATTTTGAACATTATAAGCCAAAAGATTGGTAGGAGTGCCGACGACCAGAATATCATTCTCGTATCCACCCAGTTGACCAGCACATACCGCAGAGATTTGTTGGTTAATATTCAGTAGACTAATGTCTGAATTGACTGTCGTAACACGGCCTCCTTCAGTAGCTTTACTGTGAGGGTTGTGCACAAATACCTGAAATGACATAGACTTGTAGGAAGATATCTCAAATGTGGTGGTCCAGTGTAGGTAGTTTTCTACAATAAGCTTTCATGGTTTGTGTCTGAACTACCTGAGAAAGATATCTCAAATGTGGTGGTCCAATGTAGGTAGTATTCTACAATAAGCTGTCGTGGTTTGTGTCTGAACTACCTGAGAAAGATATCTCAAATGTGGTGGTCCAGTGTAGGTAGTATTCTACAATAAGCTGTCGTGGTTTGTGTCTGAACTACCTGAGAAAGATATCTCAAACATGGTGGTCCAGTGTAGGTAGTATTCTACAATAAGCTGTTGTGGTTTGTGTCTGAACTACCTGAGAAAGATATCTCAAACATGGTGGTCCAGTGTAGGTAGTATTCTACAATAAGCTGTCGTGGTTTGTGTCTTTTTAAGCAGTTAGGACAAAAACCACAAAAGCTCTAATTCGTTATATGGTCTATAGTCTGTAGGCACTGTACACATTACATTGACAGGTACAGGGCCATCATTGACTCAAAGTGAACAATACAAAAATGTACGAAAAATAAGAGGATCGACAAGAAACACAAACGATACGATCTGTAAACAACATCTAAAACTTCATCTAACCTTTCCTGCAGTTGTGGCTGCTGTAAGACATGGCCTCTGTCCATCGTATTTTCCAATCGTTATCCGACGAGAATAGATTTTTTGGTCAAGTTTTAAAGTGAATAGGAAGTATAGGAACAAGATTGCCATTCTTCTCAACTCATCATAGTGAAGATCGGTGGTTTATTCAAGACAAAATTTATCAATTTTCCTGTTCAAAACAATATATTTACACTGCTAGAGTTTGTTGTTGCTACGTTCCGATGGTTAGCCGATGTGTGTACGGACGCACTCGATAGGTGGGCGATTGAACCCGGACGCACTTTAGAGGGAATTCCCCATTCTCCTTTCTCCCGCTCCTCCCTGTACTGGTTCCCCCGTTCCCCTGTTTCCAAGTTCGCCCGGTTTGCGCGATGCCTCAGTTCTCCCGTTCCTCATTTCTCCCGCTGCGCATTTCCTCCGGTTCCCTGTTTCCCGGTTCCCAATTTCAAAGATAGCCAACTTTGAATACCGTCTTAAAACCCCCAGAGCAAACCGTCACTGAGGCGTCTTTGCAGGCGCAAGGTTTGTGGCATAAATCCACTGGACTAAATGGTGCCAACAACCGACAACTGCCGACAACAAGCACATGAAACAATTAACAATGAAAAATGCGAAAATCCGTAGACACGAAGTCCAAACTCCGAAGTCCAGTATGGCGGCTCTATAATTCGGTTACAAAATTTCCCGCCGATCGGACTCTTATTTAATAATGCGCCAACTTCAAACAACGTTTTCTTCCCCATTTTTAAACGGAACACACAGATTCTAATCTTGAAATAAGGAAGAAAGATCGAACGTTAATATTCCCGATAAATAAAACAGAATCAAACACTAAAATTTCTAAAAGAATATCAAAACACTAAAATTTCTCGCTAAAAACACTTAAAAAACGTTTAGGCGTTTAAATCTTGACATTTCCAAGCGTGTGCCTTATTAGTCGTTTTCTGTGCATATACTTGTTAGGGACCGCCCCCCGAGACCAGGAAAAGCTTAAATACGTTAAATTTATCTTCGCTCTCAGGGCTAGCTACTGTAGCTGATTCGTCTATGACGCGCTAGGCTTGTGGCGATGCATACTCTGTTTCTCACTGAGACGTAACGGTTAGGTGCACATACATCATGGTCTGGGGGCCGTAGTGCATCTCCCCCTTAGACGGCCGTTAAGATGTGAGTTATGGGGGGGAGTTCTTCCTATAGCAACCGCCTTGCACCTTTCGTAGTTGTAACTATGCTGAATATTGCAGCCGGTTGTATAACCAGGTTAGATTGTGGCATAGGCTGGATGATCTCTTTTGGGTGTTTTTCCCCAAATTTTTTTTTTGGCACGCTTTCCAAATTTTTGTTTTACATACAAAAATATACTGTTATTAAACATATTATGGAACGGATATGGTTCGAAAAAAAATTTATATCGACTAAAAACCACCTTAATTGACCCCTGAATACTCTCCCCAGTCTCTGCATGGCTGAGTCTCTGAATTAAACAATAGTACAATACCAGAAATCATTCATAAACAGCAAACATCTTCATCAACCTTACAGCAGTAAAACAGCGACAAAGACATTCAGACAGTCAACTCTGCATTCTCGTTAGTGCCTTCAGCCCGAGAACTGTCAATCAAAAGTCTGGATAAATCCCCTGGCTTTCCCTGCGAGTTTTCAAATTCATATTTCAAAATATCTGACATTGAAAAAAACTCACGATTTTCTACTAATTGTGGACTTAGTTTATTCATTAATACTGATCCATGAGATAGTTTGTACAAAGACTCCACCATTGTTGGGTATACCAGTGCAGTATGGTAATCCAGGTTATATCCCAATGGTAGACCATAATCTCGATGAATCACCCTGAATTCTTCTGTAGTTAAATTTTCATTCCACAACAAGAAACACAGCATGTTATGGCCATTTTAAGAGCACAGTCAATTGTTATTCCCAATTGATTGCATATAAAATCCAACTTTGTTTAATTTCAAATACATAACTTCGAAGTTTGGAACGGCACTTGTAGAGAAAGTAGACAAACCTACTGCGACCATTCTATTCCTCGCCACAATGAATCGAACCACGCAGGTAACATAAGCTGAACCCAGAGTTCTTTGTTTAAAGACTGCACCTACTCCTTCAAAAAGGTTGTGACAAATACCCAAGGCTACAATAAACTGGATAACAGTCTTGATGATTTGTTGATCTTTTACGCTCAGATCCATTACGGGAACTCGTGTTAAGTTTTCAGACCTCTTGAGACTTATCAAAGACAATTTAAGAGGCGAATCAAGCGGCTATACTAAGCACAAAATTAACAAAACATTTTAGAAAACTAAGCCGTTCAGTCATTTATATTGAGTTTCCTTTTGAGAATGACGATTATTTTAACATTAAAAACTAAAAACCAACAAGGATTGTTTCAAAACACTAAAAGAATATCATTTCCAAGCGTGTGCCTTATTAATCGTTTTCTATGCATATACTTGTTAGAGACCGCCCCCCGAGACCAGGAAAAGCTTAAATACGTTAAATTTATCTTCGCTCTCAGGGCTAGCCACTGTAGCTGATTCGTCTATGACGCGCTAGGCTTGTGGCGATGCATACTCTGTTTCTCACTGAGACGTAACGGTTAGGTGCACATACATCATGGTCTGGGGGCCGTAGTGCATCTCCCCCTTAGACGGCCGTTAAGATGTGAGTTATGGGGGGGGAGTTCTTCCTATAGCAATCGCCTTGCACCTTTCGTAGTTGTAACTATGCTGAATATTGCAGCCGGTTGTATAACCAGGTTAGATTGTGGCATAGGCTGGATGATCTCTTTTGGGTGTTTTTACATTCCTTCCCAATTTTTTTTTTTACCATGCTTTCCAAATTTTTCTTTTACATACAAAAAACACTGTTATTAAACATATTATGGAACAGAAATGGTTCGAAAAAAAAATTTATATCGACCACACATCGACTAACAACAACCTTAATTAACCCCCGAATACTTTCCCCAGTCCAAATTCAAAATGGCGGCGGCCGGAAGGCGTTGGTGAAATCACGGTTGTATTTCGTATTCTTGATTAAAATTTTGCCTCATAATTCTCATTACAAGAAGCTGTGAAATTTTTATAACATATGCACTTATTACATTGCCACAATATTTTCACTCATCAAAATAGTAATTATGTACATCTAAGGTTATGAAAAGTACGTCAGTAACATTTCAGGGTACATATAGGATAACGATGAATACATACAGGGTAATGATGGATACATACAGGGTAACGATGAACCGCTCGTCACTCTGTTTTTTCTCCGCGAAAAACAGGAAAGCGGTAAGTCCCAGACCTTCTTAAACAACATGATGCATGGGTCTCACGGTATTTCTGAAGATCGGTTTTTTTATAGTACGTTAATCTAACTTAATCTCCCGGAGTTACGTGCGACTTTGCGCCATTTGCGGCAGCTTTCGCTTCCATCTATTATTCATGTTGTGATATCAATGTCTGCCCTCTCACAAACAAGTTGTTTTGCATGTTGCATAAATGGGATCACTAATTGGGTTACCACACAGCTGTACATCTTCATCGCAGCGAAGATGACGCAGGGTTATTTGGAACTCTGATATCATAAAAAACGTAGACTTTCACACGATAATGGCGGAATGTTTCTTGACAACCTAAAGTCGATGATTTCAGATCACGATGAAGGCAGCAATTTGGAACATTAGCGATCTTAAGAAATGCCCTCACCGATTTCTGTTAATATTAGATAAAACACTGAAATATTTAAAAGACACTTCTTTAGACATCCATTTGAGAAAATAGTCACTTCAACCGCATTTTAGTTCCCCGCAAATCGTCAGTGTGCGCATGACATCATAACTTTACACATGCGTAATCAGTTGCTCATTTTCAGGCTGCTTGACTGGAATCTCCTGAGAATCAAACTTCTCCTTCTTCTTTTGGTCTGGGGAGTCTCCATTCAGCAATGTCGTCTGTTTGCCGTTTGTATCTGTCGTCAGAGTCATTCTAAACGCTCCCGAATCCCGTCTGGGGGTAAATATCGGGTACTTCGGACAATGATCTTGACAATGATCTCTGAGCAGGGAACACACGGCACGCCGGAAATCGTTTTTCAAAAATGTATACAACATTGGGTTGAAGAAACTTGTTCCGAATCTCAAGAAGTCTAAAATATCTGATAAGATCTCAGGCAAGAACGCATTCTTTCCTATTTGAGCTTGAAATAACATAATATACCAAGACAGCCAACATATTGTGAAAATTCCTAACATCGCAGCGAATATAACCAGGGCTCGCTTGTCGGAGGCAATCGAGCGATTCCGAGGGTCGGCAGCGAGTTCGGCTTGTTTTCGGATTCGTTTCACTTGTCGACGAATCACGAGGAACATACGACTGAAGCAAAATAGCATGATACAAAGAGGGATGGCAAAACAGAGGAACACGCCTATTAGGTTATAAGGTTTCTCATATTTTCTGTGCAATTGTGCATTTGTAAGATTGTGATTGCCAACGTTCAACCAAGCTAGTTGAAGAGTCGCATAAAACAAGGAGAAGCACCATACTGAAGCAATAAAGAACCACACACGACCTTTGGTTACCATACGATAGTACCTTAAAAAAGATCCAGATTAGTTTTATGGTCATGACAACAAGACACCGAAGAGGGAGGGAAGGGTGGGGCCTCCTTTTTGTTCTTCCCAAATCCCAGTTGCCCTTCCTTCGCCCCCAAAGGAAGCGATCGCTAGCCCTCAACGTAATACGACACAGACATAGATAAACTGTATATATTATCTAGATCGTTAATTGCATTGATTCTTACCTCATTGGGAACATTACTGCGACGTATCTTTCCAGTGTCACAACCATTATATGAGCCATGGTAGACACCGCTATACCACGATAGAATAAACCAGATGCAAGGCATATCTTGAAAAAACATGTAAAGATGTACTGTTTAAACTCCCTCCATTTACCACAACATTTGAAATATATATTCTTCCAAGGGGTTCAGACACAAAACATGACAACAGCTTATTTTAAAATACTACCGACACTAGACCACCACGTTTGAGATATCTTTCTCAGGTAGTTCAGACACAAACCACGATAGCTTATTGTAGAATACTACCTACACTGGACCACCACGTTTGAGATATCTTTCTCAGGTAGTTCAGACACAAACCACAACAGTTTACTGTAGAATACTACCTACACTGGACCACCACGTTTGAGATATCTTTCTCAAGTAGTTTAAACACAAACCACGACAGCTTATTGTAGAATATTACCTAAACTGGACCGCCACGGTTGAGATATCTTTCTTAGGTAGTTCAGACACAAGCCACAACAGCTTATTGTAGAATACTACCTACACTGGACCACCACGTTTGAGATATCTTTCTCAGGTAGTTCAGACACAAACCACGATAGTGTAGAATGCAGCTCTTATTGTAGAACAGTGCCGATACACTGCACAGATTGTAGAACACCTTTTTAGGTATTGGAGATGGGATATTAATCATATTATATAGATAAAATTCTTACCTGCGCTTTCAAAGTAGTCGTACATGTCAGGAAGAGAGGAATTGACAACGACCCCGTCAGGAGATCAGACAAAGCTAAGCTGACCAAAAAACTATTGGTTTTCGTCCTCAGGTAATCTTTCGTCGCAAACAAATAGACGACAAGGACATTGATGGCGATAATACAAACTGCTAAAGCGATGAGACAGGAATCATAGGCTGGTTTGAAAATGCTACCTCCCAACTCAGGTGTGGAATTAGCAAACGGCTTGTGAGAGATGTTTGAATCCATAATTGCGGCAGACGTTGGGATTATCATTCTATCATTCTTGTTCTTTTATATCAAATGTTTTCCGTCTTGTATCGAGGTTATAACTAAAACGAAGAAGTGTGACGTCAAATACTGGTTATCAGAAAATACAAGAAAAACAAGCGTAAAGCCCACCTTCGCAAACGTCAAAGTTGCCAAGTTCCTTCGTCCAGAGCCTGAAACGAACTGACAAGAACGTCTATTAACATTGATAACAAAATGATTAATTTCGCTGCTTCTTCTGCATGGAAAGAGAATTAATAAATAGACATGTCTTAAATATCCGAGATGAATTCTGTGTTTGCAGTTCAATCAGATGAGAATGTCTGTATATGAAGTAGTAATGAATATTCCGTCATGATTAGAATAATTTTCGTCAGTTGAGATGATAAAAGCTTTTTAATTATTGTATATTATTCTGAAATATCTGTCTTAGATTATTATCTGAAGATTGATGATGTTTGAAGTTACTGCATAAGAAAGCGTGTTTATACAGCCGTGGCTCTCGCGAAAAAAACACGGCCAAATGAATGATTAGGAGAGCTTTCACATCATCCTTTCTAAATCTATGCAACCGAAGTATTTTCTTATATGTAGCATCATTCTGAGCTATACTCCTTTCTCCAGCATAGAGGTATAGTGTTTTAAACCAGCTATATGCATGCTTATATGGTCGACTAATTGAAAACTTCCATCTATATTTCATTGTAGTTGAATTCTACTGTTCTATGCTTTCCCGCCGAAATCATTTTGCTTCGAGAAGATATTGGTCAAGCGGAAAGGAGCGCCATTTCGCGTTCACAATATTATCTAGCGTTTTTTTAAATCTTTATACCGTTTATTTACATATATATAGGTTGAAAAATTAGCAATAAAGGAAAGAGGGTGACTACTTCTGAATCTGTGTGTGTTTCAGACGATTGTTTGACCGTTTCATTCATATTTCATGAATCCTTCATTCAAACTTATCTTACTTTTATTGCTTTTTATGCAAATACATCATCAAGCCGTTCAAATCGTGTAAACTAACGGCAGAATTAACTTTAATATTTGCCCAATAAATATATATACTTCTATAAATAATTACTGTATCTTTTACCAAAGTTAGTTTGATAACGCTGCTTGCAGACCACAACTTTATTATTCCCAAATTCCTTCAACACTTAAAGTCGGTTCGGTCGTTCAATAACACGTTCTCTATATTGACATATTGACAGGTCAATTTAAGGTAGCTCACATCCCAAAACATCACAAGATATCTAAGCGTAGGTTTGCATGTTCAACGTTGTCAGTTATAAAGTCAGCTGTAAGTTTAGATCTCAAAACGATCAGACAACTATATGGAAATTCTGAATTCAACTAGATATATATACGAGGTATAAATACAGTTTATTCATATATAGAGAGTTAATATCTCTAAGTTAGACTGATGAAGTTTTTTCGTGAGAACTTTGAAATTAAAGCTTTGAAATTATTTTCATTTATAATAAGATTTTAATGAAAAAGTGCAGCATAAAAAAATTTCGGTAAAAAAGCCTCGATTTAATATGAGCGTAATGGGTAATAAAAATTCGATACTTATCAATAAACATTATTGAATATACGACTTGGGTTTTGCGTATTGTTTAGTCTAAGCTAACAAGAATTCATTAAAAAACCATAGAACGGTACATGAAAAATCTTAAAATAGTAAGTACGAGTTACGCTGTGCGATAATAACCTCAAGGACATCAAGGTTATATAAATAAATACAGCCATTGACAGATCGCATATGACGAAACAAAGTTCTTTGGGAAAAATTTGAGTTGTTTGCAAAGGGATTTCCATTATTTCTGATTGACCTGTGTGCATCAGAGCAGCCCCACGCATTCATAAAGCTTTCCTATTGGTTACTGACAATTAAGGAAGTGAATCGACTACACGTGAGTGTCACATGCATGGTGGACTAGGGCCTAGACTAGGACCTAGGCCCTATATTTGGAGCTTTACTTAAATCTTAATTGCTCGAGTTGTATATATGCTGATGATTTTGTTCGTTTTGATACTGCATGTTTACTGTTCAGGATCTTTTTAAACGTAGCTATATTGTATTCACAATGTGGATAATATCCAAATAAATTGCTGAATGCCGGCCTTAGTGCATGAACCTTCCTCCCTCTCTATCTACCACGAAGTTGTTGACGAGTTGTGATCAAACTTAAGATGATCAGAAAATCACGCCCTGATTCGGATGAAATCCATCATTTTGTCACTAATTTGCACTTTATCCCCTCATCTACTTTTTATCATCTAGCATATCCTCATTTTATTCAGTTCTCTTTCCTATTCCCCATCCCCCAATCACATTTATTCCCCCATCCGCATCCGTATTCCATGGCCGTAGACAAAAAAGAGAAATACGGAAAGAGAAACACAGAAATTGATCACTGAATGGAAATTCATTGCTACCAAACGTCGTAATCTAGACCACGAGAAATCCGATGACAGGGCTTCGAATCAGACGATGTATATCGAGTTAAAAACCAAAATTCAGACACACAGGAATGCATATAACTAATCACAATTATTCATGTGGAGTATTCGCGTATGGCTATTTAAAAAAAAAACACTTACAGCCAAGTTAGCTAGGTCTCTTTAAAACTCAATGCACACATCCACATGAATTGTCAGAGTCGCGAAAACACTTTCTACACATGAAATCGTCATAACAGGAACAAAAACAACGAAAATGAATGCAGCGAGTGTCAAAAACTGTGCAAGGAATATGTGTACATTGATTTATCAGTTGAACTTTTTGATGTGGCATAAATTGTGGGAAATCAAGCGCGTAACGCAAATATTAGTTTGTTTGTTTTTTGTCCAGCTGCTTTTGGACAGATAAGACCGCCTGCCGACCTGTTTATTTCTATGGAGCCATACGTACATGGTATAATTATTGCCTTTATCTTTTTATTCGCTTGGACGAGATTCCTCATGAGATAGTTCACGTCCGCTGTTCGTAATAACTCACTCAGACGTTGGAAGGGCATGTGCTATGTAGCGTGCTGTGTACTAATTTTATCGGCGATCTTTGTCTGGAAAAAAAAGACTGCATGCAGCGATCTTAAATTATCTGCCCTTTGATTGAAATTGGCCAGAGTGAAATCGAACGATGCTTTCAGTTTAAACGAGGCGAAAGATTCAGCGCACTCATGCATGCACTAAACAAATGAAGCATCTGCTCAGATGACGTAGCAACACTTTGTTCAAACAATCTTAACGATTAACCCCTGAGTTAATTCTAACAAGTATTGAAACGATATTTCAATTCCAAACGATGAAAATTGACAAGCATTTTGAACACATTTTAAGCCGTGGTATGTCATTTCAACAATAGCGTTTTGTTCGTTTCTTACAAGTGAATGAATGACATGCGTTTGACACGACCCAGACACGTGAATGGGAAAGGGGGGGGGGAGGCTGGTTTCGATAATGCAAATACGCTCAAATTTTGTCAGCTGACGCTATATTGTTATAAAATTGAATGCTTATATTCGTACTGGAAGATGAAGAAGCAATACTGATCAATCACACTTTAAGGTATTACTGAGACATCTAGACTATAGAACATAAATTTTGCAAGATGGATAACGGCAATATGTACAGGAATACGTCAGGGTCATAATAGAGCCATAATTAGTTGAGTTACCTTCATATACGAAATCATGAACTATAATTTTACCCCAATCACATCACCTGCGGTCCTGTCATATGGCAATATTGATCACTCCCTCACTGAACTCTTATGCAGTAACTCACTTCGTTCTTCAGCATTTGAAGTTTCAATGAGTTTCACAATACATGTATGTTTTCCTTTTTCAGAGAGTCAACCTCTCTTCGCATTTTTTAAACCATACAATACTTTCTTATCGAATTCTATGAAGGCCAATCTTGATTGACGCTTTCCTGATATGGAGCTCAAAATCTTCCTACAACTGTTTTTAAGATTCTGCAGTCAAAAATCTATCCGCATATAGAGAAATTAGGATATAACTATCGTTATGTACTACTCGTCAATATTTATACTACACTGCTATACTATTATGACTAAAGTTTTTGATAGATTTTCCTAAAAACCAAGCACCTGGTGTAGACGCTTCACGCTTGCTGCATGCTTAAATATACATTACCATGGTAATTAATCGGATATATTTTAGCGAAAATCGGCTTAAAGAGCTGCTTATACTTAAAACAACGTCAACATGCATATTACACAATTCACAATAGGGGGTAGTTCATGTTTTAAGCTTCGTTCGCCTGCTAGAAATTACAGCCAACTGTCTTCAGTGCTTTCCTGTCGTCTAAGTTCGTTCCCCACAATAACGAACTGTACTGTACCACCACAGTCATACGCATGACGACCGTTATCATGAAATCAAAAATGACAAAATCGCCAACGTCATACTACTTCAAACCTGACACTGAAGCATGCTGCAACGATTTGCAGGCAGAAAATTTGCCTTCAGTTAGTAACTTCTCTATTGTGAAGATACTTTTACGCGAAATTAAGTATCGAATCATATTTGTACCTCAATGATACAGTCTGGGCTTCGTGGAATATGTGTGAATTTAATCAGTGAATACGCAACGCTGTTTGTGTTTTTTTTACATTATCCATGATCCATGAAGCCCTCCTCCTACTTGGAATCTACCGTTTCATTATTTTTTATATTTATTTCCACCTTTATTTATTTGTTATTTTAGTTCATCCTCCTATAAATTTTCAAGATAAGACGGTTATAGCACAATTCAATATTGTATTGCCTGCATGCATATATATAGCGTTATGTCTATATCGGGATTAAGTCGAACATATTAAATGAAGATTATTTTTTCACAGAACAACGATCAAAATATGCTTTAAATAGAACTATAGATAAGTTCAAAAAATGACACTTGCTTTGACAAACCTTTAGGCACTTAAAACTGTCTATCTTTGAGACGGGTAGCCATGGTAAAAATCGGCACAAGTGTTTGTTCCATGGTTGAAAAAAGATGCACTTTGTTCCTGACTAAAAGCCCGTTTAACACCCGTACTTAGCTTAAACGTTAAAAAGACAGTTCAGGTTGTCGTCGAAGGTCCAGTATCCCAGCTTTTATGATATTGAATGCATGATCGATTCTGCGTATAGCGACTATGTATATGTGTAGTTTTCAATTGAAAAAAATTATATATGCCTATATAGCCAATTGATGCATAAGTTTGACAATCACTTGTGTTGCAGGTGCATGATTTTACGTCAAGTGAACACTCTAGAAGCTGAGAATATTCTCAAATATCAATCTACACTCTGGAAGCTGAGCATATTCTCAAATATTCCATGACAAATGAATTCGCACGGTATATATCACTATATATACATCCCTGCATGGTCTATAAAATTCTGCTGAAATATCAGGGGTTTAAAATTTTTTGTCTTGCTTCAATTTTTGCTCATTTTCACGTCAAAATTAGCCACGCATTGTCATAAAACACAATATTTATTTATCAATGAATTTGATTTACTTTGCATATTCTTCTCCTAAACTATTTACGCACTTAGTATTTCACTCTAAGATGATTGTATATTATAGTGAATCGCTTACATCGTAAATCAATTTAATGCCAGCTGTCCCCAAAAGTGAATTCATCGAACATTGTTATCAAATCTATAAATATTTTTTTCAAGGCATTTTTGTGTATCTTTGCACTATCGTTCAAAGATAAAGATTGCATGCTGGCTTTTTTGGCCTGCGTAGTATAGGGGGGGTTAAATGTTAGACGTTTCTAGGGGGTGCTGTCCGCGCGCAAAAAAAATCCTAATTGGACTTCCAGCCAGTGAAACCCCCCCCGAGACAATCAAGTCAACTAATCAGGCAAATGAGCATTTTTCCAAGTTTGTAAAGTGGGAGTGTTTTCTTTAACTTTTTGTGAGTCTAGTATAGTTTAATTTGCTCGCTCCTATTGTTGCCGCCAACAGATCTCAACTTGAGATTCTGACTTGAACAATCTTCTATATATATGAGTATAAAACTCACAGAGCCCCTTGCTGCGAACCTATTGCAAATTAAACACACGACACGACTGTTAGCAATCATATTAAGCGCTTTATATACACCCACCAGTGTCATCAACCCCGACAATCGGCTTTTGGTTCATCCAGATGTTGCAGTTCAAGACATTTCACCACATTTCAACATATGCATCAGAGTAATAAACTTAAATCTTATTTATTTATCGAATTGCCGGGATGCTCAGTCAAACATTGAACATTTTCCAAAGGTCGTGATCTCCTCCTATATAAAAGGCGAGATCTAATCCGATTGCATAATAGACTTATAGGATTTGCAGCCAAAGTGATCTTACAAAATCTCAAAATCCTTATAAAATAGAGATCACTGCATGTTCTTGAGAATGATAAACAGAGCTTACTGGTTAAGTCGTTTCGCGATGCTGTAATGAAGCATGCGTCTTCACGGGGATATAAAACCTGACTTTTGAGTAGTAATCTGATGTTGTATCGAATAGAATCACTGTGGCCTTGGCAACACCCTAGATTTAGTTCAATAAACATTTCATCATTTATACAATTGTACTACGATTTTCTGAAATATCTAAAATTTCTTATAATTCATAGAACGTTTCCTCTATCGATGAAGTAAGTCATCAAGACAAAAGTCCAAACAATAAAAAGTCACCTTAGCATCATTACCGAAAGCTATCAATGTTTTTTTTACATAAGTGATTTTATAATATAATATAATCCAGTACCATGCATGGAATTTTTAGGAATATAATGAAGAACTAATCGATTCGACATGATCTGTGCATGAAGCTGTACTCATGCAGTGACAGCCGGTGTAGTGTTTTAGTGCTTTACTAATTTGCCCTCTGAGCTTAACTGTGCAAGCTAAGATTCAGTTCAATTTAAGGCTCGCATCCGAAAGCATCACCAAAGTTAAGTGTAGGTTTGCATGTTCAACATTGTAACTCAGTCAGTGAGTTTAGATCTCAAAACGATCATTCAACTATATGGAAATTCACATTCAAGTATAGATCGATATATACAGTCTGTACTTATCCTATATATAACCAACATAACCAGAGTAGGCAGTGAGGTAAATATTTACCAGCCACTTTAAGATAGCTCACATTTAAGTACACATACTAGAACTCTCATCGATTTAACGATGTTTAACGTTTAGCACAGCAGAGCCGAAGTCTCCCACAAGTACAATATCAGATCGACTATACTCTACTGAGATATAATAGCTCACATTCAAGAAAGAATGTACTATAAGTTTGTGATTCACTGACTATATAGACTCAAAGAAGAACTCAAGATGACCACTGACACAGAAAGATAATTCACAATCACGAGCTTGTTACTTCTGAAAGAGCTAACGGGTTACCGCTAGTTCCCTGCAAGGCAACTGTTTACAGGTCACTCGAAGCTGGGCAAATCATATTCAAAATCATTCATGTACTAGTAACCTCTCTATCATCTGATAATGTTCAGCTCAGAGATTACGGTTAACTTTATGATATCAGTCGGTAAATTTAAAGGCAGGAGCTAAACCAATGAAGAACGTATGACCGAAGTCCAAAGGTATATCGCAATTTACACGCGATTCCGGAATGCTTTAAGTTTGAGCATTGAATCACTCTTGGATACTGCATTGTTAATTAATGATCACGAACTGTACAGTGTATTACCTCAATACAACTAAGGATGTTCCGCACTTAACTTATGTTAGTATTCGCATGCAGTAAGTCCTTAAAATAGACCATTCAGCTTAGTTAGTATCAAGGTCTTACAATCAAACGCCTTTTTACTTCGATTACCATGCAATATGAACTTTTCAACTGAAATACACATATATTATATTAGACGTTGTTTGCTAAATTTATGGAACTATATTTAACGCTCACCTCAATCTGTCAAAATCCTCTAACTATAACCACTTCTGGGACACTTCCTTGGTAATATGTTCAAGGATCAAGCACTTCACACCATCTGCGGACGCGTAATCGACGCGCTATATTAAGCGATTCCAAAACGCCAAATTGGAATTCCTGCAGAAAATTGATGAAGTAACTTTAATCAGATAATGGCACGGATAAATCATTGATTGCCGTGTTAAATCTCTCGCGGTAACTTGCTCTACACGAGACCTTAAACCAGGCAAATGTGTAGACCTTTTGACGGGGAATCCTTTCCCTATTACGTCTTAACAAAGCTAGATTTGCCTTTCGTTATCTTTATTGCCCCCCGAGGTTTTACAGAATGTGTGCGAGTTTGTTTTAACAGCACTTTCAAACAATAACCTTACTGCTAATGGGCTAACCATATGTGTTTAATTGCTTTATTCGAGTTCCTTTTTCTAAACCATTTCCTGCGAAATTTGGGCATTTCATCTTTGTAGCATTCGTGTACAGCCTTATCCTATAAATACGTAGCCAAAGCGAAGCCCATAGACGTTATTTGGATCAAACTAAACACAGACTGTGGAACACATCTGGCAAACAGATTGTTACAAGCGCATTGTGCAACTCTGTAGGGCTTGTGGCTTGTTTTCTTTATATAGCGTAACTTGTTATCTATTTTCGCCATAAAATGTTTTTATAAAGAGCTTTCACCCCAGCCGTAGCTATCTTTAAAGTTTTTTGTGAGAACTACAATGGGTACATCCGTACATGCCCAAATGTTTGTTTTCGCGGCTGCAATTCAATATATGTAATATCTGCTGACGTGATGTTGTTGTGACGTGACAACAATATCACTTTGAGAAATACTGTTCTATATATATGCATATAGGCCGGCTGTAGCGCTTCAATAAGGAGAACTAAAACTATCAAACTATACCAACTGCTTATTTACAGGATAGCTCGATCAAATTAAACCGTTCTTCCTATAGATCCGGTAAGGATCATCTGTCATTAATCCACCGTTAATATGACCCTATTCCATGCAGACTGCATTTCGCAGAGTACCTTTCACAGATACACTTTCATGCAGGAGATACAGTGTCCCTACAGGAGGGAACCCTAAACCAAACTAAATCTGTTTTGTGTTTAAAGAATTTATATCACCATCAGATTTATAATGTTTCTCAACGACGTCTTTTAAGAATTGAAAGAAATCACCAATGTTACTTGCCCACTTTTTAGAGAAATAACATCTGAATCACACACACTCTAAGGAAAATAACCAGTAAAATCATTGTACTTACATCTTAAATTATTATAAATCAACGCAAATAACATCACGAAAGCGTTCAACAGCCACAGTAATTATTTATAGCAACGTGCACCTGTGCAAAGTGACCGTTTCCTGTGAACTCGTTTTCATTTACAAACGTTCATGAAATCATTCAAGAGTTGCAATGCTATCAATGCCATAAGATGAAGTTCTCTCTTCATCACTGAGATATTTTCGAGCGTATAATGCCAAAATACTCGAGTACAATTGCCTTTATAACCCCCAATATTATCACTAGTCTAGACAATTTGCAAACTGTGTGCATTTTATATCTTTTTGGTAACAGGTTGAAATTAATAAGCAATAAATAAATATCGTCAAAACTTGCTTGCATGGATGAACTTAGAAATGCAGATACCATAAATCTACGAAAAGGTCGTATATAACTGTCAGCTTTCTATCGATCAAGTCCATAACAAACGGTCCAAAATACTTGTCCAACCAACACTTAAGTTAGCCGATTTTCATAAATATATTTATATGAAAAGTTTTCACACGAAAAAAGCTCCAAGTTTGCAAGCTGTTTAAACATAAGAGCGCTTTTAAATTAAGTATGCAGTTCGAATAAATTAAATGTATATAATACGCATTGTATAAAGCAATATATTATAGTACAGGTTTTAATAACAACGAATTTGACATCACAGATGAATGTTGTTAATACATGCACAGTTCAGACGACAAAGAGGAACCAAATGATAACAGCAGAGAAAAATATATAGTTGTGAACAGTTAATTTTTCAGCTGTAGCAAGTGGTATATTAGTTGGATAACGTTAAAAAAATGACAGTTCATGTTTATCATTAATTCAATATAACAGTCAAGTGCGGCACGAAAAAGATTTTTTCTATATATCTCGCTGTGTAGTGTGCAATGCCATCGCTGACGTAAAAGTGATGTTATCTTCGCGAACACTAAGTCTCAGACAAAACCGGCATTGTTTTTTTAGAGTACAAAATTATTTGGACAAAGGACATGTGACTCTGAGTATTTATTTCATTTTATAACTTAGCCATATATAATATATAGACACTAACCAGTACATCTTATTGTAAAATACTACCTACACTATACCAACATGTTTGATATGCTCATCTTCAGGTAGTTCAGACATTATAGCTATAACAGTGTCAGTAAAATCTTATATTATGGAATACTACCTACACTGGACCTTCACGTTTGAGATATCTTTTTCACGTAGTTCATGCAGACACAAACCACAAAAGCTTATTGGAGATTGAATATCTACTAACCCACACTGGACCACCACGTTTGATATATCTTTATCATGCAGAGAATCAGACACAAACCACGACAGCTTATTGTAGAATCTTTTTAAAGGTAGTTGAGA